CACCATGGATTGGGGCCGCCCACCGAAAGGAGGGAGCTGGGCGTGTCTCCGCTAGCAGAAGGTAACTATTAACTCCACAACATGGTGGAACCTGTTCTGGCTTGTGTTATTTGTGGAGATAAAAGAGTGGAAGAGTCACGTTGCTGTTAGCCAATCAAATGTGATACATTTGTATATCTTGAATATTAATGAGTAAGACTTGTGATCATGCCCCCCTTCCTCCCACTCCTCCGACAAACTTCTAACCTCTGAAACAAGAGCGCCAGAGCTTTTTTTATACAGAAAAACTCATTCATGCTACCACAACGAATTTAGTGTGGATGAGACCCTTAATGCCCTCTTGGTCAGGGACGAGGCCCTACCCAACTGGAGGAGTTCAAGTATCTACGTCTTGTTCACAAGAGAGCGAAATCGGTCTGTCGTGGTGAAGAGAGATCTGAGCCGAATGGAAAATCTCTCGATTTAGCAGTAGATCTACGTTCCTACCCTCACCTATGGTCACGAGCTTCGGATAGTGACCAAAAGAACGAGATTGTGGATACAAGCGGCCAAAATGAGATTTCTCCACAGGGTGTCTGGACTCTCCCTTAGAGATAGGGTGAGAAGCTCGGTCATCCAGGACGGGCTCGGAGTAGACCCGCTGCTCCTCCACATCGAGAGGAGCCAGTTGAGGTGGCTCAGGCATCTGCTTCCTGGACGCCTCCCTGGTGAGGTTTTCCGGGCACGTCCAACCGGGAGGAGGCCAAAAGGTAGACCCAGGACATGCTGGAGGGACTAGGTCTCTCACCTGGCCAGGGAACGCTTTGGGATTCCCCCGAAGGAGCTGGCTACAGTGACTGGTGAGAGGGAAGTCTGGGCCTCTCGACTTAGGCTACTGCCCTCGTGACCCAACCCCGAATAAGCGGATGAAAATGGATGGATAGAAACATAACCCAAATAAACATAAAATACAATTTAAAATATTTTTGTTTATTGAGTTAAAAAATCTATCCAGGCTCACCTGGCTCATCGGGCCCTGTTCAGAACACTCTAGGTGATGGCGAGTCTCTCACGTTGTTATTCAGTTTCCTCTTCTTTACAGATGTTTCATAATTCAGCCACATTGGGTCAAAGGTTAGATGTTCTCCTTCAGGATGTTCTGCTATAGAGCAGTAGCCCCAGATCATCACACTACCACCACCATGTATGACTGTTGCTGATGGTTATTGGTGTTAGTTTGATTCCAGAATGCTCTGCTTCATTTTATCAGATTACAGAATAATTAGCCAGAAGTCCTTGTAGATTGTCTCTTTTTTGCTTATTGGCCTCTGACCAGAACAATGAGAGTCCTTCAGAGCTTTGGATGTGTTTCTGGTTTCTTGTGTTCTTGAATTTCTTTGGAACGATGCATACTATGTTGCCTTTTGAGATCTTTTAGCCTGTGTCAGGTTGTGTTGAAGTCATTTCTTACTCCTACAGGTCTGGTAGTGATGCGGTCTGGGTGTGGCTGGTGGGACTGAACTCAGATTAATAAAAAAAAAGGGTTGAACAAAAGAGGAAATTACTTTTCCCCACAGAACTAGATTGGCAAGGATAGATTTAATTCTCCTAATGACTAAAATCATGATTTGAAACCTGCATTTTGTATTTAGTCAGGTTGTCTATCTGATATTTAGTCACTGATATAAAATATTAAAAGGGCAAAAAATAAAAAACGGAAGAGACCATATGAGAACATACTTCAGGGTGTTTTTTGTTGTTGTGTTTTATTTCAGGCAGTCCCACTTTCGTGATACGGATATCTAATTGTTCAAATACTGGCTTTGTTTGTAAAATCTCTTAAAACTCTGCTTGTGGAGCGTCTGCGTCAGATTAACATGTGATTGATGCAGTAAAACGTCTTTTTATGACAGAAGATCGACACTTTGGTCCCTTTCAGGCTAGTTTTGCCCGTGTGTGTCTACGTCATCTTCGTGCTTCAGGTGGAGAAAACAATGCGTCATGCTTTCTTTGCTAAATTATGGCTTCACAAACCGAAGCAGCACAGGGAGGCCTGCTGGATCCATCTAATTAATTAGTTTTGATATAAACGACTCAGTTTCTGTTGGCATCCGTCCTGGAAAGAGATTGAATTTTGAATGATATAAACAAATTGTGTTGCAGGGGTACCGGCCAAGCCCTCCCTGCACAAAATGTTCAGCTCCAACCGGTTAACACGCTGGTGCCTCTAGCTTTTATTTATAGGGCTGCTGTCATCTGCTGGGTCTAATTTATGAGTTCCCAGACTGGCATTAATCTTATTTATTTATTTAATATATACAGGTTTTTAAGCAGAAGTTATAATTTAATACATCTGATCTTCTTAAATGTTTTCAAATAAATAATGAAAAGGTTTCATTTTTGTTTAAGCTGTATTCAAGCGCCTTAATTAGTGGGATCAAAGCGCCCTCTAGTGGGCATTTTGGGAACCCAAACAGGAACAAATTAAAGTAATATTTTTAATTCTCCCAAAAAAAAAACCAAAGGAATAAGTTTCACAAAATTCATTATAACCATTGTTTAAACAAACTTAATTCATTTAGCAGAGACATGTCAGTGTTTTTGTGTGTGTGGACAGATTGGATTGTGACAGTAAATCTTCTCTGGAATATCAGTAATAATAAAACTGATTCTTTCCGCAGTCGAGTGTCCCGATGTTTGTTTCTCGCCTCAGGAAGACTTTTAATCAAAGAAGGTCAGCAGCATCAGGGAGCGTATCTCATCCTTCAGGAAGGACGGTCACATTTTATCCATCAGCTCGCCCTTCTGTCATCTGAGCCCGGCCAAATTGAATCAATGCCTGAAACCAGAGCCGAGGCCTCAACTGCACCAACAGAAATAGAAAATCTAGTTTTGCTTTCTTCTAATGACATTAGTGCATTCCCTAAATGGTTGCCTACGAAAGGAGCATAACAAGGATATAATTACAAGAGGAACACGTCTCCTTTTTCCTGTAAAACACTCAGCCTGCTTTAGTGCTTTATGGATTACTCAGTACACACACACACACACACACACACACCGTCAGGTAATGATTCATCTCTCATCGGTATCATGTTATCTTTTGTAAATAAGCTTCTGGAGGTGAACACAAGGAGAACAGGAAACCACATTATCGACCACAAGAGAAAAAGTAAAGAATAATAAATAATGGCAGCACTAAGTGTCACCAGATCCCTTCTTTTAATTTCCGCTAACAAGCAAAATTATAACAATTTCATCAAAGCAAAAAAATAGGGATTTTCCACCTCGTTCTTCTGTGTGAAAGTCATAAATAACTACGATCCTACCTGTTTTCTGAATGGCTTTTGTTTGGAGACATAGCGATCACATTTGTTTAGATTGATGTGCTATCGGCTAGTCTGAACCAGAGTTGATTCCTAAATCATTGAATCGTTTTCTGCTCATTAACTCTAGGAGAGCACTTTGTTCTGTGTCTGTAAGACTTTTTAAATAAAAGGTGAAAAATAACAGATTTAAACAGTCTTATTAATATGTAACAAAAATGATGAAAAAAACATAATTGTTTATTTATACTAAAAAAACACATTTTCCCCATCAATCTTACAAAACAAAATGTGTACGCAGCCACAAAACCCAATCAAAGTTAAGTCTTTTGTATATGTTTTTTATTTTTACTTGAACAAATTAATAAACTTTTATTAAAGTTGTGTTCAGTGTAACACTGAAAAAACATCTTATTTCTGATTATAATGGGTCACTCTGAGTTTTTCATGCAAACTGAACATGGAAATAGTCTCCTACACCTATCTCCTGCATTAGCTTCTGATAGAAAACAGACGGTGAAACTCTAGGATTAGAAAATCCTGACAGATCTACGTCACACTGTCACTTAACACTCATGGACTCACCCATCTTGACTCACGACGGGGAAGTCCGTTGTGGGTTTAGTGTCCAGGAAACATCAGAGGACATCTCAGCTAGTAGAAGCTAACTGTTAGCATTAGCTACTCCACCACACAGCAGAACTCCGCCAGGATTGTGGTATTTGTGGAGATAAAACCTCAACTAGAGCAGAGTCAGTGGTAGAGTCGTGTTGCTGTTAGCCAATCAGAGGAGAGATGTGCGTATATCCGGAAATAAGACCAAATCCTGTCATCTGAAGCTCAGCTGTGATTTGGCTCACTTCTAGAAGAGAAAGAGAGACTAGTTCTGATCAGACAAATGAGCTAACAGGCTAACAGCTGGCCATGATGAGGCCAGTTAAAAAGTACCCTAAAATGACTAAAACGTCTCAAATTCTTCATCTAAGTGTAGTGGTATCAAATTGTGAAGATTGGGAAAGGAGAACCGTTCCTGCCCGGACCGTTTTAGACTTAACACACTCTGAGCCGAATCATTTTAGCCTGTATATTAAAAAGAAAGCAACCAATGCTGTAATGTTTTTAGCTCTAACCTAATAATGTGACTTAAGTGTGAGCTGAAAATGTTCACACTTACACATCACATTGATGAGCAGCTGTGGAAATATGTTAGCATCACTTGCACATGTTAGCATAAGGCAGCTAATTGTTAATCAGAGCTTTTTACTTTTAAGATTTATTGGACTTTAGCAAAAACGTGTGCTTACAGTATTGAGTGAGAAATGAGTTTAAAAGACACTAACTCTAAATAAATTAATCAGTTAATTATGATTAATTGTGATTTCACTGTAAAAAGTCATGTTTTGATATTTTTGCCACATCACTACATTTATGCTATTTTATGATTAGGCTATGTTGACATTAAATTCACACTTCAGTGTTTTTTTCAGCTACAATAGTTAGCTCCATATATCATTTTTTTACAGCCAACAACTACACAACTATATGTGAATAACCATTTATTGTCATATTTGTTATGGTTTGATTAATTTCTATGGAGGTTTTCAGGTAGCCGTTAGCTTGTATGTCCAGTTAGAGGCTTTCTCCATATCTGGCTCATCCTCCTGCTGCGTTTTCTTATGAATGTCTTCGATGCAGGAGTGGCAGGCCTGTACTTCCCTCAGAAGGAGTACATGGAGACAGTGTATGTTGGCCAGCCAGCCGGGACGTTGGTCCTTCAGGTCCACGCCATGCTGGACAATGACTCCGAGCAGCCTCATTTCACCCTGTGTGGTAGAAAGCAGCGCTACAGCTCCTGGTTCTACATGAATGGGAATACTGGAGAATTATTCCTAGACAAAACACTGGAGGACACAGACCTTGCCTCACTTGGTGAGTGGCTAATGAGATCAACTTTCTGACTTTTATGCACCTTCCATACAAATAGGCTTCAAGCTGTTTGTTCAGGACTTTGCCATTGGTATAGAAATGTGATTACAAATCTGAGAGAAGAGCTCAGTCATCCAAAAGAGCACTGTCTGAGATTAAAATGTTTTTGTTTTGGCTCTTGGTCTAATTAGATCATAATTCCTGGTTGGAGAAGAAGCTGACATTCCAGGTCATGGTTTTGAATGGATTTACCAAGAGGTCCCAATGCATCCCCAGTAAAGCAGCTAAAATCACCCTGGACTTTGTCAACGCCTCAGTGCCACAGTGTTCTCAGATGGATATGAAGGACCTTTGCTTCCCACCCAGGGATGCATCCAGCCCCCACATTATGGAAAATAGGTTCCCGGGAACCTTCAGGCAGCTCCGACGACTCACCAGACTCGGTGTCTGCCCGAACTACACCATCTCTTACAGTGTTGAATCAGGTTAAAAGCTTTTTTTCCAACCAATATTATATTCCTTTTCATGTGCATTTGAATTTATGAGCAATGGAATTGTTTGCTAGCCTAGACCATCCGTTTGGTCTATTGTAGCCTCAGCAGGTCTACCATTGGCCCGAACTGTTTTGTGTCTGGCCAATCACAGCACTCTATGATTTTTGGGTAGGTTTAGCACTAGGGCAGAGACGGAGAAAAACTATGAAGATGGCGTTTGGTCAGGAACGACTCTTGTTTGAAACGGTTTTGGCATCAAATTTGAACGATTTAGACTTGAGCCTTATTAATAGAGGTTCTTAAGTTACACTGAACAAAAGTATAAATGCTACACTTTTGTATTTGCTCCCATTTTTCACAAGCTGAACTCAAACATCTGAAAATATGTCTACATACACAAAAGACACATGACTCAAATATTTTTCTGAAATCTGTCTACATGTGTGTTAGCGAGCACTTTTTCTTTACCAGGATAATCCATCCCACCTCACATGTGTAGCATATCAAGGGGCTGATTAGACAGCATGCATAATGTACAGGTGTGCCTTAGACTGCCCACAATAAAAGGACACCCTGAGAAGTCTACAGTTTAGCTTTATGGGGGTGGTGGAGTGGAAAACCAGTTAGTATCTGGTGTGGCCACCATTTGCCTCACGCAGGGCAACACATCTCCATCATCCAAATATGATGCCAAAGCTGTTTCAAACGAGTCGTTCCTGAGCCAACGCCATCTTTAGTTTTTCTCTGTTTCTGCCCTAGTGCTAAGACAAATTTTTAGATGTTTGAGTTCAGCTCATGAAAAATGGGAGCAAAAACAAAAGCATTTATATTTTTGTTCAGTGTATTTGTTCAGTGTATCTTGAAAAAAGAATTTATTTTCTTCTTAGACGGTGTCATAGTCATACTGCCCCGTTGACTGACATCCGTAGTGATGAATATGGTCACGTTGTTCATTACTCTGATTGGTCCTAGCGCTGTCCAATTGCATGCAAAAACTGTTTGAAAGACAACCGTAGATTTTGCCCCACAACTGGGTTATTTCAATGGCTCGCTTGGCTAATTGTTTGTTGCTTTCTACAGAAATCTCAGCACCATTTGCTGTAGACGGGAACACCACAGAGCTGGTAGTGACCGCTCCGTTGGACCGGGAGGAAGTTGAGTGCTACCGACTCCTAATAGTTTGCACAGTTCGAAGAGAAACTGTCATCACCAAAGTGAAAACGTCGCTGGATGTTTTTGTTGATGACGAGGATGATAACGCACCCTACGTGAATGGAACTGGTTCCACAGATGTCATCATCAGCTTCAATCGGACAAAGGTGGGAATCAAATCAGATCGTTTTGAAGGGATGTCGGATAGATTTGTCTCAAAAGTCTCACCTTTTCTCTTATTTTATTTACAGGGTGCAACTTTTGGCGCCTTGTTTGTGTTTGACAGGGATTTAACCACCATCTTTCCCAAAGACCAGAGTCACAACAGGTATGTGGAGACTTTGCTCAACAATGACACCTGGGTAAAGGAAACGTTTGACATAAAGAGCACCTTTAACGAAAGAAAATCTCCCTATGGTGGTGTTCGAGAGTCTGTTCGTGACTATCGTAAGTAGTAAACTTAATAGGTAATTTTTTTAATAAAAACATGCTTTTTTAATGATCTTTCCTTCTACTTCAGAGCTAGTTTTAAAAAAGAACCTGTGTGTGACGGAGAACCGGAGCGTGTACCTGGACTACCAGGTCAATGATGCCACCTATCCTGGTCTAGACGGAACAGTGTTGCTGCGCTTCAATGTCACCATCTTACCGGTCATCATCCACTTCACCAACATTACTCACAAGTTCACTGTGTCACGCAGGGCTTCAGTTTATGCAAAGGTACTCATCAATACTTCACATATAAAGCTGTTTTTAAACAACTGGTATCTCTAATAACATCCATAAATATCATAAAGCCATTTTAATATCAATAGCAAAGTCTTAAAGTCTTTGCTCCACTGAAGACAATATCAGAAAAGACTTCTACCACAGATCCAGTGGTTATTTATCAGCTAACTGAATCTTGTTTTGTGCTAAATTTATAAATAATAAATATCTTACCTGTTGTAGACATAAACAAGCTATCAAGCACCCCCTAGTGGCCAGTCCCAATAATGAGTCTCCAGTTTCTGTTGCTCTAATCTCAAAATTTCACAGCACTTCTCACAAACTCTAATTTTTGGTGTATGGTAAAATGCTGATGGTGGTCAGAGGGCCCGGTAGAGCCTGTATACAGCAGACTCGCTTCTCCAGGTCCGCTGTGGCTACAATGTGGGGCAGCAGTAGTTCAACAGGTTGAGCGGGTTGTCTAGTAATCGGAAGTTTGCAGGTTTGATCCCGGCTCCAGACAGAGCTGTTATGTCCTTGGGCAAGACACTTAGCCCACCTTGCCTGCTGGTGGTGGTCGGAGGGACCGGTGGCACCTGTGCTCAGCAGCCTCGCCTCTGTCAGTGCGCCCCAGGGCAGCTGTGGCTACATTGTAGCTCATCACCACCAGGGTGTGAATACGTGAATGACCAATTGAGTCCCAGGACTCTAGAAGGTGCTATATCAAATGTAGGCCCTTTACCACCTAATTTTTAAAACATTTGTTCTCAGACAGACGGTTTGGAGTTACTTTCAGGGGACATGTTAAGAATTTCCTGCAGGACTTTGACCCCTGGAAGCACCGGAACTTAAAACTTGTAAATCAACAACCATAAAATAAAAGAAGATGTAAAAAAAATCTGTCAGTTGCATACTATGAATCTATGCCGGTTGCACTCCGTCTGGTCCTCTTGATGGAAATGTAATTACCGTAAATCCTCTAATACAGGCCCAGGCCTGTATTAGAGGATTTACGGTACATACATACATACATACATACATATATATATATATATACCGTAAATCCTCTAATACAGGGGCCTGTATTAGAGGATTTACGGTATATATATAGGTATGTATGTATGTATGTATGTATGTACTGTAAATCCTCTAATACAGGCCCGGGCCTGTATTAGAGGATTTACGGTGATCAGATTTTGTTTTTATGAAGGAAACTCGGTCCTCTAGTTTTCCAGTAAAACGGACATGAAACAGAATTTTAGGAAAACTGTGCTGACGCTCAGACCTTTGTAGCTTTATAAGGACAAAAATAATTACAGAAAAATAAAGCGATAAAAATAATGCATCCACAAAAACATACAAGATTTTGTAAAATGACACGTTAACCCCTACTAACCTATTCTGTCAGGTTGGCAGCATCTGTGTGGAGAACTGCCTGCAGTTTGATGGCTTCAGTGTGACGTACCAGCTGGAGGTGCCGGATAGAAACACGTCAGCCGACCCGCTGTCCTGCTATTCTGCTATAAGCATCACTCAGGCTCCAGACGGAAAGTGGGGAATGCTTTACGTGAACAACACCGAGGCGCTACGCAGCCCCAGCTGCCAGGACCTGCTGTACATTGTTGTAGCCCAGGAGGGGCTCACACAGCAAGAGGCCAGCACTCAGATCCAAATCACGCTAGATGGTGAAGCATTTCACACCCAACATAAAGATGGCTTTTTAGATTGAAGTGCCCTTATTACTGTCTTGCTTTGGATTTTGTTGTGATATTTAAACTTCTTTTTTTGCTCTTTATTATGAAAAGTATGTAAGTTATCCATCCAGGCATTCACTTTTGATCAGGAAAATTGCAATATTGCATTTGGTAGCAGTTTATCACATGATGTAGACAAAATTAGCATAAAAAAACAAAAATGTGTGAAATTTCCCCAAAAACAACATGTTTTGGTAAAACAGAAGCTCCCAACCTCATGCAGACCTCACAAATGACCCTTTGCACGTGACGTCACGCCACTCATGAGACCGCCCCCTTTGCCATGATGGACGGCAAAAAGACCATTTACACCCGTAGAAACTCCAGTGAAGGGAGTCAAAACAAGCCAGTTTGTAGCCTTTTATCGCTTTTAGTTAGTTGATTTGACAGTAAAATGGTTTTAGCTTGCTGCGTGGTCGGCCGCATTAAGAGACAAGGACGTAAACTCAACTCGTTTTTTCTTTTTAATAACTTTGATGGAGACTGAGGACGGAGATGAACTGCAGCGATCAATCAAGCAGACTAGCAGGCCTCAGATTTGCAGCGAACATGTTTTTACCGTGTAAGATTAACGTTCATTTATTTCATGAGGAAGACAGGGACAGGGATACATGTGATGTGTTTATACTAGTTATTGATAATCCTGATGGATGGATGGTATTTCACCACGGAGACTGCACTCCGTCCACTGTAGTGTAAAGTGAGATAATTATTATTAACAATATTAAAGCTCCTATGTATGATTACGTGTGTTAAAATTATGTTATTTATTTATAAGAGCGTCGACGTTCAGAGATCTTCTCATTCCGGTGTGAGAGCAGCAGCTGAACCCGGTAACACCACCAGCAGCAGAAGCTGGTAGGGATCCGGACTTTTTAACAATCAGCTTTGGTGTAAAGTGAAACGCTGTTTACAACATGAAGTTATAAATCCAGAGGGGTGAATTTAGGCAAAGTCAGCAACATGTTTACATCGGTGAACAGCTGCAGGGAGAACGTAAGCTAACGTTGTAAGCTAGTTAGCATACCGCTCTCAATGAGCCCCTGCTAGATGCGCTACTTCTTCTGATAACTGAACTGGGCATGAACTAGTTGAAGGAATGCTGGAGGAGTTTTGTTTTGATCGCAAAAACAATTTCAGGCTCTACTTTCCCCTTTGTTTAGTATTCGTGTCGCTCACTGTTTACATGCTGCCGTCCACCATGGTGGACCCACGTGATTAGGTGACGTTGGTGCAAAGGGTCAATAAGAACATCTCTCAGAATTTAAATGGCTGACAGAAAGTTGAACTTTGTATGACTAAAGAGTTTATATATATATATATATATATATATATATATATATATATATATATATATATATATATATATATATATATATATATATATGCTTTTTTTTTTTTAAGATTTTTCCACAATCTCACTTTAAGTTTAAAGAGTTTTGGAGATTTTGGAAAGGCAAATTCACGATTGTGATGATGTCTCACACACAACTTCTTTAAACTCTCCAAACTCTTTTGAACCCCACAAAGACACTTTTATAACAGGTTTCAGATTGAAACATTGGTATTTTTGTCTTCTTTTACATCGCGTTTGTCTGATCAATGTACTTATAGAACTCGTCTCTCAGATTCCTGCAGAGTACAGAGCGTGCACACCAAAGTTCCTAGACTTCCGAAATATTTTTGACTTTTCTTGTCAAAACAGGAAGTGAACAGGAAGTGAAACAGGGGTCTTTTTTAACTCATATCTCATATATGGTAGAAAATAATTTCATGATCTTTTTCAATGCTGCATAGTTTTTGCATAGTGGTTTTTGTTTGTTTGATGTTTAATTTTTATCCAGAAGCATCAACAAAAAAACAAAAGTTGTGCTAATACTTAGTTTCTGTTTGACTGTCGTTTAAAGACCTGCATCTAGGGAGTGAGAGAAACAGATGTGTGGTTACTATGGTGATCCTAATAAGTCACTGGGAGTAGCTTTAACATTTTTATGTCAGATTTGATACATCAAACTCTTGAGTGTTTTGTTTTTCCCTTAGATTTTTACTAGAGTCGGTTCCAAAATTAAAGTTTCTTCTATCCTTACAGACATTTGCTTACATTTCTAAACCAAACACATGTTTTAACATTGTTTTATTTTTTCAGATTATATTTTTATTAAAGAATTAGTGTGTCTTTGGTTGTTTGTACATAGGAAGCATGGAAGAGCTGCAGAGCCAGTCGTTGTTGTCTTGTGCAGAAAACAGACAACAAAAAGAGTGTGAGTCTGCCCGAGGCCTAGGAACAACGATGGGGACCTGTCAGTGGAGGCAAGGCATTGATAAAGGTTAGTTTCATTAAGCAAACACTTCATTTTTAGCAGTTACTCAGAAAAATGTGTTCTGTTCTGTCACAAAATATTCTGCCATTGCTATTTAAAGGCACAATATGTAAGAATTCTACAGTGAAATAATCACAAACAGGGTTTTTCCTGGCTCAAATTGAGGCAGAGGTGGTACCATCCTGACTATGCGCTAGCACATGTGTACTCTGTGCGTTCAACTGCCTCACTTTTTAAAGGCAAACAATTTTTTAGTTAAGCGTTCTAATTAGGGATGCACCATCGGGTGGCGAAACGCTGCAACTGCAGTTAAAATAACATCCATATAGCTGGGGGCAGAGTGAAATCAGGCGGGGGTGACACAAAATTAGCTGGAGGCGACCGCCACGCAAATTTGAACGCAGGAAAAACTGCAAAACTAATGTCTCAATCATGTTGGAAGAAAGGTTATACTGAAACAGATGACTTCTCAGCCAGTTGGGGCCTTGTTCGTTTTTCTCCTATCATAAAAGCTAGAGAGGGACGTAGTAACTGTTTACTATCTGTGATCCAGCAGAGTTGAAGAGTGCTGAGCTAACATTGTAGCACCGGCAAAACGCAGCTGCATTTTTTTAAAGAACTGAGCCAATAAATAGAAGCGACCCTGAAGTTATTTCTTGTACCCCTAAGAAACCACAGCTTCCTTTTGTTTTACTCTAATATTGGGTAAAAAAGGCTTGAGGCTAACGTTGAGCTAACATTGCTAACGGTGAATTAGAATCAGCTGGCTCTAAGAACATCTCAAGCTACTTTTTTCTGTTACCAACAACAACTGGATATAATAGTGAAATGTATTTATCTACTTATCAACTTACTGTGACTCCTTTTCCGTAAATGGCAAGCGCCATGAAACTCACGGGACGGGAGTGAGATAGTGATCAGTTTGTTTATTAAATAAGCAGCAGTAGCCAAATTTGACCACTAGATGTCCTTCTTACTTAATTCTTAAATGTTGCACCTTCAAATGTAGCTCCTGATTTTTCTTCTCCAGTTCCGTCTGACCTTTACGTTTGAATTTCAGGAATATCTGAAAATTATTCGACGTGCTCCCCCGATTTGAAAACTTGTCCAGACAGCTTTTGCGATGCAGTGGAAAGCAAAGATTCATCAATATGTCCGCAGGACTGCACAAGTAAGATCAAAGAGAACCAGCTTAAACACCCTGATGCACATTGAAATATAAAATTTTGTTGAATTTATGTGGTTTTGTTTTGCTCTGCAGCGGGCGATGTAATTGGAGGCTTTGAACGAGGCACGAGTGGGATTGGCATCAAAGCCTGCCATGGAACCTGCTACTGCTTGTCCAGAAATTGCTTTTGTGAAAAAGAAGATTTTGAGGGTAACGTGTTAATGTTACATTTAGAATCAGAAAATGAACGTCTTCCATCTTTCAAGTCTTGAGTTGTAGGTATCAGGACAAAAAGAGTCAAAGATAAATGATAAGTAGATGCCCCTCACACCACAAAGGAGGTTTTATTTTGAAATACATGTACAATTAGCCCACCAATCTCATGATAAATATGGGTCATACTGGACAATACCTGGTGCAGAATGAATTGTATGAATTGAATATTATTTAGGGTATTGTATGTATTATACAATTAAGAGGGCATGTTATGCAAAACTCATATTTTGCACTATTTTGTGTTGCAGTGTGGGTCTTTACTAAATCTATTAACACGCTATTAGCACAAAAACCAGCCATCCGTTTTCTGTCAGTGTTTGGTTGTGCCTAAAACGAGTTGTTTTAAAAAGTCCCAGTTTGTGATGTCACAAACAGGAAAGTTAGAACAGAACCACCTCTCACGCGCAAGAGAGAGCTGGTTTCAGAGGAGCAGCGGCTCTACTCCGAGCCCCTCCAGAATATTAGAGCTGCTTATCTTCTAGCAGCCTGAGCGAGGGATGGGTGGGCGTGGCCAGCAATAGCTTGTTTTCTTAAAGTGACAGAGCCATGAAACAGCTCATTCTGGAAGGTACTGAAACTGCTGAAATTGCTTAATGTGAGAAGTATTATGTGTAAAGAATAAAAATGTTTTGTATTGACCATAAAACTATTAAACCTTAAGAGTAAAAGTCATATGTCCCCTTTAACCTTCACTCAGCCTTTTAAATATGGTGCAAATTGAATATTTTGTACCTGAGTTAAAGGGGCATTTTGTGGCAAAGCAAAACTTGTACATTTACTTGGTGACTAAGGAATTTGTGTAACATTAATGATGTATTTGCAGTTGTGTCACAAATATTTGCAACAATGTAATCTTCCCCATTGGCCAATAACATGGCAGTTAGTGCTCAAGTGTCATACTTGTCAAATCAGTGTGATTTCAGCTGAATATTCCTTGATTTGCTCACAATCCTCACAGTCACCACCCTGTGGGACACTTAGGGTCTTTTCTGAAGTCTTTCTTCCCCCGCATTGAGTCAACACACGCCCGTAGTCTCCGGACCCATAAAAGCAGCTTTTATAGAGGTGTGAAACAGCTCATAAATGAGGACATAGTGGTGTATGTTGTGCATTTTGCAATCCCGAGTTTAGACTTGAACACATTTAGAGTCTGCTGACTCCTTTTCATCCTGCCCTGATACGAAACTCTAGACCTAAAAGAGCTGGGGCGTAATTCTCCCAAATTCCTCCTGTAATAACTGAGATGGTTTTATGCTCTCCTCCAGAGGTGGTGATATGTGACGAGATGTGTAAGACCATCTTCGCCAGCTCCCTGCTCCTCTGCTTCGTGGTTTTCATCATCCTGTCCTCATACCTAATCCGGCTGTACAACAAGAGCTCGCCCAAGCCCCCGATCGCATCGGCTGAAATGACTTTCCGTCGACCGGCTCAGGTCTATCCGATCAGCTTTCCAGGCAACAACGTTCGCCGAGGCTCACAGGAATCTATTGAGACGGACACCTTTAAAATACCTGTAAGGATTTCTCAGCCTTGTGTCCTCTTTGTGCATCACGTTGGATCCTTTGGTAAGTCAAATATTGCTGTAACGTTTCAACAGGAGGATCCAAAATGGGAGTTTCCACGTAAAAACCTTGTCCTTGGCAAGACTTTAGGAGAAGGAGAGTTTGGGAAAGTCGTCAAAGCAACAGCGTTCCGACTGAAAGGAAAAGCCGGTTACACCACAGTGGCTGTGAAAATGCTTAAAGGTAAAACAAACCAGAGAAGGCAGGAAACGTTAACGGGTGTGAGACGAGTGAACTTCTGGCTTCATCCATACCATGTTCTGCTTTTCTCTGCTGCAGAAAATGCTTCTCACAGCGAACTGCGCGACCTTCTGTCTGAATTCACTCTGCTGAAACAAGTCAACCACCCACACGTCATAAAGATGTATGGAGCATGCAGCCAGGATGGTGAGGCCTTTTGACTTCCTCCATTAGGAGCGGTGTGGCGCACAAACAGTCTTAAGTGCTGCGTTTCTCTCAAAAGGTCCATTATATCTCATCGTTGAGTACGCCAAGTATGGGTCTCTTCGTAATTTCCTGCGTGAGAGCCGGAAAGTTGGCCCGAGCTACATGGGCCGGGATGCAAACCGAAACTCCAGCTACCTGGAGAACCCAGATGACAGAGCTCTCACCATGGGAGACCTGATTTCCTTTGCTTGGCAGATATCCAGAGGCATGCAGTATCTGGCTGAAATGAAGGTAATTAAATAACAGAGTGAGAGCTTGACTGTTGGATTTTCCAGCCTGAAGCAAAAGATGCAAGCAAATACACCATTAATCCCCCGTCATATAACGCGCGCGCGCGCGTGCGTGTGTGTGCGTGTGTGTGTGTGTGTGTGTGTGTGTGTGTCAGGAACAGAGATCCTTTGGGTTCCGCGAGGTCTAATGGGCTCGACACACGGGAGGCGACATCGCCTCTCCTCCATTCATTTTCAATGAGACATGTGCGACAAAGCGATAACCGCGGGTCTCTCTCCTACTAAGCGAAACGCGAAAAACGTGCGTGTGAAAGTTTGCACTCGTGCACGTGTCGTGCACGTACGACCCAGCGACGCGATCCCAGAAAGTTGAAACATTTTCAACTTTTCATCGCTGTCGCTCGGGCGAGGACCAATCAACGGAGGTTTCATTCACTGACCAATGAGCGGACAGGATGCTCCGCACATCTCCGAGCAAACATGAAGGAGCAGTTGATTATTATTATGTTTTATAGTAAAATCACAAGTAAGATTTCACATAACTCTAGCAACAACTTGTGAAACATCATATCTACCACTTTATTAACTCTGAACCACTCAAATAACCTTAATTCCCTCCAACCTGACACAGCCAAGCAAAACAACGGAAGTTTCGATTTCGCCATGGAACAGAACGCGTAGACAGGTTTGCCGCCGGCCGCTGCCGCGGATCGCCTCCCGTGTGACAGGTAATAAAAGCGACGGCGAAAAATTTCGCTGATCGCGGTCGTTTGTCGCCTCCCGTGTGTCGAGCCCATTACTGCAAACATGAAGGTTGTGTGTCATAATGATCATCAGGACTTATCCAGATCATTAAAGACCAAGTTCACTAAGAAACCATATTTGTTATTTAGAAATATGATCGGTCACAACGAGTTCAACATGCAGGCTCAACATGAAAATAATCTTCTTTCCCTATTTCCTGCATTAGCCGCCAAAAGAAAATAGACGGGGAAACGCTCAATTAGAAACTCAGTGAGATCCACATCACGCTGAAAATTTGCATTCACGAGAGAGCATAGCACGTTTCAGCTAGTAGAAACTAACCATTAGCATTAGCAACTCCACCACACAGCAGACCTCTCCTCTGGCTCATTTCCAGTTCCTGAAACAGGAGCACAAACACATTCTTCCAACAGAGTTAAACTCACAAGACGTTCGTTCATAATAGAGACCACTATGGGAAAACAAGTGAACTTGGTCTTTAATGCTTTAAAACCCAGGACTGTGGCATATCTTGGTGATGAGTACCTTTACTTCTTCAGGCATGTTCTATTTCGCCAAGTTCCTTTAAGAAGTGTGCCTGTCTAACATTTCCCTTTGCAAGATAATCATTTTTGGAAACATCGGACCCTTTTAGCTTCTGCTCCGGTTTCAGTGGTGCAGATTTATGCTTCCTACCTCAAGTGCAGAATTTTCACGTATCTCAGGGTCTTTTTCACGAGTAAGAGAGCAGGAGTTCAACAAGTGGGTCGGGGAAACATCCGCAGTGATGCGGATGCTAAACCAGTTGATTGTGGTGACGAGGGAGCTACACCGGAAAGCAAAACTCTCAATTTACCAGACGATCTTAATCCCAATCTCAATCCTCACCTACGGTTATGAGCTTTGGGTTGTGACTGAAAGAGGAAGATTGCGATACAAGCGGCTGAAATGAGTTTTCTCCATCAGGTGGCTGAATTCGGTCTTAGAGGTAGAGCTCTGGAGAGACTCGGAGTCGAGCTGCTCCTCCGTGGCGAGAGGAGCCAGCTGAGATGGTCTGTGCGTTTGATGACATTGCCGCTGAACGCCTCCCAGAGGAGGTGTTTCAGGCATGTCCTGCCAGCAGGAGTCCCCCGGGTTGACCCAGGGCACGTTGGCACGGGCGAACACCTGGTGGAGATCGTTGGGAAAGGGAGGTGTGGGCCTCTCACTGGAGCTGCCACCCTTGTAACCCCAACTCAGATGAGCGTGTGAAAACAAAGATTTACGTTTCCCATCGGTGTTGATCTACAGCTCATTTTAGTTCCCTTGTTGCTCCGCGGAGGCAGTATCCTGCTCACTGGGCTGTCAGCGGTCACAGCCGGAGCATACGCACAGGGTTTAACATGAGGCCCAGTCACAATCATGTCATTTAGCCTTCTGCTGCTCTAACCACACCCTTTTTGTCCTCCAGCTCCTCAATATACTTGTCTTTTTATGGATTTGGAGCGCTGCATCATCCTCCACCTTCTCCAAACGGCTTTCTGTTGCTGTTAAAACAGTAAAAGTCAATAAATAAAACAGATGTATGCTCTTCACAGTCGGTAGAATATTATAGCAGGGTATCCGCGGGTCCTTAAAAAGTCTTAAATTAGCTTTTCCTAATTTAAGGCCTTAAAAGTCCTTAAAAATGACAAATAATCCTTAAATCCAGTTTCCAAAGGTCTTAAATTACCAAAGACCCAATAAACAAGATTCTTTTATTTCTATAAAAATTCCGTGAATTTCTAGTTAGTGTTCAGCATTTTTTGTGTGTGATGTTGACGTAAGCGGAACCGTATGCAGTCAGTTGGTTGTGAAAGGGGGCTATTTTTTTTTTTAGATGAGCACATTAGCTGGTTAAGCTAGTGGGAGCTTGCGCCATGGGAAAGGGCAAGTTTAATGGTAACTGGATGGCTAATCCCACATTCGCAATGTGGTTAGCACCGGTTCCAGGCAATAGCTGGAAATTATAGCTTAAATTTAATTTTTAAAATAGCTCAAATTTGGTCAAAGTGGCCTTAAAAAAGGTCTTAAAAAGTCTTAAATTAGCTTTTCCTAATTTAAGGCCTTAAAAGTCCTTAAAAATGACAAATAATCCTTAAATCCAGTTTCCAAAGGTCTTAAATTACCAAAGACCCAATAAACAAGATTCTTTTATTTCTATAAAAATTCCGTGAATTTCTAGTTAGTGTTCAGCATTTTTTGTGTGTGATGTTGACGTAAGCAGAACCGTATGCAGTCAGTTGGTTGTGAAAGGGGGCCATTTTTTTTTAGATGAGCACATTAGCTGGTTAAGCTAGTGGGAGCTTGCGCCATGGGAAGTGCAAGTTTAATGGTAACTGGATGGCTAATCCCACGTTCGCAACGTGGTTAGCACCGGTTCCAGGCAATAGCTGGAAATTATAGCTTAAATTTAATTTTTAAAATAGCTCAAATTTGGTCAAAGTGGCCTTAAAAAAGGTCTTAAAAAGTCTTAAATTAGCTTTTCCTAATTTAAGGCCTTAAAAGTCCTTAAAAATGACAAATAATCCTTAAATCCAGTTTCCAAAGGTCTTAAATTACCAAAGACCCAATAAACAAGATTCTTTTATTTCTATAAAAATTCCGTGAATTTCTAGTTAGTGTTCAGCATTTTTTGTGTGTGATGTTGACGTAAGCAGAACCGTATGCAGTCAGTTGGTTGTGAAAGGGGGCCTTTTTTTTTTAGATCACATTAGCTGGTTAAGCTAGTGGGAGCTTGCGCCATGGGAAGTGCAAGTTTAATGGTAACTGGATGGCTAATCCCACGTTCGCAACGTGGTTAGCACCGGTTCCAGGCAATAGCTGGAAATTATAGCTTAAATTTAATTTTTAAAATAGCTCAAATTTGGTCAAAGTGGCCTTAAAAAAGGTCTTAAAAAGTCTTAAATTTGGCTCCCTTAAATCTGCAGATACCCTGTGTAGGGAAACCTGGTTGACCTCCAGACACTCTACATGCGCCCGTTGGTTAAGGTTTTCTGTTTCCGGGCATTTTAAGACTTAACTGAGCATTTATTTTGTTTGACAGCTTGTACACAGAGACCTTGCAGCTCGAAACGTCCTCGTAGCTGAAGGACGAAAGATGAAAATCTCTGACTTTGGTCTTTCAAGAGATGTTTATGAAGAGGATTCATATGTTAAGAGAAGCAAGGTAAAAAAAAAAAAGAAATTTCATTTGGACATATTGACATTTTTCTCTAAACGAAAACTTGAGTCTTTTTCCTTTCACCAGGGCCGGATCCCTGTTAAATGGATGGCAATCGAGTCCTTGTTTGACCACATTTATACGACACAAAGTGACGTGTGAGTATGATTACATATTTAAAGGTACCCGCGAGATGCAGACCAGTGCACTTCCTTATGGGTTCTCTTCTAGCTCTCTGATTGATGAGTGCATTCAAACGATGGGTTGAATAAAAATAAAATTTCTATTTTCCTTTATTTTCTTCCAGCTGGTCCTTTGGTGTTCTGCTGTGGGAGATAGTAACCCTGGGAGGAAATCCATACCCTGGAATAGCTCCTGAGCGCCTGTTTAACCTCCTTAAGACTGGTTACAGGATGGAGCGGCCGGAGAACTGCTCAGAAGAAATGTGAGCTCTACTCTTTACTTCGTTACGCCCACTCCGCCGTCCAGTCGCTTCTATTAAGTGCTCCGTTAAGCTCCCAGCCTGGGAAGGAGGTCGGCTAGGGGAATGTGCTCCTTTGGGAGGATGTAATGATGCATGTGTCGCCCCCGTAGGTACAACCTCATGCTCCGATGCTGGAAACAAGAATCAGACAAGAGACCAACGTTCTCAGACATCAGCAAAGAACTGGAAAGGATGATGGTGAAAAGTCGGGTACGGAGACGCACGGAATGTTTGTTTCTACACGTGTGTGTGTGTGTGTGTGTGTGTGTGTGTGTGTGTGTGTGTGTGTGTGTGTGTGTGTGTGTGTGTGTCCAGTACTCTATTAAGCTTTATTATAGAAGATTATATATAAATAATATAAATAAATAAAACATAAAATCATGTAAAAAGCTAATATAACGCGTTACCATGTAACAATAACATCAAAAAGACATATTTCGCTGACGGGTGAAGATTATTTTAAAGTTTTAAGATGTGGAACCTTGAAAACCCTTTTTTAAAAGATTATTTCTGATTAGAAACGTTCACTGTGAGTGTTTCATGCAGGCTGAACATGAAAATAGTCTCCTACACCTACCTCCTGCATTAGCTTCTGAAAGAAAAAAAAGACAATGAAACTCTAGGATTAGAAAATCCTGACAGATCTCATCACACTGTCACTTAACATTCATGGACTCACCCATCTTGACTCACGACGGGGAAGGCTGCTGTTGGCTCAGCGTCCAGAAAACAGCGGGGTACGTTTCGGCTAATAGAAGCTAACTGTTAGCATTAGCAACTCCACCACACAGCAGAACTCCTCAAGGCTTGTGTTTTTGTGAATAAAACATCAGCGTTGCATCGTCAGTGGTAGAGTCGTATTGCTGTTAGCCAATCCAGGGCGAGTTTTCCAAATATCAGGAAATAAGACTCCAAAACCTGCCGTCTGAAGCTTCTTTCTCCTCCAGGTGAATTCTCCGTGCTGATACAGGCACTTCTGGGGTTTTTATCCCCTGAGTGCGACTTACAAGGCATTCATTCCTACCAGAGACCACTGCAGGTGTATTGATTAAAATGCGTAAACCACACCTTTAAAGGGTGATGACTACAGAGAGGAGTTGTGGTATGCTTATGTGATGTCTTACTGTGGTAATAGTTATGTTGAGTTAGTTATTGAGGTTGTATTTTATGTTTTATTAACAATCAGATATTAATAATAAAGAAGGGCTGGGGTTTAACTACAGGGAGTGCAGAATTATTAGGCAAATGAGTATTTTGTCCACATCATCCTCTTCATGCATGCTGTCTTACTCCAAGCTGTATAGGCTCGAAAGCCTACTACCAATTAAGCATATTAGGTGATGTGCATCTCTGTAATGAGAAGGGGTGTGGTCTAATGACATCAACACCCTATATCAGGTGTGCATAATTATTAGGCAACTTCCTTTCCTTTGGCAAAATGGGTCAAAAGAAGGACTTGACAGGCTCAGAAAGGTCAAAAATAGTGAGATATCTTGCAGAGGAATGCAGCAGTCTTAAAATTGCAAAGCTTCTGAAGCGTGATCATCGAACAATCAAGCGTTTCATTCAAAATAGTCAACAGGGTCGCAAGAAGCTTGTGGACAAACCAAGGCGCAAAATAACTGCCCATGAACTGAGAAAAGTCAAGCGTGCAGCTGCCAAGATGCCACTTGCCACCAGTTTGGCCATATTTCAGAGCTGCAACATCACTGGAGTGCCCAAAAGCACAAGGTGTGCAATACTCTGAGACATGGCCAAGGTAAGAAAGGCTGAAAGACGACCACCACTGAACAAGACACACAAGCTGAAACGTCAAGACTGGGCCAAGAAATATCTCAAGACTGATATTTCTAAGGTTTTATGGACTGATGAAATGAGAGTGAGTCTTGATGGGCCAGATGGATGGGCCCGTGGCTGGAGTGGTAAAGGGCAGAGAGCTCCAGTCCCACTCAGACGCCAGCAAGGTGGAGGTGGAGTACTGGTTTGGGCTGGTACCATCAAAGATGAGCTTGTGGGGCCTTTTCGGGTTGAGGATGGAGTCAAGCTCAACTCCCAGTCCTACTGCCAGTTTCTGGAAGACACCTTCAAGCAGTGGTACAGGAAGAAGTCTGCATCCTTCAAGAAAAACATGATTTTCACGCAGGACTATGCTCCATCACACGCGTCCAAGTACTCCACAGCGTGACTGGCAAGAAAGGGTATAAAAGAAGAAAAACTAATGACATGGCCTCCTCGTTCACCTGATCTGAACCCCATTGAGAACCTGTGGGCCATCATCAAATGTGAGATTTACAAGGAGGGAAAACGGTACACCTCTCTGAACCGTGTCTGGGAGGCTGTGGTTGCTGCTGCACACAATGTTGATGGTGAACAGATCAAAACACAGACAGAATCCATGGATGGCAGGCTTTTGAGTGTCCTTGCAAAGAAAGGTGGTGTAGAGAAATAGAGTGATGTAACGATCTAGAGTTGTATTTTAATATACCACTGTAGTTAGATCACTTGTTATAATCAGAAGAATAGGATGTTTTTATCATCAGGGAGTTCATTTAACACTCTGTATTGACCTTGAGACAAGAAAAGAGAGAGTTGGGATCGTTTAAGAATTTTATTATAAATTCTACAATCTATCAGGACTAACTCTGTGTTGTTTGGAAATGAATGTGATGTTCGATGTGTGTGTGTGTGTGTGTGTGTGTGTGTGTGTGTGTGTGTGTGTGTGTGGGTGTGGGTGTGGGTGTGGGTGTGTGGGTGTGTGTGGGTGGTTCAGGCTCCTTAGGCTGACGTCATTGAATCTGGTAGTCTTTGTTATGACTAGATATCACGAGGCTTATAAAGTGATGACATGAGCTGCTATTTTGCCGTGTACGTACCCAGTGGGGGCCTCCCAGGTAGATCAGGAAATGCCAGGTCTGAAGACCTCGGATGTGCGCTGGAGCTGGTCGAAACAGCGGTCGCAGCGTTTCAAAGCCCGTCTGAAGGGTCGACCCAGGTAACAATCGGCAGCGTCAGCAGGTGCTCTTATTTTGAAAGGATGTCGTCTGGTTGTTAAACGACGAAAATCTCCAACTTCTCAGTTCTTAGTTTAAAGAAGAAAACACATCTGGCCAGGCTGTGCTTCTCTTTGGGATGACGGTGAATAGAACTGAAGTCAAAATGGAACTGAGCTTAAAATGGCGTTGCCTTGTTTTATATGTCTGAATTGTTGATAAGTTTTAGTAAAGCGGATTGGACACTTTAAGTCAACAAGCCAGATTCTCTTGCGGCAGCCGAAAGCTCTGATTGGTTGGAACAATGTGTCATGCTTTTCTATGGAGATGAGGGTCAGTCTGTCTGTGCAGTAGTCCTGTTTTCATTAAACACATAAATCATGACATCTTTATTCCACAGATCATTCACTTGATTATTATTGATCAACATCTGTTTCGACTAGCTTTAATCACAAATTAAGTACTTTGATTATTGAAAAGTGTTCTTCTTCTCCTTCTGGCTCTTCTCCTGGAATGTAAACAGTCTGAGGAACACCCGACCTTGGCGTTTTCTACACGGGTGTTACTGTGCACAGGGGCAGCTGTGTGGAGCTGAAAATAATGAACTTCATAACGTTACAGTGGCTATGTTGGTCGCTGATTTGTTTTTGTATTGTTTTTGAATGTCAGAAATGTATATTTGGGAATGTGGAGATGTTATATTGGTTTCACTGGTAAAAATAAATAACTGAAATGGGTATATATTTGTTTTTTGTTAAGTTGCCTAATAATTATGCACAGTAATAGTCACCTGCACACACAGATATCCCCCTAAAATAGCTAAAACTACAAACAAACTAAAAACTGCTTCCAAAAACATTCAGCTTTGATATTAATGAGTTGTTTGGGTTCATTGAGAACATGGTTGCTGTCCAATAATAAAATTATTCCTCAAAAATACAACTTGCCTAATAATTCTGCACTCCCTGTAGTGTAGACTTGAACCCACGCCTCTGCGAGCATGGCATCCTATAATCGTGTTTTTTAGTGATCTCTTCTTTATCTTGTGTTTTCTGTAGTTTTATGATGGACTTATATTTTTTAATTCAACTAAACTAAATCTGTAAGGATCACATGATCACAGACAATAGGAGTTAAAGATTAACACACTGAAAAGAGCGCAGGCATCCCAGAATGCATCAGTCTTTTCAAAAGAAGAGTAGTGGATTTAATTACGTGAAGGTTTCTGGACCCGGAGCTGCAGGGTTCTGTAGCCTAGATGCCGCTGACCTTTAGCCCTCCTCCCCCCGTACTAATCACGCCCCTGTCTGCTCTTGTCAGGATTATTTGGACCTGGCGGCGTCCACTCCAGCGGACGCCCTGCTGTATGACGACGCCCTCTCCGAAGAGGACACCCCTCTAGTGGACTGTAATAACACCCCTCTCCCTCGAACCCTCCCCTCCACATGGATTGAAAACAAGCTCTATGGTAGAATCTCCCACGCATTTACTCGATTTTAGAAACAGGACACACAGCATAAGCTCTCTTTTTTTGGCAGGATGTGATTGGCTTTTAGTCAAGTGTGTGTGACTGTGATCTAGGCATGCTTTTGGTGTTTAATTCTAACATATCTCCCATTTCATTGTAAATGAGAGGAGCAGTGAAAAAAGATCCTGTGTCTTTACTTTTGCTTTGTTTTTTTATTTGGACCTGCTTCTAATGTATGCCGACCAAAAATACTACATTTGTAAATACTGACTCTATACCCTTCACTCCTATTTATATTACATTACTCATCATCACACTTCAGTCATTTTGTACATTTAGCTCATTTCCCCACTCACATCCAGATTTGGTTTTCATTGTTTTATTTTGGCGGGAACAGAGTGTAACATTTGAACAGGTCCTCACTGATTCAGTCATTCATTGTCTCAGATGTCCTGTCTTTCTGATGTGTAGTGGTGATTCATCTAGTTTGAATCCACAGTGCTGAGAAACAGTAAGGCTCTTGAACGCAACTCTTACGGTGGAATTGTTTAAGCTAGCCGTCTCGCTGGACAGCGACTGCTGGCGAGGAAGTCTATATTTCCTTGCATAAGCTCGCAAATGAATGTTCTCGTGTCACGGCGTCGTCACGTGGTTCTTATTTTTGTTTCAGAGTCCAAAAGTGTGAGAGATAAGAGACAACTTTGGGAGGGTTTGAGACACGATCGAGACACTTTGCACAAAGTTCAAGCGGCTGTCGTAATTTGTTTTTCCACCTTGCTAGTTCCAAGTTGCCAACTTCTTCGTGGTTGAGGTCTTGGTCCATTCCGACCTGATCGTTCGAATGTTGCAGATGACATTCAGACTCATCAGACCAGGAGGGGCTTTTCCGGTCTCTTCTGGTCCAGGTCTGGTGATCCTGCGGGAATTGTAGCTTCAGGTTCCTGACTGGAGCGAACCCCGCTGTGGGCTTCTGCTGTTGTGGTTCTGCGGACCCTTGTTGGAGCCTGTACTTATTTCAGCTTCTGTTGTATTTCTGTCAGTCTGACCATTCTCCGTAAATGATGGTTGTTGGTGAAAATCCCAGTAGCTCAGCAGTTTCTGAAACACTCAGACAAGTTTGTTTTGTACCAAAAATCATTCAAAGTCTCTTAAAGGCCAAGTTCACAGAGAAATCATTTTTAATTGTTCTTTTTAAAATATGATCGGTCACTCTGAGTTTAACGTGTAGCCTAAATGTGAAAATACTCATCCACCCCTATTTCCTGCATTAGCAACCGATAGACAGTGAACGGGGAACACTTTGATCAGAAAAGCCTGGGACACCAGCACACCGTCAAATCAACATGGTCATTGTGGAGCTAAAGCATCGACGTTGCAGAGCTAACGGAATCCGTGGTAGAGTCTCGTTGCTGTTAGCTTATCAGAGGAGAGATGTCCAGATGTCAGGAAATGAAACTCCAGATCCTGCCGTCTTTTACTCGCCTCTAACGAGGCTCCCTTCTAGTTCCTGAAACGGGAGCGCCAGAGCTTCTTTCCCCACAGAGCATTCATTTTTGCTAGAGGCCCCTGCAGATGTGTTGAAAACAAACAGGGAAGTTGGTTATTAATCATCAGCCAGTAGCTGATGAGTTCCTTCCATCTGTGTGGCTGATGATTTGTGTTTACGAGCTAAAAAAAGTGATCGTTCTCACTGAGAGTGTGTGTTTTCTCACCGTTCTTAATGTCCAACAGTCCGCCCAGTGAGACGCCGTGCAGCTCGTGCTGGAGCAGTTACTAACATCTGCATTTTTCAACAGTTACTGGAAGGCAGCAGGAATAACATTTATAGCCTTCATACATAATAAAAACAAACCCAATCAATAATTAATCTCATTGCACAAACTTTCTACCTCCAGGAGGACCCGTTTTCGCCACCACCGAGTTTGATTTGAGAGCCTTACTGTCTGCACGCTGTCTACCTTTCAATGAGTGCAGAAAAATGATATGTTCTCATTTTTAGGCATGTCATACCCGAACTGGCCTGAGAAGAGTCCGGTACCCCTCCACAGACACGATGCCACTAATCCAGTCTTTACAAGATATGCCAATGATAGTGTTTATGCAAACTGGATGGCTTTGCCCTCACCTGCAAAAACTGTGGACAATCTCGATAGCTAAAGGCAAATCAACACTAGAAAAGCGACTTAACTGGTAGATGTATTTCTAGACGCCTGTACATAATCTGATGGTGAAGTTGGTTCCCCTTTTATTTCTGTTGCACGGGTGCTTTTTAAAACAGGCTTCTTTTAGCTGCAGAATCATCTGGATGAACGTGGGCCAAGCTTCTTTTAGATGTTAATTATTACCCTTAGGTCATGTTGGCTGAACTGTATCACTGCATGACTATTGTACCAGATTGTATGTCAGTGTCAATGTCTTGAAAGTGCCTGTGCTGCTTCTACAAAGCCTCCAACTGACCGTGTGTGTGTGTGTGGCGTTGAAAATCCGTGTCCCAGCCCAGGAATCCAAGGGGACGTCTGTACCATCGGTAGTGGGAGTGAGAAGCACTGAGCTGGGTCTGAGGACCTGAAGTCTCTACCTTACAGGATTGTTCTCCTCAAAAACCTCCAAGACCTGCTTTTTTGTCAATCTTCCGCTACATGTTTAAAAGCTGCCAAAGAAAAGAAATATTTGATGAACTCTTCCTTTTTTTTCCCCGATTTTAATAATATCATCTTGTTATTCCACTGGGAGGGTGTGATACCTCCGCTGTCGGACTACAGTTCATGTTTCCATAAGCTGTAAAGATCATGTACACCAATGAGTGGTATTGCTGTTATGTTATTTGATTTTTGTTATTAATAAAAATGAAAAAGAGTTTGTTCACGGTAATTTGTTCAGTATTTCATATAGTTTGTGTCACAGAAGGGTCTATTTTCTTCTGTGCTCTCACATTTTTAGTCATTTCTACATAAATAAATAACGGTCATCATGACTACAGTGCTGTGAAAAGGTGTTTACTTCCTTTAAAGTAGCCCCAGATTATCACACTTCCACCACCATGCCCAGCTGTTGGTTTGATGCTGTTTTCCTACACAAAGTTTTGTCTCAACAGTCCAAGGAATATTTCCCCAAAAGGCTTTGGATCGACAAGATGGTTTTTGGGAAAATGTGAGTCTGTTTTCATTTTTTGTTTGTTTTTGGGCTAGCAGAGCTGAAACAATAAAGCGTAGAAAAAAAAAATAACAGAAGCATTGTTGAGGGAGCAAATCATTTATGATATCTGATGTCTAAAATAGAATGGAATGGTACACTGTCTGGCCAAAAAAATGTCTCCACCTGGATTTAACTAAGCCTCCTATAGGATAATTACTGCATGAGCAATTATCATGGTATTTAACCCCACTGGTGCAATGAGTTGCTTCTCATTTCTTAACCAGCCATGTGGAAAGTCACATCTGGTGGTTGTGGAAAAGCTGTTTGTGTGAGAAGGGTCAGATCAGTAGCATGCATCAAGCAGAGAAAACATCTAAGGAGGTGCAGAAACGATTAAAACTGGGTCAAGAACTGTCCAACGCTTCGTTAAAACTGGTCTGAGTCCAGGTGGACCCTGTTCCAGCCCAGAGGGTAAGAAGAGATGCAGATGAAGTGATGCACCCATCATGCCTAGTGCCTACTGTACACGCCTGTGGAGGCAGTGCTATGATCTGGGCTCGCTGCAGTTGGTCAGGTCTAGGTTCAGCAACAGGATGTGCACCAAGAATGAGGTCAGCTGACTACCTGAACATCCTGAATGACCAGGTTATTCCATCTTCCCTGATGGCGCGGGCACATTCCCAGATGACAATGGCAGGATTCATCGGGCTCAGATAGTGAGAGTGGTTCAGGGAGCATGAGACATCATTCTCACACATGGATCAGCCACCACAGTCCAGACCTGAGCCCCATTGAGAATCTTTGGGATGTGAGAAGGTTTTTTTTGCAGCGGTCAGACAACCATCATCAATGCAAGATCTCAGTAAAGCATTAATGCAACAGTGGGTGGAAATAAATCTGGTGACGTTGCAGAAGCTCATCGAAACAACGCCACCGCGAATGTGAGTCGTAATCAAGGCTAATGGTGCTCAGACAAATGTTAGAGAGTGATCTTTTTTTTTTGCCCTTGCTGTGTATTAAGTATTAGTTCAATAAAGCATGCTTAACATGAATATAAGCCTTAATTTAACTCTTGTTTGACCTGTAATATGAAAGCTCGCTCATTTTTCCACATAGTCCAATTACTGCTGACTCTACTGCAGCTGTGAGGAATTTGTTATCAAAACATAGCAGATAAGAAAAGAGTGAAGACAAGAAACTGATTAGAAGAATAAAACACAGGATACAAGTGCACGGCCCTGCACCATCTTCCTGGCGCTGGTGATTGACAATGATAACAAAGGAAGGAGCAAACGAATGATTCAATACAGAGCCTCGTGGGAACATTTCCTAGTTTATTTTTGGAGTTGTAACGATAACAGATGATATATCTGAACATTAAACTCGTGATGCATCGCCCCTCTTTAGTGTTAAATCAATTATAACTCGTAAGGCAGTGCACCATCAAAGATAACAACTTTATTTCATTAGTTAGCACAAAAATGACACAAAGCAGAAACAATATTGCAATGACTTCGTGATGTGTTTAACTAAATCCAGGTTGTTTATGCTGCACTTTAGCTTACATAACGTCATTTATGATGTGAAAACAAATACAATCAAAATAAATGTGTTTGATATTGTGGTAAAAACAATAATACGGTTTTCTTTTGCTGAAATTACAACAAAGCTAAGATTTTAATGAAGGCTGTGGTTCTCTTGTTGGCTCTTCCTTCTTCCATCTCAGGAACGTTGCTAAGCTGAGTCCCATTCTGTCCCGCTCTGAACTTGAGACAGTTCTCCACACCTTCATCTCCTCACGCTTAGACTACTGTAACTCTCTTTTCACGTGTCTGAGCAGAACCTCCCTGAACCGTCTACAGGTGGTTCAGAACGCCTGTGCTCGGCTTCTGACCAAGTCCTCCAAACACACCCACATCACCCCACTTCTCCTCCAGCTTCACTGGCTGCCAGTCAACTTCAGGGTTCATTTCAAGATCCTGGTTCTGGTCTATAGGGCCTTACATGGACAAGCACCATCTTACATTGGTGATCTTCTTAGTCCCTACACCCCCAGCAGGTCCCTGAGGTCCAGTGATCAAAGCCTACTGGTTGTGCAGCACCAGGCTAAAGGTCAAAGGTGACAGATCATCTGCTGCTGTGGCCCCCAGACTCTGGACCTCTCTCCCCCTGAGCCTGAGATCAGTGGACTCCTTTAAAAGCAGCTGAAGACTCACCTGTTCAGGCTTTGGTGTGACCTTCACCACCCTCTCCTTGTTCTGCTCTTATCCCGCCTTTCCCCCCATCCACTGATTTCCCTCTTTCCTATTCTTTCTCTCTCTCCCTTTACTTACATTTTCTTACAAATTTTTATTTTCTTTTGTCATTTAAAACCTATGTTCAAAACACATTTTTAATCATTTGAAAAAAATTATATTTTAAATTGTTTTTGTGAAGCACCTCTTGATTTTTTTCTTGAGAGGCGCTATATAAAAGATCATTTTCTTTCTTTCTTTCTTTCTTTCTTTCTTTCTTTTATTATGAATCAGGAGAGGCGGCGTGTTTGTTTGCGTCACAGGACAGATTAGAAATCTGATTGGTTCCTCGCTGACCGGAAGTAGGCAAACACCTACTCTTTTCTCTGTGCTCCGTGGCGTTTATCAGGAGTTGTCCGGCGTCGCTGTGCTTCCGCTAAACCGCAGCCGGAGCTGTGGCCGCGAGAACAAATGGACACCGACATAACAAGGTGGGTAACGCTTTAATCATCACTACTGCTGCGAAATGAGCCGTTTGTCGGCACAAAACAACAGAACGCATCGCCGCGAAGCCCTGAAACGCTGCTAAAGTAGCTGCAGAAGCGTCGGGGCCACATCCGGTGTAGCTTTTTTCAAAATAAATGTAGACGTTTTATCGTGTCTTTTTGTGAGCAGTTTAAATGTGTAAAATATTTTCTGAGATTAATTAGGAATTCAAACCGTTTTTGTAAGACTTTCTTTTGGGGTCTGTCAAATGTTTGTAAAGTTTAATATACATCTATTTTCCTTGATTTAATTTTTTTTACAAGGGTGAAAACTTCTACCTGCTCCATCAGAGTTGGGTTTTGTCCTCCACCCTCCAAATAATTGTTTTGTCCTTTCTCACCACATCCATGAATCTCGTTTTTGTTCTTCCTCTCATCCTCCTGACTGGTGGCTCCAACCTCGGCATTCGACCTGAATCATCGTCTCTTTTTGGAAATGTCCTAACCATCTCAGTCTGGCCTCTCTTGACTTTATCTCCTAAACATCTAACATGCGCTGTCCATCTGATGGACTCATTCCTGATCCTATTTGTCCTTGTTACTCTCAAAGAGGTCCTGAACATCTTGAACTTTGCAACCTCCACATCTGCCTCCTGCCCCTTCCTCATGGACAGTGTCTCCAGAGCTTATCGCATGGCTGGTCTCAGGCTGTCGTTTACACACACCTTTTATCTCATTCTTGCTGAAACTCTTTACCTCTCATCACATCTGACACGTTTAGCTGCTTCACCTCTCGTCCAAGGTTTTATAAACCAGTTGTTTTTGAATCACTATTAGATACTTTTTTTTTACAGAGTATGGGGGAATCATTTCTATTTTAAAACAAATTGAAAAACATTTTTTTTTTACTTTTAAAATTAACAAATAGACTATTAAGTGTTTTAAATGGTTATGTTCGTGTTTGGTTACTGGTAGAAAAATATGAAAATTTGAAAAGGCTTTGCACACAAATATACTGTTTATTTCAAGCCAAATAATTGATATAACACCAATTCACAACATAAGTGATGACAGAAAATTATACCTAATCTATATTGAATCACAACTTAGTTTTTTAGTTCAACAAAAACAATTTGTTAAAAACAAGAAAATGACCAATAAATAAATATGTTGTAACACCCAATATCTATGGTGAACCTCTTGTCTCACCCACCCTCTGGTTGTGCAGCACCAGGCTAAAGGCCAAAGGTGACGGATCATCTGCTGCTGTGGCCCCCAGACTCTGGATCTCTCCCCCTGAGCCTGAGATCAGTGGACTCAGTGGTCTCCCTTAAAAAGCAGCTGACGACTCACCTGTTCAGGCTTTGTTGTGACCATCATCACCACCCGCTCCTTATCCTGTTCTTATTCCACCATTCCCGGGATCCACTGATTTCCCTTTCCTTACATTTATTTAATCACAAGTTCTATTTCTTCTCATTTTGAACATATTTTAATCGAGTAGTTTTTACATTTTGTTTTCGTGAAGCGCCTCGTGATTTTATCTTGACAGGCGCTATTTAAAAGATCTTTTTCTTTCTTTCACCACTTTGCGGGTGTTTTATTTTGAAGAGGAGCCAGGTGAACCGGAAGTGTAGTTTGTGTAAACTCGCTGGTGGAACCACCGGGGTTTTCTCCTGAGCCGTTGTTTGGGGGTGCTGCTAGCTCTCCAGGTGCAGCTAACCCCTCCTGTTCTCTGCTTTTCTGGACTAAACCTTCAAATCGAGATTTTTTTTCTGGAAGCTGGAGATTCTTTGAAAGGTTTTTGAGGAAATCATAATGAAATTGGCAGGCAGGCTGACTTCAAACTAAAGGTTTGCATCATGATATAAAATATTGCTCTCTTCCTGTTTTTTTTTTTTTTTTTTGTCTGAAAGCTCTTGCAGGTTTATTTTTTTGTCTCATATATATTAATATTTTCTGTATTTTCCACAGGTAGAACCAACGTTTGAACACAAGAAACCAGATTTATGCATTTTGATGTTGCTGAAAAGCTATGTGGGAACATTTAGTGAGTGATGTAAGCAGAGGAAACGGGGAATGCAGACATCCTTGCTGGGTTTAGGTTTTATGTGGACGTGATGCCCAGGCGGGGGTTACTGTTCCAAGGCCGGGTTCGCTGGCTCTTCCTGGGCCTCCTCCTGCTGCTGGTGTTGCTGCTCTTCATGTACCTGCTGGAGTGCACTCCACCTGCAGACGTCAGCCTGGTCCTGCCTGGCTTAGCGGGGGAGACCTACGGGAAGGAGTACTACCAGGCTCTGCTGCAGGAACATGAGGAGCGCCACCTTAGCCGTGCTTCCAGCCTCAAGCGGCAGATTGCCCAGCTCAAGCAGGAGCTCCAGGAGATGAGTGAGAAGCTGAAGCTGATGCAGGAGAAGAAGGAGCCTCCGGGGGTGCAGGGTCTGGGGGAGAACAAAGACCAAGAGCCAGGAGACCTGCTGGAGTACCTGCACTCTCAGATCGACAAGGCTGAGGTCAACACGGGAGCACGCCTGCCAAGCGAGTACGCTCTGGTGCCCTTTGAGAGTTTCACCTCGTCTAAGGTCTACCAGCTGGAGATGGGACTGACGCGGCACCCGGAGGAGAAGCCGGTCCGCAAAGACCGCAGGGATGAGCTGGTGGAGGTCATTGAGGCTGCGCTGGACATCATCAACAACCCTGATGAGGAGGATGGTGTGGAGGAGGACATGGCCATGCAGAGGAAGACCTACACAGACGGTCACTTCACAGAAGGTAAGACCTGCAGCATCTCCTGCGTCGCCTGTGCTTCACTCCGTCGTTTTTCTGTTCCTCAGGATTGTACAGGACGGAGCGAGATAAAGGGACGCTTTACGAGCTGTTTTTCTCCAAGGAGGATTCCAGCAGTTTCCGCCACGTCACGCTCTTCCGGCCGTTCGGTCCCGTCATGAAAGTCAGGAGCACATCCGTGGAAACTTCAGGAATGACCATCAACATCATTGTGCCTCTGGCGGGCAGAGTTGAAACTTTCTCACAGTTCTTGCACAACTTCAGGTGAGGCTGAATCACTAATTTCTGTTGGGGAGACATGACCCATCACGTTGTTCTGCTGCCTTTCAGGTTTTACATCAGTCTGGTTTTTATTAGTGTGCCATTTTGAAATGACCTGCTTTTCAGAGAGGTGTGCGTGCAACAGGACAGACAGGTTCATCTCACGGTGGTTTATTTTGGCCACGAAGGTCTGCAGGAGGTCCGATCATCTTTGGACAAAATGTCGAGGTCGGTTCTTGGTGCTCCTCTCACATTTAGACGTTTATAATCCATAGACACGAGGTGTGTTGTTCCACAGGGAGGAGAGTTTCTCCAATTACACCCTCATCCCGGTGGACGAGGAGTTCTCCCGAGGTCGAGGCTTGGATATCGGAGCCCACACGTGGAACAAAGGCGACGTGCTGATGTTTTTCTGTGACGTAGATATTCGCTTTACGTTGGACTTCCTTAACACCTGTCGTCTGCACACTGCACCAAGTAGGCATGGATCCGATTGTTTTTCTCTCGTTTTGGTAACGTCGTTGTTTTCACATCATTTTGCTTGACTTTGTTTTGCAGACAAGAAAGTATTTTACCCGGTGGTGTTCAGCCTGTATAATCCTGCCATCGTTTATGGAAGTTTGGAGCTGGCTCCGCCTATTGAACTCCAGTTGGTAAGAAATGAAACGTTCTTGTGACCCAACCAGGGCCGCTTCACATGAATGTGAGCCCAACTTCCAGCTTCACCTGCTGTTTCTACACTGAAAACCGTAAATAGCAACACTCCTGTTTATAATTGCGTTGGTATGTTTCACAACTGTTAGCAATTAATGAAGATACTCATGAATATCAGACACAAGGTTCTAAGTATGGTTGGTTGAACATGCAGTGGTGCGCCCGAAAAATTTAATGGGGGGGCCAGTAAACATTTTGGGGTGGCACACCAAATGGGTCCCTGTGGTAAATCTGAAAGTTTAGCCTGTAGCTGTTCATTGCATTGTTCCTTCGTTCATTTTCAATAAAAAAAACAAGTCTTACGCGTCCACCCTAACCCTCATCTTTAAGCTGAGAAATACAAACGTTTCAGATCAAAAAGAAATGCAGTGTTTCTCTGACATAGGCGTAGCCGTGGCGGCCCGCCACGGCTGAAATCCTGGCGTCATGCCTACAAGATCCCGTTTTATGGATTTAAAAAAAAAAAAGAAAAAAAATTTGCGCTGTTTCCCGAAGAAGCAGCGGGAACCACTCTGTTGTTGCTTGTGATCACAGCCGGCAGGCAGCAAGGAGGAGGAGGCAGGGCAGGGTGGTTACAGCTAGGGATGAGCCTATCCGGTACGCATAAAGCATTTTTGACGAATACTAGCATGAAACGAGTAAAACTCGTAAATATCTGTAATTGTTCTGAAGAAAAATCCTCATTGGGTAACTGACTGCTTTCACGCTCTGTGATTGGCCAGTCACATAGAGCGCCCGCCCTTCTCTACACACAAAACTCTGCAGCAGTCCCTTGGGAAGACCGTATCGAAGAAGCCAACGAGCGAAAGAGGGAGCTCAGTTCGGCCCACACACACAGTTGCTCACGTTTCTTCAGAACTCCCTAGGTTTTCTTCAGCTCGCCTCTTTTTCGATTTAATATTTAAAGTTACTTTTTTCGTAACGTACGTGGTGCATTTGACAAGACAGAGCTGAAAACGGCTCGTGCTGAGTCGGTCACTGCCTCCGCTCCGGTCGGGTTTTTAAAAAAATATTTTATCTCTCTCTCACACTCACACCTTAATCAACATTGTTTTGTTGAACTTTGTGTGGGAAAAATGCAACAACCTTAGGAAAAGATCAGTTTAATCAAATTCTGGAAATTACTGGGATTAATACTTTTTTTAGCCTCGGCTACAAACAAATTTTCAATTTTATTTATCAAATCAATAAAATACATTCATTGGTTTTAACATTCATGTCTTGATTAAAGATTAATGTATAGTTTTTATTATTTTGAATGTGATTCATCAAGGGGGGGGGGGGGTTGAACTACTTTCCAGGAGTGGCCATGGCCCCCCTAGCCACCTCATAGTTGCGCCACTGGCCAACAGTTTTGAGAACGGCAAAAAAACTTTTTTGATAGTTTCATATTTTAAATAAAATAAAACTAATAAACAACAAACCAACAATCCAAAGGAGGTTCAACAATCTCAAAATTAATTTTGCTTTTGTCAGTCAGATCGTTTTAAAAAATGGTCACCCATGTAGGAAGGGATGAGTAGAAACCCAGGGATTTTTCAGTGTTGCCATGGTAACAGACTTAAAGATTCACCCATTTCCTGAACAGAAAACTCATCAACAGGAATCATCCAGGAAAACCCCTCAGGTTTTCATGTAGAGACCTGATTGTTGCTGGATAAATAATTCAGATTTTTGTGTCTGATTTATATATATTTTCTTTTGAAGATTCACAAAAAAGATGCTGGATTTTGGAGAGACTTTGGATTTGGGATGACGTGTCAGTATCGCTCAGATTTCCTGAATATTGGTAAGAATTTAATTTACTGAAGTTTTCTTCTACATCAACATTTTCAGGAAATTAGATTCCCCCCCCCCCCCCCCCCCATTTTCTGCAGGGGGGTTTGATCTGGAGGTCAAAGGTTGGGGTGTGGAAGACGTCCACTTGTACAGGAAGTATCTCCGGAGCGACCTGATCGTGACCCGGACTCCGGTGTCCAGTCTGTTCCACCTGTGGCACGAGAAGCGATGTGCGGACGAGCTGACGCCGGAGCAGTACCGCATGTGCATCCAGTCCAAAGCCATGAACGAGGCCTCCCACTCTCACCTGGGAATGCTGGTTTTCCGAGAGGAGATCGAGACTCATCTCCGCAAGCAGGCCTTCAAGACTCAGAGCAAAACCGAGGACTGAGGCAGCTGCTGGCGTGAAGGCGCCACCGTGAGAACATGTTTGCACGGATCCCGCTGCGTTTTGCTGCACAGCTGTAGACGAGTGAATGTACGAAAATGAGGAACGTGAAACTTTGTTAGAACCAATTTTTGCTGCAGACATGATCCAGTTAGCTGTTTAAATTGAAGGAAGATTTAGAAATGAAAGAAACCAGTCTTGTTCCTTAAAGCATGCAGGTTTTAACCGTGGGAACACCGGTGCTGGTTTCTTCAACGGTTAAAAATGTGAACTTGATGCCAGAATCTCAGCTGTTTGGGAGGATGTTCACTTCCAGAAGGGTGTCAGTGTCGGGACGGGCTTTTCAAATTCTAGCCGAGGTATTTATCGAGTGGAAGAATGAAGAGAAGTAGCAGTTTGTCCACTGATGGGTCTTTCGTTTGCGTGAAACTGGAGGTTTTCTTGGGACGTGTTTTGTTCCGTCAAGTGATTTTTATAAAGGGAGACTTGTGCGGTTTTTGTGACGTCATTAGGTCATTTTTATTCCGTTTCATGACTTTGTGAGTTTAACAGGAAAAATGTTGAAATAGTTTAGAAAGCTGAAGCAACGGTCAGCTTATAGCATGCAGTGCTAACATAGCTAATAACACCTATGCCCAGAGAGCATCGCCCTCAGAAGTATTCTCCTGAAAGCCGGTGTTCCAGTCACACTTGTAAATAGTAAATAATGCTTCTTGCGTTACGTTGAAGTCTCTAAAGTGACATGTTGACTAGGACGTTAAAAGGTGACTTGTTTTCTGACAAATACGGCATCACTGTTGTGTACAATCTGTTTTATTTGCGAATTCTCCCGCTTTTGTACAGTGTGTTGAGGTCCGCCAGCTCTACTGGCAAAAAACACGTCTTCCTCTCAGCAATATGCAGAAATCAAAGCTGGCTCAGAAAAACAAGCAAGGAGATGATTTATTATGACATTCTGGCCATAAATAAAGAGACTCTTCCTATGCTGTTAGTTCCAGTAACCTTTGATCTGCTGATAACTTTTATAAACTTGACAGGTTCTATGTTTTAGCTACAAAATGAAATCTCAACTCGCTCATTTCTTACTTCAACACCAATTGTATAATTCATCTGTGCACACAGAACTAGTCCCTAGATGATGAAAATCGGTGGAAACATGACTCGTGCGTTAATGAGCCATCTGTTCCGGATGGATCCCCATCGTTTTGTAGATTTCTTTAAGAATAAGAAGAGTCGTGTCTTCAGATTGCCTAGAAAACAAACAAAACAGGAATCAGCAGCGGGACTGCAGAAGCACGCAACACCCGATTCTTCAAAGGCAAACAGGAGGAAAGATCATTTCCATCCCAGTAAACGACACTTCATCTGCACCAGAGTTTAAACGTCTGCATAGTCACCAAAAGAAAGATGTGTACCAGTAGCAGAGGTGACTCTGAAGGGCGAACAGATACTCGTTGAAGCTCTCGATGGGCTTCTCCTGCAGCACGTAGTCGATCCGATTCCCTCCATTTAACATCCCAATCTTCACCTGAGGCTCCTCTTCTTTGGGAGGCTCGTGGATTTCTTGGATTTTATGCTCTACAGCGAGAGAGAGAGTTTGTAAACCCACAAAACTAAAGAGTCTCGGATCTCGGGGAAACTCACCCTCTTGCACGTGCTTCTCCTCCTCTGCGATTTGATTGGCCACGATGGCCAACTCTGCCTGCAGAGCGGACGAGGTGTGAGCCCGGGCGAACTCGTTGAGCGTCTGCCAGGCGCTCCTCAGGGAGCTGATGAAACCCTGCTTCAAGTCTGAGCCCATTCTGGAGAGACTCTCCTTCAGCTCTGAAACAACAAAGGTTCAGAAAATGTCTTTTTCTCCAGAAAACAAAGATCGGACACTTCCTACCGAGGTGAAGCCTCTTCCTTCCTTTGTGGTGTGGGATCAAAACAGGCTTCAGGTCCAGGTCTGGCACTATCAGGGGCTCGATCCTGTACGCCACCGGATCCAGCTAAAACAGATGATTAATGGTGGATGAAGTGAGTCGGCGTCCGCCAGCTTCAAATTTGACTTTTTAGCTAGATGGTATCGTTCTGTTAGAAACACTAAATCAGAGCAGAGTTCAAACAGCAGCAGAACTAACGCTAAACCAGATACACACCGGATGGTAGATGTTGAAAAACCCCTTGCATGTGGGCAGCTGGTAGGTCTCCTCGATCTTCTCCAGCCCACGGACCGTCAGAAACATGCCGATGGGAGAACCCAAAGCAAAGAAACTGTCTGGCTTGAAATCCAGTGAACGGTAGGCCACTGAAACCTGCACAGAGGGAAACGAGGAACATCAACGTTCAATAAAAGGTTTGGCAAAAATCTCAAACTACCAGATATCCTTCCATCCATTTTCCTCCTTATCTGGAGCCGGGTTGCGGCCTAAGCAGAGAGGCCCGGACCTCCCAGTCCCCAGCCAACTGGGCCAGCTCTTCCGGTGGAATCCCAAGGTGTTTCCTGGGCAGCTTAGAGACACACGGTCCCTCCAGCTGTGCTTTTAGATCTGCTCCCGGTTGGACGTGGTGATGGAGAGATGAAGTTTCCATCCAACTGGTCGACTCTTGATTCGAGGCACCGTGATGATTCATTTGCTCTATGGCGCCATCACGTGGACGATTCAAGTAAAACTTTAAACTGACTAAATAAATGCTTATGATGGAAATATATTCTTAATATCGTCTTTAACGGTCCTTTTAATATACTCTCTGGTCCAAAAGAGAAAGGGAAGGGTTTCCAAAGCACAATGTGGGGATCAGCAGTGTTTGGCTGCCCCTTCGGCGCAAACCGGCGAGCCAGTTCCTGAATCGGTCACGTGGTACGGACTGCAAACGAGGCCTCAAACGTCACTGCTTACGTAATCAACACAAGCCTCGATGCGTGCTTCACAAAAAATCTTCCTGAATACCCGACACACGCTTGGAAGCCTCGACACATCAGACACATCACTAGTTAGACGTGCCCAGAAAACCTCACCAGGGAGGCGTCCGGACCAGATGCCGGAGCCACCTCAACTGGCTCCTCTTGACGTGGAGGAGCAGCGGGTCTACTCTAAGCTTCTTCCGGATGACCGAGATTCTCACCATCTGCAAGGGAGAGCCCAGCCACCCTGTGGAGGAAACTCATTACAGCCGCTTGTACCCGCAGTCTCGTTCTTTTGGTCACCACCCAAAGCTCATGACCATAGGTGAGGGTAGGAACGTAGAACGTAGCCTTCCGGCTCAGCTCTCTCTCCACCACAAAAGACCGGTACAACACCCGCATCACTGCAGACGCTGCACCGATCTGTGTCGATCCCCCACTCCATCTTTCTTTTATCTGTCAAGAAGACCCTGGGATGCTTGAAGTGCTCCACTTGAGGCAGAAGCTCGTCCCTAACCCAGAGAAATCTATGACAGTCTTCCTCTGTACTGTGATAACCCAATTTGTTTTGCTAAGCCCGCCCCCCCATCCCATAGAGCCCCATGTCATTTTACTTGACCACCATTCAGCATTAACCAATAGCATTAGACATCAGCTGACAGATGTCAATCACAAGCATGTGTGCACGTCTGCAAAGGTGCCTTGTTTAAGCGTCGTCGTCAAGCCGTTTACAATGATGCGGCGAATCACAGAGAGGCTAAAACCGCCACAGAACATCCTGACTGCCTGCTTCTACTTGAGGACAGGAAAAAGTAAAGAAAAGACCACGGACTACATTTGCTGAAAAGTGCCTGAACGATCAACTTGAACATTTTTTTTGGACGCTGGGTGGTGCCCTCAGAAAAAAACTCTGGATTTCTGCTTTGACACATCAAAGTACAGAGGAAGACCATCGTTTGCCGGACAAAAGCTCATTTCTCTCATCCGATTTAGTTTTCTCTCAGAATTTACTCGCTTCACACACGATCAAAGTTTACCGGCAACACGAGAAATAAATGACAAGACGTAGAAAAATGTGTTTGTTTCTAGGGCATCACGCACCCACACCAACGATCTAAAGTTGTCTTACCTGTCCAGTACCAACTTCAAAATAATTGTAGTCGACGTGAATGGAGGAGACGGTATTCCCCACGGGAAGCTTCTTGGTGGTCGGATCAGCAGCTGGTGGAGGCGCCACAACAACCTGACTGTCCTCTTTGGCTTTCTTCTCCTGAGCTGCAGCCTGTAGAAGCCATAAAAATAATGAATCAAGCATGTGGCTCGTCGCCCGTTTCATCAAAGGTACGGAAACAAACTCGCCTGTCGATTCAGTCTTTCTTTAACAAACTTGGCTATTTTCTTCCTGGGACCCAGTGGGATGCCCATCTCCTTCAGGTCCTCCACCGTGCACATGAGCTGGGCGTATGTTAAAGGGGATTAATCAGATAAACGTCTTCAGGAAATTAAAGTGACAAAAACACGACTGAAAGCTCACAAAAGATTCTATGTCAATCTTCTCTTGATCAAAGGTGCTTTTGTACTCGGAGAGGCCCAGATGTTGGAGCATCACTGCGAGATCCTCAAACACCTCCTCCTCTTCCTTCATCTGCTCCTCCACAGCGGGGGAGGCAACGGCGTTGTTTGGCTCCATCACAGGAGCTGCCGGCTAACGTGAGACAGAAGACGTATATTTAATATATGAACTGAAAAATAAAATCAGCAACATTCAACTAAAGACACAGGAGCAGACTTCTGATTTTTGAACTGATTATTTTAAAACGAGTGTTATATTTGACTAAGCTGAATGAGAGCGGTTTGATGTAGCGTCCATTTCTGGCCTAAAAGGCCCTGCTCTACGGCGCGGTATGGAAGCCAACATTAAGACTACTGCCCAGCAGCAGGAGGCTATATAAATTCTGAAGCAAACTACCGACCTGATTAATGATAAGCTGGCGCCGGTAACTGAGAGGCTGGCGCTGCTTACTGAGAAATAGCACCTTTACCGGCGTTATTACTAGATACGCTAGGGACTAGCAGCCCTCAGCTGGTCATTGACTGGTTCACACACTCCCTCTGCTGTCTATTAGCATGGATAGGCTAGCGTTAGCCTGGACGGGCTGGTTTTAGCATTGGAGAGGCTAGCCATTAGCGTGCCTAGGCTGGCCACTAGTTGACTAGTGACTCTCTGAGACATGCTAATGGCTAGCCTCTCCGATGCTAATGCCAGCCTATCCATGCTTAAGGTCCGTCAAGGGGGTAGGAAATCCAGCTAGTGGATTGCCTAGGCACGCTAATGGCTAGTCTCTCCGATGCTAACGCCAGCCTATCCATGCTAATGGTCCGTCGAAGAGGTAGGAAATCCAGCTAGTGGCCAGCCTAGGCACGCTAATGGCTAGCCTCTCCAATGCTAACACCAGCCCGTCCAGGCTAACGCTAGCCTATCCATGCTAATAGACAGCAGAGGGAGTGTGTGAACCAGTCAATGACCAGCCGAGGGCTGCTAGTCCCTAGCGTATCTAGAAGTAACGCCGGTAAAGGTGCTATTCCTCAGTAAGCAGCGCCAGCCTCTCAGTTACCGGCGCCAGTTTATCATCACTTAGGTCGGTAGTTTGCTTCGGAATTTATATAGCCTCCTGCTGCTGGGCAGTAGTCTTAATTTTGGCTTCCATACCGCACCATACGGCTCTGGTTTGCTCTGCTCAAAGCAAAACCAGAAGTTTCTGACCTAATCTTCAAAGATGGGTCAAGGCCGCGCGTGCTTTGCCCTTTTCTAAACTGTTTTCCTTTCCAGCCCAACAGAAGAATGAAGACAAAGAACTCTTTCTTTTAATAAATCAAAGAACTCTATTTTTAATAAGCTAATCAAACAAAGTGTTAGCCAATAATAAAACGTGAACCAATCTGTGAAATGAAAATATTAGTTACTTGATATTATAATCCTACAGAATATAAGTAATGTACCTTTAAATATTTCCACTAGAGACTGATCACACGAAAGCGTTAAGCCACATCACACACTGCTTTTACTGATCCAATCAGAGCCTTCCAGATCTGACGCGAGGCGTGGTTTTGGTGGTGCTTGGTAAACCTGTCATCTTTTCATTCGACCATAAACCAAAACATTTGAAGTGTAAAACTATGCCCACATCATCTTAACTTCAGTTCAAAGCGTTCTAGAGAAGTTGTCGGAGTGGCCAATCCGTAACTTTCCTCTTCAGCCGAAAGAACCGACAAGCTGGATAAAATCTGTTGCTGTTCCACCTGCTGCAACGGTTCCTTTCAGAATAAAAGCTGAACCATCACGACCCCGTTGTGGGTCTTGTTATGGGCCATTCCCATCTGTACCGGGTCGGCCCGGGCCGGGTAGCCCCAGTCGGCCCCAGCCTGGCCCGGTTGATTCCACACATCCTTGCCTTAAGCCCATGTGGGCTGATTCTACCCACCAATCAGAGGCTTGCTCTAATGGAAGGTGTGAATTTGCTGTCAGCAGTGGGTGTGTTGGCCCTGGTCGGCCTGAAGCAGACCCGCTCGAGAAGAGGGCCGAGAATGAGCCTTGGTTGGCCCGGAAAGATACCAGGCCACCCAGATATGTAAACAACCTACGCTACCCGGCCCGGGCCGACCCGGTACAGATGGGAATAGCCCATTAGATGCCAATAAAACTGTCAAGACTGGTTTGAGTCGGCATCCGCTGCTTTTCCTACCGGCTTCGGTGCCAGAGGAGGTCAAGCTGGACCTCGACATTCCTGATCTAACAGAGACTTCCGCAAAGGGTACGTAGGCCGACGGGATGGCGTCTCATTGTGTTATAAATCTCCAAACCAAAAGCTTAGCGCGAAGACATCACCTTCACTCCCATCAGAACTAATCGTTTCTCCAGATTTGCTGGTTCTGAACAACATTCCACACTACACCATCCTCAGTGTTATGTCACCTTAGTTACACCATACATTTAGTGTTTAAAGTTAGTCTAGTTTTAATTTGTTTAGTAATAAATATTTAAACTTTTAAAACTTGACTCTTTTGTCCCCGAGTTAATACAAAGCGGTTACATAATCCCTGCAATAAAAAGTTCCAATCTTCTGGTTTAAATTATCCAAAGGTCCGTAAGATTGATTTCATAGTTCCTATGGAATCTCACATTTTATGGTTGATTAAATAATATGTAAATTTAATCGTTACATTGATAATGACTGTGGTTCAACGTGTATTGCTTTTAGAAAAGCACAATAAAATAACGTGCTTGCTGAGGTGCGACTTTCAGACCAAAAACACTGAACCAATAGTCAAGCATGGCAGTGGTGGCATCATGGTGTGGTTAATCACCGACATACATAAATCACAGCTACCACTGTTAGGGGCGTTTCCATACCTGTAGTTCGATTCCTCGAGTCTGAATCAGTTCATAATTTTGTAGTTTCTTATTTTTCCTGTGGTTTGGTTTCTTTTCATACAGACAGAATTTCATTACAAACCAGGTGTGGCTATGCTGGTTCGTCAGATTGTCTGGGGGCGGGGCAACCTGGGCAGGAAGGTTGTGTATTCTGATCCGGAGCTAGATGATAACACACTAACACTGCCTCCCAGGGCTGTTCTTCAACTTTTTTTTTTTACTCGAGTATTTTTATAAGTCAAAGCTGATAGTTCTGGTCATTACCCAAATTTCAGTCTGGTAACTGATCTTGTTGACTCTCCACATGAGCATCACTTCCTTTTCAGCGAGTTAGGAGCTAGCCAGCAGCTGCTGATGTTTGTGTGTCCTCCTGCCTCCCAGAATGCAACACAAACCTGACTACGGGGGAGGCGTTCAGCTCAAACTTACTGCATACACGGAGTCATCGTGTTGAAGCACTATAAACAAACAGACCACCTCCTCACCGTAGAAGGGTCATCGCAAAGCTCCGACCTCAAATCAGACTGAATTAAACCAAGAGCTGGGTCTTATTCTGACCTATTCTGATGGTATTTATTCCGTACTTTAGTCCACCTAGTAGGACTGGTCATTGAACGTTGAACAGAAAGCTGCTTTTGTGCCCGACCTGTTTGGCGTCTCCATTAGTTGTGGGTATGTTTGGCAGGACCGGCGCTGAAGAGGCAGTCTTCTGATTAGAAAGCAGGTCGAATAGAATCAGGGAGCCTGCAAGTTACAAAGAATAAATACATGAAGATGTAACTTAGAAAGTGGAGAGAAAAACTTATATTTGTAGTGTAGAAGACACAGTTTTAATACCCAAACTGTGTCCGGCTACCGATATTCCCCCTCTATAATCTGGGTTCCTCCTCATAAACAGATCGTGAAGTCGATTCATCTCTAAAGCAACCGTGTCCATGATGGTTTGGCAGTAGGTGGGACTGTTGTAGAAAAGAACGTCTAACAAAGTCTCGTTTGTAAAGTGACGTAGACGCCCAGTGCTGGGCAAGGTGATCTTCTTTATTCTCCTAAAAAGCAAACAAAAATCTAGATTAGGATTTCATCCCGAATCGTTCATTAAACCGAGGTTGTTGTTTTCTAACCTGTTTGGATTTCTATGGTTTCATTAGAACACATTTTTGTTTAGATAATAAAGAGATATGCTAAAGGTTTCATACATCCAAGAAGAATCAGTGTTATTACTCGACATAAAATCTGTTTCATCTGACCTGCGGCCGCATGTCTTGGACACTCGGGTGAAGAGGGGGGCGGAGCTGTCAACTGACCACTACCTGGTGGTGAGTTGGCTCAGATGGTGGGGGAGGATGCTGGTCAGACCAGGCAGGCCCAAACGTATTGTGAGAGTCTGCTGGGAACGTCTGGCAGAGTCTCCCGTTAGAAGGAGCTTCGATTCCCACCTCCGACAGAACTTCCAAAATGTTCCGGGGGAGGCGGGGGACATTGAGTCTGAATGGACCCTGTTCCATGCCTCCATTGTTGAGGCGGCCGACCGGAGCTGTGGTCGCAGGATCGTCGGTGCCTGTCATGGTGGCAACCCCCGAACCCGCTGGTGGACACCGGCGGTTAGGGATGCTGTCAAGCTGAAGAAAGAGTCCCATCAGGTCTTTTTGGCCCGTGGGACTCCAGAGGCAGCTGACGGGTACCGGGAGTCCAAGCGGAACGCGGCTCGGGTGGTCGCCAAGGCAAAAACCCGGGCATGGGAGGAGTTCGGTGAGACCATGGAGCAAAACTTCCGTACGGCTTCGAGGAGATTCTGGTCCACCATCCGGCGCCTCTGGGGGGAAAGCAGTGCACTACCAACATTATCTATAGTGGGGACGGTGTGCTGCTGACCTCTACTCAGGACGTTGTGGATCGGTGGGCAGAAAACTTCGAAGACCTCCTCAATCCCACCAACATGTCTTCCAGTGAGGAAGCAGAGTCTGGGGACTTTGGGTTGGCCTCTCAAATCTCTGGTGCTGAGGTCTCTGAGGTGGTTAAAAAGCTCCTCTGTGGCAAGGCTCCGGGGGTGGATGAGATCCGCCCAGATTTCCTTAAGGCTCTGGATGTTGTGGGGGCTGTATTGGCTGACCCTCCTCTTGGCTGGATCTCCGATCTAGCTCCTAGTGAGGAGGGTCCAGAAAATTCCTGAAGGAGTCGGTCGGAAGCCTGGAGGCCTGGCTTGAGGGGGAGGGGCCTGTAGAAAGGGGGTTGGACTTTCTTTCCTTTTAAATGACGCTTACTGGAACAGCTATTTCCAGAACACCCACCCTACCTTTATTTCCTCAGCAGGAGATACAAAAGATCCCGGTGATCAATTGAAATTTCAGGAATTACTGTCCTCATCCTCTGCCAGCATCACTGATGCAAAGAAAGCTTTCTACACTGACAAAATTCTCAGCTCTACTGACTCTCAGAAACTATTTTCAACATTCAAAACTCTGCTCAACCCTCCGTCTCCACCTCCTACCAACAACCTATCAGCTGACACATTTGCCTCATTCTTCACTGACAAAGTGGCAGCTATAAGCAAACAGTTTACTCAACTGGCCACTCCTGAACATTCGCTACCACAAACTCCATCTAGCCCAACCATCTCAGGCCCTACTGCTTCATTTTCCTCTTTTTCCCCTGTCACTGAGAACTGTGTGTCCAAGCTTCTCACGTGCAGCCGCCCTACTACATGCCCACTGGACCCCATTCCGACTAAGCTGCTCCAAGCTATTGCTCCTACAGTAGCCGCAGCAGTCACACATGTGATCAACGCTTCACTGACATCCGGTACATTTCCCACCTCTCTCAAGCATGCTCAGGTTAAACCGCTGCTAAAAAACCATCTCTTCCTCCAAATCATGTGGAGAACTACCGACCTATCTCTCTCCTCCCTTTTCTGTCCAAAATCATTGAAAGGGTGGCTTTCAAGCAGATCACAGAATACCTCTCACAGAACTGTCTGCTTGACCCTTACCAATCTGGGTTCAAAAAGGGCCACTCCACTGGAACTGCTCTGTTAGCAGTGACGGAATCCTTAAAAGAAGCTAGAGCGACAGGAAAATCCTCAGTGCTTATCCTGCTCGACTTATCGGCTGCATTTGACACTGTCAACCATGGCTTCCTTTTGTCCACACTCTCTAGCATGGGCATCACAGAGAAAGCACACGCCTGGTTTGAATCGTACCTCACAGGACGATCATTCAGTGTATCTTGGCTTGGACAATCCTCTACCGTGCACCATCTTGCCACAGGAGTCCCCCAGGGCTCTGTACTAGGACCTCTTCTCTTTGCCATATACACCACCTCACTGGGTGAGATCATTCGATCACATGGCTTCTCCTACCACTGCTATGCAGACGACACCCAGCTTTATCTGTCATTTCCACTGGACGACCACACTGTCTCTGCACAAATATCAAACTGTCTCTCTGACATATCAAAATGGATGAAATCCCACCATCTCCAACTCAACCTGTCTAAAACTGAACTACTTGTCATCCCAGCAAAACCATCCATACAGCACAATATCTCAATCCAAAATGACTTCCTATCTCTGGCTCCTTCAAAGGCAGTTCAAAATCTGGGTGTTGTGATTGATGAACACCTGACCTTTAAAGATCATGTTGCTTCTGTTGCTCGTTCATGCCGCTTTGCGCTGTATAACATACGAAAGATCAGACCATACCTAACACAACATGCCACCCAGCTCCTGGTGCAATCTACTGTCATCTACCGCCTCGATTACTGCAACACCCTTCTAACTGGTCTTCCAGGCTGTACTGTGAGACCTCTTCAAATGGTCCAGAACGCAGCGGCACGTCTGGTCTTCAATCAGCCAAAAAGAGCACACGTCACCCGGCTAGGGATGGGTACCGAATTCGGTACTTTTTAAGGTACCGACCGAATTCCATAGTACCGACCGAGCACCGATTCACGTCATTTGAAACGGTGCCTCGTTCCGGTGCCCGTCCTTCATAACGAGAACTTGCCAAGACAGCTGCGCATGCGCAAGGGCGTTATGTCGTTGCTCGCTGCGAACCAGTTGTAAACAGAGCAGCATGGTAGAGAGAACGCACGCTAAAGCTTGGGTCCACTTCACTAAATGTGATGGGTAACTGGGTGATGATGAAACCAGCGACAACGATCTAAGTGAGACATCCTCATCTTAAGCTGCTCCGGTAGGTAAATAAAATGTTTAAGATAACGTTAGCTTGATATGTTAGCTTCCGTTTCGCTAATGGTGCGTTCGCTTTCTCCTCTGAATTCCGAATTTCCGACTAGAAGAACATGAACGCGCTCTAAAGTTTGGCTTCACTTTACAACGATCTAAGTGTAGCATCATCGTTTTAATCTGCTCCAGCAGTTAAATAAACTGTTTAAGATAAAGTTAGCTTGATATGTTAGCTTCCATTGCCACCGTTGTTATCAGCTAATGATGCGTTCGCTTTCTCCTTGGAAATTCTAACTTCCCAGTAGGAAAAATCAAATGAAAAAAGACGGTAAAAGGAATGAAGATACTCAGTAAATTTAGTTCACAGTAAAGAAGTTTGCTTCAGTTTAATTATCAGCTTATAAAACTACAAGGACGATGTTAAAATACAAACAGTTGTATGTTATTTATCGTGATATTTATCAAATATGGTTATATATTGAGAAAAATATATATTTAATTATAAAAGAGAATTAAAATAATAAACACTCAAAAGTATCGAAAATTGGTACCGTTAAGTACCGGTATCGATTCGTAGGTACCGAGAATTAGTACCAAATCGATTCAAATGTCAAAGGTACCCATCCCTAGTCACCCCCTCTGTTCATTGAGCTCCACTGGCTACCGCTAGCTGCACGCATCAAATTCAAATTGCTAACACTAGCATACAAAGTCCGAGATGGTACGGCTCCCATCTACCTGCATCCTCTTGCAAAGGCTTACGTCCCGGCCCGGCCGCTCCGGTCAAGCACTACCAGAACAGCGGCTTCCTTTTTGACTTTCAAGAAACTCCTGAAGAGCCTGCTCTTCAGAGAGCATCTTCTAAACTAGCACCCTCCCTGCACCCGTCCCCCCTCTCTACTGTCCACTCCTTTGTTCCTTCCTCTCCATGACAGATGTCAAGTTATTGTTGTTATTGTTGTTGTTAGCCTCAAGGGCAACATGCCGATTATCACTTGTAAGTCGCTTTGGACAAAAGCGTCTGCTAAATACATAAACATAAACAATACCAGATAAACATCAGATGCTTTGATGTGGTAGTTCTACCTGAGCAGACACATCCAGCATGTTAGAGTTGATAGGAAGCAACAGATGTTGAAAAACGAGCGGGTCTCCTCTCACCTGTCCACCCCCGTGGCATCTCCATGCAGAGCCGAGTACCACTGGACGGGCAGAAACTCCACCCGGCTAACGGCGAGGTCGTCCAGCGGTTTCTTAAAGTGGCTGTGCAAGAGCTTCAGCGACACACTACGAAAGTCATCCACTGCAACACCACCAGATGATCTTTTACTCGGGTGAATGAACATTGGTGGAGAGTTCACCAACAAACTACACGGCACTCACCGCACTCGATCATGCTCCTGAACCTCAGGTCGCACACCGGACCGATCCCATGGACCATGAATACCAGATGATCCACTTTGGGGAGCTCACCTGGAACAAAGGTTGCATGCATAACTTCTTCTCTCAATGATAAATGACCCGCACTTGTATAGTGCCTCTCAGAGTAAGGACTCCAAAGTGCTTTACTCTACAGTGTCTCATTCATCCATTCACACACATTCACACACTGGTGGGGATGAGCTACGATGTAGCCACAGCTGCCCCGGGGCGCACTGACAGAGGCGAGGCCTCTAGCTTCAATCTTCAACTGCACAAAGACTCAACATGATGTGAAACTTGAAAATTAAAAAAAAAACTACATGATGTCAAAAAGTCTGGGTAAGGATTTTAGTGGAGTAGACTAAAGATTAAAGATTAAAGTCCCATTTAGTCGTCACACACAGGTGTGTGGTGAAATTTATTCTCTGCATTTGACCCATCCCCTGGGGGAGCGGTGAGCTGCAGACAAGCCGCGCTCGGGAACTATTTGGTGGTTTAACCCCCCAATCCAACCCCTTAATGCTGAGTGTCAAGCAGGGAGGCATTGGGTCCCATTTTTTCTAACCCCGGCTTTCCACAGCAGCCGTCAGCAGCACGTTACTGCAGCAGCACGTCATAGCTGCTGATAGGAACGGCTGTGGTCAACAGAACCTTTTCCACAGGAGCCGTCGGCAGCCGTCAGCAGCGCGAGTCGGCCGCGTCTCAGGAGCAGCATGTCGCGGCCTTTACGCGCCGGTTCTATTTCCTACGCGCGACGCCTCTGAAACGGGTCAAGTTCGACATTTTTGGGGAAGGAAACACAGGAAATCGGACGCGGAAATGGAGAGAAGCTCCCGAGATTTTCAGAATAAAGAACGTACTGCCTTCCGGTCGCTTTACTTTAAAAAAGGTTACTAACTGTGCGGCCCCGTGAGAAGTTATCACCTAGCTAGCGGTCTCCTTTGTTTTTCAGGTCCGTATTGGCGATTATAAAACGGACAGAACATAAAAACACAAACATTTTGGAGCCATGTTGTAGTTTTCTCCTGCTTGTTGTTGTGTTTACTGACGAAGTCACTTGTGAGACTTCGTGCTCTGTCGGTGACCGCTGCTCCCCTGCTGATTCGCGTCTCGTGGGAAGGGCCAAGCAGCAGTTTACGCGAGCAAGACGTGCTGCTGCAGTAACGTGCTGCTGACGGCTCCCGTGGAAACCCGGGATAAGTCTTTGGTATGACCCGACCAGGAATCGAACCCCTGATCTCCCGATCTCAGGGCGGACACTCTACCACTAGGCCACTGAGTCGGTACCTGTAGACAGACGCAACACTGCTTTTTATGACACTCCAACAGTTTCTAAAGGGTTTAGGAACTTTGTGAGGACTTTGGCGTAGATCTTCTCTAAATAAAACTTCCTTCCTTGTGGATATAATTCATCTTTTCAGTAAATCAAAAAAGCAGATAGAACAAGGTCATTGTACCGGACGGCCAACGGCTTTTCAATTGGGAATGTGTATTGGTGAAATTATGACGATATATTGCGATACATTCAGTCAGACGATATTAGCAATTTTTTTAGACTGAATTTGTTGTAGGAAATTTCAATAAACAGTTTAAACTGATGCATAACATGATTAGCATGAGGTATCTGAACCACAATAGAGGGATTTACATTTCAATGGTGGACACAAACCCCACTGCACACTGCTGCCAACTAGCGGCCAGTGTTAGAATTGCACCAAAAGAAAAGGAAAATGCACAAATGTTTGCATGTAAATTCTTCCAAAAATTAGATACAAGGCTTTTGATAATCGATATCATATTGCTAGAATAAATATCACAATATATTGCTATACAAATATTTTCTTACATCCCTAGAAATAAACGTAAAAAAAATTAAACCAGAAAACGGGTCTTTTCCTGATTAACATTAAAAATTAGATAAATAAATAAATGTTCCTTAAAATAAACAGAGAATATAAACATTTATCTCAATTTATTTTCCAAGGCAAAAAAAAAATGTATTCGAAAATCAAAACCAGGAAGTTATTTCTGCTGCGTTTTGACCGTGATTCGGAAATCTCAGCTCACACGCTGTAGGTGGAAGTCTGCTTGATTAAAAAGGCCAAACAAGAGCACGACTGCAAAGACGAATGTGACCAAGTCGGGTTTTTTTTATTTATTGGTTTGACATTTAAATATAGATGCGATAAATTCCACCGTCCTGATGTCTCCTAACAAACTAAATGCATCTAATTAGATTTGATTTTGTAAAACTGATTCCAATGACCAGAACTTCTAGTACTTTTGATGCATACCTCTATTAATTTTTTTATAATTTTAGGTGACTTGAGGAAATGAAAAACTACCATCAGGCACTTCATCATGGTCGTCATCAATCCCTCTCTTCACGACTCTGGGCCTGCTCTGACCATCCGGAGTGGTGCCCCACTCATCTGGTTGGGAGGAGGGCTGAAACTGCACTATCACCTAAAAATAATAAATATAATAATAAATCTTCTTTTTCAGCTTTAAATGAATGAATGAATAAATAAAGTTATGAAAATCAAACCTTTGGATTGTGCATGACGATAGTTTCTCCTGAGGGAAACTCCAACCTCCGATGCCACTGGTTAGTAGACACAGCTTTCTTATATTCTGCCTGAAGGTAAAACATTAACGAATGATTTTAATAGAATAAAATATCAGCTTTGTATTTGCCGATTAACTAGAAACCAGAGCGCCAGCAAATCAACGCACCAGATTTAACACACTGCCCTTAGCGAAGCAGATCTGGAAAGTTTCTGACTAAATCTGGACAAACCTCCAGCTTGTCGCTGAACTCCTCCGAGTACGGGACAAAGCGACTATCCGTGTCCCCTTTGTAGAACCAGCTGCAGCGGCGGACCTCCGTAGGGTCCTCCTCCCAGTACACTGAAGTCCGTGTGCGGTCATAAAGCTGCACATCATAACGCCCTCCATCTGTGCGTACGATCACGTTCTCTGGGTCTGGTTGAACTGGAACAATGACAATTTTAAAAGATCGTTTATATCAAAAGACCTCAAAAGTTTGTTTTTTCCACAACACATTTAAAGCGGTCTCTAGTTTAAACGAATGCCCTTGTGAGTCAAACTCTAAGAAAAAAAAAGCTCTGGCGCTCCCGTTTCAGGAAGTAGAAGTGAGCCAGAGCAGAGGGGAGCAGAAGACGACAAGACTTGGGAGTCTTATTTCCTGATATTTGGACATCTTTCCTCTGATTGGCTAACAGCTACATGACTACCACTGACTCAGTTTGCTTTTGCGATGTTGATGTTTTACATTTTATCTCTACAAATAACACAAGCCTGGAGGAGTTCTGCTGTGTGGTGGAGTTGCTAATGCTACCAGTTAGCTTCTACTAGCAGAGATGTTCTCTGCTCTCTCCTGGACACAAAACCAACAACTGCCTCCCCGTTGTGAGCAAAGATGGTTGAGTCCATGAATGTTAATTGTCAGCGTGACGTAGATTTGTCAGCCTTTTCAAATCTGAGTGTTTCCCTGTCTATTTTCTATCGGCGACTAATGCAGGAAACAGGGGTGGAAGACTACTTTCACCTTCAACCTGCATGTGAAACTCAAGAGTGACCGACCACATTCAAAAAATAAAGTTTAAAATATTAAACATTTCTCAGTGAAATTGCTCAAGAACTAAATTGATAAATAAACAACAACGCTTTTACCTGAGTTATACGTTTCCTCTAGTTGAAGGGAGTCGATAATGCTGAAAGGAAGCCAGACGTTTTTGGATTCTACTTGCTTGCAGTAGAACCAATGAGGCTGAACGGGTTCATAGACATTGTAATTGTGCAGCATCGGACCTGCAGGAACCATAGCTCCAGTAGTGGTGGGTGGAGCTGGAGGTGCTTGAATATGCGTAGGAGGAGGCTGAAAAGGGGGGACATATGTTAACTACTGTATCCATTCAAATCCTTTTATAAACTACAGGACAAACTCAGTCAGCTTTCTCTACCTTCATAAACGCAGGCCCTGGGGGAGGTAACATCTGTGGCGGGGAGTTGAGAGAGTAGGGGTTGTGCTGAGGTGTGTGTGTTGGTGGCAGGATCTCTGGAGCTGGAATGTATGGACTGGCTCTGCTGCTGGTGGGCGTGTGTCGGTACGGGTTATGACTCTGCTGCTGCATGTGAGGAGGTGGAGGGGTCATCGTAGTACGAGGTGGAGTGTGACTCCCCACTGGACTTTGGTAAACAGTGCTACCAAATGCTGCAGGAGGAGGGCTTATTTGGGCGTTCACAGATGGTGGTGAAGCCCCGCTGAAGCTGTTGGGTACAGAAACTGGCCCATGTGTTGTTTGGGCAGCAGAAGGCACCACTGGTGGTGGGCATGGTGACTGACCAATAGATGCAAATGGGTCAGAGGTGGTTATGGGGCTAGAAAAGTAGCTAAATGTAGAGGCTGGCGGTCCATTTCTAGAAGTCTGACCCAGGAAACTGTCTTCTTCTCCAACATCAGTGGAATCATCTGATTAATGACAGACATGAGAAGGGGGAAATTTTCAAATTTTGAACAATAATATCCACCTTTATGAACTTTTAAAACGTACGAATCAGACAAACTGAAAGAATGACAACATAATCTACAATAAAAACCTCAAAACTACATTTCTCCGAATAACAATCTCAACAAATGAAAGAAAAAATCTTTAAGCGAAACAAACATTTGACAACCTGAGCAGGTTACATTACTGTAAACAAAAAAAGAGTAACCAGCAAATAAAGCGCGATGTTTACCTTTTAATTTCTTTTCTGTTTAATCCATTTAACATCCAAATAATAACAGCGGAATGAAGCCCAGAGGGCAGGCTAACTTAGCAAGCTAACAAACTCGCTTATATTTCAGGACATTTTCTCAGTCCCTCCTTGAACTCACCTCCTGACAACACCGCCGGACCAGTGGCCTGACTCACTGGCAGAAAAGGCAAACTGAAGTTAAACTCCGGTTCAGCGCTGAACAATAAATTAGCATTGATGTTAGAAGGGTTATTTTTTCTATCTGCCATTCCCCAAAAATTACACGTAGCCACAGCCGGAGCGGGCTTCCGGTGCAGGGTCCGTTGTCCGAGCAGCTTTTCTTTTATTTCACGGGTTTTACATCAATGAAAAGCAACACAAAGAGTTTTTAGGTTGTGAAACACATTTTCTATTGATTTACTAAAATCACGCAGGAATCATTAGTTTAAGTGTTGATTAAAGAGTAAAGAAAAATAAATACTTTATACTGTTACTGCCCCCTGAAGGCCAGGATGAATAACTACATACAAAAAAAGCAATAGCTGCCCTACAGATAGTTTTTCCATTTACGTCACACTTAAAGGTTTCAGATCAACAAAAATATTTAAAATGGACGAAGATAACGTGAATAAATAAAAAATGTAGTTTTCTAATTAGTATTTATTTATTTAGTTATTATTAATTCAGATAAAATCTACACAAACCCACCTGGCACAATGTTAATGAGATTTTAATACCCAAACGTAACACTCTTAACACTCAAACAACTTAAATCATGTGTTGCTGATGATTAGTAATGAGTCTCTCTTCACTGCAGAGTCTTGTCCAACTTTTCTTTACACAACTGTTTTATTTCATCCACAGTGGAGGGCTTTCCAAAGATCAAAGGCTGGTTTAAGGTCAAATGTCACATATTTTCCATTAGGATTTCTGCTAAAGGGCAGCATCGATGGTTCCATCAAATACAGCAAGATGTCCAGGTCCTGAAGAAGCAGAGCAGACGCAGACCATCGCACTACCACTACCATGCTTGACTTGGAATTATTTTTCTGAAAGTTAGTGATACTTTTACACCAAATGCGAAACATTAACCACATACATACAAAGCATGAGCTGCAGTTTCTCCTAAAAAACTAAAGATTTTTTTCAAATAGTATACTAATTCTTCATTTTCACCAGTCATGATGTCTTTAAAGAGCATGCCACCCCCAAATCTACTTTTTGTGCAGATAAACTATATAAATGAGCATCTAGTCATGCTGTAGACAAGTCATCAATAATTTGGCACTTTAGTGCATCTTAGTTAAAATTTACATATTCTGCCTAAAACTGTCAGTGTTGCGCCGTTGTCAGGTAAAAACTCTGCACTACGTTGGAATTTAAATCTGCCATCGCTATTGGCTAAAAGGTACACTATGATGTTAGCTGGTACATTATGATGTCACAGTGTTGTTGTGAGCCTGTGTGTGTGCATTTGTTAGCGGCTCCGCCCTCTCGGTCTGCCAGGCAACAGCATTTGTTGCATTTTTCAAACATGAAGTGGGAGTGGAGTTAGACTCTGGTAGGGGGCAACTTGGACCAGATTCTTACTCACCTCCCACTTCCTGTTTGAAAAATGCAACAAATGCTGTTGCCTGGCAGACCGAGAGGGCGGAGCCACTAACAAATACACACACTCACGACATTGCGACATCATAATGTACCATCTAACATCATAGTGTACCTCTTAGCCAATAGGATGGCAGATTTAAATTCAAACGCAGTGCTGAGTTTTTGCCTGACGACGGTGCATCGCTGACAGTTTTAGGCAGAAAATTTACATTGTAACTAAGATGCACTAAAGTGCCGAATTATTGACTACATTTGTCTACAGCACGATCAGCTACTCATTTATATAGTTTATCTGCAAAAAAATGTTGATTTGGAGTGACTTGCTCTTTAATTATGCAGTTCAACCAAGTGATACAATGACTTCAAATAAACCACAAATACAATAATGTGTTTCCATAAAGATAACTAAAACAAGTGAGATGAAACTTTTTGATTTTACCAGTTTCTGTTTGAAACCTAAGCTTAAGCCACAGTGGATTCAACATTTTACATGACATCATCATCAGAAGGAACATGGCAGATTATCATTTCCATCAGCACACAGATTAGAGCATTTTACCCTAATCTTGCAACAGACACATAAGCATACACCAGCTCATAATGAAGTTGTAAAGTGAAGCAACACAATTAAAAAAACATCGGCAAAACAATCAGAATACTTCTGACAAATTCATATTTCGTAATTTCTGAACTTCTGCAGCAGGCGGGATGGAGAGTCGGCAGCCCAGCGGAAACGCTGATGGAAGTAATCATCTGAGAATAAAGATGAAAAAGTCTTGAGAGGATTTGCTACAGAGTAAATAACACTAAAGAAGTGGTTTATAACTGCAAATCAGCCCAGCAGAATGCCATCAAACTTTGTTTTTTTTAAATATTTAGTAAAATCATTCATACTTGCAGATGGTGCAGCTTCACATGAAGTGATGTCTGACACTTCCTTCTCACAGCAACAGGCCTCGGCTTGAGAAGCGACATCAGCATCTGATTCGGAGGCCTCCAACATCGGCTCCTTCTTGGTTGTCATGGCCCAGTGCATGGACTACAAAGAGACGAGCAGAGTGCCTTTTGTTCCACAGATTGCTACACTGAAGTCAAATCTACAGTTAGGTTGTGACCTACGGTTTTTACTGAATCGTTCAAAGCCTGCCAATCATGAAACGGAATCGTAACACCGCTTCGTTTCCAAAGGTCGTAGTTTTTCCTTTTGTCTTCATTGCATAACACCTCTTTGGCTTCCTGCAGCTTTTGGAAATCTGCCACTGCCACAAAGAAAACATCAGAAACTAATAACAACAAAAGAAAAATTAAAGGCAAATGTTTCTGGTCTTAATAAAAACTTTAGAGATGTTAAGCTGCAATAGCAAATTTGCAAAACAAATTAGCTTTAAACTTTTTTTTCATGCCTCCTAACAACGTTCTAACGTAGCATGCCCGGCCGCGTGTGCTCCAAGAGGTCTGTTGACTACCTGAATATACTGAATGACCAGGTAATTCCATCAGCTCCACCCATTTTTAATTGTTAGCCTTCCCCCAACATCGTTGACACTGGCTTTTGTATTTTTACCTTCTGTTTTGCATAGCTTTAAAGAGCAAGTCACCCCCAAATAAACATTTTTTGCTGATAAACTAAATAAACGAGTGTCTAATCGTGCTGCAGACGCATGTAGTCAATAATTTGGCACTTCAGTGCATCTTAGTTAAAATTTAAATATTCTGCCTAAAACTGGCAGTGTTGTGCCGTTGTCAGGTAAAAACTCTGCACTGCATTTTAATTTAAATCTGCCACCGCTATTGGCTAAGAGGTATGCTATGATGTAAACTGGTACATTATGATGTCACAATGCTGTCGTGAGCCTGTGTGTGTGTGTATTTGTTAGCAGCTCCGCCCTCTCGGTCTGCCAGGCAACAGCATTTGTTGCATTTTTCAAACATGAAGTGGGAGTGGAGTTAGAATCTGGTAGGGGGTGACTTGCTCTTTAAATTGTGTTTTTCTATTTATTGCTCTTTTGCTATTTTAATCCTCTTACCTGCTACGATGCCTAACCATGTTTTTATATACTGTTCAGCATCTTCAGCTTCGGTTAGGGTGGTAGAAGCTGCTTTATAAATAAATTTGATTTGATTTGATCAATGTTTTTTTTTCTTCTCTGATGGCACGGGCACATTCCAAGATGACAATGCCGGGATTCATCGGGCTCAGATAGTGAAAGAGTGGTTCAGGGAGCATGAGACATCATTCTCACACATGGATTGGCCACCAGAGTCCAGACCTGAGCCCCATTGAGAATCTTTGGGATGTGCTGGAGAAGGCTTTGTGCCGCGGTCAGACTCTACCTTCACCAATGCAAGATCTTGGTGGAACGTTAAAGAGCAAGTCACCCCCTACCAGATTCTTACTCTACTCCCACTTCCTGTTTGAAAAATGCAACAAATGCTGTTGCCTGGCAGACCGAGAGGGCGGAGCCACTAACAAAAACACACACTCACGACATTGTGACATCATAATGTACCATCTAACATCATAGTGTACCTCTTAGCCAATAGCGATGGCAGATTTAAATTCTAATGCAGTGCTGAGTTTTTGCCTGACGACGGTGCATCGCTGACAGTTTAGGCAGATTTTTTTAATTTTTACCAAGATTAAATAAAGTGCCAAATTATTGACTGAACGTGTCTACAGAGCAATTAAGACACTCATTTATATATTTTATCAACAAAAAAAAGTTGATTTGAGGGTGACTTGCTCTTTAATGCAACACTGGATGGAAATAAATCTGGTGACGCTGCAGAAGCTTATCGAAACAACGCCACAGCAAAAGTGTGTCGTAAAGGCGATCCAACAAAATATTATTTATTTTATTTGGTGGTGACTTTTGGTTTGGCTTGGCAGTGTATATTGTAGAGGTTTAAAATAAAAACAAAAAAACTTTATGAAATGGTTTTGTCATACTTGTCTTAAAACCTCCACCAATAACATTTTTTTGATCTATAGCAACTATTTGACCATCCCGCTGTGGGTCTCGCCAAACTGCCACAATTCCCTGGGTCCTCCATTCATTACGCACTTGTGTATTTATCAACAGAGCACCACTGGTGTGAGCGGTTTGCTGCTCAATAATATCTGAAAAGGAGAAACAGCCGGCTGCTACCACTTCAACTTTAGGACAAACTACCAAAGTCCCGAAGTCACGGACAATAAAGATGTTTGGGCCTAAAAAACAGCTACTGGTGTTTAACGCTCTCTCGTTTCCTCTGGCAGTGCTGGTTTTCGGGTCTGGCAGAAGCGTCTCAGGGAAAATACCCGAGGGAGGGGTGAGTGTTCCATGACCGTGCTTGCGTTCAAAACCTAGCTTGTTTGCAGATTTGCTTTAGCAGCTTTAATTCCGACACAGCCCAAATCCAGACCTACCTGCTGTCGGGTTATCCAGGTGTTTGTCTGGGTGACACGCTAAAGCTTTGATCTTGTATTCATTGATGATCTGCTCAATCTTTTGGGGGGAAAAAACAAAAATAATACATTTTTTTGTAAACATTTCACATTTCTTATAGTTTAAAACTGACAATATTGATTTAATGTGAGGCGATCGGGAGTCTTTCTATTGTGTTATTTTACTCCATGATAAAATTAAAATGCCATCACCTCATGTAGTTTATATAATCCAAATCTCACAATCTACTTTTATTAGACTTTACATAATTGGAATTTTTTATTTTTAAGGGTCAAAATGCATTAGAGTAACCTTATTACTATTCTGTTCACATGTAAAAAATATGTGTACTTTTAGTTTTTTACTGAAGAAAATGTAAAAAAACATAATAAATATAAAATAGACTTCAAAACATGCATTTCAAGTGGGTACAGTGTTCTATGATTTTGCAACGCACTGTAACAAGAAACAAGGTGGGTAAGTTTTACCAAAAAAACCAACAACAATAATGGGTTTAAGCTAAACAGGTTTGGAAAAAATCTAGTTCTAGTTTGGAGGTCTGCATGACAGACTTAGGAAAAAAGCATCATTTAAATGTAAAACATGATCACAGAAAGTTTGACTTTACATAACTGAAATGTCATTTTTGATGTTTTTCAGTTTCTGCATAATCTTTATTTTTAGAGATTTTTTCACTAAATGTTCAACTTTGAAACTTTCAAAACAGGAAGTGAAGAGCATATTCAACTGGTCATATCTCCCACATAAAACACTAGAAACCTAATATTTGACATGTGTACTATCAGTTAGAGGGAGGTGACTTTAGCAAAAAAATAATAATTAGACAAATGGCCTGTATTATCACAGAACAGGGTCAGATTATCTCTTTTAATGATTTGTTAAAATTCATACACAAATCTAGCCTAGAAAGCTAGACAAGCCACGCCCCATTGTAGCCTCAGCAGGCCCGAGCAGTGTTGTGTCTGGCCAATCACAGTGCTCTATCGGTTCGGTGGGCGGGATGTTACTTCAGCTAGGCGAAACAACAAAGATGGCAGCAGCTTGTTTGAAATGGCTTTGTCATCAATTTTGGTTTATTTAGACTTTGGCTTTTGTTTGAGTTGAAAGCAGACAGAGGTACTTAAGTCCTTTATTTAGAAAAATGATGTGTTTGCGTCTTCTTCGACGGTGTACGGTGGACTGCCTCATCAACCAAGTCAGGAGATGCTGCTGCCCCAGTTACCTCCCCCTCACACCTATCTGTCTCTAGAAGTCAGGTGAAGAGGCAGCTGGAGAGACTGAACAGGAACAAGGCTGCAGGTCCGGATGGTGTCAGCCCCAGAGTACTGAAGGCTTGTGCAGAGCAGCTCTGTGGGATTCTGCAGCACCTCTTCAACCTGCCTTGTTCCAGTTCCAAAGAAAACTCGCCCATCAGTCAATGATGACTACAGACCGGTTGCCCTGACATCCCACATCATGAAGGTCCTGGAGAGACTCCTGTTGGTCCACCTGAATAAGCAAACTAGAACATATCAGGACCTGCTGCAGTTTGCTTATCGCCATGGAGTTGGAGTTGAAGATGCCATCATCCAGCTGCTTCAACCAACCCACTGTCATCTGGACAAAGCAGGCAGCACTGTGAGGGTCATGTTCTTTGATTTCTCCAGTGCATTTAACACAATCCAGCCTGATGTACTTTGCCAGAAACTCCAGAAGACACAGGTGGGGGCCTCAACTATCGCCTGGATTAAAGACTACCTGACAAACAGACCACAGTTTGTGAGGCTGAAGAACTGCACATCAAACCAGGCGATCAGTAACATTGGAGCACCACAGGGGACTGTACTCTCACCATTCCTTTTCACCCTGTACACCTCAGACTTCCAGTACAAATCAGAGACCTGTCATCTACAGAAATACTCCGATGACTCTGCAGTTGTCGGGTGTATCAGAGATGGACAGGAAGCTGAGTACAGAGAGCTGGTGGAGCGCTTTGTGGCATGGTGTGGAAACAATCATCTGACCTTGAACGTGAACAAAACAAAGGAGATGATTTTAGACTTCAGAGGAAACAGGGTGGAGTCAAACACTGTTTCCATCATGGGAGAAGAAGTGGAGGTGGTTGAGGAATACAAATACCTTGGAGTTCACCTGGACAACAGACTGGACTGGAGAAAGAACAGTGAAGCCGTTTACAAGAAGGGACACAGCAGACTGCTCTTCTTGAGGACGCTTAGGTCCTTCAATGTCTGTAGCAAGATGCTGCAGATCTTCTACAAGTCTGTTGTTGAGACTGTAATCTCTTCAGCCGTCGTCTGTTGGGGTAGCAGCTTCAGAAGCAGGGACCTGAAAAGGCTCAACAGCCTAATAACAAAGGCTGGTTCTGTTCTGGGGACGACTGTGGAACCACTGGAGGAGATAATGCAAAGAAGGATTCTCCAGAGAATCAAGAAAATTATGGACAACCCTGAGCATTCTCTCCACAAGACTGTCCGACAACGGAAGAGTGTCTTCAGTCAGAGGTTTCTTCAGTTTGGCTGCAACACTCACCTTCCTGCCAACAGCCATTGTAATATACAACAACTCTTTGACGACTTGATTATTATTATTATTATTATCCTGAGCTACTACAGCAATCAATTTCCCTCTGGGATTAATAAAGTATTTTTGAATTGAATTGAATTGAACTGACATTCGTAGTGGTGAGTACATTACGTTGTTCAATGCGGAGACAGTTTTAAAGACAACGGTGGATTCTGCCTCATGGCTGAGCTCTCTCTATGGGTTTTGGCCAAACTGCCGGTATATATTCACATCTATAGGATGGCGTGTTGTCGCATGCTGACCGGGTATGAGCAACTGATATTTTACATGTCATAGTTATTTACCAAACACTCTGTGACTAATATGGCTCATTCTCTGAGAAATTGTTTTCAGATTGGAATTGTTTTAAGATCTTTTCTTAATGGTCACACCACGGCTAGCTAACTCTTTTGTTCACATGAGCTAATCTATTCATTTTTTCTCAAAATTTAAACATTTCAAAAAGCAATCCAAAATTATTAATTAATCGATCACCTTTTCACAGAACCCCATTTCAGGAGATTTGAACTGCCCCTTTAATGTGTGTTAAATTAGTGGTCTCTATGGTGACCACTGACAACAGTTTTAACATTTCTTTTCATCTCTATGCTGTACACTTTTTTTGATAGTTTATGCATTAAAAAAGTAGTTATATTGTCTTTGCTTGGGTCACTTAAGTAGCCGTTGGGATTTAGTTATTTTTTTTTAATTATCTAAATTAATAGACACATTTTTCACCACCCCACCCACTGTGTGGCGAATCAACAGGTTGGTTCAATGAACAAATAATAAGTTCTGATTCACTTAATGAACATCATCCGTGTTTATTATTGTCAATGCGTGTCCAATATTTGTTTATAATGCATGATCTTCTCTCTAAATAGATGTTTTGCAAATAGCGAGAGTCAACTGACCACAACTTACCGATGACAGTTCGTCACATCCTAATAACCCGTAATAATCCTCCAAGTCCTCTGGTTTACAACTCAAAAGCGTCTCCATCGGATCCGATCAGATCAGAGAACGTTTGTTTATTTCGATCGGAGCTGTGTGATGCAGTTATCACAGCTGTTCACTTTCTATGGTTTTCGGTGCCCGGACAGTTTGTTTTGCTTTTACTGTTTTTCCTCACCCTGTACTGTTTTTCAAATAAATTGTTCTAAATAAAGTGACTCTGACAAATTTCTAATCTATGAAGATACGAGTCAGTAAAACGTAGCTATCTTTTCCCTCAACATGTGACGCATGCTGCATTAAAGTGTTGTGGTAACAATTCATCTCAGCGCAGTGACTACAGCTACAGAGGCATAAAATACTACTGAAATCTAGCTTAAAAAACTGTGGAAAAAAATAAATTGTGAAGTGAAATAGGGGCAAAATTATTTTCACCCAAACCAATATTTTATGTTGCAAAATGCTACAAAAAAGGGGAATCTTCTCTTTGCCATTATTCTAATACTGTCATTTCCATGCTGACGTCTTGTGCTGTAAGTACCAAAAATATTTATGCAAGTTAGATTATATAGTCATAAAAATACGAGTTATTGAGCATTTTTCCCAAACGTTTTAGGCTTTTATTTTTTGTTATGCGCGTTACTGCAAAGAAACCCAACGACACCTGAAGGCAGCAGTAATTTGTTGTAGTCTTAGGTATTTGCTCTTCCTCATTGGTCGAGAAAGAGTCACGTGTGCTATGTAAATGAGCCAGCTGTCCGAGAGGAAGGCTTTGCGCAGCGGCTCTGGGGTTGAAGATGGCGGATGAAGAGAATAGTCTCGGAACGGCCTTTTCTGGCGCCTTCATAACGGATGAACCTGCGACGAAAATATCAAAAATGGATACGCCGACTAATCATGGGCTTAAACCCACTGAACCGGACCAGCTTTCGCGCGTCTTTGCAGCCACAGAGAGTCGGGAAGCGGCGATAAAACGTTCGCAGCCTTCCGAGAAGGAAGCAAAGCCGGTGATGGAGGTAGAGCAGGCCCCAACAGCGGCGCGGGACGGAGACAACAATGAACGGGGAATTCCGGTCTCCGAGCCACAGAGACCGGCTGGGAAACTGGTCGACAGTGCTGTACTTTGCTCAACCGAAGAAGTCGCAGGTATGAATAACGCTTACCTCTACTAGCTTACAAACGTTGCGGCTGTTTGGTTTACAGCTCACCGGCAAACTTGATGCTTAAGTGACAGCGAAACGGAATAAACCTATCGGTTTGTGTGTTTTCGGTGTAATGCAATTTCCTCTAACCATAAACGCGTCCATAGGTTTTAAAGTCCACATCACTTAAACTGTAAGAAACTTTGAAGCCAACGTAGCGTCATTTAGCCGGTGTAACGACAGAAACGTGTGCACCGTCTTATTGCGCTGGATCGCGATTATTTGCGATACACGGTATCATCAGCATATAATAATATTATAACGGGCGTTACTTTAGTTCTTAATGAAATGCCAAACCTATTATGATTAATGATAAATGACCCGCACTTTTATAGCGCCTTTCAGAGTCGGCGGACTCCAAAGCGCCTTACACTACAGTGTATCATTCATCCACTCACACACCCTTGATGATAAGCTACAATTTAGCCACAGCTGCCCTGGGGTGCACTGACAGAGGTGAGGCCTCTGAATACAGATGTCATCAGTCCCTCCAAGCATCAGCAGGCAAGGTGGGTTAAGTGTCTTGCTCAAAGACACAACAGCAGTCTGCCAGGTTCGAACTTGCAACCTTAGGATTACATGACAACCCGCTCTACCCCCGGAGCTACTGCCAGATTTCTAGGCTATCTTTGTACCACAGCAATAACTCATTTTACTCTTAAGTGGATGCTTACTTTTTATTCATTTGAAATATATTATTTAAAAATTATACGTAATTAATTGGAAAATTACATGTGAACTAAAAGTTGTTGTCATTACATTCTGTTCACAGCAGCCTCACACTTAACTGCATTGAGCATTTTGTTATAATTTGTCTTGTGCCTGGTTTCCACCTTATGCATAAGCAGCGTGTAAGAAGACACAGATAATAAACACCTATAAGCAATGGTTTTTTTTCCACTGGATGTGGAGTGGAGCATCTCAGATGTGTCGTAGGAGTGGTTTGCTGTAAAGTCGCTGACGCTAGTCTGACTCGATGCAATCCGCTGGATTCCCTTATACTGGAAACTTTGAAATTATTGGCATGATTAACTGAACTCGGTTGGAATGTTTACTTGGTGAAGTGCCTTGAGAACAATTCTTGTTGTGATTTGGTGATGTATAAATAAACTGAATTGAATTGGGTATGTTTTTCTAACCCAGCCTTTCCACTGGATGTGTAAGCGGCATGCGACGTGATAGAGGAGTTTTACTTGTGAACTCCCTTCCAACTGGGAGCATTTCAGGCATGAAACGGGAGTGAAAAGGTGAATGCCTCCTCCGGGTCAGGGATGAGGTCCTGCCCCAAGTAGAGGAGTTTGAGTATCTCAGGGTCTTGTTCATGGGTGAGGGAAAGATGGAGGACAAGATTGATGTGTACTGATCTGTCGTGGTGAAGAGAGAGCTGAGCTGGAAGGCAGAGCTCTCGATTTACCGATCATCTACTTTCCTACCCTCACCTATGGCCACGAGCTTTGGGTAGTGACCGAAAGAACAAGATCGTGGATACGAGCGGCCCCCGCACCATGAGAACAAACATCTCGGCTCTAAAGCCGATCTTCATCCGCATACGTCACACGTCACGTGATCAGGAAGCAGAACATCCATGTGTTAGGAGATCGTTTTGGGCCGCTGCTGTAAAAAAAATGAGGCGCGAACGGAAAAAGCTTCTGCCGATCACAATTCAACAACGGATTATGAAAGAACGGATAACGCTCGAAACACGCGGATTCTTCCTGATGTAAGAGCTGAGTCTCCGCTTTGTTTTGGTTGTTTTGGCGTCGACATCATCCTAGCGCGCAACGTTCTGTCACTCTTTAAAAAAACAGTAAAAACGGTGAGAAACGCTGGCAGTGAAGGGCTTTACCGATCTGGAAACGGCTGGCAGTGAATGAGTTAAGCGTCCACCGGAAGGCCCAGGTTAGTTTCTAACTTCTTTCTTTTTATTTGATTTTCTAGGACATGACGATCTGCCCTCCAACGGCCTTGCTGCCTCACCGGAAAACCTCAACGATGAAGACGACAGATCTTCACATGCAAGCTCCAGCGACTGGACTCCTCAACCCCAAATAGGTAACTGGGACGATTTGTCTGGCATTTCCTAAAGAAAAGTGCCTTAAAGACAGATAAAATTCTTGTGGATTTGTTTGAAAATGAAGTTTCTGACTGTTGTTTTGTTTTCTGGCCAGGCTCTTACAGTTTCATCCAACAACACATTAGAGAGACCGATCCGCGAGCCATTCTAAGGGATTTGCTTCCTGAGACTATACTCCCTCCAGATTTAGATGACATGACACTGTGGCAGATCATCATCAACATCTCAGAGCCTCCGAAGAGAAAGAAGCGGAAGGATATAAACACTTTGGAAGATGTGGTCAGGCTGCTTCAGGAAAGCAAAAAGATCCTTGTGCTGACTGGCGCTGGGGTAGGCATTTACAGTTCTACTCGTCTAGGACTGTATTAGAGTAATGCGATCTTAATCTTCTCTTTTTGCTTGTAGGTTTCAGTTTCATGTGGAATACCAGATTTCCGCTCAAGAGATGGGATTTATGCACGACTTGCTGTAGATTTTCCCGACCTCCCAGATCCTCAGTCTATGTTTGATATCGAGTACTTCAGACGGGACCCTAGACCCTTTTTCAAGTTTGCTAAGGTTGGTTTGTGGTGTCTGCTGAGCTTTTCATGCAGGCTGAACATGAAGATAGTCTCCTACACCTGTCTCCTGCTTTAGCTTCTGATAGAAAACAAACGGTGAAACTCTAGGATTAGAAAAGCCTGACAGATCTACGTCACGCTGTCACTTAACATTCATGGACTCGCCCATCCTCACTCACGACGGGGAAGGCTGTTGTTGGTTTAGCGTCAAGGAAAAGGAAGCTAACAATTAGCATTAGCAACTCCACCACACAGCAAAACTCCTTTTAGGATTGTGTTACTTTTGGAGATTAAACATCAACATTGCAGAGCAGAGTCAGTGGTAGAGTCGCTTTGCTGTTAGCCAATCAGAGGCGAGATGTCCTAATATCAGGAGATAAGACTCCAAAACCTGCCATGTTTCTTCTCCTGCCGACTTTTCTGACCCCAGACAGCCGCACCAATTTTTTCCCCAGAGTACGACACTTAAATTCATTCCTACTGGCGACTACTGTAAATGCATTAAAGTACAAGTAGAGTTAACCATACATAAATATAAAAGTATGTATTGCTCTACACCCTCAGGTTTTGGCACAGTAAAAAAAGGTTTCACTGAAAACTTTAAGATGCCTCAAGTAATGAGTCAGAAAAGGGCCGGATGATCAAAAACAGACCCAGACGGGCTCCGTCAACAGGCCTTCCCCTCTCAGCACGTGACTTAAACATGGGAGGTGGAGGTTGTCCCAAATAAAGGTTACGTAGATCACTAGCATGGCAATATTTTAGTTTTTACAAGTTTTACAGAAATAAACAATGGTTGTTTGCAAAATTAGCAGAAAATTGATGAAATACAAGTCTGGTAACACGACTAACTTGTTTATCACAAAGTAATGACTTAAAATGACCAGGGGTCTCATTTATCAAACATTGGTAAATCCGTACTAAAACCGTACTTAAGCTCAACAAAAAAATGTACTTAAGCCAAGCAGGTTTGTGATCTATCAAACATGGAGTACACACAGCTGCACGCAATCTCCGCTTCATAAATCAGAGACTATCTAGAAAGGTTCTCAGCTGCATTTTAGTCACATCTCGCCCTCACCACGCCCACTTACTGCCATAAATGGTCAATGCAAAGTGCCTTGTGGATCTCATGCATATACATGAGCCGTTGCATATACATGAGCCGGCTTGTTGCAGCATTTCGATCATGACCGCAGATCAAGGAGGCGCTATTTCACAAGCAGAAGTTGAGGTACTTGTGGGTGAGGTGGAGAAATGAAAGGAAGTGCTTTTGCAAAACAAATAAGAGAAAATCCACAGAGTGGCACAGCGTTGCTGAAGCCGTCAATGTTGTGAGTTCTTCAGAGAGATCTGTGGCGGATATGAAAGAAATAGTCCAATCAGGATTCGATCCCCAGACTCAGGTGAGTCACGCTAACCAGTCATCCAAACAGAGATCTCCCCTGTTCAAGTAGCCAGGGTGCATGATCAATCGGGTCACAGTGACAGGACACACACACACCGTCACAGACGCATGACATTCTGTCTCAATCTGTCCCCCTGCTGATATTCTGCATTCCGTATTCTGTGCTTCAGGCTGTGTGTGTGCATGCATGTGTGTGCGTGTGTGCGTGTGGGGGGTCTTGTTCTGTGAGAAAACGAAGCAGTACCAGTGATAATGCTGCAGGATTTCATAATTGTATCTTCTCAGCAGCAGCGCTGCAGGTGCTCTCCATGTCCAACATGTGTGTAAGCCAGGTCCTTAGTCAACTTAAAGTTGCGCACATTTTTCTGCCAAGTTTTCTTTCATAAATCCCAAAGTTTGCGTGAAAAGTTGCTTACGCAGTTTTCCGACCCTGTTTCGTGCGTAAGCAAGCTTGATAAATGAGACCCCTGGGCTGCATTTAAAATGAGTGGTTTATTTATAGTTCACAATAATTATTCAAATCAATCAATAAGAATTTTTATTGCTATTCCTTTTTTCTATATCGTCCATTGGTCATCTTCCGTTGGTATTGAGATCAGTTTGGGCTAGGGATGCACCGATACCAGGAATCGATACCAGGAATCGATACCAGTGCAGTTGCTTGAAAACGGCTTTACTGTAAATTGTCGTTTCTGTTCACTTAATATTTTAGTTTTATGATGATTTCCATTCATATAGGTTACTTTTTATCTACCTCACAGTATTTTCCTGTTGAATGCAGAGAAGAAAATTTCATCTGTATTCCAAATCATTGCATTTTTTTGTGTGGGAGGGGTATCGGTATTGGCGAGTACTGAGATCCCAGTATCGGTTTGGAAAAAAGGGGGTATCGTTGCATCCCTAGTCTGGGCTGAACTTTTAAAAACCTGTTAAAGAAGCAAACGTGAATTTGTTTCAACTCTACTGCTAAATAAGTCTTCATTCCTGCAGGAGATCTACCCCGGTCAGTTCCAACCTTCACCCTGCCACAGGTTCATTTCGATGTTAGACAAGCAAGAGAAGCTGCTACGCAATTACACACAAAACATCGACACGTTGGAGCAAGTGGCTGGAGTTCAGAGGATCATCCAGTGTCACGGTGAGTTTTAGTTTGCATTTTGTTGTACATCTACGCCGCTGCCATAGCGCTAAATAATCATGTGTGTGTGTGTGTGTGTTTTATTTCAGGGTCCTTCGCAACTGCGTCCTGTCTTGTTTGTAAACAAAAAGTGGATTGTGAAGCTATAAGGGAAGATGTCTTTAATCAGGTACATTTTAAACTGGACCAACAGAACGTTGATCGCTGCTGCTGTTTTTTTACACCTGTAACCATAATGAGAAACTAAAATGTCTTTGGAGGGGTTCGGGTTGGTGAGGACGTTGGTTGATAAATGTCAAGTCATAACGTATACATGTAACTAATTTCACAGTATACTCTCCTAACCCCGGCTTTCCACGGGAGCCGTCAGCAGCACGTCATAGCTGCTGATAGGAACCGCTGTGGTCAACAGAACCTTTTCCACCGGAGCCGTCAGCAGCGCGAGTCGGCCGCGTCTCAGGAGCAGCATGTCGCGGCCCTTACGCGCCGGTTCTATTTTCTACGCGCGACGCCTCTGAAACGGGTCAAGTTCGACATTTTTGGGGAAGGAAAGACAGGAAATGGGACGCGGAAATGGAGAGAAGCTCCCGAGATTCTCAGAATAAAGAACGTACTGCCTTCCAGTTGCTTTACTTTTAAAAAATGTTACTAACTGTGCGTCCCCGTGAGAAGTTATCACCTAGCTAGCGGTCTCCTTTGTTTTTCAGGTCCGTATTGGCGATTATAAAAGGACAGAACATAAACCATGTTATAGTTTTCTCCTGCTTGTTGGTGTGTTTACTGACGAAGTCACTCGTGTGACTTCGTGCTCTGTCGGTGACAGCTGCTCCCCTGCTGCTTCGCGTCTCGTGGGAAGGGCCAAGCAGCAGCTTGCGCGAGCGAGACGTGCTGCTGCAGTAACGTGCTGCTGACGGCTCCCGTGGAAACCCGGGGTTAGCGTTGTTTCCATTGTCGGGTTTGGCTTTTCCAAGCTTTGTTGTTAGAATATTTTGAAATCTTCAGACTGGTTTTATGTGATGTTCAAAGAAACTTTGGATAAATTAACTTTCACAACATCCGCCTAACGAGTCCGTGCGAAAGACTGATGTAAAAAGGGTGTTTGGTGTTGGGACTAATTCAGGGTTCATACTAGAATCTACTTCAGGAAGTGTATCGGTTTAAATAAATGACAGAGCGTGCTTCTGCGACATGTTCCTCTCTAATGCAACGTCGTCCTGCAGGTTGTTCCTCGTTGTCTGAGGTGTCCGGATATTCCTCTGGCAATCATGAAACCTGACATCGTCTTTTTTGGAGAGAACCTACCAGAAATGTTCCACAGAGCCATGAAGCAGGACAAAGATGAGGTGGACCTCTTGATTGTAATTGGCTCTTCGCTCAAAGTCCGACCAGTGGCCCTCATACCGAGTATGATTTCAAGTGAACGTGCTTCTAGATACTTGCCACTCCTCTGTTGTGTTTGAGGTAAACTCCACCAATAACACCATGGCTTTCCATTTCTCTCAGATTCCATTCCTCACGAAGTGCCTCAGGTTCTGATCAACAGGGAGCCGCTGCCTCATCTGAACTTTGACGTGGAGCTACTCGGAGACTGTGACGGTATCATCAATGAGCTCTGTCACCGGTTGAGTGGAGACTTTGAGCAGCTCTGCTTTAACACTTTAAGACTCAACGAGATCACAGAGAAGCCCCCTCGGTTACAAGAACCACGACCAAGTGAGGCCTTGCCTGCTTTCAGTGATGCGGCTCAGCAGCAGAACGAGCCGTCGCGTACGGACTCTGTAAACAAGCCTTCAGAGGAGGCAGAAAGTCTGACTGTTACAGAAACTGCCGATAAGAACATTACACCTTTGGAGCCTTGTTCGAATGTGCAGTGTCCAAGTGAGGACGGTGCGAAGTCTCCGGAGTTACCAAAAGTGGAGATGGGTGATTTTAAAAGCCAAAACTCCAGCTTTGATTATCGTAAACGGTACTGGGTGAGCAGAATCAGCAGGAGTCCAATAAGCAAACGCCTCAACCGTAAGCTAAGCTAAGCTAATTTATACCAGTTACATGTCATTTGTTCAAATGTGTTCCGTCTTTCCTCTGCATGTATTCCTTCACGTGATCACACCACAACTATTTCAGCAGACGTGTCAAAGACAAACGAGCCGTGTTTCATAGATGCTCTGTTGTTTTCCACAGCGGGCCAGTACTTGTTTCAGTCACCTAACCGCTACCTCTTCCACGGCGCCGAAGTCTACTCGGACTCCGAAGAGGAGACGTCGAGCTCCTGCGGTAGCGACAGTGATGAGTCAGAATGCAGTCCTGGTGGGGTGGAGGATGACAGCGACCCAGAGGACGTCAGTGAAGCGGCGGCGGCGGACGGAGAAACACGCATCAAAGACATGTTTCGAAATTCAGCCAATGAGGAAGAGTCAAGTGTGCAGATCGACAGTTCTTCTGAAAAAGCTCACAGTGCCACGAATCAAGCGTAATAAGACTCCATTTTACAAAGCACTAATTCTTTTTTAGAGTGTACATATAAATAGGTTTCATATATATTTTTGAGTCATCTACTTCCTGTTTATCATAAAGTTGAAGTGTGTGTTTGCAGCAAGACTTTTGTCTTTCAGGTTTGCTCTGTTTTCACACTCACTGTGCTTAAACCCACTAGTTACTTTTCTACTTTAGTTCCCTTTGCTGTTGCAGCCATTGTTGCGTACCAGAAATGCAACATTAAACACCCTGAAACACCGGCGTGGCGTCGGCTGTTTTGGACTTGGTCGCTTAGGAATCATTACATTTTAAAATCTGAAGATTGAAGAGGTTAACGAGTCTGAGACAGATTTTATTTTTGCGCATGCAAATTTAGTTCTACTCCTTGAGTGAAAAACTGCAGAAAGATGGTTTTATTTCAGACCAAAGAGCTCAACATCTGCATACTTCTGTTTCTGGAAAAAGCTTTTTTTTTTATTCGTCTTAAGTTTTTAAATGTACTTTGTGATCCTCCTGACATCAGGCAGCTACTTTCCTGGTGAAGCCTCATATTTTATATTTGGGTGTGAGACATGCTTGTCAAAGGGTATATGCTTGTTTATATTTGTACAAAGTCGTACTTGAGACGAATATGGAGACCGGCTTTGGTTATGTTTATTTGTAAGGTTGAAATACATATTCACGTTGAAAATAGCACTTTTTCTTCTCCATACGAAGCTTGTTGTGTTGCTTGTGTCTTATTTTTTAAGATAATTAGCTCAGTGCCTATACTGTTGATCGTATGTTAACATTCTAGTTGTGTTGGAAATGTGTATGGAAACGTGCCATTTGCAAGTTTTTTTAAAGAAGTATTCTTATGATAGCAGTGTTCTTTGTTTTGGGTTCTGATTTGGAAAAAATAATTCAAAGTGCCAACATAATTGTAGCAAGAGTCCAATTTGTTTAATTGACTTATCACATATTTCTTATCAAGAAACCCCGTAATACTTCTTTTAGAAAAATTCTACCTGCTAAATTTAAAAAATTTCTTACACCCCCAACGCCTTCATTAGCCACAGGAAAATGATGAGGGTAGAAAAAGTCATTCTCTTTTATGGCACAGGGAAAATTAGGATTCATAACTCCGCCCACTGTGTCTTGTGCCTGCCTATGTATTAATTATGCAGCCAGGAGAGAGTAGAGCAGGGGTCTCATTTATAAAACATTGCATAGAATCCTTACTAAAACCGTACTTAAGCTCAGCAAAAAAAAAAAAAAGTACTTGCGTGACGTCAAGTATGTGACCGTATGGAGTGCGCAGAGCTTCACGCAGTCTGCTTTATAAATCACAAACTTCCTAGAAATGTACTCAAGTCTTTTTGGATCACATCCCACCCTCAACACGCCCACCTTCTGCTATAAATGGTCAATGCAAAGTGCCCTGTGGATCTCATGCATATGCATAAGCCGGCTCATTGCAGCGCTCCACCATTAACGATAGCGACCGCAGATCAAGGAAGCGCAATTTCTCCAAAGCAGAGATTGATGATGTACTTGTGGGTGAGGCGGAAAAATGAAAGGAAGTGCTTTTGCAAAACGAGAAAATCCGCACAGTTGCTGAAGCCAGTGCTGTGAGTTCTTCAGAGAGATCTGTGGCGGACAAAACAATGGTCCCATCTGAAGGTGGAGGCAAAAAATAAATAGATGCTTTGCCACCGCCAGAGTGTGTTTGCCACTGGCGGAGGCGCTGGCACCTCTGATCTCCCACCGCTCAGTGTTAGGATCTCAGGCGTAATCAGACCGGCAAGCGTGCGTGGCATCGTGCCGAAGAAGGAGGGTGACACTGACCATGCAGAGGAGACTGGTAACATTTAAGCCTTTTATTAATGCAGATCAAATGTGTCTGACATTAAAATATAAAACAAAACCAAATCTCGTTTCCCCCCAGTGACTGTGGATGAAGCATCCAACGAGGCATCCCGGGCGGCGACCGCAGATGTGGCTGCAGGGTCAGTCTCACCACCAGTGCGGTAGCAGTTGTTCTGTGTGCGCACAAAGCAGTATAAGTGATAATGCTGGAATTCATAATATTATCCTCAGCGGCAACATCGCAGGTGCTCTCCATGTCCAAAATGTGCGTAAGCCGTCCTTAGTCAACTTAAAGTTGTACACATTTTTCGGCTACGTTTTCTTTTATAAATCCCAAAGTTTGCGTGGAAAGTTGCTTACGCAGTTTCCCGACACCGTTTACTGCGTAAGCAAGCTTGATAAACGAGGCCCCTGGTCTCTGGTAATAACGCCGATCTTTAGCAACTCCTCAACATGGTGCAACACATTTGGGCCTGTGTTATTTGTGGAGAAGATAAAACATCAGTGTGCATTTTTTACCCAAGTAAGGAGCAGCGAAAAGGTCACGTTGACCAATCAGAGGCGATAAAGTTTTTATCTCATGAATATTAATGAGTAAGAATCAGGCACGTGCAGAGGGGGGTGCGGAGGGTGCTTGAGACCCTGCCCCTTTTGTCCGAAGTGCCCAAAGTGCCCTTTTTCCGGTCGTTCGTCAGATTTTACCATACAAATCTGTTATACTGTGATACAAATTGGGCACTAGGACCATGCGGAGGCAGCAGCCTCAAGCTGAAGGCTATTTTCCCTTAGACCCGCCTACAAGCTCACTGATTGGCTCTGCCGCATCATACTAACGTGTGATTGGTTATCCTTGCTGTCGCTCTACCTGTGGTTGTAACATCTCTAGATATAAGTCAGCTTTAAAAACTAAAACTATTATTTATGAACTAACATTAACACTAATGACACTAATTTATATATTTTTATTATGTTGTTTGAGCCCAAGGGTCTCATTATCTGAATTTTCTAACTTATTGGATTGCTCTATAAGTGCCCCTTTTTTTACTTTGAGCACCCGCCCCGTCAAAGGTCTCTGCACGGCCCTGGTAAGAATTACCCCCCAACCCCCAATGTTGATTTTTTAAAATCGTAATATAACATTTTAAGTCAATATATTTTAAATAAAGTTATTAATACGACTTCTAGTTTAAGGTAAAGGCAATTTACGCATGTCATACATCATTCTCAGTGGATTTCTTTCCGCCCAACTCCTGGAACTACATTTCCCAGCGTCCTCCTCGGGGCTCATACGACGTGTCGTGAAAACTCATGAACGTAAAGGAGATGTGCATCATCGAAGACGAACGACAGTGCTGTGTGTGTGTTTATTCCTTTATCGCTGGTCTGAAATGTTTATATAGTTCTCAGACTTTGGTCTAAAGGACCAAATGTGAACATGGAGGCCATGGAGGAAGACAGCTTGGACGTTAAAGACGACCACAATCACAACCACTGTAGGAGCGGTGGCGGCAGTAAAGTCCGACCGTGTTTCAGCAGCCAGTCGTTGGATAGAGCAGCTCCGCTGCCCGCCTGTCCGACGGGGTCTGCCGCAGAACCGTGCGATCGTCGCCGCAAATTGTTGTGGCCCGGTGGTTCCGACGGGGCAAAGTTTCTGGACTCGGATACAGGGAGCGAAAGCAGCGAGTCGGATTGCACGGCCACTCCAGCTAACACCGAGGGGCTGCTGAGCCTCGAATCTACTTCCAAGTTTCGTAAGTTGACAACCCGATCCTGTCCTGCATCGCTCAGCTCGGCCTAGCCCGGCTCTGGGGTTGCTGATCACCCCCTCGCATGTGTAGACCTGAGCGTGCTTTTGTGTTTCCTCTCAGTTTTGAACTCGATGGCTGTAGAAGATTACAGGAAGAACCACTGGCCGAACCTGGAGGAGGCAATAGACCGCCTGCTGATCCAGAACTCCTCAGACCACATCTCAGTCTCCTACGCACAGATATACGGGTAAATCCAGACCCGAGCTGGGGCTTTTTGTGGTGGGATTTCTTTGAGGAAGGGGAATTGTGATGCAAAACGTCTCTACTGCCACTATAAACATTCCAAACGTGAATAAAAAACGTTCATCCATTCACTTTCCGTGTTTGGTTTCGGAAATCGTTTACTTAAAAGAATCCCCTGTTGTGACATCACAATAAGGGAAATTAAAACATAACCCCTTCATCTGTCGTGGGCTGTTTCTCAGGCCTAGTCCACACGTAGCCGGGTTTTTTTTAAAAACGAATATCCGCCCCTCCAAAAACTTGCATCCACACCACCTCGTTTTAAAAACAAACTCTGTCCACACGTACCCGGATAAATACGTTGTTAAGGACATGCCAGACCTGTAGGCGGCAGTACTTCCCCCGTTCTTAACCTCGTCCTTCGTCTGTGGTCTTCCGCAAGGAGCAGTAATCCCGCTTGCAAAAACAAACAAGCAGAAAGCGCTTGGACAACTGATGGATCGGGTAGTGACAGAGCGCAGCTCTGAGGGCTTCCATGATGCCGGCTAGTGTAAACACAGGTCGCACACGTGATGTCAGCATTTTTTGTCGTGGAAAGTGACGTTGCGGACCTTAAAACTCCGGTTTTGTCCGTCCACACGCAGACACCCAAAACGGAGAAAACGCAGATCTTCACTTTGGCCGGAGTTTTTAAAAAGATCCGTTTTCGTGTGAAAAAACTCCGTTTTCGTGTGGATGACAGGCCAAAACGTAGAAAAATATCTACGTTTTGGCAGATCCCCGGCTACGTGTGGACAGGGCCTCAAACCCCAAGAACGCTAGTACATAATTGTGTACTTGTCAGCTATGTTCTTGGCAGGTACAGCAGAAAGTTTGTTCTATTTACTATGGGACGAGGACGGCATTTGGGACCGAACCACACACCTTTTCATCATAAAACGACCTGAAATAAAATTAAAAGTCTAGTTAGACCCTTTAAACGACAAAATAATTTATACTTCATATTTGTGTGATCTTTGGTCTACTTTGATCAAAGTTGATCAAATGTCAGCATTTCCTGCTGTAAAGGAAAAAAATGTGTTTCTTTTTCATCAAAACGAAGCTATTTAAGGCAACGCTGCTTTTATTTTGATAGTGGGTTAGCTAATTTTACAGCTCAAACACAATTAAATACAATAACAGACAACGTTTTATGTGTTTTTCCTATAAAAACACAACAGTTATGAACTTTCTCCTCAACAACTGTCAGATTGTATAACGATTTGCAACATTATGGAATACCCTTACCGGCCCAAGTCAGCAGAAGGATGCAGTGATGCATCCTCGACACAGTGGGCAGAGCAAGAACACACCTGGGAACTTTGAGAGTACTTGCCATGATGTGTACTTAGGATTGGAACAGTACTTGGGCCAGCACCGATGATGTTTCACAAGTAATTGAGTACACGAGTTCAGACAAGTGCATGCATATCTATGAGAAACGGCCATGCTGGAGGAGTAGCAGCTGTACTCCCAGCTCCTCCCGCCCCTCTCTCCATAGCAGCTAATCATTGGGTGGATGCGGTCAGCAACAGCTTATTTAATTTAAAGTGAGAGAACCATGAAACGGCTCCTTTTGGAAGGTACTGAAACTCCAAAATAAAGCTTCTGAAACAACTTTATGTGAGAGGGATTTTGGGCTGAGAACTTCCTGAAAATGTTTAGTATAGGGCCCATTCCCAATACTCGCACTTCCACCCTTCAGTTGTGTGTTCCTGTCCAGGGGTGCGAGTGCGCATGGTGTGCCGATCCTCAAGTGTAGAAGTTGGCCACGTCCCTGCATCAATGCTGACTTGGGCAAATGGTATTACCCACAATCCATTGTTGCATGGGAATTTTGAGACAAAGGCAGAATAATTCCTCAAGTGCCTCTTTTGAAAATCCGTATTTTCAAACCAAAGAAGTTCATTTTAAGACTATTGATGATGTTTTTTCACGCTCTGAATGTTTGAGTAAGAGTTAATGTGGACAGCAATGAATGTAAAGTTTGTCAATCGTTTGTTTGAAACTTGTTAACTCGTTTGCTGCCAGCGTTTCTCACCGTTTTTACTGTTTTTTTAAGAGTCACAGAACGTTGTGCGCTAGCATGACGTCGACGCCAAAACAACCAAAACAAAGCAGGGACTCACCTCTTACATCAGGAAGAATCAGCGAGTTTTGAGCGTTATCCGTTCTTCCATAATCCGTTGTTGAATTGTGATCGGCAGACGCTTTTCCGGTTCGCACCTCACTTTTTTTACAGCAGCGGCCCAAAACGATCTCCTAACACATGGATGTTCTGCTTCCTGATCACGTGACGTGTGACGTATGCAAATTAAGATCGGCTTTAGAGCTGAGGTGTTTGTTCTCACGGTGCGGGGGCTCGTCCGACGCCCACACGGTAAAAAAATGCAAACGACGACTTTTGTCGTCATTGGCAGTGAATAAGTTAATAAAGATTTTCTTTAAAAAATTGCTCGTACAGCGACCGGCATCCAGGAATGCGTCGTGGTTGATGACGCAAAGGTCATCGTCCCGATTATTTGCACATTTGCGTACTGCACACTCGAAGCCCTTACCGCACTCCACAGACGCCCGTAGGGCGCGGTGCGAGTATTGGGATTGGGCCTAGATTAGGTTTGTCCAAGCGACAGCCTTGGGGCCATTTGCGGCCCTCGAAGCGAACAGGTACGTCAAGCATGATGAATTTTGTCTCGAGTAAACTGCCAATGTAGATCGACATTTTCTCACAAATTCATGTTGGGAAATTTCTTATTACCAACTATTTTTGACGTATTTTTAGCAGCACAAATAAAAAGATTTGCCATAAAAATGTGCAGATTTAAAATGACTAGGACTTTGAGGTTTTTTGCACCTGTCTTGAATAGTTTGGACACTCCTGGTACAGATCATAGAACGAAAATAACTTCAACAAAAGGCATAACATGTAATATTTGAAGTTAACACAATAACCTTCAGAATAAATAATCTAACAAACATTTTCTCTTGACTTTTTCCTCCAAAGTTACGTCTACAAGTGTGTCTGCCAGCAGCACTCGGAGCTGCTCTACAGCGATTTGACAAAAAAGATAACGAGTCACTTGCTCGAGGTTTCTAGTCGGCTTCAGGTAAATAAAAAGCAACAAAAATCAAAGTTATCATAGACAGAAGTGAAAACTGATCTTTTCTGATTGAATTACAGGCCAGCTCACCTCATAACCTAATCGAGAACTTCAACGTTGCCCTAACGCAGTACACAGCTTCTCTTGAGTGTATAGTTCCAGTTTTTATATACTTGGTAGGTACTTTTTTATTCAAACTCTTATTCAGTTTTCACTTGCTTCTCATTTTTCCCTTTTCAACACTTTTTTAGAACAAGTTCTACATTGAGTCGAAACTCAACAGGGACCTGAAAGAGGACCTGTTGAAGCTGTTTGCTGACCATGTTGCTGAGAAATATTTAAACACACTGATGCGTGAGTTAATCCCTGCTCCCTGTTTGTTGCACAAACCACAAATTACTTTGCAGTGCTTACATTTTTAATACATGTGACCAAGGCATGGACGTAATTTTCACTTTAGAAGTGGGGGGGACTTGGGGGGGGGGGGGGTATCTTTACAGTATGTTCTAATGGGAAACCAGCTTCAACACAAACGGTTGTTTTCTGTTTGGTGCTAGAGCTCAACCAGTGTCAATTTAATATAGCGTAATATTATTTTTGGATGGTAAAAAGTGCAGGGGTCAAAACCTGAATTTGGAAAAAGTGGGGGGACATGTCCCCCCTGTCCCCCCCCCCAAAATTACGTCCATGGACCAAGGCTTTAACTTTACCTGTGTGTGTGTGTAGAGGGTTTTTGCCATCTTGAAGTCTGGGAAATCTTTATACGATGATGGAAAAGGAAAGTCCACCTTTTTTGTCTTTGTGTGTTTGTAGGTATCAGGATATAACTGGTCTGGGGCGTACAGGCGTGTGTTAACACAAGGCCAAAAGGAAAGACAGCTGTGATTATTGTTGCCAGTCAAATTAAGAAAGGCTAAAGGTCATTTTCAAGCAGTGTTGAATTCATCTTTCTGTCACGAGAAAGGTTATTTACAAATATAAAATATTTCAGAGTGGAGGTCCCAGCAAGTCAGACTGTAGTGCTCAGTGCAGAAAAAGAGGTTAGCCGGTTTGAGGACGTCGTGAGTCCAGATGGGTGAGTCCATGAATGTTAACTCCTTCGCTGCCAGCATTTCTCACGTTTTTACAGTTTTTTTTTTACCCCCAAATTCCACTACCTCCGCTCCGCCCCCGCCTTCCGCAGCCGCTCGCTTCAGAACTCAATTTTTACTGGTACCCGCTCTACAACGGCTCCGATGCGGAGACCTGAGGTGCGCAAATGAGCATGTGCAGGATTTTTGAGATCTTGCGATACAGTCCGAGCAATAAACGTGGAAGTTAGATCCAAACACCCGTTGTGTGGGAGAAGCATCGAAATGAACTGTTTAATCTGCCCATCATTTGTGTTGAGAGATCAGCAGTGTTTGGATCAACACAGGGTGACTACTTTGATAGTGGAAATAGGGCTGGGGGTAAACGATTATTTTTAAAACGATTATTCTGACGATTATTTTATCGAATAGTCGACTATTCTAATGACTATTTAGACAATTAATCTAATGATTATTTTTCTATTGCACAGTTAATAAAAACCAAAAAATCTCTAATAAATTCCTCCAAAAAATTGATAAATTGTTACTGTAAGAGAATAACCACTACAGGCCTTCCATTTTGTATAACACTGCTTTTATTGTGTTGCGGTTGGTTATGTTCTGGTGACGTGTAGAACTTGGGAGTGCAGGCTGCTGCCTGAGAGGTGGTAGAAGACGGAGTGTCTCCATGCTGCTTTGTTTTGGTCACTTATGTGCGTGAGGCGAGTGGTCTTACGACCCTTCCTGGGGAGTTTGGCTCGTGTGCAAAAAGGAAGGGACAATAACGGGATTTAAAAGTTAAAATGATGATCAGGTTTATTTACAACAACAAAAATCATAAATCTTTCCATCCACAGGTTGGGAATAATAAAACTAATTCTGCCTGTGGGGAATTAAAACAAAGTACAAAGAAGTAGGGATGTCCCACTGGGCAAAGATTACTGGGTTCTGGACCAAAATAATTATCTCCAAAGGTCCAAACTCTAAACTGGGCGGTTAAACCAAACTCAAGGTGATATTTTAAACTAAACCGAAAACCCACAACACTCTAAATGTAATAAAAGGGAGATCTACGCCACAAAAAAGATGAACTCCAAACCAAAACGTAACAGCTTATCCAAACGCAAGAAGCTGTTAGCGAAAATGCTAACAGTAGCTTTACCAACGTTAAGTTCAAGTTACCAAGTTTAAATAAACCAAAAACACCCAGCAGCAAACAGACCAGCACGGAGGAGAGACTGCTACCACCAAAACAGCTCTCCTCATGTCTGAAAGAAGCTCCTTTATGAAGGGAGAAACGCTCCCGGTGATGTTCTACATCTGCGGTAGAGACGAAGCAGCGCATCTGACCCCGGAAGTTGTTGTCCGTTGCCGAGAGATGAAGGCGGGCAAAACAGGAAAATAATCTAGTAGTGGACGGACGTTGTTCCGGGTCTTCGGTTTTTGGTGGAGATGTTAGTGAAGGCGGAGAAGAGGGCGAACTAGAGGAAAAACATGCAGATTCCTTTTCCATTTACAAACTCCTGCGGATGCAACAAGTGGGCGCGGTGCGTCGACTACCGGATCTGACGTCGACAAATTTTTAGAATCGAGCCGTCGACTTCGTCGAGGCGTCGCTACAGCCCTAAGTGGAAACTGTATTTATGGCTTACTTTTGTGCATTTAAAGTTCAGCCGCCATTGATAGTTGTTAAAAGTTGTTAAACCTGTGCATATGAAACAAAAAATGCTTTTTGTTTATCGATTTATTGTGAAATAACGGAAGCTGTGCTTGCTCCCTTTCCTGTTGGGCGGTTGTGATTCCTGTCCATTGACTGCGGAGGTGCTCCGGCGTCCGGCAAAAATAGGAATCGATTCTATTTTTGCCCGACGCCGGAACAGAGGGCGGCGCCCTGCGCTGCACTGCCGCAGCACGGCCGCAGTAGTGGAATTGCTCTGATTGACTACAACGGGACTGATTTTGCTGCGGAGTTCGTGCCGGAGCGGAGCGGAGGTAGTGGAATTTGGGGGTAAGAGTCACAGAACGTTGCGCGCTAGGATGATGTTGACGCCAAAACAACCAAAACAAAGCGGAGACTCACCTCTCACATCAGGAAGAATCCGCGCGTTTCGAGCGTTTTCCGTTCTTTCGTAATCCGTTGTTGAATTGTGATCAGCAGACGCTTTTCCGGTTCGCGCCTCACTTTTTTTACAACAGCAGCCCAAAACGATCTCCTAACACATGGATGTTCTGCTTCCTGATCACATGACGTATAACGTATGCGGATGAAGATCGGCTTTAGAGCTGACATGTTTGTTCTCACGGTGCGGGGGCTCGTCCGACGCCCACACAGTAGAAAAATGCAAATGACAGCAGTGAATTAGTTAAGTGACAGTGTGACGTAGATCTGTCAGGATTTTCTAATCCTAGAGTTTCACCGTCTGTTTTCTATCAGAAGCTGATGCAGTAGATAGGTGTAGGAGACTATCTTCATGTTCAGCCTGCATGAAAAACTCAGAGTGACCGATCAAAATAATAAGTAAAAATGGTTTCTCAGTGAACTTGGGTCTTTAAAGGTCACAACAGTCTGGTTAATGAAAGACTCCGGTATCATGGTTTAAGTTGGTTCCTGACTGGACCACGGGATTTCTGGATCCGTCTCTCGTGAGCAGACCAAAGTAGACGTGCAACGACGGGCCTAAAATCCCGGTTCCGTACGTTCATTTTCAGCACAGTGACGTAACAAAGTGGGAAAACTTAGTTTTTCCTTTTGTGTAAGCGGGTATAGTGTCAATGACATTTATAAAACTTTACTTGCAGTTAATGTTCTTAGGTAACGTCAAAATGTTTAGAATAAATATAAAAGTGAAATTATTTATAACAGCTTAAGTTCTTTTCGGGAAACTGCAACATCAATACTTTGTCTTTCATCAAGAGAGTGAACTGTTGAAAGCAGGAATGCTGTCTTAAGTCGGGCGTACACTGTGCAACTTTTTCACTTTTTTGAGCCGATTTTCCACTCGTGCGAGAATCCACGAGATCGGGTTGAGTTTTGCGCCGAGCGTCGTGTAGTGTACAGGGGGTTACGAGAGGCGATTAACACCACGTGACCAGCTGCCGATCAGCAATCGTGAGCTCGCGCGGACTTCTGGAGTGTTTAATATTTCGCTCGTCCCTCGTGAGGGTATCGCACTGTTGAAGCGGCGCTGCGAGCAGCTGCGACCCAAAAAGTACCAGAACCGCTCACGGTGCATGCGCAATCCTGCATCAACACCGCTCGCCCGCTATTTCCTAATAACACACGCTGTTCGTTTTTGTTTCTACACGTTTTTTTTACTCACAAAGATTGTCAAGAAAGCGTGTTTGTCGTGTTCATGTCAAATTAAACTGATCACAAAACACAGATTTACTTTCTTTATTTGGTTTTCCTCATCCAACCCCCATAAATCCCTGTGTGTCCTCCTGCAGCACTCCCGAAGGACAACAGGCAAAACAAGACAAAAAAGTCTGACGTGTTGAGTAAAAACTGCTATTTTTAGCATATTTTTAGGGCCGACGTGTTGCTACCAGACGTACAGTGTGAGCGCATGGCTCGTGAGATCTGCCCTGCGAGGAAGTCGTACAGTTTGAGCTGAAGCCGAGTGCTACGAGTGAAAAAGTCACACAGTGTCCGCCCGGCTTGAGACAGCAGCAAGGGCCCAAAGTCCTGACCTGAACCACCGAGAGATGCTTTAGACTCTAAAGGAGCTGAGCAGAAATAAATGTCTGCAAACTTTAAAGAACGAAACGACATCTGGAAGAAAAGTGGAGTAAAACTCCTCCACCGTGATGAGAGGCTGATGAAGTCCAACAAAAAGCATTGTTATCCTTCACGACTGATTCCTTACCTGTGCTTTTCTCTCTCAGCTCTGTTGATCAAAGCTCATTCCATGCCCTTCCAAGTTCAGCCCTCAACCATGGCCAGCGTGGTCAAAGGTCTCTACAGCCTCCGGCCAGGTGACGAATGCCTCCCAAACACGTCGCACAATCGCCAACGTGTCTTATTTAATGTCCCTTTAGTTCACTAATGAGTGGCGGTCCTTTTCAGAGTGGGCTCAGCTCGCTCCAGAGCTCTTCTCCGGCTTCATTCCACAAATCAACCCTCCTACCGTGGAGTCCCGACTTCCGGATTATGCCGATCATGACCGGAAGCTTCAAATGGCGCTCTCCATGACCGGATTTTCTCGGTCAGTTTTGTTGCACACGCCTCTTCACACAGCTGCAGGTTGGAGTCTCTAACATAGATGCTTGTTTTGATTTTAGGGGCGACCAGTCTCGCAAACGGGCCAGTGAAGACTCCTGATGGCGGTCGACTGACCTGCTGCTGAACCGTGCCTCTTCATTACGAGATGTCTCCGTCGCGACTCAAGGCCACAAAACACTGTGAAGAAAAAGGAAAGCGCGATGTTCGTGTGTGCTCCACGGAGAACACACGAACAGAGACCTCCATTATTTATAGGTGCTTTCTTCTGGAATAAGGACCCTCAGCTGGCGGAGATGGACTGAACAGCCTGAAAAGGGGAAGATGGATGATGCTTGTGTGGTTTCTGACCTTTAACCTGGAGTCCTGAGTTGTTTTTGATTGGAGACGCTGCTAATAATACTGAAGTCCACAAACGGCTCAGTATGCTTAACGCAGACGTCTGATAAGAAGAGGGAAACAAAGTCTTTTGGTGTGATTGTTTCCTCCGTGATGCCTTTACTGCTCTGGAACACCAAACTGCATTTCCCAGGTAGACCAAAGAGAATTGCATTTGCTTCAAGCTGAAATCGTTAGTTTTGTGAACCACCCTTTCATCCTTTAGTCCGTTTCCACGGCTCAAGTTTCGCCTTAAAAATTATATCACCTTTCCTTTTATTAAGCCTCAGAATGACAGAAAGTGCCAGAAACTCACTTTTCTTTCGTCTTCTTCTCTTTATTTTGGTCGTTGCGTTAAAAGAAAACGTTTCAAACACCAAGAATAACGTCTTGGACAGGCAGAAGCAGTGCTCATCGTTGACCATTACAAAAATATTTGAAGCTTTTCTTTTGTTCCGCCCTGTCAGTCTTTGCTAGACGAATGAAACTAATGATATGCAAATATTATTTGGGGTGCGGTAGTGCATTAAGTGGAGCTAACATGTACAGCCTGGTGAGAATGTAAATAGTGTTTTCCCCTGCATGGCAGCCTGTGCACACTAGCTTTTATCGCAGGTGCATTTTTTTGCTAAAGACTCATTGGATACAAGCTCTTGCACTGTTTTAAGTGTAATCAAAGCCCAGCCTTTCTTTGTGTTTCTGTTGGAATTACATTTTTTTTTTAATTTGTTTGAAAATGAGCGGTGATGGAATCCAGATCAGACCGATTTAAAGTAAAAATATGTGGATGCTGTCTGAAACATACCTTATATGGATGTAGAAGAAGAGCAAAATGGCTGCAGACACTAAACACTGGATGGACTACGTTACTAATTTTGTATAATGCAACATAACAGTTCTGCTTGAATCAACTGTGAATAAAATCAACTTGATGCAAACCATATTTGTGAAAAACGTTAACGGCCAGGTATGTGTGCTGTCTATTCACATATAAATCATCGTCATGTGCTGGGCAGTCCTAAACGCGTAATGAAAAGTGTTTGAATGTTAAGTGTGAAAACTTCAGCCTATTAGTGCAAATATGAAGCGTGGCCCACAGAAAGAGCTCTGTCGTGGGGCGAAATCTGCGGTTGTCTTTTAAACTGTCTCTGCGTGCTAGGACACAAGGACCAATCAACAATGTGATGAGTTCATCGCTATGGAAATCAGTCAACGGGGCAGTCCGCCGTACACCGTCAAAGAAGAAAAAGCAAGTACATCCTCAAAATGCAGGACTTGAGTACCTCTGTCGGCCCACTTCAAACTAGCTCTTCCTGATCCGCCATCTTTTTCTGTTTTTTTCTCAGTCACAGCTCTGGGGCCCGCTCGGTGTTTCTCCACAAATATAATTCAAGTTCAAGTTTATTTATATAGCGCCAAGTCACGACAAGAGTCGTCTCAAGGCACTTCACATAATAAACATTCAAACACAGGTCAGTTCATTAAGCCAATCAGAAAAAAGTGTCCTATATAAGGAACCCAGCAGGTTGCATCGAGTCACTGACTAGTGTCAGTGACTTTACAGCAATCCTCATACTAAGCAAGCATTTAGCGACAGTGGAGAGGAAAACTCCCTTTTAACAGGAAGAAACCTCCAGAGGATCCTGGCTCAGTATAAGCAGCCATCCTCCACGACTCACTGGGGATGGAGAAGACAGAGCGCACACACACACACACACGCACGCACGCACACACACACACACACACACACACACACACACACCAAGTAGTGTTTCTATGGTTATGTGACGGATGGCCGTTTGTTCTCTGAGTGCTGTGCGCTGCCGGTGCTGCGCTCCTCCTCCCTGCGTTATTATGCCGGCTCTTTAAAAGCCCCGATTGTGTCCAGCTGTGCGACAGCGTTTACCTGGCGTCCTGACAGACAGGTGGGGCAGGGTGTCTGAGCTGTACACTGGGTGCATGGAGGAGTATTTTCATGGGTAAGGGATCCTTTTAATTTTTATACAGTTGTTTGGAAAGGCTGGGGCCTATGCTGCGTGTGCGTGCGTGTGTGTATGTGTGTGTGTAAATGCGCTGTAGGATCAGTGGTGGATGTGCCGATTACCCGTTGTCTGCGAGCCCTTCCCATGAGACATAACAGGTAAGCAGGTGCTGATTAATTGAAAAGGAAGGAAATCGGCAGTTTGATAATTATTTCCTTCCTTTGAACAGAAAGCGCTGGCACTGCTGTTTTTGTTCAGTTGGTTATTTTGTTATGCTTATTTTTCCTTTTATGAAACTCCTAATTGTGAGTCACTTTTAGAAAGGGGGTCTGTGACGACTAGAAGGTTGTCTTTGGAGGGCCGCATACATGAGAGGGATCAGCCGTATTACCGGTTGGTGTGGATAATAGTGCATGTTTTTATTCTTGTTTGCTTGATGATTGCCGTGTGTATTAAGTAAATGCATGTAGCCCTGGTTGTTTTGCCTCCCTCCTCCAGCAGACGGTGTCATTAGTCCCCTCTGGGGTTTTTAACTGTCTTGTTCCCTTTTTTATATAGAAGAACGTGTTTCATAAATAAACTATCAAGTTTGGAGGAAGACATTGTCTCAGCCCATTGTTTGATCTAGCGTGATCACTCTCCATACCTAAAATAAGTCGTGGGGCGCTAGGCTCACAGTTACAATGTGATTTCTTAGTAAATATTCTATTTGGTGAGAGATAAACTTTATTGTATGTATCCTAGTGGATCTATAATTAAACGGGTAAACTAGTAGTAGCACATCCAATGTCAAATGGTAAATGGCCTGTATTTGATATAGTGCCTTCTAGAGTCCTGGGACCCCCCAAGGCGCTTTACAACACAATCACCCATTCACACACACATTCACACACTGGTGGGGATGAGCTACGATGTAGCCACAGCTGCCCTGGGGCGCACTGACAGAGGCGAGGCTGCCGAGCACTGGCGCCACCGGTCCCTCCGACCACCACCAGCAGGCAAGGTGGGTTAAGTGTCTTGCCCAAGGACACAACGACAGCGACAGACTGAGCGGGGCTCGAACCTGCAACCTTCCGATTACGGGGTGAGCACTTAACTCCTGTGCCACCGTCGCCCCAAAGACAGTAAAATGATATTATCAGGAGAGGGAGAATGTTTAAGTGGTTAGCAGCAGTGTTCAAGACGATGGCCCCCTCCATGAGGCCACCACAGCTCAGCAGAACATCGTTGTAGCTTCTTCTGGGGAGAAAAACACTTACAGAGAAAATAAAGCTAACAGCTGAAATAGCAGGAAATAATACAGTTAAAGAGCAGATTGTAGAAGAAAGTTGTCGAGTGTGGAAAGTGGTCAGTGTATCCTCCAGCAGTCTAAGCCTATAGCAGCATAACTACAGAGATAATTCTGGATAATCTAGCCTTTTAGATGGAGGCATGTTGGAGGCAGGGCAAGGGAGAGCCGTCTTTACCGACTGTACACTCCACCTCCCTCTACTGCCCCACTGTAGAGCGCTGTGACTGGCCGGGCCAGTTGTAGACCTGCTAAGGCTACAATAAACCATGGCTAGACCGACCTGCAGATCCAGGTCTTTTGCTACTGTTACGGTTTGTCTTGATTTCCAGCTCTCACCCTGGATTCTCATGTCAGTTCTCTTGTTCGCTCGACCTTCTTCCATCCTAAAATGACACAAGGCAGAAACAATATTGCAATGACTTCATGATGTGTTTAACTAAATCCAGGTTGTTTATGCTGCGCTTTAGCTTACATAACTTTATTTATGATGTGGTTCTCTTGTTGGCTCTTCCTTCTTCCATCTCAGGAACGTTGCTAAGCTGAGTCCCATTCTGTCCCGCTCTGAACTTGAGACAGTTCTCCACACCTTCATCTCCTCACGCTTAGACTACTGCAACTCAGCTCAGTGGCCTAGTGGTAGAGTGTCCGCCCTGAGACTGGGAGATCAGGGTTCGATTCCTGGTCGGGTCATACCAAAGACTTTGAAATAAATGGGACCCAATGCCTCCCTGCTTGGCACTCAGCATTAAGGGGTTGGATTGGGGGGTTAAACCACCAAATGGTTCCCAAGCACGGCTGTGTCTGCAGCTCACCGCTCCCCCAAGGGATGGGTCAGATGCGGAGAACAAATTTCGCACACACATCAGTGTGTGTGACAACTAATGGGACTTTAACTTTTAACTTTAACTTTAACTCTCTCTTCACGTGTCTGAGCAGAACCTCCCTGAACCGTCTACAGGTGGTTCAGAACGCCTGTGCTCGGCTTCTGACCAAGTCCTCCAAACACACCCACATCACCCCGCTTCTCCTCCAGCTTCACTGGCTGCCAGTCAACTTCAGGGTTCATTTCAAGATCCTGGTTCTGGTCTATAGGGCCTTACATGGACAAGCACCATCTTACATTGGTGATCTTCTTAGTCCCTACACCCCCAGCAGGTCCAGCAGGCTGTGGTGGCCATCTTGATTTTGGGTGACTCCAAAAATAAAGTTAAAAGTGGTTAATGAAATGTTTACCTTCAATAACTCTTAAGCATCCTGAACTAGAGCAGAGCAAAGTGTGGTCTGCAGGATTTTTTGACCCTCAACAATGATTTTATGAGATCTGCAAAAACAAGAGAATGGGAGAATTTTGTCCTAACCGCACAGGCAGTTTTACTAATACAGGCTCTTTTATTTTAAATTTGTAGTAAAAAAGCACACCTTAAAGAGCAAGTCACCCCCAAATCAACTTTTTTTTCTGATAAACTATATAAATGTGTGTCTAGTCATGCTGCAGACATGTGCAGTAAATAGTTTAGTACTTTAGTGCATTTTAGTTAAAATTTAAATTTTCTGTCTAAAACTGGCAGTGTTGTGCCGTTGTCAGGTAAAAACTCTGCACTGCAGTTGAATTTAAATCTGCCATCGCTATTGGCTAAGAGGTACCCTAGAATGTTAGCTGGTACCATATGATGTCACAATGTCATTGTGAGCCTGTGTGTGTGTGTATTTGTTAGCGGCTCCGCCCTCTCGGTCTGCTAGGCAACAGCATTTGTTGTATTTTTCAAACTGGAAGTGGGAGTGGAGTAATACTCTGGCAGGGGGTGACTTGCTCTTTAAATAAGTTGAACTAAAAAGCAGACTTGTGATTATACCAGTTATAAAATGTGACTAAACACAACAGGAGTAACTAAAACAAGAGTGATCGACCCAAATCTTGCTGCTGATAATAGACTCAATTTAAGTTTTCGGGAAAAAAACAAATCAGTCCAACTGATCTGGGGGATGGGATGATTTTGTTTTACTTTTAATAGTTTGGATCTCAGAGTTTGTTTTTCTTTCTACAATAATCATGATACTTTGTTCTTTTCAACAAGATTTAAAGAGCAAGTCATACCCAAATCAACATGTTTTGCTGATAAACTAAATAAATGTGTGTTTAATCGTGTAGTAGACACGTGTAGTCAATAATTTGGCACTTTAGTGCATCTTTAGTTAAAATTGAGATAATCTGCCTAAAACAGTGTTGGGCCGTCTTCAGGTAAAAACTCTGCACTGCATTTGAATTTTAATCTGCCATCGCTATTGGCTAAGAGGTACACTATGACATTAGCTGGTACATTATGATGCCACAGGGTCGTTGTGAGTCTTTTGTGTGTGTGTGTATTTGTTAGCGGCTCCGCCCTCTCGGTCTGCCGGGCAACAGCGTTTTTTGCATCTTCCAAACAGGAAGTGGGAGTGGAGTAAGACTCTGGCAGGGGGTGACTTGCCCTTAAAGAGCCCTTAAATAACTTGGGTACTTGTAGAAATATTGGACAAACCTCACCTATATTTTTCTGTGGGGCTTATTTGAAGCCAAACGGCTAGTTCTGATTGCACCATCTTGGCCGTGTCACACATCTTGTCACTCCCAGACAATCCAAAAATGAGCAAAGAGGTGGAGCTGAGGGCAGAACTATGAGGATCTGACATCACCATTGTTCCCAGCTAAAAGCTAACCGAAGCTAATGGACATTTGTGGGTGCTTTTAGCCAGAAAAACGCAGCCGAGCGACTCTAACTTGAAGCATCCATCAACTCATGAGCTGTGGTCTTCCTCAGAGAGCTCCATAAGCAGCCAGGACGACTATAGCCTCGCATGGCAGCCAGGTGAAGCTAGGCAGCCCTGCAGCTCTGCTGCCCCAGCACATGGAAGCAGTGATGGGAACTTGGTCCTATCTGGTGTCGGCCCCTAGAGGATGAGGGTGGAACTGCAATCTTTGTCACTTCTGGGTTGGCTTCAGAAAATTCAGACAAAGGCTGCCCCTTGATACTAACACACCAAACTCTGTCTTAGTTTCTGTGAAACGGACTGGGTCGCATCACTGTTTGTGTTTGTAAATGCTGATTGGCTGTGGCAGCCATCTTGGATAGGATGAACTCCAACAGCTATACCTAATGAGGAGTTTCTGAAAATGTCAAAAGACAACAAACATTGAGAGCTGGGAGATAAAAACAATGTCGTAGCATGGAGCACTACTGGTGTGTAAGGTTCAGTGAGGGTTTGGTACTAAAGGGTCCCTTTACAGCACGATTCCTCTGGCCAATGAGGAAGGACGCCACCCAGGCACATAGGTCAGGCCGACCCAAAATAACCTGCAGCCTCTCTGCTGACAAATGTTGTTACTTTTACTGGTGACGGGTTACCGTAGCTACTCGGCCACACATTCTCCGGAAAACTTCAAGGTAACCGTGTGAGAAAAGCTGGGAGGCCCGAGCAGCTGCCCGTGTGCTGGATTTCTCTGTGGCAGCAGCTGGAAAACTGGAATCCTTCCCCTTTCAGCGCAGGTGGACTCCAGTCCTTCACTGGGGCTGGGTGAGCTTTTTCTGAAGGTAAAACAAAATGTCCTTGTGAATTAATTTTGCAGTTCTGAGTAAGCATCAGATAACCTCATATAGATATTTGTGTATCACTAATGTGTTCAGGTAAAGTATTTGAACCTACTGTGTGTTTTCTCTCTCAGCTCCGTCCTGTTTTCTAATCATAATTCTATTGCTGCATGTTAATGTGACTAATCAAAACTGGGCCCACAGGGTGGGATGCACTGCTTTTTTGTAGGTGTGTGTTGATTTCCTTCATGTAAACCGACCCATCTCTATTATTAGATGTGACGCTGTGGGCTAGGAGCCTCTTAGCAAAGTATTAATGCACACAACAGCTGCTGGACTGTTAGAAGGGCATCAACGGGCCTCTTGATTGGGCAGATTTGAGTGTCAGCAGCATGTGTGCGCTCTGTTTCAAGTCTGTGTTCACTGACTCACTCTGTGCAATGTCTAAACGTCACACAGGTGTCAGTCTGAGGCAAACACGAGGTACAAAAGTGTGCCTGGATCCCATCAGGTCAGGTGTCGGGACATGAACTCGATACCATGTCAAATCCAGACGACTGCTATATTCAGAACAAAGATCATATGTTATTTATTTTTATTTACTCATGAGTTTATTGAAACGTGTCAGTTTTGCAGGATTTATAAATTTATCAGACGTAACCCACTCTTAGTCAGGTGGTTAAAAGGAAAGAAATTCTTCTAAAACTCACTTTGAGGACTGAAATGGTAAAGTCTAAAGCACGCACGAATGTTCACACTTAACGTAGAGTGAAAAAGTATTTGGTCCAAAGCAGATTTCTTTGTTTTGTGAATATTTCATCAGCAAAGAAACTGAGAAAATGTGATTTTGTAGTAATCATTTCATTACCTAAAGGTAAAGTAGTTCATTGCAGAACTGTTTGCATTCAGCCACATTGGAGATTTTCCCAGCAGAAATGGCCTATTTAAGGTCAAGTCAGATGTTCTCAATCAGGATGTTCTGCTAAAGAACAGAATTCATGGTTCCATCAGTTACAGCGGTTTGTCCAGGTCCTGAACCAGCCCCAGACCATCACACCACCACCACCATGTCTGACTGTTGCAATGGTAATGTTGTAGTGTTAGTTTGAAGACATGGAATGATAGCCTAGTGAACTAGACCAAATTCTTGCTTTGCAAAGTTTGTAGATGTTTAAAGGAATACATTACCACCCCACCTTGACTCTTTTCTATAGTTGAATCATGACCTCTGACCTGAAATGTCTTTGTCACTGAGAAACTATGTAACACTTTTCTTAAACTTCTCATTAGCCACTGAAAGGAAATATTCATGTGAGAAAAAAACCTGGTCTCTTCTACATCCCTGAGAAAATTAGTATGCATGGCCCCACCCACCTAGGCTTGGGACCGCCCACGGGAATGCTGTATTAATTTTGCAGCCAGGAAAGAGCAGAGCACATCTCAGCTAGTAGAAGCTAACTGTTATCAGCTCCACAACATGGCAGAACATGTTCAGGTTTTTGTTATTTGTGGAGATAAAGCATCAAGTTGGAATTTTTTACCCCAAAAAATATGTTTTATGGTATTCTGAGTTTTGATAACAAAGGCAGCCGAAAAGTTGCTTTGCTGTCAGCCAATCAGAGGCTAGGTGTTTGTATATCATGAATATTAACGAGTACAATGCTGTTGTTTTCTGCCCTCTGCTCCTCCGACTTCTAACCCACTGAAACAATAGCACCCATTTTTTTCTCACAGAAAACCTCTCACGAGGCATTAACTCATACTACTGTAGAGTCCACAGCTAATTTATTGAAATAATGAGTGAATGATGCCTTTAACTAAGTTAGATCTGCAGGGCTTTAGATGTTTTTCTTGGTTCTTTTTTCTCTTGAATTCCTTTAGAACGGATCGTGATGTGTTGCTTTTTAGGATCTTTTAATCAGGTCTGGGTGGGGCTGAACTTTGCATGGCGTAAATTCATGATTTAAAAAAGGACCAGCTACTTTTTCAGACAGACTGGTTGGGGAAACTTTCATTCTTTGAATGGCTCAAATCATGATTTGAAAAATCCATTTCATATTTACTCAGGTTATCTGCAAATGTCACTGACCAGACACCCTTTCTTTTCACTCTTTAAGGTGAGCTGCAAAGGCTCAAATCCAAGGGCATCTCAAAATGAGTCGTTCAGAAGCTCCGCCCTCACGTCTTCAGATTTATGGGTCTCGCAAAGGAGATGAAGCAGTGGGCCACAATGATGCTCAATTCCCAGACCTGTCAGCCTTCCTCAGCCAAGAGGAGCTGGATAAAAGTGTGAATCTAGCCTGCCAAGCCATCGGACATGGCCCTCACGAGGAAAGGGTAGACGTCAAGGTCTCAGTGACAACAATGCCCACCTCTAACATCTCCTCAGCCCCCGTGTCTTTATCTACACTTCCCTCCATTTCATCCTCCAACCACTCTCCGGCTCCTTTTGCCAACCCAGTTGTACCTTTTATTCAGTCCGCTCCCGAGGTGAAAGAACTGCCAGCAGCACACACAGCAGTCACTTTGGACAGAAAGGTGCACAAACCGTCCACACACCAAGACAAAGTAATGAGGAACAGCAGGAACTCTACTGAAGGGTTTGACAACCACAGCAGTCCGGCAAAAAGTGCCCCGTATGGTGTGGAAACCCAGTCCAAGAAGGAGTTCCTTAATAAGGCGGCAGACTTCATCGAAGAGCTCTCGTCCCTTTTCAAGGCCAACAGCTCCAAACGTGTACGACCAAGAGCTTGCAAAACCCACAGGAGTAGACTCCAGAACAAGAACGACCAGATGGAGTTTCCTGGCAGCGCTGATAACAGAGAGCGAGCTGTCCTCCCTCTGGAGGCGGAGAAGGAGATACCTAACCTGGATTTTAGCCAACTCCCAGTGGTCCAACAGGACCCTGGATGCGAACAGGTGGAGTTTCAGGACAACAGGACTTGTGAAGAAGAACAGTTTGATTCAGTATCACAGGATATAAGGGATCAAGCTGGAAGTTTTCCTTCAACAGAAACTTCACATCAAGCAGAATCTGCATGCGAGCCTCCTCATTTCATCCAGAAACTGAAAAGCAGGGAGGTTCCTGAGGGAACCAAGGTCCAGCTAGACTGCATTGTAAGAGGTCATCCATTGCCTGAAGTCCGGTAAGACTATATGTCACTTTATATCTCTCTCCTTTGAATGTTTGAATGTAACATTTGCAGAAGTTTGCTCTGCTTTTCAATGTTTGTGAGAATACCTAAAACAACGCACAGGGATCCATCTTCTGGCCAAACCTCTGAAGGCTGGATACCAAACCCGCCGTTCACCCTAACCCTAACCCTAACCCGAACACCAAAGGTTCCATGCTAATTTACATCACCAGTCCACAAGTATCATGAACATGAAATCTATAAAAGTGCAAAAGAATCAATGTTGTGTTTTCGTTTCGGCTATAAACTGAGAGACAGCAGTAGCCCAGGAGGTAGAGCAGGTTGTCCGATCATCAGAAGGTTGCAGGTTTGATCCCAGCTCTGACCAAATCAGCACAAAATTGAAGATGGCAGAATAAATGAATGAAACACTAACAGTGTATGGCAACTCTTCTCTACTTTTATAGCAGCACTGCCTGTCCAGTGCTCTTCATGTGACTGACTGATAAGGGGAGGTTTCCTCTCCACTGTCACTACATGCTTGCTTAGTATGAGAGATTGCATCAAGTCATTGACACAAATCAGTGACTTGATGCAATCCGATGGGTTTTCATAGGAAACTTTGAACCAACTGGTACAACGAGCTGAACTCAGTGCACTGATAAGTAGATTCAATTGGAATGTTTACTTGAGACGACTTGTTGTTAATTGACCCTATATAAAAAAATGAATTGAATTGATCAAGTAAGAAAAACGTAAATTCAGTTGGTGTCTACGTTTGTTTAGAATTAAAGCTGTTATAGCAAATTTGGAAAACAAATGAGCTCAAAACATTTTTTTCATGCCGCTTAACAACATTTTAACATAGTATAGCTATAAATATATTGTTGAGATAAAAAACATGAAAAAAATGAAAGTGGTTCTCTTGTATTTGTCTAAAAACCTCTACCAAGAACTAGCCTAGCCTGCCAGACTCGCCCTCTGTGTAATTCTGCACAGAGAGAGAGAGAGAGTCTGGTAACTCACAGGCAGAGAGGCTCATGAGGGGCGGGACTAGCCTGCTCAAAAATAACCAATCAGAAAAAAGACGGAAATGCTGACTGTACCGCGCAACGCTGTAGTTTGTTAGCTATTGTCCAAAATGGCGTCTGGCGACAGTGCAAACATCTTCCTTTAGAAGAAATACTTTTAGCGCTTCTACTCGTTTTAAAGACGTGTCCAAATCATTTAGAACAGAGGAAAGAGCCGCAGCGAACTCCGCTTCAGTTGCCATGTTCGACGAACACGGCGTTGTGGTGTGTGACATACGCTGCTCAGCGCTGATTGGCTCGGTTAGAATTCTCACGGAGACGGGTTATTTGAATAGGAGAGTTTCCAGACCATTTCTCTGTGCAGAATTAAACAGGAGTCTGGCAGGCCAGGCTAACTAAAAGTAACTACTGGACCATCCGGTTGTCGGTGTTGTTGGACTTCCGCACTTCCCTGGGCCGTTCATTCATTGTGCATTTGTGGATTTAGCAACAGAACACCACTGGTGTGACAGATTCCCTGTTCAAGAACATCAGAGGAGGAGAAACAGCCGGCTGCTACCACTTCAACTTTAGGACAAACTACCAGAGTCCCAAAAAGAAAAACACCATTTTAGGTCACAGACAACAAAAGACGTTTGGACCTAGAAAACGGTCACTGGTGTTTAGCGCCGTCTTGTTTCCTCCTAAAATTCAATTTTCCAGTTCTGGCATAAGCGTCTTAGGGAAAACACCAGAGGGGAGGGGTGGGTGTTCTGTGACCGTGTTTGTGTTCAAAACCTAGCTTGTTCTGCAGATTTGATATAACAGCTTTAAATATTATATGTTAAACTTAAAGTTTTTTTTTACAAATCAAACTGAATGTTAGGTCTTTGTGTTCGTTTAAACTGGTACCGTCCCCTTATTTTACCCTCCTTTTTAGGTGTCCAAGACCTCTAGTAGATTCATTTTCCATTTATTCCTCACCAATAATCCACTTTCACCGTGATGTAATGCTCACACACGCTTCTCCTCCGTGTCTGTTTTGTTAGACAAGCCTTAAAACAACAGTTAAAATTAGAAATTCCCTTCCAGATCAACGAAAGCGGACTTGAAAGAGAGCAGCTGAGATGTCAGAGTTGGAGGGGAGGGCTTGTTATTCCTTCTGAACATTGTTGAGCCACTAACTTATGCTCGTCTGTGGAGAATGTAGCCCTCTGCCATTTTTAGATGGGACTGGCAAGACGAGCTGTAGTGGTGTCTGATAATGGAGCTGGCTGAGCTCTCGGCTGAAGCATGAGGAGTTCGGTGAGATCATTTTTAGTATTTGAGGCTTTTTACTAACTTTTTTGTGTCCATTTAACAGAACACAAAGTTTTTTCCTCTATTTCCCAATAACTCAGTATATTTTATTACTCCTGAACTCGTGTTCTTATCGTATATGTTAGCTTGTTTTTCGGACGTAGTGATTTACATCAGAAACACCAAACTCAAAGACTCGGGTCCTTTTTGCCAGTATTACAGGGCAGTTCCATCTCTTGTTTTTTTACTGTGTATAGCATTGTGTGTATACTGAGTCTATGTTTAGTGTTGTAGTCAGAGGTCCAATGCTCCAGAGGGAATCTCCTCCATGGACCTCGAGAGGAAAATAACCCAGACAGGTGCAGCAAGCGGGGGCCTTTGCCTCATACCTCCTCCTTGTTACTCGTGTCTGTACTTTAGAGCCTTACTCGTTAAACGTTTGTTTTGGGCAGAACACTGACAGAACATTCCAGCAGCATGGGCTTGAGTCAACAACAAAAGCATTAAAGCTGAGAGGATTTATAGCTTGGACAGTTTCTTTTTTTCTTTTTTTGTGAGATTTACGGCTGGGTGATGATGCTGCCCTGCACATCACTCCCTTCTCCATGGTTTATTGGTTGGACGTGATGAAGTGTTAAGGCCTCATCCTCTCAAAATAGATGTGCACCAACATAGAAGCTGAATGCATGTTGCTGGTTAGGCTGGAGGAGAAATCAGATGCTCGTCATCTGTAAAACAGACTGAGTCATGGCAATTTTTGCATTTGATCATGATTTTAGCGATGGCAGCCATCTTGAATGACGTTTACTCTAATGTACATCCAATGGTTACTTTCTGACATTTTATTTAAAGACCAAGTTCAATGGGACAGTTTTTTTTGTTATTTTTTAAATATGATCGGTCCCTCGGAGTTTAACACGAAGGCTAAATATGAAAATAGTCTTCTAGCCTTATTTCCTGCATAGAGAATAGACGGAGACACGCTCAGATTAGACAAACCAGTCGAATAGCATTCACGGACTCGCCCATCTTGGCACGCGATATAGAGGTAGCTGTTGTTGGTTTAGTGACCAGGAGAGAGCAGAGCACATCTCGGCTAGTAGAAGCGCCGTTAGCGTTAGCGACTCCACCACACAGCAGAACTCCTCCAGGCTTGTGTTATTTGTGGAGATAAAACATCAGCATTGCAGAGTGAACAAAGTCAGTGGTAAAGTTGCATTGCTGTTAGCCAATCAGAGGCAAGATGTCAGATTGTCAGGAAATAAAATTCCAAAACTTCTGCCCACCTCTGCTTTGGTTCACTTCCAGTGTTGCCAACTCAGCGACTTTGTCACTGTTCCTAACGACTTTTTGACCCCCCTCAATGACTTTTTTTCCCAAAAAGCGCCTAGCGACAATTCTCAGGACCCGTTGCTACTTTCTGTAGAACTTTCTTGTAGATATTCCTACAGATTAGCAACAAAGAAACCATTTGCACTCTGAACCGTTCTTCCGGGAGTAAGGAAAGAGAACGATAATCTGCACATGTGCACGAGGACTGACCAATCATAAACCGTTTTCAGCCGGGCTGATTTGCCGAAGACAAAGGTACAGCTGCAGAAAGGTACAGTTGCAGAGCTGGAGACGCTTCTACTAGAGACGGCGCAGGCGTCAACCTGCGATCTCTGGTTCTGCAGCCGCCAGACACTTTGGTTTTTCCTGCATTTGGCAAATAAAGTCAACGGGAGTTTCAACTACCGTCCCGTTTACACACGCAGCTCTGTGGCTCATGTGAATTTCCTTCAGTGACACAGGGATGGTTATACCATGAGACACCCGCTCCCTTTTGCTCGGTGCGCCGTTATTATCACGATGGAGAGAAGTTGGGAAACTATGAGGTGTAAAAAAAAATAGCTTTTTAGGAAAATGGCTGTGAGAATGAGGAGAGCAGGAGGTCTGAGTTATATCCTATAACAGAACTGTTTGGATCACCACACCATATCTGTCTTAATGTCACTTTATTGATACTTTTGGAATTTATTGTACATATCAAAGCAATTTGGGCCATTTTAATCATACTAATTAATAACTTTAACACACAACATAGTTATTATTTTCCTCCCTTTTAGTCATATATATATATATATATATATATATATATATATATATATATATATATATATATATATATATAGCGCATCTAAAAGATGCCATATATATATATATATATATATATATATATATATATATATATAGCGCATCTAAAAGATGCCATATATATATATATATATATATGGCATCTTTTAGATGCCATATATATATATATATATATATATATATATATATATATATGTGTGTGTGTATATATGTATATATAGCATCTTTTAGATGCTATGGGGAAAATGAACGCCAATGTGGCGTGATGACGTCATCAATATGTAAATTCGCACGCAACGTCATCTGGCGACATCTAGCGACTTTGGGGGGTAACTTCAGCTACTCTCAGTCAAAAGCAGTTGGCAACACTGCTCACTTCTAGTTCCTGAAACAGGAGCGCCAGACCTTTTCCCCACACGGGAAAGTCCACTGCAGATCTTGTGCTGAAAAATGTTTATGCCAAAGCTTTGAACAAAGTTCTTGCACAAACTGTTATCACTCAGACTCTGAGTTGTGAACAAGTCTCAGCTGTTAGTAAACCAAGTTTTAGCTCAACATCTGTAACTGTCTGAGTGGTGGCCATCTTGAATCGGTCAGTTATCCGCTGACAGTGAACTACAGATTTTTGTTGAACTGCAGGTGGTTTTGTGAAGGCAAGGAGCTGGAGAACAGTCCTGACATCCAGATCATCACCAGCGGAGAGCTGAACTCTCTGATCATTGCAGAGGCCTTTGAGGAAGACACCGGTCGCTATTCCTGCTTCGCTTCTAACGTCTACGGAACCGACTCCACATCGGCTGAGATCTATGTTGAAGGTGATTTTCACATATTTTAGGTCTTATTTATGGTCACAGCAGATGTTGGTGTCTGAGGAATGCTTGTTTGTTGAATCTTACAGGTGCTACCTCCTCAGATTCGGAGGAAGATCAGCAGCTTGAACATGTAGCGCAGTGAGTTCCTGTCCCGCTGGACACATTTCTTTTGCTTTACTTTTCCTTTTTACATCAAACCAGGTTGGTTTGGTTGGTCTTCATTTCTCTTGAGAAATTAAATAGCCATTTGAAAACTTCTTTTTTCTTTAGTTAGTTTGTCTGACATTAAAATGTGTTGGTGGTTCTGAAACAACACATTATTGCTGAAAAGACAAAAAAAGCCTCTCATTCTGTCCCGATTCTGTTTTTAAAGGCTGCAGAGGAATCAGCTGAAGTCGCATTTACCGCGATCATCCAACCGGACTCAGCCTGCTGGGAAAGAGGACTTGGAGTCATCTCAGGCTGTGACAGCCTCACGGGAACCAGCAGAGGAGCTCTCGTCTCCAAACCTTATCCAGATCTTTTCAGAAGCTCCTGTTGTAGTTCAGACATCTTCCGTCCCAGAACACTTGAATGCCTCTGAGCTGAATCCTTCTCTGGCGGACACCACAGAGTTACCTGTTCAGGTGCTTTCAGACTCACTAAATACTGCAGAACCCATAGAAGCATCCGCCGCAGTCACATCAGCACCACAGCTGGAGCAAACGGTTTCCACAACAGTTACCTCCCAGCAGTTGAATTCACCTGCCCCACCTGACCCATTGACTCCTGCACAAACACACACACTCCAGGTGATAAAACACAGCGGTTTCCTTCTTAATGCTCTCCACTGGATTCTGAGTCATTTAATCTAGTCTTCTGGTGTTTTTCTCCAGAGTCAAACCTCCAATCATAACTTTTCACATGGAGTAAGTGAGCAGTTGGCTGTCACCGCTCCAGCATTCACCAAGGTAGAGTCCTTCTTCATTCATTCACTGGACTGTAAGAGTCTCAATGTAACCATCGGCCCAAACCTGTCCTACCAGAACCTGCAGGACATCACTGCATCAGAAGGCCAGCTGGTGGTGCTGGAGTGTCGTGTGAAGGGGGTGCCATCACCTTGGGTGGACTGGTACAGAGAAGGAAATCTCATAGAGGACTCGCCGGACTTCAGGATCCTGCAGAAAAGTGAGTTAAACACCCGCAGATGATGTACGAGCTCCTAAAGATAAACGCTAAAGCTCACATCCAGCCTAAGAAAATGTAACGTTATGAAGTTCATTATTTTCAGCTCCACACAGCTGCCCCTGTACACAGTAACACCCGTGTAGAAAACGCCAAGGTCGGGTGTTCCTCAGACTGTTTACATTCCAGGAGAAGAGCCAGAAGGAGAAGAAGAACGCTTTTCAATAATCAAAGTACTTAATTTGTGATTAAAGCTAGTCGAAACAGATGTTGATCAATAATAATCAAGTGAATGATCTGTGGAATAAAGATGTCATGATTTATGTGTTTAATGAAAACAGGACTACTGCACAGACAGACTGACCCTCATCTCCATAGAAACGCATGACACATTGTTCCAACCAATCAGAGCTTTCGGCTGCCTGTCTGATGCACAGGAAAGCAGCAACGTTAAGATTTTGTCGGGTTGACCTGAGAGATTAGAACGATGAAGACATCCTACTCAGCAAGTCGACCTTTTTTCTGAGTGCGTTTTGCAATCAGAAGCCAGAATTTAATTCTAAAGTCTAATTATTACTAAAGCACATTGAAGTTGGAAAAAACTCTGAAGCAAACAAGAGATCAGTGAAATCACATCATTTTACTAAAACAGTACAGAATGGAGGACATAATGAAAAAGTTCCAAAGCCGCCTTCGGCTGGGAAGTGAGTTTTACTCTACAGCGACGTTTACGTATTGGGCCATTAGTACGCCAAGCGTTCAATAAAATACCTCGGTTTCTTTTATTTACTCAGTAAAATCAAAAGGCATCGATAGTAAAACAGAACCTTTGGTTGTACTTTAAATACTTTCAAGTTGTTTCCGCGACATTTCAACTTTGATAAAAAAACAAAACCTTGTGATTTCATAATAATAATAATAATACATCAAACTTATATAGCGCTTTTTAGGACACTCAAAGAATCTTTCACGCACTCTCACATTCACACACTGCCAGTGATGGTAAGCTACTTTGTAGCCACAGCCGCCCTGGAGCGGTCTGACGGAGGCGAGGCTGCCATTTGGCGCCGTCGGCCCCTCTGACCACCACCAACAAATGCAAGTTGGGTGAAGTGTCTTGCCCAAGGACACAACAGCAGACTACCCCTGGCAGGAGCTGGAATCGAACCCCTCTGATCAAGAGGCAACCCGCTCTACCTCCTGAGCTACTGCTGCCCCAAATTTGATTTTTCCTAGCAACGATCACCTCTACTTATATTTTTGGTTTGTTGGAAATCTAATAATTCAGACTTAAAGTGGACATGTTGCACAAAACTCACCTTTTGCATTATTTTGCGATGTCATGTGGGTCTCTACTGCATCTATAAACACACCAAATGGGAACAAAAACTGTCCATCTGTATTCTGTCAGAGTTTGGCTTCAGAAATCATGTGGCTAAAAGAGGCATTTGAAAAGGTCTCTTATTGTGATGTCACAATAAGGATTATTAACATAGCCCTCCCCCAATCAACCGTCAACCCTGGAGGAGCAGCAGCTCTATCCCAAGCCCCTCCTGGATGTTCAAGCACCTCGTAAAAGCCTATCAGAGGATTGGTGGGCGTCACCAGCAACAGATTGCTTTCTTAAAGTGACAGAGCCCTTAAACGGCTCATTCTTGAATGTACTGAAAATTTCAAGAATAAAATAGCTGAAATTGCATTATTCAATTCAATTCCATTCAAGTTTATTTATAAAGCGCCAAATCATGACAAGAGTCGTCTCACGGACCTTCACACAGTAAACATTCCAATACAGGTCAGTTCGGTAAGCCAATCAGTAAAAACTTTCCTATATAAGGAACCCAGCAGGTTGCTGACTGGTGTCAGACTCTTTACAGCAATCCTCATGTGAGAGGGAGTTAGTGCAAACAAACTTCATATACGGTTTTGCATCAACCATAGCATTATTAAAACTGTTTCCCCTTTAATTCCATCTTTTAGTTCTTTTTAAAACACAGAAAGGTTTTCTTTACCTGCAACGTTTCGTTCGCGGCTGCAAACTTCCTCAGGCTGACGCTGATGGTGGCGTCACTTCCTACTCCGTTTATCCGCGGCCAGCAGAGGACGTTGTCGCCCTCTGCTGGCCACTCTCCCCTCTCCGATGATGCAGTCCCATGTGCGATCCAACGTTTAGACCCCATTGTCCCTGTTCATGGTCCCACATCCACGTCTCCTTATCTCTATAGCTTCTTTTGTCCATCTTTTGTGTTTCTGTTGTTCGGTGTTCATGATCCTTGTGTTGTCCCAGTCCATTATATAATAATGATAATAACTTTTTGCTTTCCTTGACGTTGGATGTGCTAATACTAATTTATCCGTTTACTTATAGATCCACTAGGACAAATACAATAAAGTTTATCTTTCACCCAAAAGAATATTTACTAAGACATCACAATATAACTATAGACACATTACTTGTCATTGTGTTTGTGCGTGCGTGCGTGTGTGTGTGTGTGTGTGTGTGTGTGTGTGTGTGTGTGTGTGTGTATGTGTGTGTGTGTGTGTGCCTGCTCTGTCTTCTCCATCCCCAGTGAGTCGTGGAGGATGGCTGCTTATACTGAGCCGGGATTCTCTGGAGGTTTCTTCCTGTTAAACGGGAGTTTTCCTCTCCACTGTCGCTACATGCTTGCTTAGTATGAGGATTGCTGTAAAGTCACTGACACTAGTCAGTGACTTGATGCAATTTGCTGGGTTCCTTATATAGGAAACATTATTTCTGATTGGCTTAATGAACTGACCTGTATTGGAATGTTTATTATGTGAAGTGCCATGAGACGACTCCTGTCGTGATTTGGCGCTTTATAAATAAACTTGAATTGAATTGAATTATATGGTTTTCTCTTGTGCACTGATCTGTTACGGCTGACTTCTTTATTGTGCTTTCTGCTTCTTGTTTTGCTGCTCTTGTGTGTTTTCGACTTGTTTCTTTCTCGCACTCCTTTCTATGTTCTGTTGTTCGTGTGTTGAGTTGGCGTCCGGTTTCTCCTACGTATGTTTTATTGCAGAGTTTGCGTGGGATTTCGTAAACGACTCCACATTTAGTCCAGCTGGTATCTTGTCTTTTGGGTGCACTAGTCTGTTTCTAACTGTTGTGTACGGTTTTGTTGGTGTGTTTATGTTGTGTTTTTTCATCGTCGCTCTTATTTTTTCTGTTATGCCTTTGATGTATGGTAGGGTCATCACTGGCTTTGGTTCTTGTCTTTCTGGGTTTCTGGAATTAGAATTTCAACACAGCAAGAACACACCAAAGATGTTTCCCCTTTAAGTGTGATCTGATGCTTGTGTTTCTTAAGCTTTAAACTTTATCCCAACATCAGCTTTTTAATTGAAGTTCGCTAACGGTGTTGGTTCTTGTGTTTGTTTCAGAGCCCAGATCTCCTGCTGAATCAGGTACACGTCTCATTCTGTCAATATGTGTCAAAAACTAAAGCCTGTTTTTAATAGAAGCAGCAGAGTATTACTGCGGTGACGCGTTTAAAGTCTTTGGCCGAGACTTCTGCTGCCTTCTGTACATAAGCCAGGGTTGCTCTTCCCACAAACCTGGTCCTTATAAGGGATTCTCCCTCCCTTAGCCGAACATTATGGCAGACGGGCGCAGTGGCTGCACACAGACTCGGCTCCAATGCTGCAAAAAACAAAAAAGGAAAACTTTACTGAGCACTGGAAAACAAGAGTGATACATCTCTATTTATTATTATTAAATTAAAAAATATCTTTTTAGTTTGGCCTGAATTTTTCCTTCTTCACCTCCAGAGGAAATTTGTTCCTTGGTCATCGCTGAAGTCTTTTCTGTGGATTCAGGAAGGTTCACCTGTACAGCTAGCAACAAGTATGGAACTGTGTCCAGCACTGCTACGCTAAAGGTCAAAGGTAATACTTCTCTTGCATTAAATACAAATCTAAATGATTCTTTCTATATCCATGTGTTGTTTATCCATCTCCTGTTCTTCTCAGGTAACAGCTGCACCACGCAAGTGAGGCATGTGAGCGGTTCAGTGGAAGAGCCCGATCAAACCCAAGAGCTTTTTCCATTACCTCCAGCTGCAAACTCCCAACCAGAAGTTCCAGTGACCAGTAGCATCAAGCCCCACTCCAGCACCATCCACCTAGAACCACTTGTCTGCAGCACGTCACGCCCAAACCCCCTAAGCACCTGCACTCTCCGGCTGGACCCCAACGGGTCCAGCATGTTTCGTCCAGACGCCCTCCGCACCAGCCTGTCTGGTCCGGATCCGTCCAGTCTAACAAGCTGCTCTGGTCGGAATTATTTCAGTGCAAGCACCCCAAAACTGGATCCTCCTTCTGTCTACTTGGATCCTCAGGGATCATCTGGGTCACAAACAGAACCACGGGGCAGCAAAGAAACTCTCTTAAACCAAAAACCCTTCACTTGTTCACCTGCTGACGAGCAGGAAGTCTCCAGACCTTCTGTGACATTGCCGGACTCGAGCTCCAGTCTCAAAGGAAATGGGAGCCCGTGCGTTGTCCCCCTTCCCGATCCTCCTCCCAACTCCTGCCTGAAATCAGGAACCCTGACGAACTACAAAGACTCCCGCTCCGGCTCCAGAGTCGGTCTGCGCGTGCACTTTAAACTGCCCGAGGATGAACAAGAGGATGGGTCCAGTCACTCTGATGAAGACATCGGTCTGGCATCAGGCAGCAAAGAGCCGCCCCCGGTGCTAGCCAAACCCAAACTGTGAGTAAAGATGAAAATAGGCCAACGGGGTGGTCTGTAATTAGAATTAGCCTCACCCCCCCCCCCCCCCCCCCAAAGAGCAGTTTTAACCTTGTGGTGTGTAGCGAGACGTCGTAAAGGAGAGGAGGACATTTTGAACGATGAATGCTCCTGTTGTGATTATTAGCCAACAAATAATTTGTAAGCTTTACTTACTTTTTGGATTCATCAATAAGATTCGTAAATATGGAAATATTTACCGATTTATTACGTAATTAGGATATCCGTGGATATCCTCGGGGCACCATCCCCGTTTGACAGGGGAAAACGAATCCAAGCCTCTTATCAATTCGTCTGAAGTTCATAAAATTCTTTTCATGAGCAGCAGTTGTATTTGATAGACCACACAAACAAATCACCTGAGACAAAACTTAATTGGCAATAACATTTATTAACTAATAAGACCACTTCAGCTCCTCCCAAAGCGTTTAGCCAATTGAGTTTTGTCTCAGGTGATTTGGCCACAGCATAACCAAACTTAGATATTAAACAATAACAGAACGGCTTACTATGAGATGATCCGATGGCGGTTTTGGTACGGAGGAGAGAAACCGTTTGTTATTTTAAAGCAGTCACGCGGTCAACCGCTTGTTAGGACCATAAGAGAAAACGAGAGAGAAAGAGAGAGAGAGAGGGGGAGAAACTCTTGTTTGAGCGAACCCGAAGCGTCCCTCGGAGTTCAAACGAACCAGATGGAGGTTCCGTTGCTTCCAGCGGTCAGGCCTCGTGCCTGCGTCCGGAGCCGTAGCAGTGGTCCCTTTCCGCCCAGTTTCATCTGGTGTTGAAGAAACCACTGCTACGGCTCCGGACGCAGGCACGAGGCCTGACCGCTGGAAGCAACGGAACCTCCATCTGGTTCGTTTGAACTCCGAGGGACGCTTCGGGTTCGCTCAAACAAGAGTTTTTTCCCTCTCTCTCTCTCTCTTTCTCTCTCGTTTTCTCTGATGGTCCGAACAAGCGGTCGACTGCGTGACTGCTTTAAAATAACAAACGGTTTCTCTCCTCCGTACCAAAAACGCCATCGGATCATCTCGTAGTAAGCCGTTCTGTTATTGTTTAATATCTAAGTTTGGTTATGCTGTGGTCAGGCTGACAGACTTTAGATCTTTCATTTGCCTTTGATTGATCTTTTGTTGTGTTTCTTGATCTTTGTGAAGCGGTTTTGAAGTGTTTTTAAGTTTTACGGTGAATGTTAAGCCACTGACTGTGTATTTGAGAAGACAAACACACACACACACACTTGTTTCGGTTCCTTGTTCATCCAGACAAAGGAACCGACATTTTGTTTTTCCAAAACTCACTCCATTTTGGTAATCAGCCTATCACTGCTGCTTACGTCATTTCAACCACCTACCGGATCAGATTATTATTTCACATTATCATCTCTCATTGTTTCATTGCTTGTTATTCGTTTGATAAAATAAGTTGGTTGATGTTGATTGGCTAAACGCTTTGGGAGGAGCTGAAGTGGTCATATTAGTTAATAAATGTTATTGCCAATTAAGTTTTGTCTCAAGTAAATTTGTTTGTGTGCTATAAAGACAACTGCTGCTCGTGAAAAGAATTTTTACGAACGTTAGACAGATTGATAAGAGGTGTGGATTCATTTTCCCCTGTTAAAAGGGGATGGTGCCCCGAGGATATCCACGGATATCCTAATTACGTAATAAGTCAGTAAATATTTCCATATTTACGAATTTTATTGATGAATCCAAAAAGTAAGTAAAGCTTACGAATTATTCGTTGGCTAATAATCACAACAGCTCCCATAATGAAAGGAGCTGAGTGGAGTCAACAGAAATAGCTAAAATATTCCAATCTAGCACAAGGTCGAATGCTTCATCGCTTGGCTCCAATACACAAAAATGAATCCTTTTACGTTCCCTTCCCTCCTCTTCTGCAGTTAGCTCAAAGTTTGTGTTAGCATTCTAGCTAGCACCACATTAGCTAACAGTAAGCATGGCATACAAAAATGATCTGCAATGTTATTTATTTTTTTAAGGGTGATGGTGGCGCATGAGCTAAGTGCTCGCCCCGTAATTGGAAGGTTGCAGGTTCGAGCCCCGCTCATTTTTTCGCTGTTGTTGTGTCCTTGGACTAGACACGTAACCCCCCTTGCTTGCTGGTGGTGGTCGGAGGGACCGGTGGCGCTGGTGCTCGGCAGCCTCGCCTCTGTCAATGCGCCCCAGGGCAGCTGTGGCTACATTGTAGCTCATCCCCACCAGCGTGTGAATGTGTGTGTGAATGGGTGAATGACTGATTGTGTTGTAAAGCACCTTGGGGGGTTCTAGGACTAGAAGGCGCTATATCAAATACAGGCCATTTACTATTTTACATTTGAATAAAATTTTGGTAAAATTCATGCAAATACAGTAAATGACTGTCATGTTCTCCGTCCCCCTCGTGTGTCTTTGTGTTCTCCAACCCTCTCCAGGTTCCCCCCATGTGTCCCCTTGTGGTCCCCAGCCCCCTCCAGGTTCTCTCCAGGTTTCCCTCATGTTTCCCTTAGTCACTCCGCTTATCATTAGTTTTCTGTCATTGTAGATTGTCTAGTTCGTTTCTCCTTTTAGGTATCATCCTCCCCTGTCCCCTGGACATTTGGATCTGGGCTTCCTGCCCCTTCTTGGATTTACAAGGCTGAAGTTAGCTTCCGATTCCAGCTTCCGATTCGGGAAACGGCTAAAGGGCCAATACACCCAATTTTTCTCTACTCTTGCCATCTTTAATCTGCTCTAGCTCAAAACCTACAACAGCCACGCTGTTCAAACCTGTTCTAGATTATTCTACTATAATAGCAGATTGCATACAACCTTGTTTGGGATTTGTGAAACCTTTCCCTGATTTGTGAAACTTCAACACAGATTGTATTTTTTCGTGACATGTAGCACAGTTACACAACAGCCACAACTATGCAAAAATAACTTTGTTTGCGTGTCTTAATTAAAAACAAGCATAAATGTTCAGCCTCAAACTTTTTTGTTCTCCACATTCCAGAGAACTTCAGATAATTGAACGTCTCTCCATTTCTGTTTTCAGTTTAAAAGTTCCGCTTTTTTGCTGCAAAAAAAAAAAGAAGAAATTTTCAGGTATTATGTATTTCTCCATTCCCAAAGACACACAACAAATCTTTTCTTGCAGATATCTTTCAGTGACTCAGATTGTCTTGCCTCTCATCCATCTCACCATGCTCATTCTTTTCCACTGCCTCAGCCCTGGTTTCAGAAAGGTGACACTCCGCGCTTTTCAGAGGTGTACGATACATTACGGTAATATGACGGAGTTCCTGTCTGAGAGCCAGCCCGGGAGAAAAAGACTATGCCGTTAGAACAATGGAGGAGCGGAGGAATTGTTTTGGAGGCGTATTTTCAAGATAGTCGGACTATCTGTGCTCGTTGAGGTGCTACTACGGGGCATGCGCAGACTGATTTTTTGAGGCTTTGTTGAAGTTTCACAAATCAGGAAAAGGTTTCACAAATCCCACACTGTGTTTTATTTGATCTGCTATTATAGTAGAATAATCTAGAACAGGTTTGAACAGTGTGGCTGTTGTAGTTTTTGAGCTACAGCTGTTCCATCGCTGGCCACATGATGAAAAAACGCATAAATCATGCTTTGCTGAAGTTTCACAAATCAGGGAAAGGTTTCACAAATCCCAAACAAGGTTGCATGCAATCTGCTATTATAGTAGAATAATCTAGAACAGGTTTGAACAGTGTGGCTGTTGTAGTTTTTGAGCCAGAGCAGATTAAAGATGGTCAGAGTAGAGAAAAATTGGGTGTATTGGCCCTTTAGCCGTTTCCTGAATTGGAAGCTGGAATCGGAAGCTAACTTCAGCCTCGTCTTGGATTTTTGGTTTTTGGACAGTTATTCCTAAATAAAGGATTTTACGTTTAGCTCCGCCCCTGCCTTTGTGTCGTTCTGGGTTTCTGCATCTTGGGTCCTGACCTCCTCCTGGCTCACATCGTGACAATGACTCAGTATTTACCTGTTAGTGATGTGTCGGTCGCGAACGAACCGGCTCTAAGAGCCGACTCTTTGAAGTGAACGACGGGAGCCGGCTCGTCATTGGGAGCCGTCCCCTCCCCTCCCCCCTCCCCCCCCCCCTGCCTTGGTGAAAGCTACAGGCGATTGGTCAACATGTGTATCTGTGTGTCCAGACTGTCCACACACAGAGCAGTAGGGGCGGGGAAGAGGGAGGATCAGACTCAGACACACAGCAGAGCACATGTGGGAGGAGGGAGACGAGAGGGAATGAGGAGGAGGAAAAAGGCGAGCGAGAGGGAGGAGAGCGCGACGAAGACGGTGAGAAAATGAGCGCCAGCAGTCGGAAAGTGGAGATTTCTTAAAGTGTTTAGTTATTAAATCCATAGAAATGATAAATATTTGATATATTGCTTTTTTTACATTTGTAAATTATTTTACATATAGTTTAGCATTATTTTGGTTATAAATGTACTCAACGCAACAGAAAATCTGAGGAGCCACTTGGGAGCCGAAAGAGCCGGCTCTTTTTGGTGAGCTGAGCCAAAAGAACCGGCTCTCTAACAAGAGCTGGAATTCCCATCACTATTACCTGTCCTAAAGAAACTTTGCCAACGCTTCATCGGTTTTGAGCCCTCGTAGACCACAAAGCTTCCTCCATTTTTTATGTAAATGTTATTTGACTGTCGTAAACGTCTTATAGGCGAGCTCTGCTGGACTTTTAAGCTGTTTACGTTTTCTTTGAGAAGTAGAAGGGAGTTGAGGAATTGGTAACTTTGGTATTTGGTTGCTCTATTGCCAGCCTCTTCGTCTTCATCGGTGTGCTAAGCTGAATGTGGCGAGTCACCTCATAGAGCATGTTTGACAGCTCCCTCTTGTGGATAAGGAAATCTATTGGTCAACGCTCCAGGCTAGTGAGAATTAGAGGCCGGGGGAGGGACTTAGGGGATGCATAAGTCATGAAAGATTGCCTACTTCATATCACCGAACAGAGCCACACAGCCAAATGCAAATTACTTTAATATTTGTAAACAACGTTCCAGCTTTAATAGGACGGTAATTGTCTACATTAGCTGTTAGCTCAGTCCTGTTGGCAGGGGCGCAGTGCTGTAGCTTTTGCAGAAGGGGAAAAAATCTCACACAGGTCAAATCTTTGTCGCTGGAGTCTGCTGGTGTGGAGGTGTGTGGATAATAAAAATGACGCTAACATGATAAACTGTGTTAGTTGATTAGTTACCAGCAGTATTAACAGGAGAGGACGTGCGAACGTCACCGCTGCTGCAGCGTTGATGTTCACTAGTCCAGAGCGGGTCAAAACACCTCATTAACTCTACGTTATCGTGTATTTTGTGCCCAAAGGCTTTTGTATGTTCGTAACGCTTCCTCCCTTGATAAAATATCTACTTTGGAGTTATTGCAAGTTGCCCTGTTGTCATGCTTTCTTGTAAAACATAACCAAACTTTCGAGCGTTTGTGCCGCTTAGACGCCATGCTTCCTGCTTCAGTAAGCTACGCAACGTACGTGGGGACGTCATTTGCGCCGACTGGAATTGATGGGGCGAATCGTTTGCAAAAGTAGCAAACAATTCCTAGGAATTGAAACAATGGGAATGATTCCCGACCCTAATGAACACTGGTCTTTCCTTGGGGCGCCACTGCCTGTTGAATGTTAACTTTATTTCTCCAAACAGAGGCCCTTCAGGACGCTTCCGCGCCAGAAAAAACGTGATTATTTATCATTTTAACACAGAGAAACACTTTAAAATGTCGAACTCTCCTTTAACTCGATGGGCTGAGTTCCCGGCAGCAGAGGAGGCAGGAGCTTTCTCCAGCGTTGGCTCACACAGCAGCTGCAATCACGCCGGCTCAGAAACGAACGCATGCGAGCTTCAAATGTGGATCTTCCGTCTTTCTAAAACCAAGGATGGCGTTTTTTATTTGTAAGTTTGCTTCTGTTGACTCATTCTGATCTATGTCAAATGTAAATAACTTTTGCTTAGAGGTTTTAGGGTTTTTTATGTGTCACTAACAACAACGTGTCCATTATCGAATATATTGTTCAGTATAATTTGCTGTATGTGAGCATGGACGGATTTATGGGTAAGTGAACACGATTTGTTGTTTCTTTCTGTGTTTAAACCTTTGATGGAGCCTTTTGTGAGCCACTTGTTTACAGCCCATATAAGGGCAGATATTCCCACTCGGACTCACGCTCATTCCTGCTGAGGTGGCGACACGTTTCATGCTCCTCTCTCTTCACTATGTTTGGTTCTCATCAGCTTTGTGTCCTTTCTGTTTTTGTTTGACTCGCAGGGACCCGGCTCAGCTTCAGCTTTTGCACAGCCAAGTTCTCATGGAGCAGCAGCAGCAGGAAACCGAACCCCAGACCCAAACCCACTCCCAGCCTAAATCCAAGCCTCCATTCCAGGTCGAAGACCCTTCTGAGGTCCACAGCTCCCAGGAAAGGTTTCCCTGGTCTCCCAGGTTCCCCCGTGAACCTCAGGAGCCATCGCCCCAGTCCCATCTCAACACAACGGTGGCCCCACAGCTCACCCCCACACTGACAACCTCGTTCCCTGTTCCTTCTTCATCAGCACTCAGCTCCACCAACACCTCCTCTGCGCCTCCTTTTAGCGTCCCTCCTTCCATTCAACAAATTAAAACTGCGATGACGTCTCCCCCTCTTGCGCCTCTACTGAACACCACTCCCGTTTTTAGTGTGCCACCCATTAGCCAGATCAACACCATCCATGCTTCCCACCTGAACCTCTTCCCTGCAGCTCTTGCCAGAACTTCCTCCAAACCCCCATTTTTTACCTCTCCTGCACCAACGACTCCCACAGTTCCTGCGGACCCACCCCTGACCCTACAGGACATCACATCGCCCACCCCTCAGCTGAAAAGCACTCACGCCTCCCTCCTGAATCTCAGTCTGATCTCCAGCACCTTCAACTACGCCCGGCCCAAAGAGTTCATAACGGCTCAGACCTTCTCACCGGTTAGGAGTCCTTCCCCGACAGAATCACCAGTCCCTCTGCTCCAGGAGCTGGCTGCGGAGCTCAACTCTTCAGAAACCAGCTCTCCCATCCCCCCGCCATTCTCCCCTCCACCCAGGATCTCCCCAACTAGGGTGCTCAAGTCTCCCACCAGCCCTCCGTCCCTGGTGTCCTCGCCCACCCCGGGGTCAGTGCCGTACCTGAACAGCATGCTGGCCTTACGTGCCCAGTCACCCCCACAGGCAGCCTCTCCCACCTCCAGCAGCTCCACCCCTAGCCCCATCCAGAATCCCGTAGCCTTTCTCAGCTCTGTCCTGCCGTCGCTGACCCCGAGTCAGCCCACCAACTCGATGGGCCTTCCCAAAGGAGCTCCAGTTGGGTACGCCTCCTCCGACAGACACAAGCTTGTGAACTGTTGTGTGTTTTACGGCGGCTTTGTCTTGTCTGCCTCTGCAGGGTTCTAAAGAAAACACCCAAGAAGCATTTCCTGTCAGCTGAGAACATCACCGAAAGCAAAGAATTCCTCATCCTTGACATCCAGAAGAAACTTCGACTTAAGGATGACACTCCACAATTTTCTTATCAGCAGGTAGACTTCAGCAACAAAAACAAATTCCAGGGATGTTATGGTGCATGAACGTCATTTGGCTCTCAAAGTGGATCTACTGGCTACTGATGTGTGTGGAAACTGTTCCTGGGACTGCTTATTTTTTATTTTACTGTAGCAGCTGGGGTTTTGTTTTGAAAAGGTTGTCTTTCAACAGATGTTTTAAATATATCTGTCAGGTTGAGCGCAGGAGGTCAGGACCCAGTGATGCAGAACACCAGATCACTCGAGGCAGGAGCGGTTGTTGAAAGTAAATCCTTTATTTAGGATGATGGGTAATTATCCAAAGGTGCAGGAAGCCAAACCGAAAATCCAGAAAACAAACTGAACTACAAAAACAAAGCTCATTCATGAGCAAACACCTGGGGGTTCCTGGGGAGGACAGAACAACGCTGACGAAGACAACGGACCAACAAACGCTGAAGGACAAGACAGGGTTTTTAAACACAGAGGGGAGCAATCAGGGGAACAGGCGACAGGTGTGAGGAGTGAGGTCCGGAGGGAAGACAGGCGCCATTAATATAACTAAATGGGGAAAGAACTTAAGCAGAGGGGGAGATAAACCATAACCTATAACACACTAAATAACTAAACCTAAAGACTAAGGGCAAAGATAATGACTAGAGGGGTGAGGAGGACTAATAACCAATAGGAACTGCACGGGAGTGACATGAGGGAAGCCTAAGCCCCATTCCCACCTGTACCGGGTCGGCCCGGGCCGGGTAGCGTAGGTTGTTTACATATCTGGGTGGCCTGGAATTTTCCCGGGCCAACCAAGGCTCATTCTCAGCCCTCTTCTCGAGGGGGTCTGCTTCAGGCCGACCAGGGCCAACACGCCCACTGCTGACAGCAAATTCACACCTTCCATTAGAGCAAGCCTCTGATTGGTGGGTAGAATCAGCCCACATGGGCTTAAGACAAGGATGTGTGGAATCAACCGGGCCAGGCTGGGGCCGACTGGGGCTACCCGGCCCGGGCCGACCCGGTACAGATGGGAATGGCCCAAAGGAGACGGAGGAGAACCTGGAGAGGGCTGGGGAAGCATAGGGACACACAGAGCACAAGGGGGCACGAGGGGAACGCACAGGAGGGGGCTGGGGACCAAGGGGACACAGAACATGACAATATCACTAAAATGTGAATATACAGGCTTCAGTTGACAGCGATCAGTCATTGTCATTCATCAGTTTGTGTCCACGTGCTGCAACGACATACTATATGCATGCTAACGACATGTGTGTTATTCCCTCAGTGTGAGTTTGTGCCATTTGTGTGTCGTTGGTGTTCATCATTCATCCCTATCCTCTCGTAGAAGCTGAGTAATAAGGGGAAAACAGCGAACATACTTCGTGGACCAAACCAAGCTACAGTCATTAACTATGATGAGGTACAAAGATCTTTCCATCCCAAGCATTGCTCAAGGCTGTAAGAGTTAGAATCACAAAATTTGAATATTCTCATTTACTAATCTTAATCTTATATTTCCCACTAGAGCTTGCTGCTTTTTTCTAAATGTTTGTTGAGGATTTGCCCCAAAGGGGTTTGTGGTTAGTCACATCTCATGCAGGGAAAAAAGGAGAATCTGGTGTCTTTCTAATGCTCAGCAGATGGAAAATGTCCATGGAGATTTTTCATCGGTTGAGAAATGAAAGATTTTGGTCATTTAAGGTGTTTTTAAGACTTTTTTTGTTTCTTTAATTCAGCAGGAGATTTTTCTGTTCTCTGTTTTACCCTGAGCCCTATTTGGATTTGGTTAGATGAGCAAAACCTGGATTGATCTTCTTAGATGTTCATGAATTTGCTTAAAACAAAATTCTATAAACATCAGGTGCTGTGTCAATTGTATGATAGAAACAGAACACAGCAGTCCACACATCTGTTCAACTTAGATTTTATCTGGAATTAGTTCAAAGACAAGAAATCAGTGCTTGAAATTGGAAATAATTTTTTTTCTAGTGAGCAACAAGGCTTCTAGTTTTGTTAAGCTACTTCGAAATGAAACGTTTACCCTAAGTATGAACTGTGTCCGCATCATCGGCTCTAATCGGACTCGTTCCCAGTGCAGGTTGGACCCTTAGCAGGACTCCCATTTGTGGTGTTCATGGATGGAATCTTAGAGTGAAGTTGTAGGAAAGAGAGTCTCTAGTTTGGGGACCTCAGGTCTAGAAATGTCTTCAAATGGTCCCAGGACCCCAAGGAGCTTTACAGCAAAGCAGTCATTCATCCACACACGTACACGATCACGCACCAGCACTGATGAACCACCATGTGGCCACAGCTGCCCTGGGGCTACCTGACAGAGGTGGGACTGCCATACACACAGGCACCACCGGTTCTCTCCAACCACCAGCAGGCAAGGAAGGCAAAGTGTGTTGCTCAAGGGCACCCTTCCAAACCTAAGGGAGTGATTCTCGACCAGACAGAGGTGGAAGGCTCTACCAGGGCTGGACGTGAGTCTTTGAAGTATCTTTGGTTTGAAAGAGATGGGCCAAAGGGCCAAGCTCTCAATTTACTGGCCTGTCCACATTCCAACTCTAATCTTTGGTCAAGAGATTCAGATTACGACCAAACGAATAAGGTCCCAGATACAAACTTCCTTTGTAGGCTGGACGAGTAAAGTTGCTGCTCCTTTACAGCGATATAAATCAGCTGAGGTGGTTTTAGTATCTAAGGAGGATGCATCTTGGTCCCCTTGTTTTGGATGTTTTCCAGGCATTCCTACTTTGAGGAGACACTGGGGAAGACCTAAAACTCACTGATGTCCTCTCTGGCTTGGAAAAAGCCATCAAATCTCCAAGGAGGAGATGGAGTTTCACTTGAGGAAGGGGCGTTGCGACCTCTCTCCTAAATTTGATATCTTCACCACCCAACTTTAGATGCTTAGCCCGGAAGGAAGTAGGACAAGGATCAGTTTCTTCTTTTGCGAGAAACTGAGGATGCCTTGTGTTGTAGTTGACCTTCCTTGCCTCTGTCCTGATGTTAAAAAACTTTATTGTATTAGATTAAAAAAGAGCAAAATCCCAAAAAATCTACAGAAGCTGATCCCTCCAGAGGTTGGCTGCATCACAGATTTTAGGACCCGGCCCTTGGAATGGCCCACAGTGCCGCTAAAACAATTTAATAACAATTCTAAAATGGCAGAGACACTGAACCAAACTCTGGTTTTCAATTCTTGTTTTAATCGACATTTTAAACAGTAATCTGTTTTGGAATTGTTGCAAAATTTACAATCCATCACTTTAACAAAACCCGAGCAACGGATTGTTATTTTGAAGACATTGTTTGCTACAGTAGACGGCAAACGAATGCACATTGTTTTATGTTCCCAGTTATTGCATACCTCTCCTTTCTTGGTGTGTGTGTGTGTGCATGCTACAGCAGACATCAAAAGCCAAGCACCTTTAATGTGAGGATCGCACAAACGGTCGCGGGACTTCAGCCACTATTTTGACATTGCGGCATTCTCGTTTCAGGAGTACAAAATATCCAACTTTGAGCACAGGCTGATGAGTGAAATTGAGTTCCGTTTGGAACGAACGCCGGTGGAGGAATCGGACGATGAGGTGCAGCATGATGACATACCAACGGGCAAGTGCATAGCGCCAATTTTTGAAAAGAAGCTGAAGAATTTCAAAGCGATTGAAGGCGTGCCCGTAACATTCACATGTAAAGTTATGGGCATCCCACCTCCAAAGGTGAGAAGATAAACTTTTGTCTTAACAACAAAAAAATAATCTGTCACTTACAGCCCATATATTATGTCTCTCACCAGGTTTATTGGTTCAAGGATGGCAAGCAGATCCTGAGGAAAAACCTCCATTACAGGAAGATAAGAGAAGGTGATGGGACCTGCGCTCTACACATGGAGTCCACGACCAGTGATGACGATGGCAACTACACCGTCATGGCAGCCAATCCACAGGTACGGCTTCAGCCTTAGTTTCATGCTCTTACTGTTACAGTTACGTCTCAGAAAGCTCTAGCTGGGTTGTGATTTGCTTCACTAATGATCAACAGGGAAGAATGAGCTGCTCTGGACATCTGATAGTCCAATCTGCACCTCCTCGAAACCAGCTGACTCCTATTCAGTCCCAGAGGTGAGCACATCCGAGTTAAAGGGATTTATAAAGGTACACATTGTCCCTCTACAGCACTTCCTGTAGTACATAAAAGTAAATGGCTTAGGCCAATGGAGGGATTGTCATGACCCAGTTGGGAGGTTGAGGGTAGTATCCAAACCCCTTCACCATGGACGTAACTTTAGGGGGGACAGGGGGGACATGTCCCCCCCCCCCACTTTTTCCAAAGTCAAGTTTTGACCCCTGCACTTTTTACCATCCAAAAACAATATTACTTTATATTAAATTGACACTGGTTGAGCTCTAGGACCAAGCAGAAAACAACCTTTTGTGTTGAAGCCTGTTTCCTATTAGAACATACTGTATAGATACCCCTCCCACCGCCACCCCCGTGTCCCCCCCACTTCTAAAGTGAAAATTACGTCCATGCCCTTCACCATGCATCAATGCCCTTGGTCAGGACATTGTTCTAGTTCAATGCAAAGAGAAAGATTGTTTCGCAAGTTCATCTCACCTTCTTGTTTTATCAGGGTGCGAACTCGAGTTCAAGAGGTTGAAGGTGAACAAACTCAGGAGCGTTTTTTTCGGCCTCACTTCCTCCAGGCTCCAGGAGACATGATGGCTAACGAGGGAAAGCTGTGCAGACTAGACTGCAAAGTAGGTATCAGCATCTGAAACCAAATACGAGTACAGCCATGGCCAAACATTTTGAGAATGAAACAAATACCACTACGTTTGCCGCCTTCGTTTTTATGATGAATGTTCTGGAGAGCAGATGAAGGAAAATTAGGCAACAAAGTCCCTCTTAGTCATGAAAATGAACTCATCCCCAAAGACCCATTTCTACTCCACTTGGGGGGAAATTGCCCAAGAATTTCCAGCAAGCACCGAGATCCGGTTGTGGGATTGGGGAACCACTAGAGCAAAGCGTATTGATAAATGGCAGCAGGCAGGTGTGACTTTATCTGCAGCATAGGGCAGCAGTAGCTCAGGAGGTAGAGCGGGTTGTCCAGTAATTGGAAGGCTTGATCCTGTCAGAGAATACTGCTGTTGTGTGCTTGGGAGGGACCGGCAGTCTCGCCTTCGTCAGCATGCCCCAGGGCAGCTGTGGCTACATTGTAGCTCATCACCACCTGTGTTTGAATGTGTGTGTGAATGGGCGGATGGCTGATTGTGTTGTGAAGCGCCTTGAGGGGTTGTGGAATCCTAAGAAGGTGCTATACAGCTAGAAGTCCAGGGATTGGCCTGCTGAGCACTGGAGGGAAGTTGTTTTTTTCTGAAGAGACTTCGAAGCCAAGGAAGTGCACTAACTCAAGTATAGACGAAGAACTGCCATGAATATCAAATGGTTGCTAAACATCTTCCCAGAGGAACTCCTCGTTATCATCCAACAACAATTTGGCAATGTCTTTTCTAGCATGGTGGAGCACCAGGCCAGAAGGCTAAAGTCAAAACCAAGTGGCTAATGAGTAGAAAGCACCAATATTTTGGTACTACATTCAGAAATCTCACAAGAACTTTTTGTCAATCCATAAAAAGCAGCTGGAGGAACTAAATCCTCCATAAATTCAGACAAACACCAAATTTTGATTAGTAAAGATTGGGCTACCATCAGTCAGGACCCAACGCTGGTTGACCACCTTCCAGGGTGAACTGCTGAGGTCTTGAAAGAGAAGGGCCAACACTGCAAAAATTCATTCTATTCTGCATCAACTTGACAAAATTGTCAACAATTCTCTTTGAATCTTATGCAAGGCTTGTTTTGATGCTTAAGTAAAAAATAAAAAGATCTAACAAAAATGTTATAAAATACTGAAGTGAAAAATTACTTGATTTGTTTTTGGCTAAAAATTTCAAAGGGTTTTTGCCTTTACTGACTGTTGTTTGTTTTCAGGTGAGTGGCCTACCCAACCCTGAGCTGATGTGGTTGGTCAATGGGAAGCCAGTCTATCCTGACCTTTGTCATAAGATGCTGGTCCGGGAGAACGGAATCCACTCCCTGGTCATTGACCCCCTGACGCAGAATGATGAAGGCACATACACATGTATCGCAAGCAATAAAGCAGGGCAGAGCTCTTTTAGTCTAGAATTAAAAGTTGTTGGTGAGGACCAGAAAAATAAAAGTAAGTGTTGAAAAAGATGTAAAAAAAACCTGGCAGGTTATACCAGTGGTATCATGTCTACCTCAGAGAAAGAAATGAAGCAACCACCTCGGTTTGTGGAGAAGCTGCAGAACGTGGGGATTCCTGAGGGGACACCAGTAAGGCTGGAGTGTCGCGTGACGGGAATGCCTCATCCAGTCATCTTCTGGAAGAAAGACAACGAGACCATTTCTAAAACTAAAGACAGAATAAGGTTAGTGGGGAGTCTGTCTCACAGAATTCCAATCTGGTGGTTACCATGGTGACCATAATGGGCCACTGGTGGGTACCATTTGTAACCCTAATGAGCCAATGGTGGTTATCATGGTGACCCTAATGAGTGGTCACCATGGTGACCTTAATGGGCTACTGGTGGTTACCATCGTGACCCTAATGAGTGGTCACCATGGTGACCCTAATGGGCTACTGGTGATTACCATAGTGACCCCAATGAGTGGTCACCATGGTGACCCTAATGGGCTACTGGTGGTTACCATAGGGACCCTAATGAGTGGTCAACATGGTGATCCTAATGAGTGGTCACCATGGTGACACTAATGAGCTACTGGTGGTTACCATAGTGACCCTAATGAGTGGTCACCATGGTGACCCTAATGAGCTACTGGTGGTTACCATAGTGACCCTAATGAGTGGTCACCATGGTGACCCTAATGGGCTACTGGTGGTTACCATCGTGACCCTAATGAGTGGTCACCATGGTGACCCTAATGGGCTACTGGTGATTACCATAGTGACCCCAATGAGTGGTCACCATGGTGACCCTAATGGGCTACTGGTGGTTACCATAGTGACCCTAATGAGTGGTCACCATGGTGACCCTAATGAGCTACTGGTGGTTACCATAGTGACCCTAATGAGTGGTCACCATGGTGACTCTAATGAGCTACTGGTGGTTACCATAGTGACCCTAATGAGTGGTCACCATGGTGACCCTAATGAGCTACTGGTGGTTACCATAGTGACCCTAATGAGTGGTCACCATGGTGATCCTAATGAGCTACTGGTGGTTACCATAGTGACCCTAATGAGTGGTCACCATGGTGACCCTAATGAGCTACTGGTGGTTACCATCGTGACCCTAATGAGTGGTCACCATGGTGACCCTAATGGGCTACTGGTGATTACCATCGTGACCCCAATGAGTGGTCACCATGGTGACCCTAATGGGCTACTGGTGGTTACCATAGTGACCCTAATGAGTGGTCACCATGGTGACCCTAATGGGCTACTGGTGGTTACAATAGTGACCCTAATGAGTGGTCACCATGGTGACCCTAATGAGCTACTGGTGGTTACCATAGTGACCCTAATGAGTGGTCACCATGGTGACCCTAATGAGCTACTGGTGGTTACCATAGTGACCCTAATGAGTGGTCACCATGGTGACCCTAATGGGCTACTGGTGGTTACCATCGTGACCCTAATGAGTGGTCACCATGGTGACCCTAATGGGCTACTGGTGATTACCATAGTGACCCCAATGAGTGGTCACCATGGTGACCCTAATGGGCTACTGGTGGTTACCATAGTGACCCTAATGAGTGGTCACCATGGTGACCCTAATGAGCTACTGGTGGTTACCATAGTGACCCTAATGAGTGGTCACCATGGTGACACTAATGAGCTACTGGTGGTTACCATAGTGACCCTAATGAGTGGTCACCATGGTGACTCTAATGAGCTACTGGTGGTTACCATAGTGACCCTAATGAGTGGTCACCATGGTGACCCTAATGGGCTACTGGTGGTTACCATAGTGACCCTAATGAGTGGTCACCATGGTGACCCTAATGAGCTACTGGTGGTTACCATAGTGACCCTAATGAGTGGTCACCATGGTGATCCTAATGAGCTACTGGTGGTTACCATAGTGACCCTAATGAGTGGTCACCATGGTGATCCTAATGAGCTACTGGTGGTTACCATAGTGACCCTAATGAGTGGTCACCATGGTGATCCTAATGAGCTACTGGTGGTTACCATAGTAATCTTAATAGTAACCCAGTGAGATGGAAAAAGTAAGTCCCAGATTATCACCATAGGGATGTCTAAAATAAAGATTATATATATTTTCTTCAAATTTTCCTTAAAATCTCATGAAATTGTCTTGTTGATCAATTGATTTCTATTGCAGTGAAACAGATTTTTTTTTCTTATATATTTTTTTTTAGCATGACCCAAGACACCGCTGGATATGTTTGTCTCCTCATCCAGCCAACAACAAAAGACGATGCTGGCTGGTACACAGTGTCAGCAAAAAATGACGCTGGAATAGTATCTTGCACCTGCAGACTTGATATCTATGGTAAATACTATGTATGACTGTGTAAACTGTCAGGTTTCTAAAGAAAATCCACTCCTTGTGTAGTAATAATAGCTTGCTGCTGCATCTTCAGCACAGTGGCATCAGAGTATCCCAGCACCCATGAGGAAAGCTCAGCGAACGAGCAGCCGCTACGCCGTTCTGACAGGCCAGGGGCTCGACATTAAGTCAGCTTTCCCCACATCAGACACCAGCCCCATCCTGTTCGCCAGCTCGCCTCCTGAGGCCACACTAGAGGGCGAGGAACTGTGAGCAGTCTGCAGCGCGGTGTCTCTCAGAGGCCTTCCAGGATGTCGTGTCACCTCACCGAGGCTCAAACAATACGAGAAAAACAATAAAAATCAGATTTTGTGTGATGAATTTGAAGTGGTGCAATCAGATTAGAGCAGCAAACATTTCATATGATAAAGCTGCCAGCACTGGTAGTGGGGTTGTCACCATTCCTGTTTACTCAGATCCTTTAAAGAAAGTTTAACTTACAGAAAAAAAGTTTTTGAAAAAGGTTCACAAAGTCTTACTTGATGAGCCACAGGTGGGGTTTTGTTTCTGAATGGTTCTCGTGTGTTTTTGACTCCTACTCGGCTGTTATGGTTGCTTAAACTCGATCATGTCTGCTATCCAAATGGTGCCGCTTAATTTTACTGCAAAAAACACACAAGGCTGCACTGGTAGATACTTTTCAACTTTATTTCATTTCCCTGCAGTCAATGTCGCATGGACGTGCAGATCATGTCTGTGAGTCCGTTGGTCCAGAGCACTGTAGGACGTCCAAACTCGGTCTTTGCACAGCGGGTTGTTATTCAACACTGTTTTGATTTTACGTGGAAACAGACTTTTCAGAACATTTTAAATGTTCTGGATTTGATTTCTCAGATTTTAAAACTCTATCGTAACTCACCCTTCTTCATCAACACATAAAAACTTACGAGAATTAAATTAGAAAAAGTAAAACATCCAATTTTTCTAGGGAGTTTCTTGATGTTTTTTTTTTTAAAGATTTGAATTGCTGGAAAAATATGGAATCCAATCGAAATCATGAATGCTGTGGCTGACGGAAATGTAAGTATAACCTTTTAGAAAAACAGCTCGATTCCTGGCTTCTAGTTTAAATGCAGACAAAACTGCTTTTTATCACTTTTATTTCTTTTTGACAAACATTTCTATCCTTCCACGCAGCAAATAAGTCAGTTTGGACTGAAAACCAACGAAAACCCTCCAAGAGTTTGTTTTTAATTCACAAAGCTCACGCAGGGATTGATTTAATAAATTCAAGACAGTTTGGAAACACATCTTTGAGAAAACAAATGTTTTAAATCTCCTATGTAAAGTTGCACATTGTAAGATACGTATGTCCGTCTTAGAATAAAGTTATATTTATGCCAACGAGTGACGCATTTGATCTGCTTTCTGTAACCAGAGCCTTATTAGCTTAAACCGATTCTGAATTCAAAACAAACGGGAAAACTTGGAAATGTCGCTAATGAGCTCGATTGAAGACGATGAGAGTTCAAACAGGCAGAAAATCACATTCACCTTATGTGACCTAATTAGACTCAAAGCCTCATCTAACCAGCTGTCAGCACTACTTAGGAACTAGATGCTGTGGTCAGTGTGTGTGTGTGTGTGTGTGTGGGACTGAATGAAAAGTTCAGACTTTTGTTTCCTACTCTGGCAGGATCTCCTGGGGATTCAGTCATTCTTAAAGACGTCCTTCACTGAGAAACCACTTCTTACTTATTATTTATGAAAACGATCGCTGACTCAGACATCCAGGCTGAACGTAACAATTCTGTCCTACACCTATCTCCTGCATTAGCTTCTTAGATAAAATAGACGGTGAAACCCTGACCACTCTATGTCAGGCTGTCGATTGGACTCACATCTTGTTTGTTTACCTAAATGACGCAACATGCAATCTAAAACTTGTGAGAGCATTTTCAAAGTAATTTCAGCTAAATGTGGGTGCTAACGGCAGCTGGATAGCAGAGAATAAGGCAGAGAAACATCATGCTTTACTAGTGCACCTATAGATAACTAGGATAAATTATTAAATAATGATGATTAGATTATAGTTGATAAAAATTTATAGGGAGCCTAATTCCGCACCACGGGTCCCCGGAGGAACGAAAAAATGAATGCAAGTCAACGGGGCTAAAAACGCTATTTTCTAAATTCGCTTTGTGCCATAGATTTCACATCTGATGTCCTTGAATTTTAAAGACACATTCTGATACCAAGAACGCGCTTATTATCGAACGGGGGGAACGATATTTTAGGTTTTGTGTGAAAATAACTCCAGGACTACAAATGCGCTTCACGAAAGCAACGTCGTCGAACCAGACACGGAGAAAACTGAGGGAAAAGGGCTGTAAGTTCAGCAAAGTTCCCACGGGAGGAAAGAACCACCATAAATCTGGTCATGTGGTAAGTAGCAGCTACGCTAGGGGAGAGGAGATTCTGTGGTGACGTCACATATGCGACGTGCCGATTTCTAGTTTGTAGTCATGCTATTTGCGAAAACACACCCACATCACCCCGCTTCTCCTCCAGCTTCACTGGCTGCCAGTCAACTTCAGGGTTCATTGCAAGATCCTGGTTCTGGTCTATAGGGCCTTACATGGACAAGCACCATCTTACATTGGTGATCTTATAAGTCCCTACACCCCCAGCAGGTCCCTGAGGTCCAGTGATCAAAGCCTACTGGTTGTGCAACACCAGGCTAAAGGTCAAAGGTGACAGATCATCTGCTGCTGTGGCCCCCAGACTCTGGACCTCTCTCCCCCTGAGCCTGAGATCAGTGGACTCAGTGGTCTCCTTTAAAGAGCAGCTGAAGACTCACTTGTTCATGCTTTTGGATGGCTCTCTCTTTATTCTGCTCTCCCTACCGATTCCACCTTCCTCAGGTTCCACTAATTTTCCTCTTTCCTATATTCACTCTCTCTTTCTTTACATTTTTAATCACAATTGTCTATTTTTGCTCATTTTAAATATATATTTTTTAATTTTCTAAATTCTTTTTTATATTTTACTTTTTTTTTTTGCGAAGCGTGATTTTTATCTTGAGAGGCGCTATAGAAAAGATCTTTTCTTCTTCTTTTGCAAGCTAATAAAGCTCAAAGTACGTGACTGGCGTGGTCGAAACACCCATCATTAGTTCTCATTTAAATTGTGTGATCCAGGGCGTAAGGCAACCGGGTTAGAAAGTAGCGTTTTTAGCCCCGCTGACTTGCATTCATTTTTTTTCTTTCTTCCGGACACCCATGATGCAGAAGTGACTTAGGCTCCCTATGGAATATTATGGAATTTTGCGGATTTGAGCAGAGGCAGCTTTCTGTTCGAACTAGCCGTTAGCCCATCAGTCCTGTATGATGTAAACTCCATTTGTCCAAACTCCAAATCCGTTTTCTGCTCTTTTACAGGTGAAGCTCATAAAAATTATAATGTTGTGCAAAAGCCCCCCAACCCTTTGAGCTCTAATGTCCCCGAATTGGACAACTCTGGAGCTTAGCAGCAAGATTCCATCCATCCATTCTCTTCCGCTTATCCAGAGTCGGTTCGCGGGGGCAACAGCCCAAGTCGAGTCGCCCAGACTTCCCTCTATTCAACTACTTGGGCCAGCTCTTCTGGGGGAATCCCAAGGTGTTCCCTGGCCAGGTGAGAGACTTAGTCTCTCCAACGTGTCCTGGGTCTTCCTTTAGGTCTCCTCCTGGTTGGACGTGCCCGGAAAACCTCACCAGGGAGGCGTCCAGGAGGCATCCTGACCAGATGTCCGAGTCACCTCAACTGGCACCTTTCGACATGGAGGAGCAGCAGTTCTACTCCAAGCCCCTCCCGGATGACTGATCTCTAAGAGAGAGCCCAGACACTCTGCAGAGAAAACTCATTTTGGCCGCTTGTATCCATGGTCGCGTTCTTTTGATCACTACCCAAAGCTCGTGACCATAGGTGAGGGCAGGAACGTGGCTCGAACAGCAAAATTCACAACCCAAATATCAATAATTGTTTATGTTCTCCAAACACAATTAAAACTATATTCAAAACAGTTTTGATGGGAAACAAAACCATTTTAAATATTAATAAATGAAGATACAATAAGGCTTGAACTTTATTTTACAAGAGCATCTGGTTCATGGTGTCTGCTGGGAAAATAATCTGACTTAGACCCCTGATCTAACGGCTGAGGAACCCTCTGCAGGAGTTCTGGATTCATCAGCTGCTTAGAGTCCGACACTTTGAGTCTAGATTATTGAACCTTATCGCATTTTCCTAATAGTTTCATCTTTTATGTTTAATTACTGAAATAAAAGAACTTTTTATCCATATTCTAATTTTTTGAGTTTGGCCCATATAGACTCAAATGGGTTTTTAGACTACCTGTGAGACATCCTGTCCGGGTCATGTGTGTGAATGAGAACACGTTCTCAAACTTTTTTTAAAAGCCGAGGCTGCTCAGAAAGCCATCTACAGCGAGTAAGACAGTCATTATTATTTATAACTTTATAAAGATACACATTTTGGACCCCACCTGATGCTTTAATTGTTGTTACAGAAATATTTTCACTTCATCTCACACTGCATAAAAGAACTGAAAACTACACTTGGGTCTGTAAGTAGTGAGTAAATATGCGTGTGTTTCTGCCGTTTGTGTGACTCAATAATGAGATTTATTAAGCCAAACCAGAAATAATCCTCTTATGCACTTTCTCCTGCGCTGAAAACATACGCTTCACTTCTAATCTCCACTCCTCCATACGGAGATCCGGGGCCAAGAGCGAAGGAGTCTGCTGCCGAGCGGCCCGGTCACTCTTATGTTGTGACATATGGCTTTTGACAGAGGGCATGGCTCAGCCATCAGCGCCCAGACAAGCCAATCATGTGAAAGTATTGTGTTTTTTTTCTTCCCTTTTCAAGAAAAGAGGGGACGTCAGGGCCTGGCAAGGCAAGCAGCAGCTGGCAAAGTGCATAAATGAACCAACTGGTGAATAGGATTATATGCCTAACTGCACAGCAAACCAGTCAATCTCAGATTGACCAGCTTGTGTGCATGACCCAATACCAGAGGCAGGCTCTATTTAGATGATTAATCATTCATAACCTGCTTCTCCAGCCAAGCCTGGGATCTGTCGATAAACATCGATGTGAGCTACAAGTTCCTCCTGACAAAAAACACCAGAAGAAAACATCTAAATAAATATAAAAGTGACACGTTTAAACATGAAAGCTGAAGAAAACTGTGGAAATTGCACCGTATAAGTTTGTTTTAGGATTTTCTTCCTACAAATAATTCTTTGTGTGAGGATGCTTGATGGGATTAACACAGTACATTTTTATCTCTATGTGATGCATTAATTAAATCAAAAAGGCAAAAATCTGATGACATTTTTGTGATTTTTTAAAACGTATTTTCTGTCTCTCTTCAACATCAGCAGACAGGACGAGCAGCTTTTCCTCAGACCACTTAGATCAATTATTTATCTGGCTTGTTGTCCAAAGTAGAACCATCAACATGGATTCACCAAGAACCGAGCCCAAAAGCAATTAAAACACCTAATTATGAGTTTCTGTCCTCTAAACGGTAAACTGAGCAGTAATCTTCACACCATACTGAGTGAAAGTTGTAATCCCCTGATGTTCAACTAAATCCCTCAGGTTACAGGCCTCACTTACTCTCCTGTTGCCCGAGGGCTAATCTGAGATTACCAGCAGCCATCACTCGGCGGAGCACTTTGCAGGAGCGGAACGATTCATTCTTGGTGGTTTTACTTTCTAATTGCTCACATCTTCAGATAACCAGTTTTAAACATTTAAGTACATTTTTATACATCAACACGATATTGTCTTTAGAGTGTTACTTAGTATGAGCTAATATTGCAACGCAAATAAAACCGTGGATTAACTTTGATGCATGTTTGTTTGTCCCATCAGCTGGGGTGAGTCGCTCGAGCTACCAGATGGTGGACTTTTGGTGTTTGTGACACATGGCTGCGAGTGAAGCCACGGCCAGCTAGCCCAGCCCGAGATAATTGGAATTTCATTAAGGTCTTGTTTGTGTGTGTGTGTGTGTGTGTGTGTGTTTATGAGTCTGCATCAGGGAGTTTCTCCAAGGACAATGTTGATGAAGAGGATGGGTGTGGGGGTGGAGAGGGTTTAGACTCCACCTGCTGCCACCTGTTCATCCACTCTGTTGTTTTATAAAAGCAGCTGCCTCATCATCTCCAGGACCACAGACACCTTGGACTTTTGACGGTCCAGTATCTGGACTCAGATGTTCTTCACGGAGGACGTTCAGCCGGGACGACACTGAGACCTTAAACCTGAAGGCCCTGTGAGGAACCTCGGAGCGAACACTGGCCGAGTTATCTCTCGTTGCCTTGAGCCTACCCGATCAGAGACCATGAAGTCCCGTCGACCCAGCTGCACCGACTCAGGATCCGAGTCTTCCGAGCTGGACTCCAAGAGCCCAGAGAAGTACGAGAGTGCGGTGAGGAGACGGATGGCTGCCAACGCCAGAGAGAGGAAGAGAATGCAGGGTTTGAACACAGCTTTTGACCGTCTACGCAAAGTGGTGCCACAGTGGGGGCAGGACAAAAAGCTGTCCAAGTACGAGACCCTGCAGATGGCTCTCAGCTACATCATGGCTCTGAACCGGATCCTGACGGACACCAGGTGGCACGCCGCTCCTCACAAGCAGTGGCTGGACCTGCAGCTGGACGTGGAGCCTGAGAACTACTCCTGCCTCATGAGGTACGAGCATCCAGTGGAGCAGGATTACCCGTCCCTCTCCTATCACTTCGATGAGGTCCACGTATGAACTGCTTCCCTTTGGTGGACGATTAGAAGTCTGTAACGACGTGAATATTTTCCCTCTGACCTGGGAAATCGTAAATACATTTGTATTGCTTTATTCCTGTTTTGTATTTATTTGTACGACAATCAGACGCACATCTGATTTTATTTGAAGTATGACTATGGAAAAAAAGTGAGTGCATTTTTGTTCAAGTCAAAGAAGAGAAAGAATCAGAAGGACAAACAAGAACACGGGTTATTTTATTTATATATTTTTATGTTTATTATTATCGCCTAAAAATGTGGTGCAATGCTCAGTGAAAGCTTAGAAAACGATCGAGTCAAGAACTTGTTTGTTTGATGAAAGATAGACGTTATTTTTTTAACAAACTTGTTTAAAATTTTTCATGAAAATAAAAACATTTTGTATGAAAACATATTTTTTGCCTGCTGTGTTGTGTTGAAGTGAACTAAAATATGCTGCGATGACAGTAGTGGACGTATTTAACGTTTTCCTTTTCACTTTTTACATCAACTATACTGAACAGGAATCCTTTTTCAGTTGGATTTCATTTTGTCTTCTTTCAATATGTTTGTATATTGGGGAAAAAGCAGAACATAATTCTTTTATTTCTTTAAAAACTCATGAACAAACTTGAAAAATTATCTAAAGAGGTACATATGAGCACTCTGCTTTTAAAAAGTAAATAACAAAGTAGTTGTAGTAGTAGTAGTAGCAGTAGTTGTAGTAGTAGCAGCATCAGGCCAAATACTTGGTCTATCTCTGGTAGAATTCCAAAGTAGAAAAACTCTCGTAGGACTTCAACCGTCCACGGAACTGCAGAAGTAGAGGGAGACAGCAAGAACCAGCTCTTTTATACAATTTACTATATAGAAAATTGTCACTCAGATCATTTTCCTGGGAAATCAGTCATTAAAGCAGCAGAAATGTCTGATTTCAGATAGTGAGAGAAAGTATTTGTACACTAGCCTAGAAATCTACACCGACAGCAGCCCAAGCTAAATGATTTTGTTCTGCGTGTAGCAGGGGCGGATTTAGGACTGAAGAAGATCTGGGGCTTAACACACACACACACACACACGCGCACACACGTCTAGTCAACATCATATATATATATTATTTATTTATTTAGGAAGAGGGGCAATACATATTAATGAACATTTCAATAAATGTAAATATGCCTCTGCAGACCCTCCGGCAGGTTGATGTTAGACACAAAGTAGTGGAAACATACAGAGATAGTATTTACAAGTCATGTGACAGAGACAAAAACAGTCATCCCATTATACTAACACAAACAAATGTCAAGGAAAGCGGACACAGAGGACGGCATAGATAACAATAACGGAAACACATCAATTGTATTGCACAAACCTCGATACTGCATATGCCCTGACTGTCGTGAGATTACATTCACCCATTACACTAGCAGTTGTTTCCCTTTTAATAATGTACCAACTCTTTTACCGGACAAATAAAAAATATAAGTATTAGACATGATCACATGTTTGTGTGTCCCTCAGCCGCTCTCTTAAGCGACTCTTAAAGATGTTTAGACTGGTACTTTCCCTCACGGAGAGTGGAAGACTGTTCCAGAAGGTCACTCCCTGGTATGACAGAGCAGTCTGTGAAAAGGTAGTCCGCCTGAATGTCAGTTCACAGTCACCTCTAGCAGTGGCTCGAGTCAGTCGAGACCCGGCAACACTGCTAGACTTTTGTTTAATAAAATCACTCATTGGTGGTGGCGCCAGACCATGTATGACTTTATATATTAAACAGGCAGATTTAAATAATTTAAAATTAGTAAAATTTAAAAACTTGTATTTATCTAAAAATTGACAATGGTGATATGAGAGAGGTTTTTTTTATCTAATATTTTCAATGCTCTTTTGTAGCATACTTCAATTGGCCCAATAGCAGCCGAGCTCGTATAGGACCAACTGGTAATACAATATTCTTGTACCACATAATGTTTAATCTGAAGCTACATATTAAGCATTTTCAGGGCAGAGTATTGTTCCTGTTAGTGTTTAGTGTGAGATGATAGTAAATAATCCCTTTCTTTCTCCAACAACTTTACCTGATAGTAAGCTAACTTTAGGCAAACCAGCAGCACAACAAATATTTTCAAATAAGACTCACAAACCTGAGTCAACACCAGTCTCATCAAAGCTGGGGTTCTGTCGTTGTACTTTTGGTCTAAAAACGTCCTTATATCCATCGTCACTCATGCGTTTCAGGCAGAGACTGTAGAAGAAGCCGGCTGCTGAAGGGCTTCTTCTTCAGTGGTGGAGGCTCAGGCAGGCTGTATACAAACTACTGCCAGCTGCTCCCTCTCTGTTGGACTTTGGTACTGCATGTTACTTCCGCGATTTAGATCCGGGGCTTTTCATAAAACATTCGGGGCTTCAGCCCAAGTAGCTGGGCCTAACGCCGCCCCTAGCGTGTAGGTCTAGCCACGCTCCTGGAGCCTCAGCAGGCCCGGACAGCATTGTGTCCTGCCAGTCATAGTTCTCTATTGGTTTGGTGGGCCAATCACAGCTGTCTATTGGTTTGGTGGGCCAATCACAGCATTCTTTTGGTTTGGTGGGCCAATCACAGCTCTCTATTGGTTTGGTGGGCCAATCACAGCATTCTTTTGGTTTGGTGGGCCAATCACAGCTCTCTATTGGTTTGGTGGGCCAATCACAGCATTCTTTTGGTTTGGTGGGCCAATCACAGCTCTCTATTGGTTTGGTGGGCCAATCACAGCATTCTTTTGGTTTGGTGGGCCAATCACAGCTCTCTATTGGTTTGGTGGGCCAATCACAGCTCTCTATTGGTTTGGTGGGCCAATCACAGCGCTCTTTCGGTTTGGTGGGCCAATCACAGCATTCTTTCGGTTTGGTGGGCCAATCACAGCTCTCTATTGGTTTGGTGGGCCAATCACAGCATTCTTTTGGTTTGGTGGGCCAATCACAGCTCTCTATTGGTTTGGTGGGCCAATCACAGTGCTCTTTCGGTTTGGTGGGCCAATCACAGCTCTCTATTGGTTTGGTGGGCCAATCACAGCATTCTTTCGATTTGGTGGGCCAATCACAGCTCTCTTTTGGTTTGGTGGGCCAATCACAGCTCTCTATTGGTTTGGTGGACCAATCACAGCATTCTTTCGATTTGGTGGGCCAATCACAGCTCTCTATTGGTTTGGTGGGCCAATCACAGCATTCTTTCGATTTGGTGGGCCAATCACAGCTCTCTATTGGTTTGGTGGGCCAATCACAGCGCTCTTTTGGTTTGGTGGGCCAATCACAGTGCTCTTTCGGTTTGGTGGGCCAATCACAGCAATCTTTCAGTTTGGTGGGCCAATCACAGCGCTCTTTCGGTTTGGTGGGCCAATCACAGCGCTCTTTCGGTTTGGTGGGCCAATCACAGCAATCTTTCGGTTTGGTGGGCCAATCACAGCTCTCTATTGGTTTGGTGGGCCAATCACAGTGCTCTTTCGGTTTGGTGGGCCAATCACAGCGCTCTTTCGGTTTGGTGGGCCAATCACAGCGCTCTTTCGGTTTGGTGGGCCAATCACAGCAATCTTTCGGTTTGGTGGGCCAATCACAGCTCTCTATTGGTTTGGTGGGCCAATCACAGCGCTCTTTCGATTTTGTGGGCCAATCACAGTGCTCTTTCGGTTTTGTGGGCCAATCACAGCGCTCTTTCGATTTTGTGGGCCAATCACAGTGCTGGGTCACAGTCAGACTATATATTCACATGTATAGGATGTAAGGGGATCTCTTATGTGAATCTGTGTGAGAGGGGTGGGAAACCGACTGCTGTCTGGTTGTTTTTAATATTGTTGAGCTGCAATTCCATGAAAAGCGCTTCAAAAATAAATTTTGGTTTAATTTGATTTTATTCGACTTACCAGGCTACTTACATGCTTGTTCAGAGGTAATAACTACACATAGCAATGTCAGCCTGTCAGAAATGGAACACTATCAGAGGAAAGTGACCAGGTATCAACATGTGGCCTTCCATGTTCTCTTTGTTAGAAATCTATTCTACCTACTGTTGTGTCACTACCTCAGTCCCCCACATATACCAGTTTACTGTGAACAGGTATTTCAAACCACTAAAAAGTGTTCAATAACTTACATTTTCAAAATTTTCAGAACACAAAATTTTTACAAAACAGTCCTAACATTAGAGTCTTCTTCTCATTCATAATAACTAATTCTGCTGACTTAGACATCTGGTTTAAACTGTAAAAAACTGATATTTCATAACCTCATCAGTTGTATGTGTAGTTTGACTGCATCCTGCTCCCTTATGGGGTAACTTGTTCTTTTAATCTGAGTTGTTTTGAGATAAAATTATTTTTACCTCACTAGTGGAGCCAAAAGAAAGTTTAGTTATTGAAACTGATTCAGGGTCTGAATGCATCCATTTAAGTGGTTTACTCTAGACATTTTAGCTAAAAAGTAGTCCCAACTGCACTCATCAGCAACTCAAAAGCAGATCTGAGTAAGTCTGAAGGGTGGCACAAGCCACAACAGATAAAGGAAGCCTGTGTGCCAGATCCCAGCATGGCTTCAGCGGGGGAGCAGAAATTAAACTCTGTTGTGTGATAATGGCTGTGCATAATAGGTCTGTTCAGAGCCACTGAGGCATAAAGCCTCAAAGTCACTCAGTCTGCTCTTGGAGAACATTTACATTAACGCTAGGATCCTCTTAACCCAGCGGTTACAGATGCAGATAAATAACATGAGAATACATGAATATTCTGCCAAATACATCAGATTTCAGCTCACAAATAAAATGCAGGAGCTGCCAAAAGACACGTGACTGATGGACACCAATAATCGTAACGGGTAATAAACCGCATTAAGTGTTTGCATATCTAATGAACACTCTGACAGTTGGCAGAGACCTTCGGTGACACTCCAATTACGCTCCTCATTAATTTAGCCACAAGTGAACAGCTGGTGATGGAGAATATAATTGAAGTGCAATTAATTGATTTCCTAAAGGGAAGCGTGTTACGGGGTGAGTTGTTAATCAGTGGTGACAACGCTGTGCTCGGCCTGGAAGTAACTGAGAGGGTCAAGCGCGGCAACATGCCGTTCAGCTGCTGAATTATTTACACATAAAACTGCTCTTTATCTTTTTTTTTTGGGGGGGGGGGGGTAAATTAAATTTCTGTGAGTGTTTTTGTTCTTTTTTCTGTATTTTTAAAAAAAAATCTCATAAACGACTGGTCAGATTTTAATGAAGTTCTCCGAAAGATTTGATCCAGAGTCAACCGAATTAAAGCACGGAAAGTGCAGCTTGTCTGAAATGGAACACTACACCCGGGGCTGGATTATCACTGCAGAGGCACAAAGCGCTTAAAGCCAGAGGAAATGTTTCTTCCTTAAACTGCTCATGTGGGTCCCTAGTGGGCGTGTCAGAAGCCCAAATGTGATCCTTACTGTGTCAGAGGAAAGTGAAGCTCAACCAGGCATCAAAATATGAGCTCGTACGAAATTCTCAGATAGTCTATTGGAAGCATACGCTGCACGGCCAAAAAGAAGTCGCCACCAAAGGAAAAGATCACACAGTCTAATATTTAGTTGGACCGCCTTTAGCTGCCACCTGGTCATCCACCCTGTTATTTTATGAAAGCAGCTGCTGATTGCATTGTTTGGTTCTTTTTTAAACACAGGAAATAGTTGCTTTACCTTTTTTTCATATTACTTTTGCCCACTCCTGCGGTCTTCTTCAGAGCTGGCCGCTAATGGCGGCGTCACTTCCATCTCTGTTTATCCGCGAGGGGCGACACGTGCTCTGCTGCCCGCGCTCTCTATGCCGATGACAGTCCCATGCGAGATCTAACGTGTAGACTTTATTGTCTCTGTTCATGGTTGTGTGTCCATGTCTCCTTATTAGCTTCCTTAATCCATCTTTTGTATTTTTTGTTGTTCGGTGTAAACCAAACCATGAAGACCCGCAGACCCGGCTGCAGACTCTGGATCTGAGTCTCCCTAGCTGGACTCCCAAGAGCCCAGAGAAGTACGAGAGTGCCTTGAGAAGACGAATGGCTGCCATGCCAGAGAGAGGCCAAAAAAAGTGCACAGATACCAATATTTAGTTGGACCACCTTTAGCTTTGATTACGACTCACATTCGCTGTGGCGTTGTTTCGATAAGCTTCTGCAACGTCACCAGATTTATTTCCATCCAGTGTGGCATTAACGTTCCACCAAGATCTTGCATTGGTGAAGGTAGAGTCTGACCGCGGGACAAAGCCTTCTCCAGCACATCCTAAAGATTCTCAGTGGGGTTAAGGACTCTGGTGGCCAACCCACGTGTGAAAATGATGTCTCATGCTCCCTGAACCACTCTCTCACTATCTGAGCCCGATGAATCCTGGCATTGTCATCATAGAATATGGCCGTGCCATCAGGGAAGATGGAATAACCTGGTCATTCAGGATATTCAGGTAGTCAGCTGACCTCATCCTGTTGCTGAACCTAGACCTGACCAACTGCAGCAAGCCCAGATCATAGCCCTGCCCCCACAGGCTTGTACAGTATAGGCACTAGGCAGGATGGGTGCATCACTTCATTTGCCTCTCTTCTTACCCTGATGCGCCATCATGCTGGACCAGGGTCCATCTGGACTCAGACCAGTTTTAACAAAGCGTTGGACAGTTCTTAACCCAGTTTTACTCATTTCTGCATCTCCTTAGATGTTTTCTCTGCTTGATGCATGCTAACGATTTGACCCCTCTCACACAGACTAACATTTTTTCCACCAGACGTGACTTTCCACATGGTTGTTTAAGAAATGAGAAGCAACTCATTGCACCAGTTGGGATTAAACAAGTCGATAATCGCCTATGCAGTAATTATCCTGTAGAAGGCTTGTACCTATTTGCTTAGTTAAATCCAGGTGGAGACTGTGTTTCTACAACAGGTTCATGTGTGGAATAAGGTGGATTCAAAATAGCTGCCATCCATAGCAAATTAAATTTGGCAAAAAATTAGACAACAAATCAGAAACTTACAGATATGGAACTAAAATCTGACATTGCATTAACGACGAATAATTTACAACATATTGGTGATTTTATTTCCTTTTGTTAAATAAGTTAAAATTTGTCTAATACATGTGCATCCACAGTAGAACATTAATACTCTAAAGCCTTAGTCTATCCACACACCAACATGTTACCTGCTAGGTTTCAGTGTCCAGACAAAAAAAAAAAAAAAAAATAAACCAATCAGCTCCTCCCTCAACATAGCTGAGGTCATCCCCCCTTTAAAAGCACCTCTTCAGCAGTTATTCAAAAAGCCACCAGCTCTGCTCAGAATCACTCCTCAATAGCAGCTCAAACAGGAACCATGAAGTGTCTGAACAACCGAGCTGAGAGCCACCTGACTGGAATAGTGGAGTCGGAGCTGGACAGCATGGGGAACGGGTCCTGGGTAAACCACGGCTACTGTGGAAGCCCGCCACCCATACCCCGGGAAATCAGCACCATCTACAGCCCACAGACGCACTTCCAGGGCTCCATGGATGGCATGTACACACTAGATGCCCGGGGCCTAATCCCAGAGGAACCTTCCTCCTCTGACCAAACATTCAGTAAGAAAAAACGAGGCTGCTGCTCGTTTATTAAAGGTAGGATGACATTTTGCTTACTCTAAAACAGCATCTGTGCTTTAAATAAAAACTGTGGGCCACATTGGTTCAATATGGAAAATACATTTTGATTTTGTTTAACTGGACTTGGTTTTCTTTACAGTTAAGTTTGAAGTCGTCAAAATGATGTTTCATAATTTAAAAGACTCATGAGTAATATTGTCTTTAGGGTTGTGGGGCACCACATGGACCGAAAACACGTCCAACAGCAGGGAGTCGTTTATCCGAACCACTCTACGGGAATTGTTGGTCTATGTGGTGTTTCTGGTGGATGTTTGTCTTTGTGAGTGTTCAAAACACACACACACACACACACACACACACACACACACGCACACACACACACACCTTTATATTTTGTTTGTTGGAAGCCCTCGGTCTGTTTAATTTAATCTGACATTTATTTCTGTAGTTTAGCAGAAATAAGAAGGGTTATGGTTTTAGCCAGATGAGGTTTCTGAAACCATTTGTCAGGATCTGAGGGCACTCTCGTCTGTTCATCTCGACTTTCTCCTTTGTTTTGTTGTTTTTTACCACAGTTGCCCCTCCCATCCCATCTACCTAGAAGCCATTGTCCAGTTGATGCATTAGGACTGAAAGGGACACGAGTGTTGCCCTTTTGGCTTTTAGAGATAAGAGCGTCTTTTGTTGCTTTGTCAAGGTTAGATTTACATTGCCTGATGAGGCTTTTAGCATCAGACCAGCGTGTTCTTTTTCATAAACAAACTACATGTCGTAATCTGGATCCGTGTGATAGCAGCAGAGACTCGGACAAAGCTGACGTGCGGCGTTGCGTGCCTGCCTATTTCGGTTCTCTTATCTCAGTCCCCCTGAATGAAGCAGCGTTTAGAGCTGCACCTGAGCAAACCAAGATAACTTCTAACAATGGGATGATGTTCTTTCAGTGACATACGGGATGACCAGTTCCAGCGCCTATTATTTCACTACAGCCATGACGAACCTGTTTGTGAATTCGCCCGGTGCTAGTGGGGTTGCGTTTCAGTCCATTGGCACCATGGCTGACTTCTGGACGGTGGGTTTCCAATCAATTTTATGTAAACTATTTATTATTTGAATACTGTGAAACTTCACCGATTGTCTTTGTGTGGCCAGTTTGCCCAAGGTCCATTGCTGGATGGTCTCTACTGGACCAAATGGTACAATGACCAGTCCCTCGACAGCGGGAATCAATCTTTCATCTATTACGAGAACATGCTGCTAGGTGTTCCCAGAGTGAGGCAGATCAAGATCAAGAACAACTCCTGCATCATCCCCCAAGACTTTGTGAAAGAGATCTCCGGATGTTATGGTGTCTACAACGAGAAGAAGGAAGATGACATTGGCTTTGGTCTCATCAATGGCACTGCGTAAGCCTGTTAATAAAACCTAATCCATTAAAAGGTCTGGGGTCATTTTCTTTTGTTCTCCTTCAGTTGGACGTATCACACAGAGCAACAGATCAAAGGTTCCTCCTACTGGGGCTTGCTGACTACCTACAGCGGAGCGGGATATTACCAAGATCTAAGTCGGACCAAGGAGGAGAGCGCCGACATCCTGGCTGAACTCATGGACAACCTGTGGCTGGACAGAGGAACCAGAGTTGTCTTTATTGACTTCTCCACATACAACGCCAACATCAACTTGTTCTGCGTCATCACGTGAGAAGCAAGAACAAAGGTGCCAGCTTAACTGTTGATATGCAACAAATACTTGACCGAAATTTGGCATTCCCACTTCAGGTTGGTGGTTGAATTCCCAGCAACCGGTGGCGCGCTCACGTCCTACCAGATCAGAACAGTCAAACTGATTCGCTACATCACCCTCTGGGATTACTTCATCCTTGGCTGTGAACTGGTCTTCTGTGTATTCATCTTCTACTATGTTGTGGAGGAGATCTTAGAGCTGCAGATACACAAATTCTCCTACTTCAAAAGCATTTGGAACATACTGGATATCGTAATTATTCTGGTAAGATAATAAACACTGTTCCAGATTTAAACTTGATCTTTTCACTGGTTGTTGATCTTCCTCCTAAAGAAGTTTTTTTCTTTTCAGCTCGCCATCGTCGCCATCATCTTCAATATTTTCCGAACCGCCAAAGTGAACAACTTGCTTGGTAAACTGCTGGAAAATCCAGACATCTATGCCGATTTTGAATTTCTAGCATTCTGGCAAACACAGTATAACAACATGAATGCAGTGAACTTGTTCTTTGCCTGGATTAAGGTAAGGTAATCGCATCTTCCACAGTCGTCTTGTGTCGTCACACAAATTGACTTTCTTTGTCCTTTTGTAGATTTTCAAGTACATCAGTTTCAACAAGACCATGTCGCAGCTGTCCACCACACTGGGTCGATGTGCCAAAGACATTTTGGGATTCGCCATCATGTTTTTTATTGTTTTTTTCGCTTACGCTCAACTTGGATATTTACTGTTTGGAACACAGGTTGACACGTTCAGCACTTTTGTAAATTGCATGTAAGTGGTGTCAAAAACCAACGTCAGCTGTAACAAACATCAGTTTGTTTACTACCATACTGTCAGAGTCCAAGCCCCCAGGCCCCGGCATGCTGGGTAATGTGGTCCGAGACAGAAGCCGGTCAGCTGGGAGAGCCCGGCCTGGGGGCTTGGACTGTGACACATACCCGCTCCTTGAATGGCCTTAACTTGAAGAAATATAAGCAATTTTAAAGTCTCGTATCAATTTACGCAGAGGATTTCATATACGCCTTTAAATTGTGTCAGGACTTGACCCCTGGACTTGCAGCTGCTGCTGGTTTTCACACTTGGGTCTTGGACGCATCCTGACTAGCTGTTAGCTTGTTACTCCTGTGTAATGGAGTTTTTATAAGGGAACTCGAGGAACCACAAAGCTGTGGCGCTCGTTGGAAAATACCACTAGTTCCCAAACTTTTCAGGGTTTGATCTATAGTAATAATCAGTTTTATTTTTATTGCACTTTATATTCTAACAATCTCAAAGCGCAACAGAAAACAGCATACAATACATTCATCATGGCCCATTAATAATTAAAATAAGTAAAGAGAGAGCCTATGAAATCCTTTTAGCAAAAAGCTAAGTGAATGTCATAGAAACTCATGTGCTGAACAGGTTGAAATTTGCCTTTTACTATTTACAGCTACTGCTTTTATCTCTATGTGACAACATGTGCAATTAATAAATGACCATTTGTAGAGCAGGGGTTGCCAAAATCCTGGTTATTGAGGGCCGGTATCCAGCATGTTTTAGTTGTTTCTCTGTTCCAACACACTTGATTCAGTGTTTAAATCACCCTGCTCATTAAGTGCTTCAAAAGCCTGTTAATCACCTGCTGATTAAATAAGGTGTACGGAAGCAGGGAAACAACAAAAACATGCTGGATACCAGCCCTGCAGAGCTAGGATGACACCTCTGTTCTAGAGCTAATTGGATTGCTCAATGCACCCCAAGTGTGTAGTTTCCCTGGCGACAGGGGGCTGTACATACCTAAATATTTGCAAGCAAGCAGTATTTTTGTGTTCGAGTAAGACTTTACCATCGGATGGTCATTAGGGTCAAAAATCCCTGAGAGCGCAACCTCCAGGAAAATGACAAGCACATCAGACTCTTATCAGTGGCAACAAGCGAAAAGGGAAACATGTAAAACAACATTTATGAATCGGTAAATGTGTTTTGTCCTCACGGGCTCCCATAGACAGAAACATGGCGTCAAAGATGGCGTCGCCCAGAGACTTGGACCCATTCCCGTGTATTTTAGACCCAATTTTTATGGTCACGTTACGAAGTCGCAGATATTTTTCAAAAACTGGGCATCATTTCATTCATTTTCAACATTTCGATGGATATTTCCAGAGATTAACGGTAACAACTACATCGTCTCTTCAATAAAAACAGCCTGTAGGAAAAAAGATCCAAAGCAAAAATATTTAATATTAAAAATACAGAATCTAAAGATCTAAAATCTATTTCTGCAAACTGAGGCCATTCAGTAAGCGTTCAAGTTGTCTGAAGAATCATAGTTTATTTTTCTGTAGTTTCACACAGTTCCGAATCATCCTTGGAGACTTTGATTTTAATGCCATCGATAGCGCAAACAGAATTCTGGGGCCCATCTACTTCGTAACCTTTGTGTTCTTCGTTTTCTTTGTTCTGCTGGTGAGTTGTCTCGCTGATGATGAAAGGTTCTAGGTGGAAATCCCCTTTGATTTTTTCACGAGTATTGTTTTTGTTTTCCATAGAACATGTTTCTGGCCATCATAAATGACACCTATTCAGAGGTTAAGGAGGAACTGTCTTCTGAAGAGGATGAGCTTCAAATATCTGAATTCCTCAAACAGGTAGAGATCAGTTCTGTTCATGTAATCAGTGCTATTTTACAAGAGACAATACCGTGATTTACGCTCAATTTACAGGGCTACATGAAGACCTTTATGAAACTGAAGCTTAAAAACGAGAAAATACGCGATGTTCAGAAGGCTCTGGAGTCTGGATCTGGAGAAATAGAATTCAAGGACTTCAGAGAAACTCTTAAAGAGTAAGAGACAATTTCAATTCAATTCAATTTCACTTCAATTCAATTTCAATTCAGTTTTATTTATAACGCACCAAATCACAACAAGAGTCGTCTCAAGGACCTTCACATAATAAACATTCCAATACAGGTCAGTTCATTAAGCCAATCAGAAATAATGTTTCCTACATAAGGAACCCAGCAAATTGCATCAAGTCACTAACTAGTGTCAGTGACTTTACAGCAATCCTCATACTAAGCAAGCATGCAGCGACAGTGGAGAGGAAAACTCCCTTTTAACAGGAAGAAACCTCCAGAGGATCCTGGCTCAGCAAAAGCAGCCATCCTCCATGACTCACTGGGGATGGAGAAGACAGAGCAGACACACACACACACACACACACACACACAGAGATGTGGACAACAACTATAAATTCATAATTAGCTGCATCTCTCATCAGACTGATACATTTGCAGGATGGGACACTCTGATCATGAAATATCTGCAGCCTTCTCACAGTTTGACCATGATGGAAACAAGATTCTAGACGCAAACGAACAAGAAAGGATGAAAATGGAGCTGAAGGAAAAAAAGGTTGTTTTCATAAGAGAGAAACAAATGTGAGGGGTTGTAAATATATCCATATTAAGGAAAAAGGCTGTTTATGATTAAGGTTTTGGTTTTGTTGTCATCAGGTTGCTCTTAATGCTGAACTTAACAATCTTGGAAAAAACTACGAAAAAGATTTGAGAGAGAGGCCTCCGGTCACATCAAACGAGCAAAAGAGTCAAACCTCTGTGGATGACGATCAGTTCCTTAAGTAAGAAAAGTTTTCACATTCACACAAGCAGATCTCTAAAGAAAAAAAAAGAGATTTATTCAAGACCAAACTAACGGTTTACCTTTGTCTCACCCCAAAAGGCTGGCCAAACAAGTTCTTCAGATTGAAAACTCTGTAGCCGTCGTCACATCTAGGATTGAGATGATCATGGACAAACTGGGAATGCAGGAGCAAACTAAAGGAACTGAAACAACAGAGAAACCGTCGGTGACCAGTAAGAACGTAGGTGTAAGCTTTAGGGAGCCCAAGTCTCCTCCCCTCCCAGTCGGCGTAATATTAACATCTGCTTAAAGAGCAAGTCACCCCCAAATCAACACGTTTTGCTGATTAACTATAGAAATGAGAGTCTAATCGTAACGTAAACACGTGTAGACAATAATTTTGCACTTTAGTGCATCTAAGTTAAAATTTTAAATTTGTGCCTAAAACTGTCAGTGCCGTTGTCAGGTAAAAACTGTGCACTGCGTTTAAATTTAATATGCCATCGCTATTGACCAACGCTATGACGTTAGCTGGTACATTATGAGGTCACAATGTCGTTGTAAGCCTGTGTGTGTGTATTTGTTAGCGGCTCTGCCCTTTCGGTCTGCTAGGCCAGTGGTTCCTAACCTGGGTGTCCCGACCACCACAAGGGGGCGCCAAAGCCTCTCAGTGGGTCGCCCGGACCTCTCCACTTTAAGGGGTTAAAACTTCATCTATTACTTGTTTATAGCCTACATTTTGCTCACATTTTTTCATGAGTGAAAAGTTTACTGATATTAAGACAGAAAATAATTAGTACAGAAAGAGTAACACACTTTTAAGAACATTTTGCTCAGCTCACTGTTTTAATTTCAAGTGTCAAAAGTTCATTCAAGATAGGACTGGTTGATTAATCACAGCCTTTACAGTAAATAATCTAGTATAAACAGTAATATACACATTTAAGTAAATTTTGCTCAGTGTATTTTTTATGTGTCAAATGTTTATTGAAAGGAATGATTGATTTATCAGTGTTTACAAGAAACAATGTGTTCAGAAAAGTAATACAAACTGTCAAGCACATTATGCTGTTTGGTTTTGCTAATGACTTTGTTCTGTACTGGAGCCTACTATTATTGTTATCTATTAAATCAAAGCATATTAAAATGTGCTTGAACAATTTTATCATTTTTTAATACTGTTTGTACTGGAAGAGAGAATGGGAGGGGGTCGTCAAAAATTTTACTGGTAAAAAAAGGGTCCCTTGGGAAAAAGGTTGGGAACCACTGTGCTAGGCAACAGAATTTGTTGCATTTTTCAAACAAGAAGTGTGAGTGGAGTAAGAAAATTACCCTTAATTTAAATAATTAGGTGTGTTTTGACTGTCTGTCTCATATTTGCTTATAAAATGACTACAAATGAGAAGTCTTATATATGACACCGCAACACAATCTCTTTCCAGCGTAGCTGCTACTTCCCACATGGTCAGATTAATGGTGATTTTCTCCATATTTAATGCTGCTCCTTTCATTCAAAGCTTGCCAAACTCAGCCACGGACATTTCATGTGACGAGCAGTTGGGGTCCTCTACATATTTTCATACAAAACCTGAAGTAACTTTTTCCACCTGTCCAGAATAAATGTTTTCTTGGTACCAAAATGTGTCTTTAAAATTTACAGACGTCATATGTGAAATCCATGGCACATATCAAACTGGATCAAAAAATGACTTTCATTGGCTCACAGACTTCTATTCATAAATATTTAGATCAAAATCTAAATATTTAGATCAAAATCTAAATATTTAGATCAAAATCTAAATATTTAGTTACATTTAAATATCTAAATAAAATCAAAATACTTTAAGTTTAATTTAAATATTCAGATCTAAATCTAAACATAGTTTAATCTAAATATTTTAAACAGAATCAGAACAGAACATATGAAGTGAAATATTCAAAATGAAATGTAAACAGCTACACATAACTTTATGTATATATTTGGAATAAAAATTAGTATACAGTAGTTACAGAAAGTATTTAGAGCCCCGTCAATTTTTCACTGTTATGTTGCAGCCATTTATTAAAATCAAGTAATGCAATTTTTTTCCTCATTAATGTACACACAGCACCTCATATTGACAGAACAAACATTTTAGCAATATATGCAGAGTTATTAATTCCTGTCCAGCTCCAGTCCTGAATAAATGTTTGTGCTGCCACCCTTTTGGCTGTGCTTTTTATCTGTTTTTTGAATCAGAAATGAATCTACATTTCTTTGAATTACTGTGTTTGCTGTTTTTGCTTCTGTAAAGCACTTTTAATGCCTTTGTGTTTGAAATGTGCTATACAAATAAAGCTTCCCTGCCTAAGTATTCAGACCCCTTGTTCAGTATTTAGCAGAAGCACCTTTTGAGCTAATACAGCCATGAGTCTTCTTGGTAAAAATGGAACAAGTTTCTTACACCTGGATTTGGCGATCTTCTGCCATTCCTCCATGCAGATCAGTTCTGTCAGGTTGGATGGTGAACGTTGGTGGACGGCCATTTTTAGGTCTCTCCAGAGATGCTCAATTGGGTTTAAGTCAGAGCTCTGGCTGGGCCATTCAAGAACAGTCACAGAGTTGCCGTGAAGCCACTCCTTCGTTATTTTTCCTGTGTGGTTAGGGTCATCGTCATGTTGGAAGGTAAACCTTCGGCCCAGCCTGAGGTCCCGAGCGCTCTGGGGAAGGTTCTTGTCCAGGATATCTCTGTACTTGGCTGCATTCATTGTTCCCTCAATTGCAAGCAGTTGTCCTGTCCCTGCAGCTGAAAAACATCCCCACAGTATGATGCTGCCACCACCATGCTTCACTGTAGGGACTTTATTGGACAAGTGATGAACAGTGCCTGGTTTTCAATACACATATTGCATAAAATGAAGGCCAAAAAGTTCCATCTTGGTCTCTTCAGACCAGAGAAGCTTATTTCTCATCATCTCGGGGTCCTTCAGCTATCTTTTAGCAAACTCCATTGGGGCTTTCATGCGTCTTGCACTGAGGAGAGGCTTCTGACAGGCCGCTCTACCATAAAGCCCAGACTGATAGAGGGCTGCAGTGATGGTTGACTTTCTACAACTTTCTCCATCTCCTGACTGCATCTCTGGAGCTCAGCCACAGTGATCTTTGGGTTCTTCTATACCTTTCTCACCAAGGCTCTTCTCCCCTGGTAGCTCAGTTTGGCCAGATGGCCTGCTCAAGGAATGGTTCTGGTCCTCCCAAACGTCGTCCACTTAAGGATTATGGAGGCCACTGTGCTCTTACTTTAAGTGCAGCAGAGATGTTTTTGTAACCTTGGCCAGATCTGTGCCTTTCTGAGTTCTTCAGGCAGTTCCTTTGACCTCATGATTGTCATTTGCTCTGACATGCATTGTGAGCTGTAAGCTCTTATATAGACAGGCGTGTGGCTTTGCTAATCAAGTCCAATCAGTATAATCACACACAGCTGGACTCCAATGAAGGTGTAGGACCATCTCAAGGATGATCAGAAGAAGTAGAAAGCACACAAGTGTCAAAACAAAGGGTCTGAATACTTAGGACTGTGAGATATTTCAGTTTGTCTTTATTAATAACTGAAGAAATTTTAAAAAATTCTGTGTTTTTCCATCAACATGGGGTGCTGTGTGTACGTTAATGAGGAAAAAGATGAATTTAATTGATTTTAGAAAATGGCTGCAATATAACGAAGAGGGAAAATTTGTTGGGGGTCCAAAAAGTTTCTGTACCTACTATGGCCAAAATGTGTTGAATGAAATTTACAAAGTTAAAACTAATTATTTGAAACAAATCTAAATAATGTCAAACCTAATTATTTAAGTTATAATTTTTATACATAGGCCTAAAAGCATCAATCTAAATATATAAGGGTAAATTAAGTATTTTAAATCAAATACTCAGTTACATCTAAATGTTGAAATCTTAACAAAAATGCTGTGGTTGCAAACTAAATATTTAGCTAACAAGTTATTTCAGACTGCTAAAAATGTAGCATATCAAAATAAAATCAGAGTCAAGCAATAGCCTATATAAAATTTTAAGAGTTCCTTTAAAATTTATTGTTTAACTTATCAATGTGAAAGGACATCCCAGACAGGAGTGCTTAAGAATGCTTCGTGGTTAAAAAGACTTACACCATCAAAGGACTCTCTGTTGTTAGATGCTTTTATTTTGGTAGGGTGCTTCAAATTTGCAGCAATTTAACACGTTAGCTACGTAATTAATTAAAAACCATTACATTTATATTCAAAATTCAGTATTTAAAAGTAAGATTATGTATTTAGATTTAATTCATATCACAGTTAACATAATCTGAAATTGCATTTAAAGATTATAACAAATTGTAATTTATAAAAAATCTAGATAAAAAATTTTCATGTTTTACAATTAGTGCCCCCTTTTCTTGTGTGCATCAAAAGATTATCACAATTAAATTTGTTCGTACAAAATAAAAATATGCAAAACATTTTATTGCAAATAGTTTATTAGAAACATCTTTAAAACACGCCATACTTTGTGAAAATGGTAACATTTATTACTACACGATTAATTTCCAATCACCTTTTTCCAGAGTGATAAAGCTCCTTCTGATGGTGTGGATCGTGCTGAGAGAGGAACAACAGCTGAAAGGTCATCAAGAAAACCTGCGGTCCTCGCCAACTCCAAATTCGACCCTCATATGTGATCAGCATCAAACACACCGCGGATTACCTTGGATCGTTTAATTTTCACTCTATATGGTCTTTTCAGAGACAGAACCCCACATTTACAGTCAGGCCCATGAATATTGAGACATCGGCACAATGCTAACATTGTTGGTCCTATACACCACCACAATGGATATCAAATGAAACGAACAAGATGTGCTTTAACTGCAGACTGTCAGCTTTTATTTGAGGGTATTTACATCCAAATCAGGTGAACGGTGTAGGAATTACAACAGTTTGTATTTGTGCCTCCCACTTGTTAAGGGACCAAAAGTAATGGGACAGAATAAGAACCATAAATCAAACGTATACATTTCAATACTTGGTTGCAAATCCTTTGCATCAATTACAGCCTGAAGTCTGGAACACATAGACACCACCAGACGTTGGGTTTCATCGCTGGTGATGCTCTGCCAGGCCTCTACTGCAACAGTCTTCAGTTCCTGCTTGTTGCTGGGGCATTTTCCCTTCAGTTTTGTCTTCAGCAAGTGAAATGCATGCTCAATCGGATTCAGGTCAGGTGATTGACTTGGCCATTGCAAAACAGTCCACTTCTTTCCCTTCAAAACTCTTTGGTTGCTTTTGCAGTATGCTTTGGGTCATTGTCCGTCTGCACTGTGAAGCGCCGTCCAATGAGTTCTGAGGCATTTGGCTGAATATGAGCAGATAATGTTGCCGAAACACCAGAATTCATCGTGCTGCTTTTGTCAGCAGTCACATCATCAATAAATACAAGAGAACCAGTTCCACTGGCAGCCATACATGCCCACGCCATGACACTTCCAGCACCATGCTTCACTGATGAGGTGGTATGCTTAGGATCATGAGCAGTTCCTTTCCATCTCCATACACTTCTATTCCCATCACTCTGGTACAAGTTGATCTTGGTCTCATCTGTCCGTAGGATGTTGTTCCAGAACTGTGAAGGCTTCTTTAGATGTTGTTTGGCAAACTCTAATCTGGCCTTCCTGTTGTTGGGGCTCACCAATGGTTTACATCTTGTGGTGAACCCTCTGTATTCACACTTGATTGTTGACTTTGACACAGATACACCTACCTCCTGGAGTATGGACATAGAGCCGATTGATGTTCTTGACCTGGCCAACTGTTGTGAAGGGTGTTTTCTTCGATTCTTCGGTCATCCACCACAGTTGTTTTCCGTGGTCTTCCGGGTCTTTTGGTGTTGCCGAGCTCACCGGTGCGTTCCTTCTTTTTGAGAATGTTCCAAACTGTTGTTTTGGCCACGCCTAATGTTTTTGCTATCTCTCTGATAGGTTTCTTTTGTTTTTTTCAGCCTAATGATGGCTTGCTTCACTGATAGTGACAGCTCTTTGGATCTCATCTTGACAGTTGACAGCAACATATTCCAGATGCAAATAGCACACTTGAAATGAACTCTGGACCTTTTATCTGCTCAGTGTAATTGGGATAATGAGGGAATAACACACACCTGGCCATGGAACCGCTGAGAAGCCAATTGTACCGTTACTTTTGGTCCCTTAACAAGTGGGAGGCACATATGCAAACTGTTGTAATTCCTACACCGCTCACCTGATTTGGATGTAAATACCGTCAAATAAAAGCTGACAGTCTGCAGTTAAAGCACATCTTGTTGTTTCATTTGATATCCATTGAGGTGGTGTATAGAGCCAAAAATGTTAGCATTGTGTCGATGTCCCAATATTTATGGACCTGACTGTATGTAACTATAATGATAACCAGCCACAGAAGGGCAACATTTGCATTAAGTTCTGTAAAATCTAATGATCTGCTTATTAGGAGTCTGAACGCACAACTGACTAGAGTTGAAGACAACTATATTTAAAGAGTAGTTATAAGAAGCAATGTAATAATCTAATATTATGTGATGCACTTGTTTTAGTCACTTCATTCTGATGGATGTTAATTTTACATCAGCTCATCTACCTTCAGAATACACTCACTGACACTGATTTGAGAGTAATTTGGCACGTGAAGTTCAGCAATGATTATGTAAATGATTTAATAAGCGAGGTGCATCAGATGGCATCACGAGCGGCGTGGTAGTCGGTCCGCGAGGTTGCTCTAAACGTTCTGGTCACCTTCAAGCAACATTCCCATCATTTGTCCTGGTATTGTTTATACAAGACCAACATTTTCTTCAGCCCTGGTTTGTTGTGTTTCCATTTCCCACCTGTATCTACTCAGTGTGGCGCAACTTTGTTTGGCCCAATTCCAAGGCGCCTCCACTAGTAATGGATACCAGCTTCGAACTGGCATCTGACTTACATGGTTCAGCCTTGCCTCGGTTTTGTAATATGAACATTTTATGGATATTTGTTGGGAATTCTGAGGATACTCAGCCAATCAGAAGTGCTGAGAGTTTCCCCACCCTCCAAAGTGCTACCAGGCCTGTTTTGTAGAATAAACACCCATGCTGGTATTCTATTTTGGCCCTGAGGATTGTTAGATTGTACACCAGTACACGACTGTACACGATCAGCCAGACGATGAGTTTACCGGATTGGTGCTTGGACCTAGCCTGGCAAGCCAGACTAAACTAATATATTATTTAGTCTGGCAATGCTCCATTGACGGCTCTCGGTCAAGAGCCGTTGTCTTTCAAATGATCGCCGCATGCTACTGGACAATGAACGTGAGGTACTCACCGCAACGGATGTCGGTAAACGTGGCAGTCTGCAATTGGGAGGTGAAAATACATCCTTTAAAAAAAATAAAAGAATTTAAATACATCTATCTGCTCCTGATTCTAATAAAGCCCAAGTTCAAATAGTCTAAAATAGATGTAAAGCGGCTTCAAACTAGCTGTTGCCATCTTGTTCCATTTTGTTGCATCATCCCGCCCACCAAACGAATAGAGAACCCTGATTGGCCCACAAAGCGAATAAAGAGCTGTGATTGAACCACAACTGTGGACCAATCATCCCTATAGAGAGCTGTGATTGGCCAGCCAGAATGCTGCTAGGGGCGACAGAGGTTCCAATGGAGCAGTCCTAGACCAAACTTTGCAAAGCCAGAATTTGGTCTAATTCACTAGGCTAGCTTGGACCTGGTGGCACGGAGAGCTGATTGGTGAACCTCATAGCACAGCGCAACATCAGTGACCTTCTGCATCTACCGTATTTTCCGGACTATAAGCCGCTACTTTTTCCCACGCTTTGAACCATGCGGCTTATAACGAGGTGCGGCTTTAGTCAACCAGAAAAGATGGATGCTGGAAAGTCTAATGAAGGAATGGTTAAAGGAGCGCTACGGAAAGCGCCCAGGAGGATTTTTTTCACAGTAAAACGGCGCTGCTTGTTTTCCCAGCTTCTCCCCGGGATGATGACAGCAACACGGAGAGCGACACTGACATCGCCACAGAAAAGGTGTGTGACGAAGCTCTTCTGAGGCTGTTCAACTGCGACACTGAAGAAGATGACTTCAGTGGTTTCAGTGCGCAGGAGGACGATGAATAAACTAATCAATAACTTTTCTGTTTTGTTTGATACTGATCAGTTCAGTCACGTTCAGTTAAACTACGTTTTCAATTCAGTAGATATCTGCGGCTTTTAGCCCGGTGTGGCTTAAACTGAGGTGCGCTCTATAGTCCGGAAATTACGGTACTAGTCTGCCCCATCTGAGACGGTACCCATCCAAGCTTCACGCTGAGGGCTCACTGTAGACCAGATCCTTCGATCTTTCCCCAATCAAACCTAAACGGGAGTGGTTTGAATGTTAACTCTGACCCAGTTCTGATCTGAGAAACCTTAAGGGCTGGTTCCAAAAGTTGAGTTGAGCCCGGAGTGAACAGGAAGTCATAAGGTCTACCACATTGTGTCTTTTTGTCAAAGAGCTTAACCCTCCCACTGTCTTCATGGGTGACCCCGCAAAGACAGTTGACCATTGAGCAGGATTGATGGTTTATCCCTCGAGATCCACGTGGCAGGGGTGAGGAGTGAGCACCACCTCACCCCTGCCACGTGCTGTCTTTGTGGGGTCACCCATGAAGACAGTGGGAGGGTTAATAGTTAAAGAGTTCGTGGTGAATTCTTACATCATTTATCCTGAATGAAGAAGGCAAACTGGGGTGATGTTATTTTGGGTTAAACATTACAAGATTTACAGCGTTTGAATGAAGCAATTTCATTTACAGAAATGCTAAAGAAGTTATTTATTGTGTCATGTTCCATAAAACTGCTGTACATTAAGTGTAGGCTTTGCTGTTGAAACTCTTGCATAGAGCAGCATTTATCGCTACCAAATAAAAATACTGAACCATGAAATACAAATGTTTATTTGAAGTGACTTGAGTTTTTCTTTTCCTCCATCAAATGCAAAATTCTGACAATAATTATAATTAAACATTACTTCTGTTGTTACATTGGACATAAATTGAAGTTGCCTTTACATTCAACACCTTAAGCAACAGAAGTGTGCAGCTCAGGCGAGTTCCTGCTACACAAAGAAAACGGTACAAAAAAGGAGAAATTCTCTTAAGATTTAAAATTAAAAATTGAGCTTTTTCAAATACCTTTGTATTTACCCCCAAGAAAGAGTGTTAAGGCTTGTTTATAACTTAAAATGCTGAAATTAAATGATGACATTTAATTTTCTAACATTCTACCTAATGTATGTACATTTTTAGGCTTTTATGGAGGTTCCAGGTCAAGCTTTATATTTACACTCTAGAAAACACATTTTATTCCTTGAATTTTCCCAAAAAGATAAAGAGCCTTCAGGACCCAAGAAGTATAGCCCAAATCTCATATCCCAGTTTATTTTACAACTTTCCTGGGATGCAAGAAAATTCTAAATGAACTAAAGAAAAAGAGACGTCTGCCGGTTACCAAACCAATGCCATAATTAAGAAATATTTTATCAATGTTTTCAACTTAAAACAAACAATAACAGTAAGTTCATTTTAGCAATAAAACCTTCTATCAAACAAACCCATTGGCTAAATTCAGCGAAGAGGAGGAAAACATGCAGGATCCAAAATTCCTTTTGGGAAACCAAAACCCAGAATAGCTAAAATAAAGTAAAATAGAAAACATGTTGTTACCTCAAACAGGTTTTGGGATTCAACAGGTTGGTTGTTCAGATTGTTGAAGTGAGGTTTTGTAGAAAGGTTATAAACAATTGCTCTCTGAACGGCCACAGTTTGGAGAAAAAGAGATTAATTCTGGCGGGATTAAGAAGTTAAAGAGCAAGTCACCCCCAAATCAACTATTTTTTTCTGATAAACTATATAAATGTGTGTCTAATCGTGCTGCAGACACAAGTAGTCAATAGTTTTGCACTTTAGTGCATTTTAGTTAAAATTTAAATTTTCTGCCTGAAACTGTCAGTGTTGTGCCGTTGTCAGGTAAAAACTCTGCACTGCATTTGAATTTAAATCTGCCACCGCTATTGGCTAAGAGGTATTTTATGATGTAAACTGGTACATTATGATGTCACAATTTCATGAGTGTGTGTATATTTGTTAGTGGCTCCACCCTCTCAGTCTGCTAGGCAACAGCATTTGTTGCATTTTTCAAACATGAAGTGGGAGTGAAGTACGCTTCTTGTTAGGGGTGACTTGCTCTTTAACAGCTAGTCCCAACAGGGCCAGTTACAAAATCTCCTCAGCTCAAAAATACAAAAGGTATTGTCTCTTAAGTCTTTACGCTGTACCGCATGGGTTGTTTACAAAGAATTCTAGTTTTTTACAGAAAAAAATTTCAGACAATCTGATACTTCCAATCATAATTTTATAATTCTGAAAGAATTATCACATAATATGAATTAAAGCTGTTATAACAAATCTACAGAACAAGCTAGGTTTGGAACGCAAACCCCGTCACCTTGGGTATCTTCCCTGAGACTCTTATGCCAGAACCAGAAACCCGCAATGCCAGAGGAAACGAGACAGTGCTCAGCACCAGTCGCCGTTTTCTAGGTCCGGATGCCTTTTGGTGTCCATGACTTCAAAAGGTGTTTTTCTTTTTGAGGTTAGGGCTATCCCTGGTTAGAGTTATCCCTGGGACCGCCACCTCCAGCCAAATGACAAGCACATAAAATTCCTTTTCATCACTGGAAACGAGCGAATAGGAAAACATGTAAAACAACGTTTATGAGTGGTGAAAGTTTTGTAACCGCTTGTTACGAATCAGTAAATGTGTTTTGTCCTAACGGGCTCCAGTAGAAGGAAATACAGCATCAAAGATGGCGTCACTCAGTGACTTAGACCCACCCCTGTGTATTTTAGACCTGATTTTTATGGTTATAGGTTTACGAAGCCACCAATATTTTTCAACAACTGGTCATTTTATTCATTTTCAACATTTTAATGGATATTTCCAGAGATGAAAGGTCAAAATTACACATTGTCGCTTTAAAGGCAGAGTGAAGATTTTTTGATAGTGTAAAAAAATAAAAAGCCTTTGCATGAACAGGTAAAACATGTTATTTTAGATTCAAGGGCTATTTCTCTTTAAAGGTGATTTAAAGTCAGACACAGGAAGACAATCCATCTCAGAGATGAGGGTCTGTAGCTATGGTGCTGCTGCTACGTCGGGAACATTAAAAGGTTTCACTTACAGTTTACATGGGGATATGAAGAATTAGTAGTAAAATACAAAGAGATTTAATGCAGTTTAGATATTGGTGCTATTGCGTCTTTAACAATATATTTATTTAGTTAGCTTTTACATTTTGTTTGATACTTTTCAGCTAGATTTTTTATTTAACACTGAGCAGTGTATAAAATTAAGATTAAAGAATTGGTTAAATTCAGAGTTTAAAAAACGAATACAGGCTCAGAAATGTTGTGCATCAGCTGCTGTTGTTCAGGACATTTCAACAAGCAAATAAGGCCGGACAACTTTAGATGTTGGCCATGAATAGCAGCTCAACCAACAAAAGGCTAACTACGACCTCTACATATCGGCGTCTGCAGTAGAAACACCCACATCAGTCATCTCTAGTCGATAAAAGAGCAACCGCTTCATAATCTTTCTACAGAAACTCACTTTTAAAGATCTGCATTATCCCTTTAATCAGGGGTGCTCAACCCACGTCCTCAAAGGCTTCTCTGCTCCAACACACCTGATTCAACTATCTCATCACCTGCCGACTGAAATCGGGTATGTTGGAGCGGAGAAACCTCGAACGACCAGGGTTGAGATGTCTTTCCTTTAGGATACAGGATCATAAACCAAAGGATTTTACAGAACCGACAATGTTCTCTTGGTTCTTCATTCACGCAGCTCTCGTTCTCACACACACACACACACACTCATATGGGGGCTTCTGTTACATATTTTCATTCTGAATACAGAGGTTATTTGTACTCATACACAGATAAGCATATTAACGCCAGTCGGGGGAACAGTGCCTTGCCCATAGACAGTTTGGAGGGCACTAGGGGCCGGTGTTTAAACCCCACCCAACCACGAGGCTAAGGATGTCCTCTTTACTCAGATTATGTAAATTAAACTCTAGAAAAACCCTAAATGACATGCATATCACAGCAATAACATTTTATTTTTTTGTTTTTGAGCCTTGAAGATAAACTTTGTACAAAAAAATTGTATTCTGGAGGTTCTACGTCCCGCTCAAGTCCCACTTAAAGCCACAGTTGTTTATACAAATAATCTTTTTGTGTGAATTTAAAAAGTAAACTCCTGTTCCAGCGCGTTGACACTCAAATGTCTCAGATCTGATCCAGACAGATGTGTAGGCAGAGGTGTGTGCGGTTGGGGAACAGGCAAGATGAGTGAATATTCAAAAACTTATTAAAAAAAACAACAAAAGCTGCTAAATGAATATTGCTGTAGTTTTATAAGATGCCGTGACGTTTCCAGGAAGTCGTGTCCACATCTGAATCCGGTGAAAAGCAGGAGACATGATGGCTTTCAGCTCTGATTAACTTTGTGCATTTCTTTTCTTTTACCCCCACAAACATTTGGCCTTTTTTTTAGTGTGACTTGTTTCTTATTGTACGAAACAAAACTATAAGCTAGATATACGTTTTAGTCAGGCAGCAAACGATAAAAACCACCAGTTTTTTCTTCTTAAACAAAAAGACAACTGCTTTGGCTTTCGTTCCGAAGTCCAAGACCTCTTTTCTATATTGTGAGGTATTAACAAACCAATGCAAAGGAATTGTGAATCTAAAGGAGGGTGATTTATTAAACATTTAACTACTTGTTTAGGGACCACCTGTTTCCTGATTCCTGGGATCTCTCCGGGCTGTCCAGGTCAAACGGTACCAAACTCCCTTGGTGATACGCTTCGGCTAGAGCCGCCTGTCTCACTGCATCTGATAGCCACTCATGTTGAAGTTGGACATGACCGTATCGGGGGTTGCTGGTGCAGATCCGGGGCCACCGATCCAAGCTGGTGACTGTGACTGCCTGTAAAAAAAAAAAAAAAAAAAAAAAAAAAAAAAAAATGCAGATACTTGGTTATTTTGAGCTGTACGGTAGAATTAAGTGTGAAGAATTTCACTCCCCAGAGCCAAACTCACTCCGCTCCAAATCCCTGCTGGTTCCACGTTTGTCCGTACATGTTGTAAGAAGGAACTTGCCACCCGTTGGTGACGTACGGCTGCTGTGGGCTCCCGTAGACCTGGTTCCACTGCCTCCATGGGCTGTAGTCAACCTGAGCAAAGAGCATAAACATGCAAAAGCGTCATACTTTTACTTAACTTGTGTTCCACAGAAAGTCTTCTCTTAACCTGATGTGGGTTCTTTGCTGGGTCGGGAGACTCTTTGCCCCAGTAGCACTTCACCACCTGCCCCTCGATGACCGTGCCGTTCACTGAAACGATGGCGTGTGCAGCGCTGTCATGGGAGGAAAACCTTCAAAACAACACATCAGAATTCCATCAGATAAATCCCAAAATACAAGTATGAAGGAAAATAAGTGTTCTGTAAACGACTTCAGTGTGTCTGTGCTGACACCTGGAGGCCTAATGCTGCTAAGACACTACCTGATGAACGAATATCCCTTTTCTGGGAAAACCCGGACTTCCATTATTTGACCAAATGGTGAGAAAGTTTGTCGAATTAGATGCTCTAAAAAGACAAACAGGAAAGGATGAGTCTGGTTGGGTCTCAGCTGAAGCAGAAACGTTAACCTAAGACTGCTACTGCAGCAGCGTGACCACAGCGTGGAACTATGGCATTCTGACAACGTGACACTTGCCTGATAGTCCTGACTGGATCCCACCACAGTACACGGTACAGTTCTGGGGACTGGACTGGGTCACGACATCATCAAACTTCAGCTGCTTTGATCCATCTGAGACAAAAACCCATAAACAGCACATTTGTGAACACTGAGGAGATACAGTTCCAGTCAGGTCAGACATCCTCATGCGTATGAATGTCAAATATTTGAACAGATGATGAAAAGACTTTCCAACCATGTGCAAATCTCCTTGTGGATTTTTACATGTGGATTTCATGTTTTTGTTGTTTCCCTGCTTCAATCAGCAGGCTATTAAAATGCTTCTGCAGAGCTCGATGCGCTGCTTAACAGGGGGTTTAACTACTGAGTGAGTGTTGGAGCAGGGAAACTACTAAAACATACTGAATACCGGCGCTCGATGACCAGGGTTCCCCACCCCTGCTCAAGAAGCTTCAACTTCACTTTGAATAATTCTGACCCAGAGCAGGAAAGAGCCCCTCTACTGAGCCTTCTTCAGCTGAACCAGGGATAGACGGCTGTTTCTGTCCTGTTTATAACCTCTGCGCTACTTTTAAAGGTTGCATGAGGCCCATTTCCACCATCAGAACTTACAGGTACTTTCAGTGCAACTGTATGGGATTTATGGGTCTCCATTTCACTGGGCCGGGTCAAAAGGACCCCTTTCTGGGCAATTTCATGAACCAAATGAGCACCTCCAAATCTGAGACCATGGTTCTCGACCGGAAAAGGGTGGCTTGCCAACTCCGGGTCGGGGGAGAGGTCCTACCTCAAGTGGAGGAGTTTGAGTATCTCGGGGTCTTGTTCACGAGTGAGGGTAGGAGGGATCGGGAGATCGACAGGCGGATTGGTTCGGCGTCTGCAGTGATGCGGACGCTGAGCCGATCTGTCGTGGTGAAGAGGGAGCTGAGCCAGAAAGCCAGGCTCTCGATTTACCGGTCGATCTACGTCCCAATCCTCACCTATGGTCATGAGCTTTGGGTAATGACCGAAAGAATGAGATCGCGGATACAAGCGGCCGAAATGAGTTTCCTCCGTAGGGTGGCCGGGCTCAGCCTTAGAGATAGGGTGAGGAGCTCGGACATTCGGGAGGGACTCGGAGTAGAACCGCTGCTCCTCCGGATCGAAAGGAGTCAGTTGAGGTGGTTTGGGTATCTGGTCAGGACGCCTCCTGGACGCCTCCCTGGGGAGGTGTTTCGGGCATGTCCTGCCGGCAGGAGCCCCCCCGGGTCGACCCAGGACACGTTGGAGAGGTTACATCTCCAATCTGGTCCGGGAACACCTAGGGGTCCTGCCGGAGGACCTGGTGGAGGTGGCCGGGAAGAGGACGGTCTGGAGCTCCCTAGTTGGGATGCTGCCCCTGCGACCCGGACCCGGATAAGCGGAGGAAGATGACGACGACGACAAATGAGTACCTGTCTTGGGGCACATACTCTGAAAAGACAAAGTAGAATCGCTGGATGAGACTTGTAGTTTACTCATGCTGATTGTTGTAACTCAGTAGGAAATTACATCAGCAGACATCGCCAAACAACCAGCATTTGTAAAATAGTAAGAATTGCTGTGAAGACTCTGACACTAGTCAGTGACTCGATGCAACCTGCTGGGTTCCTTATACAGGAAACTACTGATTGGCTTAATGAACTGACCTGTACTGGAATGTTTACTGTGTGAAGGTCCTTGAGACGACTCTTGTCGTGATTTGGAGCTTTATAAATAACCTTGAATTGAAGGTAAAGCAGAATGGAAGGAGAATAAAATAGGTGGCACTGAAGCTGCTGTTTTTAAACTCCCTCCGCTTTTTTGACGCGTCCCCAGAACATCATGAAAAATGTAATAGTAGGGAGAGATGCTCCGATCCAATCACAAGATTTTCAGCAAATCGGGTGGGAAAAATTGGAATTTAACCACATAAAACAAATAACATTCCTTTTTAAATTAATCCTGAGAAAGAGATTTTCTAACGGAAAAACAACGGCTCAGTTAAATCCAACAACATCAGTCATAACAATCAAAGACTACCAGATTCAATGACGTCAGCCTAAGGAGTCTGAACCAACCACACACACACACACACACACACACACACACACACACACACACATCGAACATCACATTCATTTCCAAACAACACAGAGTTAGTCCTGATAGATTGTAGAATTTATAATAAAATTCTTAAACGATCCCAACTCTCTCTTTTCTTGTCTCAAGGTCAATACAGAGTGTTAAATGAACTCCCTGATGATAAAAACATCCTATTCTTCTGATTATAACAAGTGATCTACTTACAGTATATTAAAATACAACTCTAGATCGTTACATCACTCTATTTCTCTACAAGTATCTTCATCAGTTTTCTTTGTTTCACAGGAAACGCCATAAGTCCCACAATTTAAGGTAGGCCGGGATTTTACACACCATAACATGTAGCAGTTAGCTAACACAGAGCATACTTGTCACCTCAGAGAGAAAATATCTGTAATTTGGATGTTTTTTTTAAACGAACAGCAAAGAAAGAGTAATAAACATGTGTAATGTGTGCAAATTGGTAGTGCTGCGTTCAACACTGATGCGCCACCTTAAAAAAACTGACCCTGCTCATTTCATTGCAGCTGAGCAGTCGACACTAAAACATACATTAGTGTACGCACATCAGAAATGCCAAGATAGCAGCATATTTATCACACTGGATGAGCCTCTGTGGACGCAAAGTCGGGTTCTGCAGTCTCCTTGGGTCGCGCATGATCTGCTTTCTCTTCCTACCTTTACAGATGTAGCAGCTCTACAGGTGTTTTGTAGAAAGAAGAGACCCTGCTGCTGACCGTCATGTACCATGCAATTCCTGTAGCTGAAAACAGCCGCACACGGAGTAAACGGTTTAAAACACGAACGAAGAGGCTACTTTTACATTTATTCTTAATATTAACACGTTTCTTACATTTATTCTTAATATTAACACGTTTCTTATTAATGTAATTCATAAACAAGTGACGTTTTATGGCAAAACAACTAAAGAAATGCCATACAGAAGGAAAGAAATGCATCAATTAGGGCTGCAACAACGAATCGATGAATTCGATGAAAATCGATTACTAAAAGCGTTGGCAACGAATTGCGTCATCGATTCGTTGTGTCGCACAACTCTTCCAAAAGCGCCGACCCCCCCCCCCCCCGCCGCCCACCGTTGCGCGCAGACCAGAGCAAGTCAGATCAGCGCGAGGGAGAGCCGCAGATCAGCGCGAGGGAGAGCCTGCAGACTTGCGCTGCTGCGAACCGGTTCCGCATTGTTGCACAGCGATCCAGGCAGCTGCTTCCAGCGCACGGTCCATTCTCAAAGTGGCGCAACCAAAACACTATAATTAGCACACGATCGTTCATGTCTGCACATGTTCTCTATTTTCTGTCTTATTTGTGCCTGAAGCGCTCTGCTGCGGAGCTCATCACCTGTGCTGTGGTGATTTCACCTCACGCAGCATCGAAAACGCGCTCTCCGCTTTGCGGTCAGGAGATCTCTTTGATCTGCTCAAAAGTAACTGATGAGGTGAAAAAGTAAGAATCCAGGCAACAGATTTTCTGGAGAATTATGAGGAGATGCAGGAAGATGAGAGACAGACAGGACAGGAAAATAGTTAAATAAAAACAAGAAAACAAAGTAAAATGTAGGTAGATTTATCTCCACTACACGTTTTTACAAGTAAAAAACAATAAGTTATACACATGTCATAGTTATACATCTGATACAATTCAGATCACCTTCAAAACTCAGTCACACACCCAGGGCCGTTTCAAGACATTTTGGGGGCCAAGGCAAAATGTCCCCCCCCCCCCCCCCCCCATAACTGGGCTCCCCAGAAGCCTCTGTGTAATTCATACCCTCTCCAGTAGTGTTAGTTATATGGTGTTTATAAAAGCCCCTCAGACATTACTGACATGTTCTAATATATCAGATGAAAAACTAAATTATCAGACATGCTGTCTCATCAGCTTCTTTTCTAAACTTGCAAAAAGTAACAAAACCATTTGAAAGCCACTATTTGTGGATTATCTGAAAGTTTCCATGGAGTGTGTGACAACTTATTTTATCATTGATCCTATCGTCTAATCTCACAGCTGAAACAAGCATCCTTAATAATCTGTGCACAGGAAGCTTACCGATGCTGTAGTAAAACAAAAGGTATAATAATTTATTATTAATAAAACCTTGTTGCAGCACTAAAGCATAAAAATGAGATTTTGCATTAAATATGCAAAATATTTACATATGAATTGTTTTAGAGCCCTTTTATTGGCAGAATCTGATATTAATTTAGTTCTTACAAAAAATGGGTCCCAACATGGTTTGTGTGGTGTTGCCATAGTGTGACATCATAGGCACAGATCCCCTGTCCTCTTGTTTGGAAATGGAAATATGGTCACCCTACATTAAACAAACTGTCCACCCGGGCTTTTGCGCTGCACAGAGACGCTTTGCTGCCTATGACTTCGAATGTCAGTTGAGAGTCAGTCTCATGCAGACTGACCAATGAAGAGAGGGCCTCAAGTTAAGACCCTCTCCTAATTGGTCAGTCCACACGAGGTGGGTCAAAGGTTACTCTGGGCGGGTTACGTGTTGTCAGGCATTCAAGTATTGAGTATATTTACTGCATATTACAGTAAAATATTCTGTATGTGACCACATTATGGTGATCCTCGGGTCGTGATGATGGAGCCCTTGAATATTGTTGCCCAGGGTACAACAAAGTGTTAATTTGGCCCTGGTTCCGCCGTCACATTCCCGCAGAAACTGGTTGATCACACCGGGGCCAGACTACTAGCATGTGGTTTTACAACCACAATGTCCTCGGAAGCAAAAACGCTTTTAAAAGGGAGGGAGGAGTCCTAACTGTTGCTGCAGGCGTGTTGTGTGAGAGTGCAGTTATATACTGGTTAATATATTTTTGGTTCAGTTGCTTTCATGTGGCCTAATGTGAGTCTATTTGGGATCATTGGAATGATCAGCAGCATTTCTTGATGTGACTTTATGGCAGTTGCCCAGGGCATCATCGCAAGGAGAATGGCATTCATTTACTTTTGTTTTATTTGGTATTTTTTCAGTCATTTTTGGAAATAGTGATCAATTTTGATTAATTCACAGCCTATGTTTAATTACATTTAAAATAAATGTCAACAGATGAGATCAAACAAAACAGATGAGAATTGCCCTTAAGCTGTTTAACTTGGACCAAGCATTTTAGGTCACAGATAGATGTAGCTTAGGGTCTCTGTCTATACACCTTATAAGACAATTTAGGTGATGGCATGTTGTTTTTCTGCTATTGAACTGTTTTCTAATAATGTTGTGTTAAATAAAGTGAAGGAAGGAGAGAAATAACGTTTCCCTAGCAGTTTTTAAAAATTTCCCCATGTAATCCGATTAATCGATTAATCGTGTCGAGACCCCATCCGATTAATCGATTATCCAAATAATCGTTTGTTGCAGCCCTAGCATCAATGATTAAAAAAAACTTAAAAGGACAATTCTACTGTGTTCTCCTTTTTTCTTAATGCATTCTTAAGTATCGGATCAGGACTCGGTATCGGCAGAGTCTTAAAATCAAGTGACTCGGAATCTGATCGGGAGAAAAAAAATACACGATCGGAACATTCCTACGTAATACTAAAACATTAGTCTGTCCATTTTCCTCCGCTTATCCGGGATCACTTCTTAATCTGCATTTTCCGTGCTCAGCCAACAGGTTTTTTCTTGGACCTGAACCCGAGCGGTCAGCTCGGTGCCGAGCCGACCTAACACACCAAGCTGAACTTCACACCTACCTACTAGAGCAAGGGAGCAAGGGTATTCAATTCCGGGCCTGGAGGTCCGGTATCCAGCACGTTTTAGTTTTAACTCTGTTTCAAAACACCTGATTTCAATCAGCAGGCGATTAACAGGCTTCTGCAGAGTCTGATGAGCTGCTGCACAGGTGAATCAAGTGTGTTGAATCAGAGAAACCACTAAAACGTGCTGGATACCGGAGCTTCAGGCCCGGACTTGAATACACCTGTACTAGAGGGAGCCTCTGACTGGCGAGTAGAATCAGCCAGCGGCAGCTTCCCGCATGCATGATTCATGGTCTGGATGCAGTGGCGTGAACATCTTCTCTGACTGAAGCTCGGACCTGCTGCTCCAGCCACAGGAGCGCGAGGACGCACTGCTGTGAGAGGAGCCCACAACAGCAGCACCGCTCCTCACTGAGAGTAGGAAGCTGTGTGCTTCATGTCAGAGTCTCCAAAAGCATTACTGCTCATGGCCTCCTTTGTTCACCAAATTAAGGACTTCTATATGCGTCTTTTGCCTCGCCCACATGCTTGGAGAAATCCGCGTTTCTGGGAAGGCTATGTGGACAAAACCTGGCCGCGTGAGGGCGGGTCGACCCAAAATGAGCCAATAGTCCCTCCAGCGTGTCCTGTGTCTCACGCCGGGGACACACCGGCCGCGGAAGCGCCGCGAAGCGAATCGCTCATGAAATTCGGCCGCTGCTCGCCGCTCCTCAGTTCAGATCAGACGCGCCCCAGTCGAGGCGCGCCTCGACTCAGCTGTAGTTTTTCTTTTAAACACTTGATGTCCTCCATTTCCTCTCTGCCTTTTCTCAGCTCTTTTCCTCTACGTTTGAGTGTGTGTGTGTGTGTGTGTGTGTGTGTGAGAACCTGGTGTGAACCTATGGTATGAGTTGTTTCTGCCAGTTGAAGCTCTTGGAACCCGCTCCAATTCTGCAGCTGTATCCTAGCAGTTTCTTCCGTAATGGGTACGTAAATAACCGTGTTTTTCGGGGGTCGTACAGCTCCTTGTGTTTCTCAACTTCCATAATTAATTTAAAGTCATCCATCTTAACTGCTTGCCTCAGATTTTCTGCCTCTCTGTCCTGTTTGCTCCGGTGAAAAGACGCCCAAAACCACACACCCCTTCACGTGGTCACACACGCACACAAGTTCGATGTGTGTGCGTGTTCGTGTGGTTTTTCTGCAGTGTCTGATTACGAACACATTTGACTATTGCGGAATTTTATTTTGAAATGCTTTATTTTGTTAACTTTACCGGCCTGCCTCTTATGTCTAGGTTTGACTTCCTGCCAGAGTTGACGCGATTCACCCGCGGCTCGCGAAAAAAATAGAGCCGACGCCGAAATGAGCGCTGCACGGAGCGGGCTGGCGCGCGCCGGCGCGAGGCGATTCGCGGCACTTCGGCGGCCCATGTGGTCTATAGAATAGCTTAACAAGGGCGCCGAATGAAGGCGGTCCCCTTTTCGTGGCGCTTTGCGGCGCTTCCGCGGCCGGTGTGTCCCCGGCGTCACTCTAGGTCTCCAAACGGTTGGATGCGCCCGGAAAACCTTACCAGGGAGGAGTCCAGGAGGATGCATTCTTTAAAGTTATTAATGTTTTTGGATGCCTTTTGGCGCTGATCAGTGACATCACTCACAGCAGAATCGGTATTCTGACGTCTTAGCAAAGTCCTTAGAGGGCTGATTTTGTATGGAGACACAGCGGCTGAGAAGACTGAGTCAGCGTATTTCCCTCCCAGAAATGTTTTCATTAAGTGGAAACTTGGGTTGTCACGGTAACCGGTGTAGCGGTAAACCCCGGTAAAAAAGTTGACAATAATAATAACCGTCTTGTTTTTAAAAAAAACTATATTATCTCGGTGGGTTTACCGTGGCTGCGGTGTAGGCGCGGTGACCCTTACCAGCCACCGTATCATCTGCTGAAGTTGCCGGCGGCACATACACACTTTGTTGTTTACAACCAAAACTTTCTTGAAGCTAAAGCTGAAATAATGGCCAAAGGAGGAGACGGCAGCGCTCAGGACATTTATTATCCCTCAAAGAAGACAAAGTGGGAAGTACGGGCATCTTTTGGATATTTGAAGAATGCCGAGGGACAGCTGATAGAAGACGGCTATCCTGTTTGCAGCACGTGCAGAAAAAGTGTCTGTGAAAGGCAGCAACGCTTCAAATCTCATGACACATCTGCGTGACCATCACCCAAACTCTACAGTCAACGCAAGGCAAGCTAACGTTAGCGTTTTAGCTAAAATGCGTGATCTGGGGATTTGGGTTGAGGGAGAACGCAACGAGTGGCTATATAAAGCAGCCGCAGCGCCGCTACCTGCATATAAACCGTGTCGCGGACACCGCCATGTTGAAATGACGCTATGCATTACGGGGCTCCCAGGGGCAGATAAGAGTTGGTCTCTCTCCGTTAATAATTATGAATTTAACAACGATTACTGCCTGATGACATTTTCCCACATCTGCAAAGCTCACTGGAAGGACACAAACCGAGGACGATATTTTCCTGATATAGGGTTTATTACTCAAGTAAGGGTAAAAAAGTATCTGATTAGAAGGCTACTTGAGTACTGAGTATCATCTGATCTAATATTTTTAAATGATCACATCAAACAGACAATAAATAAGTTATGGGCAAATATTGGTATTTTAAACTCTAAAGGGGAAAAATGTAAACAAATAAACAACATAATTACAAAATAACACATTTTAGGCTAAATTTAGACACAAACTGAGGACAATATTTTCCTGATATACAGGGTTTATTTAGTTGTCTGAAAATGTAACACGTTTAAAAAAATACCGCGATAATACCGAAAACCGTGATGTTATATTTTCACACTGTGACAACACTAGAGGAAACAGGAATTTCTAAGCCAATACTCACTGTCCTGGACACTTTTGGGGGCCGGGGGTTTACGTGTTGCCCAGTTAGTCCTGATCTGCCTTCCTCCGAGCCACTGTCCCGTCATGTTAACGATGGCATTCTCGGCATCCTATAAATAGAAATTGAACAAGGTTACTTTTCTGAATTTCCTTCATCTGTTTGCACCCAAATATATTTAGCTAACAAATATTGTTGTTTATAAAACAACATGTAACCTGACATAAACGGAACCAAGAATTTGGTTATTATGACCGTATTATTAGCTAAATAATAAAGGAAAAACACACAACCTTTCGTCTGTGTTCTTGCACTGGAGTCTTACCAGTTTATTGTAGAAGGACACAAATCCATACCCTTTTGATTTGCCAGTCGTCATGTCCTTCACAACACGAGCATCTCTGGAAGAAAAGGCACAAAACGCAACTTCAGGACACTTCACAGTCCTCACCTGTCAGCTAAAAGGAACCACGCAAAACACACTGAGTTGTGAATCCTCTACTCTGACCCACATTTAGCTATCAAAGCTTGGTGCTAAGCACCGACTCATTAACTCGAAAGCAACAGTTGAAAAAGAAAACAAACAACAAGCACATAAACATGCAGCCTACGTTATGATCATTTATTTATTGATGGTTCTTTATCGCTAGAGCACCACATTTTGCTGAATCCTCACAAGAGCAGGCAAGTCATTAAAGTCACAAAGGAACAAATGTGGATTACCATGCATTCCTAAAATCTGCTCTTGGTGCTCTTCCTACAGATAGAAATATATATAGAGAATATCAGAGGAGAAAAAAGGAATTAAATGGCATACATGGCCTGTTAACAGATTTCTTTATATTTCCTGGTCAATTCTTTACCACCAATATGGAGTATGGAGTTTGGGCAGCTGTGAATTTTGAGAAATTGACATTTTCAGACATTTAAGAAGGAAAAAAAATCATTGTTCTACAAACAACACTTTCCATATAAAAATGAGACATAGATTTAGAGGAATGGACTGAGTGTTGGCTTCTCTGAGCTCTTGTATATCATGGTAAAGCAGGAAAAGTAAATAACTAAATAAACTATATCTGAGTCTCCAGAGGGAGCAGTTCTTGCCTGTCAACCATCCAGCTCCTGACGACTTCACTGAGATGAACTAAAGGAGGTTCAGATTCATTCACAAAGCTTCCTGTGAAACGGGAGTTGACTTACCGCGTGGACAAAAGAAATACAGCAGATACACAAACCACAGAAGTTCACTGAAATTGTGTTAATATTTTACAAAGAGGTGTTAAATAGTTTTAAAAATCTAAGACAAAAAGCTTTTAATGTTGGTCTTTTACAAACTACGTTTACATGCATGGATGCAGGATTATGTGTGGTAGTAGAAGATGATTGAAACACTTGGGCTGCAGTAGCTCAACAGGGTTGTCCAGTAATCGGAAAGTTGCAGGTTCGATCCCGCTCCGGACAGAGAATTCTGCTGTTGTGTCCTTGGGCAAGGCACTTAACCCACGTTGCCTGCTGGTGGTGGTCGGAGGGACCGGTGGCGCCTGCGCTCGGCAGCCTCGCCTCCGTCAGTGCGCCCCAGGGCAGCTGTAGCTACATCGTAGCTCATCATCACCAGTGTGTGAATGTGTGTGTGTGAATGGATGAATGATACACTGTAGTGTAAAGCACTTTGGAGTCCTTACTCTGAGAGGCACTATACAAGTGTGGGTCAATTATCATTTAAAAACTGTACGAAAACACTAAAATCTGCTGTATATGCAAAAAAGATGTATTTTTATGAAAGAAGGTTTATTCAGTAAAAGATCATTAAATTAATGAAGTCAATAGCAGGAAAACAAACAAGGTTTAAGGTCTCATTCACTTGTTTTATCAATACATTTCTATGGTCTCTGATACAAATAGTAGAGGTGCTGAAAAAAAATCGATTCAAGTCTGAATCGGGATTCTTATTTATAAATGTTCAGAATCGATTCCAAGAACTGAAATATTTGGCATGTTACAGGTTTGAGATGCACTTTGTTGATCTTCGTTAGGAGGGTCAGTACTCCGTTTACTTCTGTGGTCACATAAATTGAGATGATTTATGTTTGAATCTGCTGATAAGAGGGCACTTGAATGTCATTTTTTCCATACTCAGAAATTTGAGATATTCTCATATTTATTTTCTAAGTTGATAAATGAGTACTCAGGATTACTCATGTAACTTGTTTCTACACATACTTGAAAAGTATTTGACCATATTACAGCTTTGTTATATTTTACAAGGTAAGCAAAAATAAATGTTACCTTTTGGTCAAAAGATTGTTTCTGTTTACAGTTTTAGAATCACTTAATTTTACCTTGTAAATCTGCTTTTTTGGAGCATGACCAGTTTAAAGTCAAATAAAAATGTCCCATAGCTTCTTTAACTAACTTGTACAACAAAGGAGTTCATCCTGGAGCTGACACGCTTTGTTAGCACTGATTGTGAATCGATTTAAATTGAGAATCGATTCTGAATCGAATCTGCACCCCGAGAATCGGAATCAAATCAAATCTTGAGTTGCTCTAAGATTCACATCCCTAACAAATAGGTCATTTAATCTGGGGGGAAAAGCTCTCCACGACTCTAGAAGGCACTATACCAAATACAGGCCATTTACCATTAATATTCATGATGTGTAAATGTGTCACCTCTGACTGGCCAATAACAAAACAACGCTTCCACATACTTTGCTCTTTTTTCTTGGATAAAAATGCAACATTGATGTTTTATCTCCACAAATAGCTCAAGTCTGAACATGATCTGCCATCTTGTGGGATTGCTAATGGTTAGCTTCTACTAGCCAAGACGCTGTCTGCTCTCTCCTTCCCATGAGCAGACCTGAGCCAAGGTGGGCAGAGCCACAAATACTTATTTTCCTGGGACGTAGAAGAGACTGGCTTCTCCTGACCCAACTGTTTTCCTGTCTATTTCCTTTCTGCGGCTAACGCAGGCAATCGGATTTAAAGAAAACATTCATGATCAGCATGCATATGCAACTCAGAATGACCCATTTTATTTTATTTATTTCCATAATTACAAGTTTTCTCAGTGAACAAGACATTAAAATTAATTTTTATGCCAAATATAGATTTAACAAGTTCCAGTAAACTCGTCTGATCACTCATTCTGGAGTTTGTGCCATCACAGCATACTTCGTGATGATTAATATTTGTGTCATTCTCTAAGCTAAAATGTGCATGCATGCGCTACTTATGGTGCAAAACTAGAATTGATATGGATCTCTTCCGTGTATTCATTGAGAATAAGACCTACTCATTTGCACAACTGATCATGAAATAAAACACAATACACAAGAGATTTTTAAATAAAAAAAAAAACTATTTTCTTAATTTTCTAATTAGGAATATCTGATTGCCAAAACACTTGCACACTTCATTATGACTGAACTGACATTTAGCCGCAAATGTGCACTTAGTTGGAAAATCTTGTTTTAAAAGTGTTTGCCTAACACGACTAGTAGGTTTGAAGGAAGTTCTGATAAAGGACTGGTGACAGCAGCAGCTCAGGGTTTCTGTGTTCAGTGAGTCGTTAGTGAGGGGACAGCCGAGTGTGTTTGTCTGCAGCGCTGTTGTGTAGGGATGCACCGATCAGGTTTTTTGCTGCCGATCACAGATACCGATATCAAAGAATGCTGATCACCGATACCAATACCGATCACGTGGATTGGCCAGAAATTTTCTACAACATTATAATGAGTGCTACAAACTACATAATCTGGGAATAAAGGAAATGTAACCTAATCTAAAATGGTGTGTATTAGGGTTGTCACGTTGTGAAAATTTAACCTCACGGTTATTGTGACCAAAATTACCACGATTTTCGGTATTATCGTGGTATTTTTTTTAAACGTGCTACATTTTCACACAATTAAATAAACCCTGTATGTCAAGAAATATTGTCCTCAGTTTGTGTCTAAATTTTGCCTAAAATGTGTTATTTTGTAATTATGTTGTTTATTTGTTTACATTTTCCCCCTTTAGTCTTTAAAATACCAATATTTGCCCATAACTTCTTATTTTATGTCTGTTTGATGTCATCATTTTAAAAATATTAGATCAGATGATACTCAGTACTCAAGTAGCCTTCTACTCAGATACTTTTTTACCCTTACTTGAGTAATAAACCCTATATCAGGAAAATATCGTCCTCGGTTTGTGTCCTTCCAGTGAGCTTTGCAGATGTGGGAAAATGTCATCAGGCAGTAATCATTGTTAAATTCATAATTATTCTCGGAGAGAGACCAACTCTTATCTGCCCCTGGGAGCCCCGTAATGCATAGCGTCATTTCAACATGGGGGTGTCCGCGACACGGTTTATATGCAGGTAGCGGCGCTGCGGCTGCTTTATATAGCGATTCGTTGCATTCTCCCTCAACCCAAATCCTCGGATCACGCATTTTAGCTAAAACGCTAACGTTAGCTTGCCTTGCGTTGACTGTAGAGTTGTGGGTGATGGTCACGCAGATGTGTCATGAGATTTGAAGCGTTGCTGCCTTTCACAGACACTTTTTCTGCACGTGCTGCAAACAGGATAGCCGTCTTCTATCAGCTGTCCCTCGGCATTCTTCAAATATCTAAAATATGCCCGTACTTCCCACTTTGTCTTCTTTGAGGGATAATAAATGTCCTCCTGAGCGCTGCCGTCTCCTCCTTTGGCCATCATTTCAGCTTTAGCTTCAAGAAAGTTTTGGTTGTAAACAACAAAGCGCGCAACTTCAGCAGATGATACGGTGGCTGGTAAGGGTCATCGCGCCTACACCGCAGCCACGGCAAACCCACCAAGATAATATAGTTTTTTTAAAAACAAGACGGTTATTATTATTGTCAACTTTTTTTTTACCGGGGTTTACCGCTACACTGGTTACCGTGACAACCCTACAATCGGTCTGCTTTGATCTATTTTGAAAACTCCGATCAAAACCGATAGGGGCGCTATCGGCCGATTACGATCAAATGCCGATCCATCGGTGCATCCCTACTGTTGTGAAGCTAGATAACAAATGGAAGAGCCAAAGACTCGTACGATTATATTATATCCAACATGTCTGATTAGACGCCAAACTTTAGATTTTATTAGTCTGACAGGTTTTTACATCTTAAGTGAGCCCATTTTTCTAAATGTGTTTTTTTAAATATATTTGGGTAATTTATCATATATTAATTCTAGAGTGTTCTTTGTTGAGATGATTTAAATAATTTTCAAGCGTGTAGTGGGATGTTTCAGCAAACAGTACAGGGAAAGAAGAAGGGGAAAGAAATTGTGGGGCAAAATGTTTGCCTCTGCAAACATGACCTAGATTTACTTTATACCACACTTTAATTTTCAAATACTTGGAATCTATTTCTTTCATTTTTATGAGTTGTCCTAGTTTTTATTGGTTTTAAAGGGCAAGTCACCCCCTACCAGAGTCTTGCTCCACTACTACTTCCTGTTTGAAAAACGCAACAAATGCTGTTGCCTGGCAGACCGAGAGGACGGAGCCGCTAACAAACACACACACAGGCTCACAACAACAATGTGACATCATAATGTACCAGCTAACGTCATAGTGTACCTCTTGGCCAATAGCGATCGCAGATTTAAATTTAAATGCAGTGCAGAGTTTTTACCCGAAGACGGCGCACCACTGAAAGTTTAAGGCAGAATATTTAAACTTTAACTAAGATGCACTAAAGTTCCAAATTATTGACTACACGTGTCTTCAGCATGATTAGAAACTAGTTTATACAGTTTATCAGCAAAATAAAGTAGTTTTGGGGGTGACTTGCTCTTTAAATGTGTACATTTTACTTGTGGGGGCAGCAGTAGCTCAGGAAGTAGAACGGACTATCCAGCAATCAGAAGGTTGCATGTTTGATCCCGGCTCTGGACAGAGAATTCTGTTGCCCCTGCAGCGGCCGGCGGTGACAGTGTTCAGCAGGCCTCACCTTGCCTGCTGGTGGTGGTTGGAGGGACTGGTGGCGTCTGAGCTCAACAGCCTCACCTCTGTCAGAGAGCCCCAGGGCAGCTGTGGCTACAATGTAGCTCATCCCTACTAGTGTAAGAATGTGTGTGTGAACGGATGAATGATACACTGCAGTGTAAAGCACTTTGGAGTCTTCAGACTCTGAAAGGCGCTATGCAAGTGCAGGTCATTTATCATTCATTTACTTGTTTTTATTGTTTTGAGTGAGACTTTTTTGCCCTGATGAAGAAAACTCTTTTATTATTTGAAAACAGAAAATAAAGTCGGTCCATCTTTCACAGCTAAGTCAATAACCCTAAAAAAATGCATGTAAACATAGTTGTAAGTGAATGTGATGAGAATGGGCTATTAGATGAGGATCAGCCTATTACAAGGCTAAAATAAATAAATATAACACTGAAGAAGATTTATTTTTATACTGTATTTGAACAGCAACAATGACAATAATATGAAAAACTCACGAGATTTTCCCAAAGGGTGAAAATGCAGCTCTGACGTCTTCGGTGGTAATCTCAGGATTCAAATCACCCACAAAAACATGGAAGTGATCTAAAACAAATTTTTAAAACGTAAAAATTAAAAAATGCTTACAATCCTTGTTTAACTTTTTAATTAGATTAAAATAAACCAGTGAAATTGTGAAGGCTTACTGGATGTGTCTTTCTTCTGGCTACTAGGTGTTGTGGCCCAATTAACCTTAACCTCCTATTTAAAAACAGTGACAAGCAATTAATATACAGAAACATATTAAAACTATGGGGGGGAGAAAATGACGGGAACTCTTACCTTTCCAAGGATTTTTCTCCCATTCATGGCTGCAAGGGCAGCAGCAGCATCTTTGTGCTCGAAAAACTCCACAAAACAATACGGGTCATTGCTTGTGTGCTGCAGCAACATGAAACAGTTTAGTGATGGATTTGTTTTTAGGGCTAGGATATACATTACCATAAAAGATAACGGGTAGTTTTACCTCTGTGATCATTTTGCAGCTTTTACACGGTCCAATCTGGGAGAAGAGTTGTAAAATCAAAACCTCTGTAACGTCCCAGGAGAGGTTTCCCACGTACCTGCAATGAAGAGGAAGTTTAAAATGTAGACGAGGTTTAATTCAGATTCAGACCTACAGTAATTTATGATTTATATATCACAGATCATGATGTAGAGGACACTACCAGCTAACGTTATATAAATATCCTCGTTTCCAATGTGAAACTGTTTAAGGTAATCCCTCATCTGAACTAACGTTTTTTTTAATCGTCGAAATATACGTGTTTTTGAACGCCTACTAATTAAAAACGTAAATTAACACTTAATATTGAACGTTGTCTACACTTGTTTTTTGGACATGTAGCTCAGTTAGCCGCTGCGTATGAGAAACCAAACGAAAGCTAGCTACCACGAAAACACTAAAAATACTTACAGGGTTCTGGGGTAACTTTCGTCGTCCATGACCAACACTGAACGTGACGTCGTAGAAAAAATATAAACTATTTGGTAATTAAAGGACGTAGACTGAGAGATAAACGCTGTAAACAACGAGCTAACTAGCTTAGAAAGCTAACCGGGCAACGTTTCTTACGTCACGCTGAGTGTGCTAACTGCGCCTGCGCATGAGCACCGAAAGGTCAACCCAAAGGGTCTGGGTCAACCTTTAGTTCGAAGCTATAAATGGCTTAATTTTATTCTGTAAGTTGAATTCACCGTGTGTAAATAGAAATTAATTGAATAAAACAGTTGATTCAGAGAATATAATGACTTATTTCCCTCTTGCTTTTCGAAAGCAACGCAATTTACGTAAAAGGCTTTTATTTTGAAGTCCATTACATGGGTACGCTCGTTTTGTATTTCGAGGTTTTCACGATTTGGACTCGAACAAAACAAGCATCGGTACTCATTTTTCACAAGGTTTTCCGAATTTTTAAACTTGATAATAGAAACAAGATGGGGTTCTTTTCCTCACAAAAATGACACACATTTTATAACAGACTAGATGACATACATATTTCTAATTTTAATCTCAGAAAGGAGCCAATATTCTACCCTTTCTCATAATTCTTACAATCTAAGAAATCTGAGAAAATAACTTTTTATCAGTGGCCTTAATTCTCCTCCGTAGATATTTATCAGAACGATAAATCATATTTGTTTCAAGTTCCTGGCGTTTTGTGTCTCCGCACCGATGCAGACGCATAAACAGGTTTAGCAGTTGCATCTCTAAGCAAATTGGATTGAGGGGAAAAACTGCTGTTCAAACCCCAGGTCTAATAGATTTGCGCATGCGTGAGTGAGAAGGTTTCAGGGTTATTACGTGATTCTGGGGTTGTTATTAAAGTAGAGCTGGTAATAGCTGCTCTCTGTAAACACCAACTATAACTAAATTAATGTAGTGTCTTTTGTTGGGGGGTGTCTGCGACACAAGAAGTAGCCGCCATGCCGCTGCTTCCAGCGCGGTCCGCCGCCCCCGACATTAACCCCGCTATTTCGAGAAACTTCCAGCCCACTTTCCTACGTCACTCGCAGGAATCTTTAAAGGGACCGCCGCCCATAAAAAATGTCTCAGTACTCGCCATGAACGCAGTGAAGACGCACTCTCCGACACTTGTGATGGCTGATAATGACATCGACCAGCTCCCCCTCGGATGGGAAGTCAAAATCGACCCTCACACTGGATGGCCCTTTTTCGTGGATCACAACAACCGGACGACAACCTGGAATGACCCGAGACACGACACCAAAAAGGTAACGGAGGCGGGATAAAGTTGTTTCAACGGGTTTCCGTAGGGTGCTGCGTCGGTTACGGATTGTGTTAAGCTGCTGGAGTCGCTACGCTACATGGCTGTTTTGTGTTAATCTTGTTGACTGTAGGCCTTGTTAGGTCCCGTCGCCTCCCCCTCACTGACTGCTCATAAGCCTAATAAAACGGGTGATCAGCCCCGTTATGTTCCCGAGTCATGATCTAACACTATTATTACCCGATGACTCACTGCCGAGTGTCAAGGCTTTCTGATACCAGCGTTAATTTAGGTGGAAAACTCATTATAAACTTTTTTACCCACAAAATAAAATGCAGTTGGGTCCCATTCCATTTAGGATATTGAATCTGGTTGTTTAGATGTGGAAATGTAGAAATCTACAGGTCTGTAATCAAATCCGTGGGCTGACGTGAGCTCCACAGGCTGCCAGCTGGGTAATCTTTCTTCATAGGGACAGACACTGTTTTCCAAAGTTAGTGTCCTGAGGAATCTGCTAGAAAGACACAGCTGTTGAGGGATAAAATTGGTGCATTGGACCAGGCAGAGGGCAAAGGGTCGTTCACGGCTATTTCTCAACTTTTGCTGGAGGATTATCAATAGTTCACACATTAATGCCCTGCTTGTAGTTGTATTTTATTTATTTTTTATTATCTCAGCTGCATGGGGCACTTTCAGTGTTGGTGTTTGATCATTCTGAGGCTTATGTAAAAAAAGTATTTGCACCTTTACAGATTTCTTCTGCTTTTGTTCTTTTTGTTGTCACGCATAAATGTTTCAGATCAGCAAAGACAAAATGCAGTTTTCAGATGAAGACTTCAAGTTCTCTTAACCAATAACTCTGAACACTCTTGGACAGAGGCGGCACCAGGACATTTTCATGGGGGACAAGATTGGGGGGCCAAGGAAAATTTAAGGGTGGCACATCAAACTAGTTCTCTTGGTAACTCTTGAGTTTTTTAGCCTGTAGCTGTGCTCTGCATCCTCATCCATTCTTAAAAAATATGCAGCAGAAATGTTATATTTGAGAAAATAAGAAACTTCAAATATTTAATTTATTCATACTTTAACATTTACTTTTTAGTAGTTTAGAACAGCTGGATGTATCTGTCGCTGTCTTAATGAATGCATTTTACAAAACAGATTGATATTTGTACTTCTTCTTGAAAATGGTGCACAGCAGCAACATATTAATTTGTTTACTTATTTCTATATTTGTAAGGTTTTACATTTTATTAAAGAAGACTAATGTATAGTTTTGTGAACATAAATATTGAACATAAATATGATTTATTAAAGGAGGTTGGAGAGTGGAAGTGCTCTGAGGTGGCCAGCAATTTTCCAGGATTGGTCAAGGCCCCCCTCTGGCCACCACTTGGGGGCGCCACTGTTCTTGAAGGCAACAACTGCAATTAAAGAGACGGTGTGTATTTTTCCTGGCGATAGGGGGCAGTAGATACATAAATCGTTGCAAGCAAGCAGTATTTTTGTGTTTGAGTAACCCCAAAATTCCACTATCTCCGCTCCGGCACGAACTCTGCAGCAAAAACGGTCCCGTTGTAGTCAATCAGAGCTGTTCCACTACTGCGGCCGTGCGGCGCAGTGAGCCGTTCCGCCATCCGGCAAAAATGGATTGATTCTATTTTTGCCGGACGCCGGAGCACCTCCGCAGTCAAAGGACAGAAATCACAATCGCCCAACAGGAAAGGGAGCAAGCACAACTTCCGTTATTTCACAATAAATCGATAAACAAAAAACGTTTTTTGTTTCATATGCACATGTTTAACAACTTTTAACAACTATCAATGGCGGTTGAACTTTAAATGCACAACATAAGCCATAAATACAGTTTCTACTATCAAAGTAGTCACACTTTGTTGATCCAAACACTGCTGATCTCTCAACACAAATGATGGGCAGATTAAACAGTTCATTTCGATGCTTCCCCCACACAACGGGTGTTTGGATCTAACTTCCAACGAGCATTTATTGCTCGGACTGTATCGCAAGATCTCGAAAATCCAGCGCATGCCTGTTTGCGCACCTCAGGTCTCTGCACCGGAGCGGAGCCGTTGTAGAGCGGGTACCAGTAAAAATTGAGTTCGGAAGCGAGCGGCTGCGGAAAGCGACAGATGCTCATTAGGGTCAAAAAGCCCTGGGGAGTGCAAACTTTAGTAAAATGACAAGCACATCAGACTCCCTTTAATCAGTGGCAACAAGTGAAGAGGTAAATGTGTAAAACAACATTTAAGAATGACAAAAGTTTTGTAACTGTTTGTTACAAATCAGTAAATGCAATTTGTCCTCACGGGCTCCCTTAGAAGGAAACTTGACATCTAATATGGAGTCACCCAGAGACTTAGACCCACTCCCATGTATTTTAGACCTGATTTTTATGGTTATTATACAAAGCCGTCAATCATTTTCAACAACTGGGCATCATTCCATTAATTTAACGACATTTTGATGGATATTTCCAGAAATGAATGATTAAAAACTACACATTGTCTCTTTAAGCTCAAGAACAACGAGTCAATCTCTTTAAGAGTCTCACTTGGAAATCACCTATACGTTATATAAAGGGGAAAGTTGCCAAAGCCATAGCAGTATTCTATAGAGTCATGTTTCTACTAAGTTGGTCTGGGTTATTAATGTTGTATCACTCACTGATTGAACCATATTTAATTTATTGTTTGGAAATTTGGGGAGCCACATGCAAAACTTTTACTCAACCTTTGTTCATTTTACAAAAAGCGCATTGAGAATCATAACAGTAACTATAGAGATCCCTCTAATCCATTATCCATTAGAAATAAAATACTGAAATTTCCTGACTTGAAAATATTGTAAATAATGTACAGAGCGAATACGAGTAATTTACCAACTAATATTCCGAAAATGTTTCATAAGAGAGTAAGTGGGTACGTGTTAAAAGGGACTGATGTCTGATGTAAACCTGAATTCAGAATGTAATATTTCTGTAAATGGTGTAAGATTGTGGAACGCCCTTAACAGAGAAATTAAAGAATCAAACTCACATGCTATAAATATTTAAAAATGTATAAAATCAAATGTATTAAGTAATTATGAAAAGGTAAACTAAAATGTCAATGATTATATATAAACAGTAGAACGGGACTAAGGTTATATTGTGAATGTTATGTGCTCGTTTTCATTCAAATGTTTTTTTTTCATTACGTTTATGTATTTGTTTGTGTTTATTTTATAAATTTTGAATGAAATAAAAAGAGTTTTAAAAAAGCATTTGTGACTGGTCTCATCACTGTGGAGGATTTTTTTGACGCACTCATAATTCAGCCTCATTGGAGAGTTTTTTTTTTTTTTGCATGAGTGGTCTCTAAGGTCAAAGGTCAGAATTTCTCCTTCAGGATGTTCTGCTAGAGAGCAGAATTCACGGTTCCACCAGTTGCAGCAAGATGTCTACTTCATGTTGTCACACAGGTTGTATTGAACTGATTTATTAATCCTGCAGGTCTGGGTGTTGCTGGTGGAACTGAACTAAGATTTGGACTGATTAGTTCCCTTAATGAATGAAATTATAATATAATAGTAATACATAATATTATGTATTTGTTCATTTTAACTTTCTCTGATGTTGAAATGTGTTTGTTGTTCTGAAACATTTAACTGTTCGAAAAAACAAGAAATCTGTAAACGGGTCAATTCTTTTTTTCACAGCTCAGTTGATTAGCTTCTAAAAATTTCTACTTTTATTGTGTTTATTTTGTTTTCCAAATGCATCCTGGAATTAATTTAGCGTTTTTAGATCAGCCCCAAATGTTTAGAAACAACAATCTATAACCGCCGTGTGGCGTAAGTCTAATTCAAGATGGCTGCTGGAAAAAGGTTTTTAACCGGGTCAGTTACAAAATCATGATGGTAACAGATTACAAATGCTCGTGTGATGTTGAGTGGAAAAAAATCAGGCAATATTTAAAATTCAGCATTTCACCAAAAAGATTCCAACTTTATCAGAGACAAATAATTTTAGTGCCCTCCATTTTTATTATGAACGGCCCTGAATTAGTAAAATGTTAGCCTAGAAATCCACACAAACCGGAGCGGTAGCTAAAGATTTAGCTCTGCAGGTCAGTTTAGCCACACCAAGCCTCAGCAGGTCTACCACTGGCCTGATCAGTTTTGAGTCTAGCCAATCACAGCGTTCTACATTTGTAGACACGTTGGGCGGGCTTAGCACCAGAGCGGTGACGAAGAAACTTTAGGGGTCGGCTCAGGAACTTTGGACGATTTAGATGTGGGCTTTTCTTAGAGTCAAGAGCAGATAGAGGTACTTAAGTCATTTAATTTGAAAAGGATGTATTTGCCTGTTCTACTTTGACGGAATGTCAGACTGGTTACCGTGGTGATGAATATGTCACGTTGTTCTGATTGGTCCTAGCAAGTTGGGCGCAGATTGTTTGAAAGACAACCGTAGATCAGAATCAGAATGGTTTTATTGCCATATATGCGAGAAATCACAACATTAGGAAACCGCTGCGGCACTTGGTGCAAAAAAGAAAGATAAAAATGAGAGAATATAGGAAGTAAGAATATAATCATGATAAAATAATAATATAAAGTGGCAATAATTAGAGAAATGGCTACTATGTACAAGACGGTGCAGGTACTGATCAGAGCAGATCAGTTCAAGAACGAACACAACACAGGGTCATGTGACTGAAACCAAGCGACTGGAGTGGGCAGCCCTAGGATTGTCATGAGTCGGGGAAGAAACTGTTCTTCTCTCCTGGCAGATGGTAGCGAGTCAAAAAGACCGTGTCCACGGTGACATGTCAGCTGTGATCCGACCTGCACGCCTCGGTGTCCTGGAGGTGTACAGGTCCTGTATGGGGGGGGAGTTTGCAGCCAGTGAGCTTCTCAGTAGAGCGTACAACACGCTGCAGCTTCTTCTTGTTCCTGCTGGTAGCTCCAGCATACCACACTGAAGAGGTACCGTGTGCTCCTAAAGCCCACAGCAACCTCCGCTGTCGTCTGTGCATTTAGCACCGGGTTGTTGGAGCTGCACCAGGACACCAGCCACTCGACCTCCATTCTGTAGGCAGACTCATCCCCATCACAGATGAGTCCTGTGACAGTGATGTCATCTGCAAACTTGATAGGTGCAGCCGTTGGTGTAGTTACTACCCCACGACTGAGTTTTGTCTGTGGGTTGTGGCCAGACTTTATATTTACATATACAGGAGGGTTTGCAAGGCTTGCACGTAGGACTTTTTCTTAAAAAAGGTAAACAATAACAGCTGAAATTCACTAAGTCTTGTCCATTCAACTTTGGGTTTCAGTGTCGAGAAGTGTCAGCGAATGGGCCCACCGTTCCAGCAGAACCAACTCCTCAGGAGCCTCCGAAGACCTTTGTGAGGGAGATGAAGCACCCCATTCTTCGTCCCGGTTATATACCCATCCCAATCGTCCATGAGGGATCAGACGTGAGGCAACCGCAGCATCCGTGTTACTCTTACATCCAGCCATCATTTGCACAGAACATCGGGACGGATGTGCAGACTCCGGCGTCTGGGCTCCACCACGGCAGACCCAGATCGCCTTTACACGGACCTTCAGACAGCTGCACCACTGAGCCTGGAAAGGCCAGCTCACCAGCTTCACCAGTCACAGAGGTAGGTTATGAATGTAGTTCCACCACTAATCTAGCAATATTACAAACATTTAGCCTTTTATTTAAATGTTACTGCTCTGTTGTTTTCAAGATTTACCCTGCCTCCCATCACCAACCGCCACGGTCCAGCAGCACCGGCCTGCAGCTCGGTTACATCCCCATCCCGGTGATCCACGAGGGTGGGGGGGGCCAAACGCAGCCTCAGTTAAACTCCTCGGTCTATTCTCAGCGCATTCCCTTCTCGGACCACCGTCACCAGACAGAAGACTGGCCCGGCTTCTCTGCTGCTATGCAGCCCCCCAGGGAGAGGGCTTCTCCAACAATATTCACCCCCCATCGCGACTCTGCCTCTGTTCACCTCCCACCTCACGTCAGAAGTCACTCTCCTATTAAAACGCAAGTGATGGGAGAAAGACCACCGGTACGTTTAATGTTTCCGCTTGCCTCTTGTTTCTCTAACTGAATTAGAACATACATGAGGCCACTCAGAAGTATTATCATAGGCAATGTTCATCTTTATTTATATAGTCTTTGCATTTACGACAGTTGAGTTTAGTTTAGACTTTTTACTTTGATCAGGACATGAATTCGGAAAACATTTGACCTTTTTCCATCACTATTTCCTCTTTTGACTTTTTCACTGCAAACATTTTTTACCTTTTCCGGAAGTAATATTTACAGTTACAGTTTTTTTCATCAACGTTTTGAAGTTAAAGGGAGAGGTTCTAGAACAACTCTTCGAGAACTATCTTTGAGTGTCTGCATAACATATGGAACTTTGTTGGGGCTCAAAATGACACAGGAGCCCTGATAAACTGACACATTTCAGAATAAAGCCTTACAATGGTAAGATTGGTTTGCTCCACCCACTCAGCCAGGAGATGAATATTCAATGAGCTGCATGCTGATTGGCCTGTTTAGCCTGATGGCTCTATGACGCTGCATAATCCGGGTAACTCAATAGGCAAGCTACGGATCTATCGGGCATTCATCCAAAGTCTGGATATGCCCAGAACATCCTGGAGTGTTAGATGCCTGCTCTGACATTTTTCATTGTTGTTTTCCTCTCATCCAATAAGGAAATCAGCAGTAGGTCAGGCTAGCATTGTTCTACGGTTAGCATTACCACCACCACCATGTATTTACTGCTGACATGGAACTGGGTTAGGAGACGCTGATTTAAGAGGTGTTAAACCAACTTTTCTCAGAAAAACAAGTTTCTCCATGACTACGTTTACATGCAGCCAATATCCGGGTTATGATCGGGTTAAGGTCGGGATTCGGGTTTCTGAGTTGATCAGAATAACCCGTTTACAAGCATAAATAAAAAGAGATACCTCTAACTTGCATAACCCGATTTAAATGCGGACGTTGGGGTAGCGTCAGGACGTATGGACTACGTCCAGACGCAGTGTGCGTCATTTCCGGTTCTTCTTGTTCCGGTATCCGTGAAAACAACAACATGTTTCCCAGTTCGGAAGAGATAGCGACCGCGCTTGTTTGCGCTTTAGTTTCCTCGTCACTCCAAAAGTGTGGTGCTGTGCCGCGACTCGCCATGTTGCTCCCAACTTGTTGTTTACTTCCGGTGTTCTGGCGCATACAAGACGTCTCGCTACTCAAAAGACCAAGATTCCTTGCTAACAGAGCATGTGCAGAACACACGCTTTGATGGGGATATCCCGATATGCGTTTACACGACCAAACATTCGGGTTAGAAAAGGGTTACCCCAGGTGTAGTAACCGGGTTTTTAAAAACCCGGTTATGAGCATATCCGGGTTTCTGGCGGTGTTTACATGGACCTGCGGAACTTGTGAATGTTTGGGTTTTAAAAGGGTTACTGGCTGCATGTAAACGCACTCCATGACCATTACAACATTACTAATTTGCATTGCAAAGCAGACTCCCCAAGCTGCCTGTATTCAACAACAAGGAAACAGCGGTTCTGAATTCTAGGACCCCTTTAATCTCTAAACTAGAAAGCAGTAAAACTCTTTCTGTTTCTCAAAAGCTTTTTTTTTCCTTCCGAGTTGCCCTAATATCCCCCATAAGTTACACATGGATCACAAAAACGTAGTTTTGTTTTTGCTTTTAAGGCTCCACAGCGTGTGCTCTCAAAAGACCCGCCGCAGAAAATGGAGCAGGAGCAACAAAGCACGCAGCAGAAACCTGAGAACACGTCATCTCCTCAAATGCTACACACCAAGGCCGACATCCAAAAGCCTCAGCCGTTCCAGCAGGCACCGCCTCAGACTCCGCCTCCACAGCAAGAACAGTCGCAGCAACAGAAGCACCAAAAGCCGGAGTTTCCTCAACATCACGTGGCGGACATTACAGTTCAAATACCTCCAAAACCGGAGTCCCAGGACGGGATGACCACACCCCCAGAGGTGCCGCCTGTTCAGGCAGAGGCTGAACATGCCGGCCAGTGTGCTGTCCACCCAGGCTTGGCTAAGGTGCAGCAGATCGTTGAAAGGGTGGCTAAACTGGAGCAGGAGGTGAAAAGTTTTAGCGGAAAGAAGAACGATAAGAAGTATTTGTTATTAGAGGAGCTTCTGACCAAAGAGCTCCTAGCTCTTGACTCTGTTGACCCCGAGGGCCGTGCAGACGTACGGCAAGCAAGACGGGATGGAGTCCGACGAGTGCAGAACATACTGGAAGAACTGGAGCAACTGGAGGAGCAGCCCATGGGACCCGCCAGTGACGTGGAGGGACACGGCCTGACTCAGAAAGGAGAGGCCGGCATGATCACTCATAAGAATGTTGAGACGGCGAAGGAGATATCCTAGTGACTGCACCGATTTTCTAATGTACCAGGAGAAATGGATCATGTGCTGTGTATCTGAGCAAGTTGCATGCATTGATTAAAGGTGTCAGTTCAGCACACAATTACCGATCGCTCAGTGGATTCGTGTTGTTCAAGCCATCGTTGTTGCCTTCTATGTTGCGCCAATGTCTTCACAAAAAGATCATCGTCAGTGAGATGTTGACAACAAGCACTAAGTGAGCTGAAGTTTAAAAAAAAACGAGGCCTTTACCAAACAGACGGAAGACAAACAAAAGTATTTTCCTAAGAGCTCTTATTTGTGGTCGTCTTTTGTCTGATTAAATGTTGTTCGGAGCTTTTCTTTTTCAGTCAGCAGAACGTCACTTGGTACACGAGTAGAAGCGGTGGGACTTTAAACCCGTCAACAGACGAAGATGTTCTTCAGAGTTGGAACCGCTTTGTCTAAAATGAAGAGAAAAGCTTTTTTAAAGAGTGGAACTAGTTTACCAGATGCTGCTTTTGGGTGCATTGCTGATTCAGCCGTTTTTGCACTTTGCCATAACAGAAAATAGATCCTGCTGATAATCGGCAGCACGTCGTTTTGAACCACGTCACTTAGACACGTTTTGTTTTTGAGTGTTTGTATGTGAATCAGTCTACTTGCAAATTATGATATCACTATTTATATCACTGAGTATTTTGGTACATTTATGTGTGTGTGGACAAGCGGGGTGAGATGCACAGCTACTCGATGCGAGACAATCGGCACCTGCTGCTAAGCTGGAGTCCTGTTTAAGACTGTCAGAATGTCCTTGTACAACTACCAAAGCCACAATCTTTAGTCCCACAATAACGGCCTCAAAGCTTTAAAACCCCTGCGATCGCGCCCTTGCTCAGACACCACAGTTTCAGGTTTTTAGAAAACAAAACCGCTTTTGTGATTATCTTAAAGCTCTGAACCATGTTATGATAACACTAACCGTGTATGTTGTGGGTTTTTTGTCACTAAGATAAGATTGTAAGCCAGCTGAGAGATCACAAAGTTTGGATTATAGTTACTACCTAGTTCACTAATGTTATTATTGTTGTATCCATTTTTCCTTGTTGGCAAACATCAGCAAAATCTGTGGTTTTTAGTTTAGTTTTTTAAGGACGTTTTTGTCGTTTTGTGTTCAGTGAGAAGTGAATTGCCACAGAATAAACTACAGAGTATACGGTCCACCATGTTTACTCCCTGATTAAAAAAAAATCTATATTTTACTAACGGAGTATGTGCTTTCTTTTCCCTTCCATGGGTCTGGATTAGTTTTCTCCTGCAGACGTTTCAGTGATGAAACAAATGGTGAGCTGCATCTCGCCCTTCCTCCCTCAGGACCCTCTGAGTCAGGACCAGCTACGGTTTTGGCTGCTTATTCTTAGCTGGAAAGGGGCAAACAACACATTTATTTGTGAAAATTATCTTTTAAAGTTATTTTTAATAGAAAACTGATGGCGTATAGCCTTTTCATTAAATATTACTGTTTTCTACATTTATTAAAGAATAACAATCATAAATTAGGCGAACTTTTCATTTGCCTACATTAAATTGTAAATGCTAAATGTCCTGTATTCATATTGCACCTTCTTTAGTCCTAGAACCCCCCCAAGGCACTTTATAACACAACAGTCTTTCACCCATTCACACACCCTTTCGCACGCTTGTGGTGATGAGCTACAATGCAGCCATGGATGTTCTGGGGCGCACTGACAGAGGCGAGGCAGCCAAACACCGGCCCCTCCGACCACTTCCAGCAGGCAAGAAGGATTAAGTGTTTAGCCCAAGGACACAACAGCAGCATTCTCTACCGGGATCGATCCGACAACCTGTAGCCCCTTTGCTACATCATTGCTGATGGATGTAACTGCAGCAACCCTGCGGCTAACTGACAAAAGGTGAGGCTGCCATAAGCAGCACAGGTTCCCTCCGACCACCACCAGCGGGCAAGGCAAATGAGTGTCTTGCCCAAGAACACAATGACGTGCGCATCCTCAGACAGCCCGGTGCTGTTGCAGAATTTAATGAATTTTTTTACTCACTAATAACCTCTCCATAATGAATTCTGTAAATTAACTTTATTTATGTGTCTGACTTTAACACTGACGTCTTAACGTCTAAATATCGACCTTGAAAATCGGCAGTACATATCGGCCATCGGCTTACCGTGTCTCGTATCGGCATCGGCAATAGAACAACCATATCGGTTGTCCTCTAGTAAAAATGTACTTCTTCTGCAGCCTTATTGTTCAGCGAAATGTTGCATGCAGAAGTGAGATTCATAAAAAAAAATCATCAATATATTTGAGACCAAACAAATAGATCACAGATTATTTAAAAAAAAATCACAGCTTGTATTTTTACATTTAGGTGTTTTTGCAGGTTGTGTGCAAGTTTAAACCAAACCGACCCAAAACGTGTGAAATGTCACCTGCAGATGATGGGAATGAGGATGATGATGACGGTGGTACGTCACGTGTTATTGTTTGGAGCAGGAAACGACTGCTACGTCCTGAAGGGGCGAACAGCAGCGGCTTCAGCCTGACACTTCTCTTTACCGACACGCTGTCTCGGAGAATGGATGCTCCTCCGGCACAGAAGACGCCCGAGTGTCAGCATGAGTAGAGGAGGAACAAGATTCGCCCCGACACGCATCCAGCTGCCGCTGTTAGCCCGGGCTAGGAGGAGGGAAACGAGCTAACCGTGGCTAGGCTAGCTGCTGTTAACCGCCAGGACGAGGAATCCCCGCACCTGGTCGCGCGCGGCAGACTCGGTACTTCTCGGTGAAACGGTAAAGCAGGGGAAAATGGAGCTGTTCCAGGCGAAGGACGAGTACATCCTCCAGAGCGGGGACCGGGCTCTGTGGTGTAGCCGAAAGGACGGGACCATTACTGTCAGACGCGGTAGGTACAGGATGACGGCTCCCTGCCTCCTCTAACGTCAAACTAGCAGCCGGTGTCGAACTTAAACGATTCAGACATGTTGTTTTATGTTCAGGTGTTACGTAGAAAAATGTGTCTCCTGGTTCTGGTCTGCTGTCCCGACAGTTTAAAGCAAATTAGAAAAAGGTTGTTCGATGTCTAAAAATCTCAATTAAAGGTAGTTGTTAATTGAAAAGCATGCCTGATGCACACAAGCCAACTAACTGATTTTTATCCTTAATGTTAAAACTGTGTGCATTTCTGAGCTTTGGGGGAAGCAGTTTTCTATGGGGTAACATATCCCAACAGAACACCTGTCAGAGGTTGACAGCATATGTTCATCTTCTTGACAGTCTTTCGTTTTGGTGCCGCCTGTCACTTGTGAGTTTCGGTAAGAATAAAATCTCACCGTCAACTCTAAATAAACAATCCGTCAGTTAAAACAAACAAGTTCGGCAAGGAATTAACAGAATTTAAAGGTTTGGATGGGTCACCAAATTGCATTCCAAGATTTTGACTCAGACACATTCCAGACTTCAGTGTTCAAACCCGAACTGACTATTGGAGCATTCAGGTGTTCATCATTTATTCATGTGAATCAAACCAGAACATTAGGATATTTTCAGCTGCAGGTGACCGCAGCAGCACCACCTGACATTACTGAAACGGGTTTCATATTAAATAAAGACCTCAGGCTGCGAGAGGTAGCTATACATTCCTGATTGCAGTTTCAGAATGGCTAAACTTGGAATGAAAAATTCATTGAAGTCACCAGAAGGCATTGCACGTTGCCCTCTCTGTGCGTCTGTTGAAGTTGTGTAGCTGTGCAGCCATCCTGAACAGGGTTTTAGTTGCACTGCTGTTTCATTATTTAATTGGAAAAAGGGTTTCCACTCCACTGAGTTTCCACTGCTCTCTGTGGTCGACGGCGAAGGTTTTCTATGATATTACTCATTCTTGGTGAAATTGCTGTGCCTTCTTTTTGGAGAACTCCCCTGTGGGGCCCTCAGCTGGTTTCTCTGAACATGTAGTTCTCTGGCATGTGGAACAGGAAGAGTCATTGTCTTAGACTGCGTACAGTCCTCAAACTGTAACCACACCCTTCATGATTTTCCATTTTCCACACCAACATTTAATCCATCTCCAAGCTTTCCTGTTTTTTGTTTATTGATGGTCTACACAGAGGAGTTAGAACTAAACGAGACACTAAACCATGACTCTTGCTTCTACTTGGGTCAAGTGGAGTAGCGGTGTGAGACATGGCGTTATAAAATTGCAAAGTGTTTGTATGCGTTGACGATCTGCCAAAGCAGAAAGATCGTGGGATTGTCACGTTGAGAACAGGGAAATGTTTCCGCTTGGACCATTTTAGACGTAACACTCTGAGCCTTAGCTTAATGTGTATACATTAAAAAACAGGTAATGCTAAAGATGCGATTCTGGGTGAGGAGGATTATTAGCTTTTAGCCAACATGTCATCAGTGAGTTTCAGACTTGCACCGTGATTAGGCTACTTGTCATTTATGGCAAATACATTAGCATCAATAGCAATTAAACATTTTTGGAGCTATGAGTTTGGGAAATCAATCAATCAATCAAAGCTTTATTTATAAAGCGCCTTCCGCAACCCTGTCAGGAAGCCCAAGGCGCTGAACACGGTACAGTAGAAGTACAAATATAGTGAATAAATAAAAAATAAAAGCAATTCAGAAATTAAAGCAATTCAAATTACAAAATACAAATTACACAAAAAGGTGCAACATTCTAGTACAGGAGAGATGGGTAAAACAAGGGATAGAGTGAACCAATGAAAACTGTGAAAAAAATTCAACTGGTGTTATGTTGTTCATTAACAAATTTGGTTAAAACACACCCAATAATAAAGTCAACACGGTTGTGGTGTTAATGATGTTTTTACCTGTCGCTGTGTGCTACCGACCACATTTTAATTAAACCTTTAGAAAATAATCACTACCTCGATCTACAATGGATGCAAGATGTAACAGCATCAGTACCATTGTTGGACAATGTCAGTGATTTTTTTAACATATCGGCATCGATCCGATAACAAAACTGGTTTGATTTCAGCCATGTGACAACTGTTTGGTTATATGACCGTGATAATAATGCAGAGCAGGACTGTAGGGGTGTTTAACTGAAGCATAGAAGCAATGCAGGTGGTATCGTCACTTTTTACAGTGTCAAAGGTGTCGGGATATATATGTATATAATATCAGTAAATATTGGTAATTGACCATAACAGCTGTATTAGCCAAGATTTTCATACTGGTGACGCTGTTTTCTAGGTCCAAACGTCTTGTTGTCCTAGACTTCAAATGGTGTTTTTCTTTTTGGGACTCTGGTAGTTTGTCCTAAAGCTGAAGTGGTAGCAGCGGCTGTTTCTCCTTCTCTGATATTAATGAGCCGAGAACCACACCACTGGTGTTCTGTTGCTGAAAACGCAAGTGCACAATGAGTGGAGGACCCGGGCAAGTGTGGCGGTTCAGTGAGACGGAACAACTGGATGGTCCAACGGTTGCTTTATGTCCGAGTCGAGTTATTGGTGGAGATTTTTAGACAAATGCAAGAGATTTCACTTGAAGTTTTTCACAAAATATTTATAGTTATACGTTAGAAGCTGAGGCATGAAAAATGTTTTAAGCTAACTTGTTTTGAAAATTTGCTATTGCAGCTTTTAAACACCAGCATGATTTCATTAGAACACCTATGAAGCCATTATTTCTGAACATGAAGTGCTCTTTAAATGAATGGTAAACGATAAATGACCCACACTTGCATAGCGCCTTTCAGAGTCAGAGGACTCCAAAGCGCTTTACACTACAGTGTACCGTTGATCCAATCACACACACACATTCACACACTGATGGTGATGCACTACAGTGTAGCCACAGCTGCCCTGGGGCACACTGACAGAGGTGAGGCTGCTGAGCACAGGCGCCACCGGTCCCTATGACCACCATCAGCAGGCAAGTTGGGTTAAGTGTCTTGCCCAAGGACACAACCGCAGAATTCTCTTTCGAACCCGCAACCTTCCGATTACAGGACAACCTGCTCTACCTCCTGAGCTACTGCTGGTCTAATTGTAAATCCCTGGCATGGAAGGAAGTGGATAATATGCATTCATTCAGTAAATTATAGGCATTGAATTTAAATAAAGGACTTGCGCTAGGATTAGGGATGCACCGATACCGATAAAAGTTAACCGATACCGGGAACCGGTACCAATGCATTTGCTTGAAAATGGCTTCGCTGTAACTTGTCATTTCTCTTCACCTAATATTTTAGTTTTGTGATGATTTCTATTCATATAGTTTACTTTTTTTATCTACCTCATAGTTTTTTCCTGTTGAAAACAAAGAAGAAAATAAAATCTGTATTCCAAATCATTGCATTTTTTTGTGTGGTAGAAGTATCGGTATTGGTAATCGGTATCGGCGAATATTCAGATTAGGGATGGGTACCGAATTCGGTACTTTTAAGGTACCGACCGAATTCCATAGTACCGACCGAGCACCGATTCACGTCATTTCAAACGGTGCCTCGTTTCGGTACCCGTCCTTCATAACGAGAACTTGCCAAGACAGCTGCGCATGCGCAGGAGCGTTTTGTCGTCGCTTGCTGTGAACCAGTTGTAAACAGAGCAGTATGGTAGAGAGAACGCACGCTAAAGCTTGGGTCCACTTCACTAAATGTGATGGGTAACTGGGTGATGATGAAACCAGCGACAACGATCTAAGTGAGACATCCTCATCTTAATCTGCTCCGGTAGGTAAATATAATTAGCTTGATATGTTAGCTTCCGTTTCGCTAACGGTGCGTTCGCTTTCTCCTCGGAACTCTGAATTTCCGACTAGAAGAACATGAACGCGCTCTAAAGTTTGGCTTCACTTTACTAAATGCGACGGGTGATTGGGTGAAGATGAAACCAGTGACAACGATCTAAGTGTGAGGCATCATCGTTTTAATCTGCTCCAGCAGCTAAATAAACTGTTTAAGATAACGTTAGCTTGAAATGTTAGCTTCCATTGCTACCATTGTTATCAGCTAATGGTGCATTCGCTTTCTCCTTGGAAATTCTAACTTCCCAGTAGGAAAAATCAAATGAAAAAAGACGGCAAAAGGAATGAAGATACACAGTAAATTTAGTTCACAGTAAAGATGTTTGCTTCAGTTTAATTATCAACTTATAAAACTACAAGGACGATGTTAAAATACAAACAGTTGAATGTTATTTATCTTGATATTTATCAAATACTGTTATATATTGAGAAAAATATATATTTAATTATAAAAGAGAATTAAAATATCAAACACTCAAAAGTATCGAAAATTGGTACCGTTAAGTACCGGTATCGATTCGTAGGTACCGGGAATTAGTACCGGATCGATTCAAATGTCAAAGGTACCCATCCCTAATTCAGATCCAAGTATCGGTATTGTATCGGTTTGGAAAAAAGTGGTATCGTTGCGTCCCTAGCTAGGATTATTTTTGTATTGCTGTTGATCCGCTGTGGTCGGTTCTGTCTCCTGACACCCTTTTCCACCCGTTTGTTTCAGCAACAGACCTGTTGTTGGCTTGGAACCCAGTGTGTTTGGGTTTGGTGGAAGGCGTCATTGGAAAGATTCAGCTTCACACAGGTAGGTGGAGAACAAAAACCCTTCAGGCGTTCGTAACCCAAGCTGGTTTTGACTCTTTCACAGGGCAGACACATTCTCGCCTGCGAGAGCTGGACGCTCAAGTCCCCAGTGCTTTGCATGTTTGTTATTCATGAGTAAAGGTGTGAAAAAAAGTGTCCATGTGCTTTGAAATGAGTGTACTCATGAAGAGGAGTGAGCTGATGGCGAGGCCTGATTCTTGGCTGTGTGGGCCTCTAAATTTCATGTATTTTTCTGACGTACCAGTCAATATAAACGGGATATAACGGATTTCATTGGTCGTTTTATACATCCTTCGTATTAAAAACACCTTCAGCTGCTCACATAACGCCTTTTACAAAGCCACTCGTCTTCTTTCTCTTTTCGGCAGACCTTCCACTCGGTCTCGTATTAATCCGCCAGAAAGCGCTTGTGGGCAATTTACCAGGAAATCACAAAGTTTACAAGATCACCAAAATAGCTGTCATTCCCCTGTCTGACGAGGAGCCCCAGGAGCTGGAGCTGGAGGTATGCACAACCATCATCACATCAAATCCCCAACAGGAATAATAATAATACCCTCTAACTCCACTTGTGAGAATCCTAATTATTTAGTTTTCTAAATAAATGTGTCCAAGAATAGTCTGTATGAGTCAGTGAATGCCTCATGCCAGAAGAGGAGCTGAAGTGAGTAGTAGCTGTGGTTGAAATGACAGATAGGTGAATGTTGCTAAGATTTCAGTTTTTCAGGGATGCTTCATGGATGGTGAGACTGAATATTTCCAAGTGAGTAACAAGAGGATGAGACCTGTAGAGACCTGTAGAGCATGTCCTTTATGTTGTCTTTGTACTGCAGAATGACCCTCTGTTTTCCTTAGAAACCCCACATAATAAAGTAGATGTTAAATATTTAATACTAGAACTGCAGAACTGTGGAAAAGTGATTTGTTGCCTTACTGATTTCTTCTCTTTGCCTCTCGTATGTGTTTCAGGTCAGAAAACACATTTCAATCAGACAAAGATAACCGGAGAAAATACAAAGTATAGACTTCAACTGACATCTGACAAAATAAATCAAAACCAACCTGGTGGAAAAAGTCAATGCGTCCTCAATAAACCACGAGTCGCTTAATAAGTTTCTCCTCTTCTCCCTCCTACTGGTTGAAAGTGGAATATAAACAGTCGTAAACAAACCTGCTGTATCTAGCGCTAACAACGAGCTAATGCTAACACAAGCCAACTGATACTACATAAGTCACAAAGTAAAAAGATCCACACGGTTGGACAAAAAATATTACCTACAAGGCCAGGTCACCATCAGTCTGGGATTTCATTGCCTCCTTTAGCTCCCTGAAACTAGTGCAGGTCGCGCCGATGTTCTCTGGTTTTAGCTCTTTGCTTCTCCTCAAAAGATGTTACCCTTTTACTTTTACTTCCTGACTCTGCCATGATGCTATCTTAAAGCAAAATTATTATTCTTCTTAGGCATTTTATTGACTGTTGGCAAACAAAAAAAGCTAACCGCTAACCTTTAAATGAGCTACTGGAACAGTAAACAGCTATTGCTATAAAGCGAGCAGTGGCTTCCCACTAGTTTTCCTTCTCGATCTACAAAACTAGGTGCAGTTTCTGGTCAGCAGAGGGCAGCGGAGTGCTGTCCAGTGTAAAGCGGCTCAAGAACCACTGAAACCAGTTTGAAAGCAATAGCTTAAATATTAAGAACTCTTTAGTGTTGCTTTAAAGTGACAATGTGTATTTTCCTTGGTGATGGGGAGCAGTACATACCTAAATCATTGCAAGCAATGTGTTCAAGTAAGACCTTACCAACGAATGGCCATTAGGGTCAAAACTCCCTGGCAACGAGCGAAGAGGTAAACATGTAAAACAACTTTTATGAATGGTGAAAGTTTTGTAACTGCTTGTTAGGGCTGTCGCGGTAACCGCAAAAATGAAATATCGCAATATGAAGAAGCCCACCGCGCTGCATCATGGGCCACCGCGATTACTGAACTTGGTTCAATTCAATGATGCATGTTGAGAAGGATGGCTGCACTGGTATCAAAACGAAACGTTACTTCGCCGGTTTTCAGTACGTCAGCTGCCAGAGTCCTTGGCCGAGACAGAGCTGCCACCAGCGGCAATAAATAAATAAATAAACAAACGCTCGGAGACCTGCTGAAGTCCCGGACAAGCACTGCTTCTGCAACCGTCCCGAAGAGAGTTTGAGCCGAGCTGGAGCTCACTCGCTACCTGCAGGAGGAATGCATCCACCCTAAAGAAACCCCCCTGACATGGTGGAGCAACAACCGGGAGAGATTCCCTTTGCTCGCCAGAGTCGCACGTAGGTACGTGTGCGTTAGTGCAACGAGCGCACCATCCGAGAGGGTTTTCAGTGTTGCTGGAAATGTTACCACCCCTCTCAGATCCTCTCTCAAACCGTATATGGTTAACATGCTGGTTTTCCTTGTATGTAACAAGGACGTGACCAAGATATAAATCACCGTCATTCGTGTGTGTGAAAGTGAAATGATAGTGCCCCCCCCCCCCCCCCCCCCGGCGCGCGCGCGCCCGGTACATGTAATTTTTTATGCTTGATTTTAAACAACTAAACAAAATGGGGACTTGTTTCTTATTTGTTAGATGCTGCAGCCAAATTTGCATTTAAAAGTTTAACCTCCTGAATTTTGTTGTTTTTAAGTTCAGTCGGACTCCGACTGTCGGAGAAACAATTCGTTACTGCGATCTGTGTTGTTACTGCCCTTTGATCTGCATTCAGTAAAGTGTTATTAAAGAAGGCACGGCAATTTTTTACCTTTTTTAAATGTGTAAACATTATATTTAGATAGTACTGCAATAAAAAAAAGTGCTGCAATAATATCGCACACCGCAATATTAAGCCACCCTGAATCACCGCAGGGGGAATTCCTCAACCGCGACAGCCCTACCGCTTGTTACAAATCAGTAAATGTGTTTTATCCTAACGGGCTCCAGTAGAGGGAAATATGGCGTCGCCCAGAGACTTAGACCCACTTTTGTGCATTTTAGACTGCTGCCAATATTTTTCAACAACTGGGCATCGTTTCATTCATTTTCAACAACATTTCGATGGAGATTTCCAGAGATTAATAGTAAAAACTACATATAGTCTCTTTAGCTGTGTGACTTCATATTTGGAAAGCCGAGTTCAGTATCGCTAACCTCACACCCAAACCTGATCACTGCCAGACCTGTAGGATTCGACTCCCTTCAACAGAACCTATCTGACAACATGAAGAAGGCTTAACAATCTCAAAAAGCAACACGACAGGAAAGAGTTCCAAGACCGAAAAACAACACAAAGCCAAAACACATCTTGATTATCCCAAATAAATATTCTGTGGACTCATGAGAAAAAAGCGTAACTTTCTGGCTGTTGTGTGTCCCGTTCCATCTGGAGTCAAACCAACACTAAAACATCGCCATAGCAACAGTCAGACATGGAGGTGGTAGTGTCATGACCTTGGGCTGCGCTGCTGCTTCGGGACCTGGACCACTTGGTGTAACATGAATTCTGCTCTGTAGCAGAACATCCTGAAGGAAAGCATCTGACCTATGACCTTAAACAGGTCGTTACTGCTGGAAGACCCTCTAATTTGGCTGAATTCAGACAATTTTGTAAATAAGAGTTGATGTGAGAGACTCGGTTATTACATTTTGGGTCACTTACTTTCCCACATAGAACCAGGCAAGTTCTAAGAGCTTTAGGAATAAGAATACATTTTTGTTGGATTAGTATTCACTCAGGTTTTCTTTGTCTGACAATGATATCGGTTTGCTGATCCGAGACATTTAGGTGGAGCAGGAAGGCAAACAGAATAAATCTGTAAGCAACAGAAAACCTTCACAGCTCTGCGGGTAGCGTACCGCAGTGAACGAGGATAAAACGTTTAGGTGAATTAAACATTTTATAATGTTTTCGGCCTAAATTTAACATTTACATAATTTCTGTACAGCTTTGCAAAAAGCATCACTTTGGAATCGACAAGCCGGAGAAACTGGCTCAGTCTCCAGATGAGTCCAAGTTTTTGATGAAGACTTTGAGCCAGATCAAATCCAACGTGGCCGTACCCATGAAGAAAAAGGTGTGATTGTTCTGTGTGTGTCCTTCAAACCATTTCTTTAATTATTTATGGCAGCTGTAAGATTTCACTATCCTTGCTTACTCACACTGACGGTTTTCTTTCTACCCGCCCAATCCAGTATTCCCCTGCCTTCCAGGTTAAAGAGAACAAAGAGAAGGAGCGTCTGGAGAGGCGGCTGCTGGAGGAGCTGTACAAGGTCTTCATGGACTCCGACTCTTTCTACTACAGCATGACCTACGACCTGACCAACAGCGTGCAGCGCCAGGGAGACTCTGACAAGTCCGGCTTACCTCTGTGGAAGCAGGTGGATAGAGAAATCTGTTTTATTTTTCCTTCAGTGGCAGAACTTCATTCTGACTAGTTGTTTTTATCCCTCCAAAAGGTGGATGATCGTTTCTTCTGGAACAAACACATGATTCAAGATATCATTAACCTTCAGGTAACATTTGTGCATACTCATCATCATCATCATCAACCTTTATTTATAAAGCACATTTAAACGGCGACAACGCTAACCAAAGTGCTGTACAAAACAATACGTCACCCAACTAGATGAAACAAATAAAAACTATTAAAAAAAAGAAAAAAAACAGGAAAGCACAAGGGTTAAACGGTCTCAGCCGGGAAGGCCAGGGAATAGAAATAAGTCTTCAAACGTTCTTTAAAAGTAGGAAGGGAGGGGGCAGGTCGGACCGTCAGGGGGAGTTGGTTCCAAAGTTTAGGCGCACAAACTGAAAAAGCCAGTTCGCCACGGGCCACATAGCGGGCAGGAGGGACAAGCAGAAGGTGCTGGTCAGAGGACCTCAGGGATCGCGCCGGAACATAGGGACTCAAAAGATGTGCCAAATAGGAGGGGGGCATTTCATGAATAGATTTGTAAACCAACAGGAGAATTTTGAACTTAATCCGAAACCGAACTGGAAGCCAGTGTAAATGTGCCAAAACAGGGGTGATATGCTGCCGTCGGTCTATGCCCGCAAGAAACCTTGCGGCAGCATTCTGAACCAATTGGAGGCGTACCGCTGAAGAGGAGGGAATACCATATAAAAGAGAGTTGGCGTAGTCCAGACGTGACGTTACAAAGGCATGAACAACCGACTGAAGATCTTTTTTGTTCAGGACAGATTTTAGTTTGGCCAGCTGGCGAAGATGAAAGAAACACGACCTGACTACCTGATTTATCTGAGCATCCATTTAAAAAAAAAGCGTCCCCAAATTTATATTTGTCGGCTTCAGCAAAACTGACAATGACGGGGGCAGAGATGGCTCCACAGCAGAGGGGGAACAGGGGCCAAAGAGAATAGCCTCCAGTTTCGAGCTGTTAAGATGAAGAAAATTAGCCGAGAGCCAGGACCTGACTTCACTCAGGCAGTCAGTCAGTGGTTGCACAGGGTCAGCAGATTTTAGGGCCATATGAAGCTGACAATCGTCAGCGTAGAGATGAAAATGTACCCGTAATTTTCTAAAAATGGCTGCCAAAGGTAAAATATATAGATTAAAAAGAAGTGGACCTAAAACGGACCCCTGGGGGACCCCACAAAAAAGAGGTGCCACTCTTGAGGCGCAGTTCCCCAGGGCAACATTAAAACATCTGCCATTGAAATAGGAACGGAACCACTCTAAAGCTGTTCCACGAATGCCAATTAACTGCTCCAGTCGCTGTGATAGGATTGCGTGGTCGACAGTGTCAAAGGCGGCAGATAAGTCTAAAAGCACCAACAACACATGAGAACCAGAATCAGAGGCAAGCAAAATATTGTTAAAAACACGAATAAGAGCAGTCTCAGTGCTGTGGTGAGGACGAAAACCAGACATAAAAATATCTAAAACAACATTGTTGGATTTAAGAAAATTAAAAATCTGGATAAAAACCATCTTCTCCAACAATTTGGAGCCTGAGTTTTATCAGAGAAGTACGTAAAGAATCACAGAAACTGCTCCAAGCTGCCATCTTCTTTGCATTCTAGGTCAGTTTTTCCCAACCCTGCTCCTCAGGGCACACTGGTCTGCATGTTTTCCATGTTTCCCTTTTAAACACCAGTGTTTCCCTGCTGCCAGACACCTGACTTAAATTAATGAGTGATTAACGGGCATCTGCAGCACGTGATGTCCTCCTGAGGAGGAAATGTAAGTCAGGTGTGCTGAAGTAGAGACGTGGAAAACATGCAGGACAGCGTGGCCTGAGGACCAGGGGTGCGAAACATTGTTCTATGCCAATGCAAAGTACTTCTGCATAAACCTTTTCTGTTTTTTTTATGCTTCAGGTACCAGAGGCAGATTTCTGGGTCACACCAATCATCCAGGGGTTCGTTCAGGTGGAGGAGCTGGTGGTGAACTACAACGAGGCATCTGACGAGGACCGGAGCAGCCCCGACACTCCACCCAAGGAGGTAACCTGCGTTGACGACATCCATCCTCGATTCACCGTGGCGCTAATCTCCAGACGTAGCCGGCACCGTGCAGGTAGAACTAAAGCCCACCTTCCGCGCCGTATAAAAACGTACAAAGGCTTTGGATTCATTCTTCTTCTTGTTTAAAGGGATGCGCTACAAACGCAGAGGGGTGGATGCAGAAGGCCATGTGGCTAACTACGTGGAGACGGAGCAGCTGATCCATGTGCACAGCCACACGCTGTCCTTTGTGCAGACTCGTGGGTCAGTGCCGGTCTTCTGGAGTCAGGCAGGGTACCGCTACAACCCCAGGCCTCGCATAGAGAAAGGTCTGACAGTTTTATTTCTGAATAACATTTCTGATCAGATGGTATTTGTTGCTCTTTTACCAGAAAACAGTCTTGCATGAAAATATTCCGCTCATTCAGTAATGGTGCGCTACAAACACACATCAATGGGATTTTGGCAACCCAGTTCATAAAACGCTGCGATTTCCTAAAGCTCTGCAATACCTCACAGAAACGGTAATGAAACTCTGCGATTCGCAGGAGTTTAAATGTGAAAATAGCCTTCTATCCCTATTTTCTGCAGTAGCCGCTGATAGCAAATAGACGGGGAAACGCGAATGTTACCAATGCCAGTCAGATCTAGGTCACACTGTCACTAACATTCATGGACTCGCCCATCTTGGCTCGCGACTGGGAAGGCTGTTGTTGGTTTAGCGTCCAAGAAACATCAGAGAACGTCTCTACAAGTAGAAGCTAACCGTTAGCGTTAGCATCTCCACCACATGGCAGAACTCCTCCAGGCTTGTGTTGTTCGTGGAGGTAAAACACCAACGTTGCTGAGAAAACAGAGTCAGCGGTAGAGTCGTGTTGCTGTTGCCAATCAGAGGAGAGATGTCCGAACACCAGGAACTAATGGGCCATTCCCATCTGTACCGAGTCGGCCCGGGCCGGGTAGCGTAGGTTGTTTACATATCTGGGTGGCCTGGTATTTTTCCGGGCCAACCAAGGCTCATTCTCAGCCCTCTTCTCGAGGGGGTCTGCTTCAGGCCGACCAGGGCCAACACACCCACTGCTGACAGCAAATTCACACCTTCCATTAGAGCAAGCCTCTGATTGGTGGGTAGAATCAGCCCACATGGGCTTAAGACAAGGATGTGTGGAATCAACCGGGCCAGGCTGGGGCCGACTGAGGCTACCCGGCCCGGGCCGACCCGGTACAGATGGAAATGGCCCATTAGTGTCGGCTCTGGCTCACTTCTAGTTCCTGAAACAGGAACTAGAAGAACAGCTTTTTCTTCACAGAGATTGATTTAAACTAGAGACCACTGATATTGTGTTGAGTGAACTTGGTCTTTAAACAGATCCTGGGAAAATGGACTTTGTGTGACTGAACTGGTATTTTTAAACAGTTTTACATTTTCATGATTTTTGTTCAGCTGAACGATGACATCATGCACTCAAAGCTTCTCCTCGTTAACTGGGAGTAAGAAATACAGGTTTGGTGTTACCACGGTGACAAATGAGCCACTGGCAGCAGCTTTAACACTTTGATCTTGATTTTATTTTTTTTACACTTCTTGTAAAGTTTTATTTTTATCTACTAGTTTATTACAGAAGGAAGGTTTAAACTATTTGGGCTTCAGACTGTAGCCTCAAAGTGTCTTCCTAAACATCCCTTTGGGTTCTTTATTACAAAATACATTCACCTTGTTGGTATGGGGTTTGTGTTTTACCACTTTGTTTTGTTTTAAAGAGCAAGTAACGTCTAAATTAACTTTTTTTGCATATGAACTGTATAAATGAGTGTCTAATAGTGTTTTAAATGTGTGTATTCATTATTTTAGCATTTTAGTGCTTTTTCTTTAAAAATTAAAAATTCTGCCTAAATACCACAGCATAGCGCCACCTTCAGCTTAAAACATAGAATTTGACTCATTTTGAATAAATTTTAGCCAATGGCTAAAAAGTAAGATACTACGTAAACCAGTAGAGTACTACGTAGCAGCTCTGTGTCAAAGTTATAAAAGCAACGAGCGTCTCGGCCACGCCTTGTGGCGAGTTGGGAGTTGGATTTGCAAGCGAGTGTAGGAGGTTAGCATATAGCGTTAGCATATCCTAGTCTTTAGCATAGCTTTTAGTGTTATACATACTTATTTATTGTTAGTTTGGCTGTTGGATATTGTAGTTTAGTTAGTGTTTGGCTGTGAGTGTAATTAGGAAAGTAGTTTGGGTTTAGTGCTCCATATCGTGTTAGTATGGTGAGAAGGTGTAGTGTAGTATGGTTGCGGTGGCTCTGTGGGGTTGCACTCCTTTCCGCTGGACTTAGAAATTAGGTGCCAGTGGTTGCGCGCAATCGGTATAAATTGTTAACATTTCATAAAACATTGCTCTTCAACTGCCTGTAGACATTCAAAGGAAGTGTCACTTCTGTCTTTGAGGATATGAAATTAAAAACACTGTAGATCTCTTCATCTTTCACCGTGTGAATTCTTGTACTTTTCTGGTGTTGCAGGAGAGAAGGAGACCATGTCATACTTTGCTGCTCACTTTGAAAAGCAGCTCAAACTCTACAAGAAGCAGGTCAGTGTGATTCATGGTTTTTACAGCTGTAGGTGCATCTGGTTTGAATGTTCCAAAGATAATCGAGTTAAACTTTGTTCTCAGAGGCAAATTTAATGCTGAAGAGTCATTGTGATAACAGCAGAACCGGCTGATGGCACCTGTTGTTGGATTTGACAGGTCATCATTAACTTGGTGGATCAAAGTGGACGGGAGAAGATGATCGGTGACGCGTATCTGAAGCAGGTCCTGCTTTACAACAACCCAGATCTGACTTACGTCTCGTTCGACTTCCACGAGCACTGGTGAGAGAAATGCAGACCTCAGCGGTCATGAATGATCCGTTTTACACCACTTCTGCTTTCTAATTTCTGTGTCATGTTTCCTAGCCGCGGTATGAAGTTCGAGAATGTGCAAGTACTGACCGATGCCATTTCTGACATCATCACTGACATGAAGTGGGCCTGGTAGGAGTTAGGCTCTAAATGGAACTGCATGCACCTGACAAAGCTGGCGATTGTTTTTGATTCTGAGTGCATCTCGCCTCGTTAGGGTGGACCAAGCTGGAGTCATCTGCAAGCAGGAGGGAATTTTCAGGGTTAATTGCATGGACTGTCTCGACAGGACCAACGTGGTTCAAGCTGCCATTGCTCGAGTGGTGATGGAGCAGCAGGTGACTTCTGTTCCTGGGTGCTGCTTTTGCTTTTTTGGAATGCGATTAAATTGATCCTGCGTTCGTTCTGCAGCTGAAGAAGCTGGGTGTGATGCCTCCGGAGCAGCCTCTGCCTCTCAAGTGCTACAGGATTTATCAGGTCATGTGGGCCAACAACGGCGACACAATCAGCAAACAGTACGCAGGAACCGCAGCTCTCAAGGTAACATCCTTGACCATACGCGTCTATTTAAATCAGTTTCCTGGATCTCACCCGGCCGTCAAATTCACAAGAAGTTTCCAAAACGTCTCAAAACATTTGTGTTCTCGATTTCCTTACCAGTCACAAGTGTTTATCTGGAATCTCTGCCAGTTTAGTTGAAAAGTGTCAAAGTGCAGGAAGGACGAGACAACTTAAGCCGGGCGTACACTGTGCGACTTTTTCACTTTTTTGAGCCGATTTTCCACTCGTGCGAGAATCCACAAGATCGGGGCGAGTTTTGCGCCGAGCGGTCGTGTAGTGTGCAGGGGGTTACGAGAGGCGATTAACACCACGTGACCAGCTGCCGATCAGCAGTCGTGAGCTCGCACGGACTTATGGCGTGTTTAATATTTCGCTCATCCCTCGTGAGGGTATCGCACTGTTGAAGCGGCGCTGCGAGCAGCTGCGACCCAAAAAGTACCAGAACCGCTCACGGCGCATGCGCAATCCTGCATCAACGCCGCTCGCCCGCTATTTCCCTAACACCACACGCTGTTCGTTTTTGTTTCTACGCGGGTTTTTACTCACAAAGATTGTCAAGAAAGCGTGTTTGTCGTGTTCATGTCAAATTAAACTGATCACAAAACACAGATTTACTTTCTTTATTTCGTTTTCCTCATCCAACCCCCATAAATCCCTGTGTGTCCTCCTGCAGCACTCCCGAAGGACAACAGGCAAAACAAGACCAAAAAAGTCTGACGTGTTGAGTAAAAACTGCTATTTTTAGCATATTTTTAGGGCCGACGTGTTTCTACCAGACGTACAGTGTGAGCAGTCAGGTCGCATACGAGAACCGGGTCGTACAGTGTGAGCGCATGACTCGTGAGATCTGCCCTGCGAGGAAGTGGTACAGATTGAGCTGAAGCTGAGTGCTACGAGTGAAAAAGTCACACAGTGTCCGCCCGGCTTTAGGAAAAGGTTTGCAACCAAACTGCAACAAGACACTTTTGATTGTTGCAATTTGTTTGCAGATATTCTCCACGTGACCTGGTCTCGTATGAATCTTTTGCCAATTCTGTGTGATTCCAGTTAGCAATGCGCATATCTTCTCAAAAAGTCGCAGCCCAGTAAGATACCGACTTAAAGGGGCAATATGTAAGAATTCTACAGTGAAATAATCACACAACAGTCTAATGTCTCAATCGTGTTGGAAGGAAGGTTATACTGAAACAGATTCTACTCTCAGCCCGCTGGAGGTTTGTCAGTTTTTCTCCTTTCAAAGAAACTAAACAGGGACATAGTTACTGTTTACAATCAAGGTGAGTTTTCCGAGTCTGCGCAGAGCTAACGCTGCAGCGGCGGCATTGATAATTCAACACCAGCAGGCAAAAACCTCCAGGAGCGACCCAGAAGTTGTGTCTTGTACCCCTAAGAAGTACTTTTTGCACCTTTAATCACAAATTAGCTAAAGGTTGTCTGACTCAAAAAGTGTTTTTACAGACTTTTGTTCTTCAAGTCAGGAGTAAGATCGGAGTATCAGTAAACCCACGGTTTGTTTTGCTTCAGGGAGACTTCACTAGAACAGGGGAGAGGAAACTGGCCGGTGTGATGAAGGATGGCGTGAACTCCGCCAACCGCTACTACCTTAACCGCTTTAGAGATGCATACAGACAAGCGGTCATTGGTACGGAAACGTTGGTGTTGCATCTCCTTCTCTGACCGGCTGGCTCAGACTAACCCAGCGTCTCTGTGCAGATCTCATGATGGGCTTACCGGTGACAGAGGACCTCTACTCCATCTTCAGCAAAGAGAAGGAGCATGAAGAAAAGGAGAAGGAGCACCAAAGAGGAGCCCAGGAGCAGGTCAGCCTCCTGTTGCAGACGTACATGCAGCTTTTGCTGCCGGATGATGAGAAGTTTCATGGCGGTTGGGCCCTCATCAGTTGTGACATGAGGTTAGTGATCAAGCCTTTCTGTCTGGGTGATCGGAGTCAACCAGATATAACTATTTATATAAATAAGGGATAGCTTGCTTGTTTGGTCACTGCTGTGGCTAGAGCTTGTGAGTTTGCATCCACTTAATAAAACTGCTTAGAATATTTGGATTATAGAGTCCGACTTCCACTTTTATTGTCCTGATGGTCTCATTTGCTCTGAGCTGAGGCCCGTCTCCACTATCAGAACGTCCGGGTAATTTTTACCAGACTTTCACAGCGCGTGTGTGTCCATTTCACCAGGCCGGCCCCAAAGGACCGCTTTCTGGGACATTTCAGAAACCAACAGGGGTGTGAACTCAAAAAGGCCCCATAGAGGTGCTGGGTGGGACTTGTGGTTAACTCATCCTAACTGGTCATGATTCAGCAGGAAACGATATCGGCAGACGTCGCTAAACTGGCATCCGTAAAACCAACAGAGCTGCTGGTGAAGCCAAATGTAAGAAGTATATAAACGGTTTGTGCGGCTTTAAAATCGCTGGTTTAAATTCCCAACGGCAAAAAATGCAGCAGAAATCCAGCCCCTCAACTCTAATATATGCCCCTTTGGAGTCTTCTATGGAGCGGCAGAAAAAACTGCTTTTGTAGTGGTCATTGAATGCTGCTTTTTACAGCCGCATCCCCTGAACGGGTAAAATATGATGTTCTTTGACAGAATGAAGTGTCTTTAAAGCCGTTATAGCAAATCTGCAAGCAAGCTAAGTTTTTGAATGCAAACACGGTCACGGAACACTCAGCCCTCCCCTCGGGTATCTTCCCTGGATCGGGAACTGGAAATCCAAGTTGCCAGAGGTAACGAGATAGCGCTAAACACAAGCCACCATTTTCTAGGTCCAAACGTCTTTTGTGGTCCGTGACTTCTGGTGGCGTTTTTCTATGTGGGACTCCGGTAGCTGGTCCTAAAGTTGAAGTGGTAGCAGCTGTTTCTCCTCCTCTGACGTCATTGAGCGGAGAAGCTCTCACACCGGTGTTGTTCTGTTGCTGAAAACGTGTAATGAGCGGAGGACCCAGGAAAGTGCGCCGGTTTGGCAAGACCAACAACCGTGTTATTGCTGGAGGTTTGTAGACAAATGCGAGAGAACCACTTTATTATTTGTTCATTTATTTTTTTTATCTCCACAAAATATTTATAGCTATACTGGGTAGTGTTGTCAAAAAATCGATACCTAGATATAAATCGATGCTAAAAGTGGTATCTAAATTAGATATTCCATCCCTGTGGAATCGATATTATGGACTATTATGCACAGCCTTCTTTAAGTACACCGACACGCACGACAGCCAGATGCCGTAAAGCAGCCTCCGCCTCCCAGACAAACAGAAGAAGAAGACGCCGCATGGCTACATTGCAATTTCCCACGCGAGTTGTCTCCGATCCAAGTTTTGTCTGCCAAATAAATAAACAAAAACATAAACAGCGAATTTGGGAGGTGCTTCACAGCCCAACTTAATTAGCATACCAAGTCCGACACGTAGTTGTATATTCACGCTTATGTGCTTAAAGGAAAACTCCCGTTTATTGCAACCCGGACTTAATTTCTAGCATGCAGTACGTTTGTTTACTCACGCTGACAACTTTGGTGCTACTTGGATTCCCCGGGGTATTTAGATCCATCGGCGAATCGCCATCAGTGTATATCCATATAACGGGTACGGACGGGCACCCATGGTGCAGCCTCGAAATAAGACATTATCTGCACCAAAACATCTTCATGTCGAAAGGTTTTGTTAGGAATCATTAACATGATTCCCCCGTTCGTTTGGAGCGGGTCTGGGATTTCTAGGCGTAAACAGACTAGCCGCGGCTAATCTAACCGGCGCTTTTAATGACGTCACTGCCGTGCGCCAATCTGTTTTTATTAAGATTACCGGTAGATGTACCTTTGTCCTACTGTGGAGAAATTCATTTTCTCCCTTTATTGACCAACAGAGTTGTTCAAAAGTACAGAACAAAACATATGGCATTACATCTTATGACAAAAATGCACCTTAAACAGAGTTTAAGCAGCAAAACATCACTCTGCAAATAGTGTATATATAGTGAGACAATTCATGATTTAAAGTGTTAACTTTCGCCAGTTTTTGTATGCACGCTTTAAAAAATGCTGATACTTGAAAGGTTTAAGCACTTAATACACTTAATTCTTAACATTTAATTTTTGCAATATAAATTGAGGAATGTTATTTTTTGAATAAACTTGTTCAATAAATTGGTGTTTTTAAATAGTATCGAAATCAAGTATCGAGTTTTATTTTCCAGTATCGAATTGAGTTTGAAATTTTAGTATCGTGACAACCCTAATACTGGGTTAGAACGATAAGATAAGATAAGATAAGATAACCCTTATTAGTCCCACAAGTGGGAAATTTGTTTCGTTTACAGCCAAGTAACAGTAAAGTAAAAGTTATGCAGCAGAGGGAGAAAACACTAAAATACAATAAGTTCGATCGTAATGAGATAAAATAATCTCAATATAATAGACAATTTATACCTTAAGAATAGGTTAAAAAATAAAAACCATACTATATGCAGCTTAGAAATACAGAGTAAACTTCATCCAACAGATTTGTTGTAAAGTGTGACAGCAGTGGGGAGGAAAGACCTCCGGAATCTCTCTGTCCCACACCTTGGGTGGCATGAAAAACTTGTTTTTCGAATTAGCTTTTGCAGCTCTAATGTTAAAAATGTTTGTCTGTGGGCGCCTTTTAGCTCTGATCAGTGACATCACTCATGATACGCTGACGTCTTGGCAAAGTTTCGAAAGGCTGACTAAACCAGCGCGTTTTCCCTGTCACCTCCCCCCCCCCCCCCCCCCTTTCCAGAAATATCCCAGAACTCCTATAATGGAAACGTAGAGCTAACTTCCTTTAAGGGCCCTTCACATTAAGAGTTTAGAGCAAACACGTGCACTTCACTCGAAAAACAAAAACACGCACAAAATTTGAAGGTCCTCAAAGTAACGTGCAGTCACCTCTCGGTAAGATGCAGCCAAATCCATGCATCATGTTTCCGTCCTGCACACTAAAACCACAGCGACACATTTGGACAAGTGGAAAACCCAGTAATACTGCAGGATCTAGTTTGTCCAGTAGTTTGTTTTTCAGAGCAACACATTTTTGAAATACTGGTTTTCCACCAGCCTCATCGATGCAACCAACAAAGACGTGGATGCGCTGCTGCTGCTGTCAGACAAAGCCTACTACATCGCTTAGTGAGTCAGACTCTCGGTCAAACTCTCATCTTTGGGAAGTTTTAAGCAGCTCATGTCATTGGACTCATTTCCTTCCAGCTATGATGAAGAGGCTGATAAAGTCGACCAGTACCAACGCCTCAACTTAGCAGGGTTGGAAAAGATTGAAATCGGTGAGTTGAACTTGAAGGAGAAGTTCTTGTACACTTGCCAAGTCACCCAACACTTCCTGGAAGTGCTTTACACGTTCTCACCAACCTTTTCAGCGATGTCCTCACGTTTTGTGAGTCAGGCAGGAGAAGCGAATCCCTAAAATGGCTTTTGTTTGGTCTGCAGGTCCTGAGCCCACTCTGTTTGGTAAGCCCAAGTTCTGCTGTATGCGCTTGCACTACAGGAACGAGGAAACAAGCGGGTACTTCCACACGCTGAGAGCTGCAACACGAAATCCCGATGATGATGGAAAAGGTAGGATGGGGTTTGTTCTTTCGACAAAAAGAGAATTAAACCTGAGGAACGGAGATACTTGACTTGCATTGTGGCACATTTCAGATACACTCCAGTGCATAGCAGAGATGCTTCGCATAACTAAGGAGGCCATGGGACTGGATCTGCTTGTAGTTGAGAAGAAGTTGGAAAGGTGAGCTCTGATTTGTGTTTACAGTAATCCCTCGCTACTTCGCGGTTCGTTCATCGCGGATTTGCGGATTTTTTTCTTTGGAGCATTTTTCAGGGGGAATTCGCAGATTTGCGGTATTTTTCACTGATTCGCGGTATTTTTCTATGCGAAATATCAAGAAATTCTTGTTTTTTTCTTCATCAATTTCATCATAAAATGCACTTTTTGTAATAAAACTAAAAAAAAAACAAGTATAAAATTTTTTTTCTTGAGTTTTACCCACAAAAAGAGAATGTGATCATACTATATGATAATTCAATAGGGAGCGTGGTTTCACAGAAGCGGAAGTGATAGCGTCGGTGAAACGCCGGCTGAGCTAGGAAACCCCCGAGCGTTCGAGCGTCAACGAAGTGACACGGAAATGCCGAGCTTTCCAGAAGTAAGTAAGATAACTTACTATGAGCTGATAGTTCGTTGGATTGATCGGTAGGTTGGAAACTCTGATCATGAATCTGAAGAAACGATGACTGAGTGGTGAGCTGGAAAGGCGACTTCCGTTTATAGCCGCGGTTTGTGACGTAGGTGCGACGTGGAGGGAATCCCCGCGAGGGGCATGCTGGGAGTCCCTACTTCGCGGATTTTCACCTATCGCGGCCAGGTCTGGAACGCATCTACCGCGATAAACGAGGGATTACTGTACTGTCATTGCAAGTGAGAGGAAATGACTGGAGGTATGGATGAGTTCCTTGTTTCTGTGTTCTAGGCGGCAGAGTAAGCCTCACGAGGACATCGTGGGGATCCAGAACAAACCAGCCGACCAGGTTCAGGGCAGCTCCGGTCTGGCGCAGGGAAAAAGTTTCCTCCTCAACAAATTCTCGTCCCTCAACCAGAAGGTGAAACAGACCAAGACAAACGTAAACATCGGTCCCTTCAAGCCTCTCGGTAAGCTGGGCAACTTCTCAAAGCCCGATGTGACCGTGAATTTCCTCAAACCAACTATGCACGTTAACCTCTGGAAGTCCGACAGCAGCTTGGAGACATCGGACAACAACCCCGGCTCAGGAGTCCCAAAGGATATCACTGACAAACGTTACGAAAACTCCTCAGACTCCGATTCCTATACTTCAGACCCCGACCACCCATGCTCTGGTTCCTTTGAAAAAGTGGATTATGTTCTGCCCAGCTGTGGCATTGTAGCATCAAACCCCCGTCTGGGGAGCCGCTCCCAGTCCATAGGTAGTGGGGATCTGAATATTCCCTCTGTGATCCGAGTCACTGGCTGTGGAGAAACACAGGAAAGCTTGTCTGAAATAAATGATAAGTCACCTGGAGCTGCTTCGGTTGCAGAAGAAGCCCTTCTGATTGACTTTGGCACTCCCATTGATGCCTACTGCCACCAGTTCATCCACGACACACAGACTAAACCCGTTGAAGTGTTTGGGGAGCAGCCGCCTGTCGCTGTTCCTCCACTAAGCTCTGCAGTTCAGAAGAACACCCCAGCAGACTCAGACAAGCAGCCAAGCTCAAATCAGCAGAATCGTCACGCGGAGCCCCAGCTCCCCAGGCCGTCCCAGCTAGACGTCCGAACCTCTACCTCCAGTTCCAACCTCCTCTTCGTCCAGAAGCCCAACTCTGCAGTCTCGGGCGGCTCTCAGAAGAGCCTGAGCTCGCACATGGAGGGCAGCCTCGGACCTTCACCCACCGACAGCAACGGCAGCCGAGTGGTGTCTCCCTTTGCCAAGATCAAGAGCTCCATGGTCCAGGTGGCCAGCCTCACCCAGGCAGGACTCACCCAGGGCATCAACTATGCTGTCGCAAAGGTCCAGAAGAGCCCCGAGCCCGACGCTGTCAACGAGGCCCAAGAGAACGAGCTGAAGGCAATGTTTACTCAGTGCCAGACGAGGATCATTCAGATCTAGTGCTTTCCTTGTAGCAGGATTTTGTAGTTCTCTAGAAGCGTCCTTAATGGTAGCATCAGCGGAAACTTGCACAGAGTATCAATATTAGGCCAAGAAACGTGCTCATGGACCCCCTAAAAAACGCCCACTCAGCAGAGACTTTTGTACTGAACTGACGAATCCGCCCCACCTGTGTGACTTGTTTACGTGCACGTTGTGGTGGGTTTCCCTTCTTTTCAGAGCACTGACCGTTTTTTGTTTTCTTTTGCCATGCGACGTTGCACACCTGATAAATGACATAAATATTTAAGTTCTACTTTAATAGATCAGTTGTTCCTCTCTGTGCAAACTGCAATGATGGCGACGCGGTTTCTGACAGCCTTCGCGGATCAGTTTGTGGCTCTTCGGCTGGTTTTAAAAGTAGAAACGATTAAACGTTGGGACTGATCTCGACTTGAATTGGCTCGCTCTCCAACCAAACCGCAGGTTACTCCATAAACAATGTTACTGTCGAGTTAAGTTGCTTCGGTAGACGCCGGTCTTGTTACGAGTAGCCGAGTACTCCCGGAGGGAACTATTTTTTTTACTTTTGTAAACGCGACGCCACCCGTTCAGTTTGTTTAATGGTAACCACCAGTTAGCATTAGCAGCGTGTATAAAGACCATTTCTGACAAAGTACCTTATCTCATCCTGTATATGCAGCACGCTTGTGACGTAGACCTCAATTTGCCGTACCACTGGTAGTGATCAACCAAACATGTTTTTTTGTGAATCGTAACATCGTAATGGTGTGGAATACTACCCTCTGTTTATCTGTCCGACAGACACAACAAGCTGTTGGTAGTTACTTTAGCTAATCTCCGTGTTGTCAAGCGTAATTAGGCGAGATATCGACTACGTCCGACCGCCGTAGTATTCTGGTCGTCAGTATGTACAGTGAGTATTGTCCATCCCTACATGAGCACAGCTTTTCCTCAGTTTAAAAACAAGGTTTTATTTTATTTTTTTCAATTTCCATTTTGTGAAAGCTCATGAAAGGAAACCGGCCAGATCGATATTTCGTCGGAATCGGAGAAACGGTTCCGTTCTAGTTAGCGTATTTGTTTGAACTTATCCTCGGCCAGCTTTAGCAGTTTGACTAAAACGAGTGGAGCATATAGTTAGCATATATGCTGTTATTTATTAGGAATGCCGACGCTTTATGCACTCCCCAAAACCAGAGTATATATTTATGCCTTAACCGGGAACTTAAGTGGGATTATTTCTATCAGGTATTTAAAGAAAAATCTACCTTTTAAAGTCTGTTGTTACGTGTTTCATTTAGCATACTGTTGGAAATGTGTTCCGGGGCGTGATTGGCATGTTTCACGGCAGAGACGTCGTTGGAGGATGTAAATAGTCGGTACGTTTGCTCCAACATCCCCTCTGCCGCCTCGGTTTAAAACCTCAGCTGTAAACTGTATATTTTATCCTTAAGTACAGGTTTTCCCTGGCTTCTTGTTGTTGATCAACACAAATGATGAGGATTAGCTTTGTGGCTAAGTGTCCCAAGATGAAAGGGGTCCCATCTTTGTAGTCCTCACTCCCGTTGGCTCACCAGCAGGTAACGCGTGGATTTGTTTGTCTGGTTCGTGTGACACGAGACTTCAGTCTTGGCTGCTTTGCAGGTGCTGCTTTTAGTACGTGGTGCTGCCAAAGCTGCAGCTGTAGCGCAGTTTTAACGCTTACGGGAATTTTAATCAGGTTCAACACTGGAGCGGTTCGTTTTATCTTGTGCTAAAAAGCATTCCTCCTGATGCTGTCAGCTTTTTTACTTTGACACATTTGCTGGCTGTTTTGTCTCCTTTTGTTTTCACACCAAGTGCATTTTTTGTGTCCTTTCGTTTCGACCCGAGACACAAATATCAGGTTTTTTCTGTTGGCGCTGCTGAAGCACATTTCCCCGATGTCACGTCTCCTCTTCTGTACCAACCTGACCGATGACATTGTTCTCCACCGTGTACTCAGATGTGTTGTATATTAAAGGATCCTATTTATTATCTTTGGGTGTTAATAAAAAGAACATTTTACACTTTTTGGTCTGGAATGAAAAGATGACACATGAGCTGCACAAGTTTTATTAAATCTATTTACTCGTGAGACAAACTGTTAAATGCACCGTGCTGAATGTAAACAGGAAGTTGGCTCTGCAGTTACACATTATAAACAGTCGGCTGTTATTGAGTCATACCTTTAATTCTAGTTGGAATATATAAATCTTTAGTTTACAAAAAGGTGAAAAAACTTTATTAAACTGTTCTAACAAAAGGAAAACCGTTGAGCTGTCCCGCGCGTGAGCTCACGGCTCGTTGCCGTTCACGCTCTTGTGTTGCTCTATTCGGCTCCTTCGCAGTGTCTCGATGTGTTTGGCTCTCAGCCAGCTGTCTCTGGACAGGGACGTGTGTCCCAGGCTCAGGGACAGCAACCTGCGGACGGAGACGCACACACACTCAGTCGGGTTTCAGCTTTTCACTCATCTTGAACAGGAAATCTAGATGCCGACGGTCAGAAGGCATCGTTCGGCGCTCAGTTAACCTTCACGAGGAGCCGCAGTCTGGACAAACGGCTTTTATGACCGCACCGATGAGCTAACGGCTAGGCTGAACACAACACCAGTTACTGATCTGTCATAACGGTTCACGCTCAGGTTTCTACAATAAATGCTTATTTATGTGGAACTTATGGAGTAAGTGTCACCAGCAGCGGCCAGATATGGCAAATAAAAACAGATTTTAGAGCATTTGTTGTGCAGATGTTATTCAGGAACATAAATGTACATTTTGGTCAACTTTACTCATTTTTTTATATTTTTGCAGTGGAATAAATGCCTTTTAAGTCGTACTCCGGGGACAAAAACTCACAGAAGGCTGCCAGAGAAAAAAAAAGTTACAGACGACAGGATTTGGATTCCTGATATTTGGACAGCTCTGATTGGCTAACAACAACACGACTCTACCACTGACTGCTCTGCAACGTTGATGTTTCATCTCCACAAATAACACAAGCCTGGAGAAGTTCTGCTGTGTGGTGGAGTTGCTAATGCTAACAGTTAGCTTCTACTAGCTGAGACGTTCTTTGCTGTTTCCTGGACGCTAAACCAACAACAGCCTTCCCCGTCGTGAGCCAACATGGGCGAGTCGATGAATGTTAGTGACAGTGTGACTTAGATCTGTCAGGATTTTCTAATCCTAGAGTTTCACCGTCTGTTTTCTATCAGAAGCTAAAGCTTGGTTTATGCTTGACGCATTTACTTTCCACGCGGTGATGCGGCTCGCGGATGGAACGCGCTTCACAACTCGCAGCGTTTATGGTTCGTGCGGCTTGTCTCTGCGGTGAGCCAATATTCTCCCAAACTGTAGGGGGCAGCATGGAGCTCTATGGCATGCATCCAACACTACACCATAGTAGAAGTAGAAATTACTGTTTACAACATGGCATTTCAGCATTTTTAACAGCGTTCTCGTCTTTTCCGACAGTGCGAGCTATTTCTCTCCAAGAATTATTAACAACATGTTGATCACGGTGATCTCTGAGAGCTGAATCATACAAATGTCTGTATTTACGAACCTCTGCCATACTAGATCTTGCCGGTCCGCCATGTTTTCCCGCGTCCGTCCGTCCGCGTGGTTAGAAATTTTCCGAGGTGTGCGTTGCGGAAATTCTGGGCCGTGCGGAGGTGCGGTGGAGGGGCGTGGTTGTTAAAATGACGCAACTTTTCCGTGCGGCCCTCGCGGACGCGTCAAGCATAAACCAACCTTAATGCAGGAGATAGGTGTAGGAGACTATCATCATGTTCAGCCTGCATGAAAAACCTCAGAGTGAACTGTTAAAATCAGAAATAATTAGTTAAAAAATAAATGGTTCCTAGAAGAACCTAGTCTTCAACAGCCTTGTAAGCTAATAAAACTCAGTTCTACTTTGGAGGAGAACCTAGTCTGAGCTCACCTGGCCACTACAAGCAGCCTGTGGAGATCTTCTGCAGAAACGCCCTGGGGGTCGTCCTTCCTCATCTCCACAAAGTCCTCCTCCACTGACTTGACGGGCAGAAAGCAGAGATGTAAAAACAACCAAAAGGCTCTTTAACCGTGTCCTGGCACACGTCCAGCCTCACCTTGGTCACGTCGTCTGAGATGCTGTAGTCGAGCAGACGTGCCACGCCCAGATAAACTCTGAACTTGTTCAGCTGCGAGGACACCTGCGGGTGGACGTGGACGCTCCTGATGTACTCCTCTACGTGGGACGAAGACACTTGCGGTTGCAGATGTATGTGACAGTCGGACTGTAGGAATAGAAGCGTCAGGACTTCACCCAGGAGCCAGAGAAAGCCTCGAGCCTGAGCCCACGGTTCAGCATAAACAGTCTGACGTAAACGCTGCCATGTACAGGTTTGTTTACAGCGCTCGGGGTGAGCATATCGCCCCATGTGACGCCACTCCCTGGATTGTTCCTGTAGCACGCAGCTGCCAACACGGCAACTCATTAGAGCAGCATCCAGGAATAGCACATGGCGCATTCCTCGTGCTGCCGGCAGCAGCGCGTCACCCCGGCTAAGGCTGCGGCACGGAGGGGGGTCTGCAGCTGGCCAGTGGCAGCTGTTAGCACAACCTCCAGCTTCTGACGCGGCTGCGTCTCATGAGAAACTAGTGGAAACCCAACCGGGGTGCGCGTCTTAAATAGACAGGAGAGAGTTTACAGTCTGCAGCAGCACCTGATTGGCTCTTACCGGCAGCAGTGAGCGACCCTCGGATGCGACGAGCACGTTAATATTGCAGGGGAACTCCATCTGATGGTAGTTGAAGTCATAATCAACCTTCTGCCACGAGATCAGGTTCCCCATGGCCGTGACATTACGCACACCTACAACACAGGAGAGAAGATTGCTTACCAGATCATTAGGATGATCAGTGCTGCCCCCTTGTGGCTAGCAGAGGTCCCACCTGTTGTGTCCAACTGTCCCTGCTCTAGCTGGGTTTCATCCAGGAAGAGGGAGGTGTTTTGGGACAGCTGCAGGGTTCCGCTCGTCAGGCGGTTTGCGATGTAGTCCTTCTTAGGCACCAGCCGCAGCTGGTTCATGTTCTGGAGGCTCATGCCCAGGTAATGGGACTGCAGGTAAAATCATTTAAGGCCCATTAGCAGACGAACGCACGGAAACGGAAACCTCTGGGTCTGGACTCACCGAAGGCACAAGCTGCTGGATGATCTGGTAAAGGCGCTCGGCGTACGGGGGCGCGGTCGGACAGCCGCTCAGGTTCAAGGTGAACTTTCCCAGGGGGAGAACATCCCTTCTGGCATATCTGGGAGGGAGGAATCAAACTCAGGCGAAAGCATCCCCAAAGCCACAAAACGGGAACTTACTGAGCTCTGGAGGGGGCGTGGGAAAAATAAGAGACATTTTTGGATCCTGGCTTTGTTTTGGTACATGGTCTGTATTTGAATAGCACCTTCTTAGGGTTCTACAGCCCCCCAAGTCACTTTACAACACACCCATTCACACTCTGGTGGGGATGAGCTACAGGGTAGCCACAGCTGCCCTGGGGCACACTGACAGAGGCGAGGCCTGCCCAACACCGGCGCCACCGGTCCCTCAGACCACCATCAGCAGACAAGGTGGGTTAAGTGGCTTGCCCAAAGCGCTGGGATCGAACCCGCAACCTTCCGATTACTGGACAACCCGCTCTACCTCCCGAGCTACTGCTGCCCCTTGTTTTGAGGGTTTCTGAGATTAGTTCCTCTTTCCTTGGGAGGTTCTGCTCCCCTCAGCCGTGAGACGGGTAAACGGGGGCGAGCGCAGACAATGTGACGTTCTATCTCAGGGTTCCTCAAAACAAAGTCAGGATCCAATGTTCTGCCCCTCCAGGGCTCCGAGTCTGAGCAGGATGACGTAAACTTGACGTACACGGTAGAAATGAGATGCAGAATGAGGTACTCGGCAGCCAGAGCGTCCCCCAGACAAACATGAGTAAAATATGAAAGCAGCTCCTCCCTGACGGCGGCCATCTCGCTCAGAGTCGACGATAAAACTGTAGATGAAGGAAAATACGTAAAGACACATAAACACTAAACATTTACTTCACGCTTCGGTTTTTCTGAATAATTCAGATTTTTTTTTCCTGCTGCAAATTCCTCAGAAAAAAAGCAGGAAAAGGAAATTTTGCGTCTCCTCACAGGCCCCGTTGTCCTCCAGGCGTGTGCAGGGCAGCAGGGGGTTGTTGTGCGACAGCGGCTTGGCGTAGAGCACATGGAGGCGGGGGACGAGAGACGCCGGCGGGCTGCGGACCCTCTGCTCTTCTGCCGTCTCCATACACTCTGTGGGGTCAATGAGGTCGTCTCTGTAGAGGAGCGGAGGATGAGTTCCCAGACGGGCGGCCGGAGGATAAACTCAAACGTTTTCTTACTTTTCATCCACCAGAGCGCTGAGAGCAGGACTGACGGAGAGGATCCCGTAGACTTCTAGTGTGTCGTTCAGTTTAAAGCCGTCCCAGTTCTCATAAACCTGGACAACAACAGGCACCTTTCAGCCCCCGCGCCGCACGCCACTGCAGGGAAAACGGAGGCAGAACGCACCTTGACAAGGCAGGAGGGTCCTTTCTCTCCAGGAAGTGGGAAGTTCAGGTCAAGGTGGGAGGAAGTAGCTGCCTGGCTGGAAGGAGCTTCAGTCTCCTGGCGTTTACAGTCGCTGCTTGGTTCTGTCGGACTCTGAGAAGCTGCAGCGGAAATCACAAAAGTCTAAAAACACTGAGATGTCCTGAGCTGCAGCTACGATGGCGAGGCACAACATAAAGATCTAAACAGCAGCTAATACCAGAATGTCCTTCCCGTTGCTTCTGAGGCTGGACGTCCATGTCCTCGTCTTCTTCGTAGCTCCGTTTCTGTCTGCTCGGGACGTACGAGGTGGAGGGGAGTTGTCGCGCTTGGCTAGCGCCCGCATATCTGTGCAGCAGGGTTAAGGAACGCTCCACAGTGTCTTTCAGGAAGTGTTTAAGCATCGGATTGGGTAAATAACACAAAAAAGTGTGTTTTCATCAAACCTCGGGCGGGATTAGGATATTTCCTTGACCCACTGGTTCTCTCCGGGAATTGGAACACAGTAGAAGGTTTGCCTCTCCGCAGTCACGATGTTCCTGGAGTTAAAGTCCACCTGGAGACGATACAGATCGGCTTATTCGTGTTGCAGAACTTCACCAACAGCCTGAACGGACGTAAACTCACCCCACACTCGGCCACGTCTCTATACTTTCCACAATGCAGCATCTGGGGAGCAGCAGACAGAAAACAGGACATAACATAAAAACAGGACATAACAGAACATAAAAAAACAAGCAGCCACAGGCGGGAGGACGGGGACACACGCACTTTGGCGTTGGTGGATGGATCAACGGTCTCGTACACGCCCATGTAGAACTCGGGATCAAACATGTCCTGGACCAGGCAGCGAAACTTCACCAGGCTGTTGGGCTTCAGGTAGTGCAGAGGGACGTCGTTCAGAGACGGCACCTGAAAATAAACACAGGAGACAAATCTGAGACAGGAACGGATGTTTGTTGTCTCCAGAAACCTTCCTGAGACGGCGAAGACATTACTGTGGCCTGGACGTCCTCCTTCAGTTGCTCTTTAAAAAATTCCAACGCCTTGGCCTCCCATCCAGTGGCTGGACCGCTCTGAGATGCTGCTACAATAAAAACATTAATAAACACACATCAGAAGTATTTTAACAAGTTAAAAAGCCTTTTCTTGAAGTTTCACAAACATAATAAAAGTTCCATTAAAGACCACGTAAGTTTTAAATACTCTGAATTTAGTGAATCCAGTCCAACTGTTGCAGGATTTTAATTAAAGCGGAAAACTGTTTAGTTGTCGGACTTTCCCTTTTAACAAAATGCTAATCGGAACCGATTTCGGACGCTAGCTACGATTTATTTGCACTTTTTTCCCCAGCAAAAACTAGGATATAGGCCACGGCCTGATAAGGGGGGTGGGTTTGTTACTGGTTGATAATAATTCATCAAGTTTATTAAGTGACAAAAGCAAAGCGACAACATGTGATGAGCTCATGTTTTAGCCTTTTAGCTAACTAGCTAGTCTCACGCTTGAACAGTTCAGCTAATATCTCACCAAACATCTCCTGAACGACACCCAGAGGGTCGTTCATCCAGTCGTGAGTAGCAGGCATCCCGAAGTGGCAACAAGGGTTGGAGGAATATGAAATATGTGCCTGTAAAACGGGAGTGAAACAACTACGTTGTTGACTTGCACAGGACTTGCAGAAACGAGGGCGGGAAATTTGCGTCACCGGCAGCAGAGGCTAATTCGTTCGTTTTGGTGACCGGGACAGACCGGCGAACGGAGCTAACGCAGTGTCCTGCTGCTGGACAGTCCTGAAATAGATTTATCTATATCTTATCTTTACAGTTTTATTTTAAGAATAAAACCAGCTCGTTCAGGATATGTTTTACTAAAAATGACACATTATATCACAAACATGGTGATTTTGGAGCCGTTTAGGTTTCGACATATCTTCGGTGAACAAAACTGTATTTTGATGAACTTCGTGTTTTTGTTTCAGACTCTTATTGTGAAGGACTGAAATTATTATTTCTTTGTTCCGCTGTGGACTCTGCAGGAAGCAAGAAAGTCTCCCCCGTTCAGGATGAAAACAAGAAAATACACATTTTTTGTAATTTATTCAATAAAACAAAACCGTGCATTATAGCCTATGAAGGATTCTTCCCGCATACATAAATATGCGTAGAAAAAATAAATACATGTTATCAGAAAATGGATGGATGTTTGATTAGATTTTTTCAGATACAAATTAAGAAAACAGCGAGAATTTTCATTTTATCTTCAGATTTTTTTCAAATATAGGTTAAAAAAAGTGATTTATTTTATATTTTGACCATAACACACAAACAAGTTTGTTATTATACTAAATAGCCTCAAGAGGGCGACATTGTTCAGCTGAATCAGAAAGCAGCACACCAAATTTACAATTTCTTATGTTGCAAACGCTGGAAATGATCCGCTAATGTATGAAGACGTTTCACCTGAAGTACTTACCGATGGTACTTACCAAACTTGGGCAAACTGTAAGTATATTAGTACTTGCTGATGACAACATCTGATGTAAGAAAAGAGTAGGCGGACTTATTGTTTGTTTTGGTTTTTGTTTGCCAGTGATCTAAAATTGTTCAAGGTTCTTTCACACAAAAATGACACAATGCATATTTTTTAATTTTAAAACAAAATCAAACAACTACCTTTTTATTACTAGTTTCTGTTGAAGAAAATAAAATTACTATCAACCGTCGTGTATGTAAGTAAATTAAACGACGGTATCTTATAGTCAACTATTTTTACTTAAAACGCCCGCTTTATTAAAATAAGTTAAGATCTTAATGCTATTTTCTCACCACCTGCTTATTTATTGCACTTCACCCCCGAAATTCTATTGGCCACCTTAAGCCAAAGCCGCCTTCTCATTGGTTCTCACCGCCCGTCACTCAGACGGCCGTGATTGGTTCATGTCGGTCACACTCGGGTCACTCCGCTACCTGCCCGTCACCAGAATGGCTGCTAGGCTCCTTCTCCGAGCTTGTGCGCTGAACTCACAGCAGCTGAGACGAAATGTGGCGGTTCGACCGTTCCATCGAGCTATGGGCTCAGCCGGAGGTAGGAGTCTTTTATTTACAGCCGCTAAATGTAATCATTAGGACCGAGAGATACAAACCGTGCGACCAAAGCTCGGGTCTTCAGGCGGAGACAAGTTTGTGACGCAGTTTTCTTTCTAAAGCAGTTTTTTTTAAGAATCTGCCGTTTAATGATCACACACCTGTTTTTATTTTGTGCGCGGAGTTTTCTGTGGCGACACGTAAAACAAATGAAGGTCATTTGGACTTGTGGAAAGACCTCTTTAGACCCTCCTCCTTGGCTCTGGTGTCCTCATGGATTCGTGCCATCAACCAAGTAGAGGAGAGGGGGTGCAGGTGTGGGAGGTGTCATGTGTCAAACGTCCAGTCTGATTGGCATTTACCCTCAACCCTCATGTAATATTCACAAGCTGTTTGCCACATATCGCGAGACTTCACAAACACCTACACCTGCTGTTCCTCAGGAATACCTACAGATGATGAGCAGGCCACTGGATTGGAGAGACGCACCCTGGAGGCTCTCAAACAGGGAAAGGTAAGCTGCTACTCAGACAGGTGTAAATGGGTATAAATCACCTAAAACCTGAGGTTTTATTAACGTTAAACCACGTCTCAGGATCCCTACAGCATCCTGAAACCCAAACACTACACTGGTACCAAGGAAGACCCTCACATCGTGCCAAGCATCAATAACAAAAGGCTGGTGGGCTGCCTCTGTGAGTTCTCCTGGATGTCTTGAATTCTGAATGTGAGAATAAAAGTCTAATTAATTAAAGTTTTATTTGCAGGCGAGGAAGACAACACGGCCATTGTTTGGTTCTGGCTCCATGACGGCGACGCCCAGCGCTGCCCTTCATGTGGGTCTCACTACAAGCTGGTCCATCATGAGCTACCCCACTGAGGACACCAGAATTATTTCAGCTCATGACTGCTGTTTTCCTCCTCTAAGGCCTTTAAATGCAGTTTTTGCTCAACGTGTACAGTTAATCATTAAAATGTGAACTTAATTGATGATTTGTGTTGAGTGGAACTAACGAGTGCACAGGTGTCACGTCGTTTTGTGACGAACAAAAATTACAATTTGATTTAAGTAAATTGTTTTCATTCTGTTATAAAACTGGGAAAGCTGCTGGTGAAGGTTCTCAGTCATCCAGGTCACGGGTGCTCCATGAGCTCCCCAGTATCACCTGGCGCCGCCAACATTTACATGAAGGAAGTGGAAACCAGAGCTTTGAACAAGGGAACGCCAAGCCGCTGGTTCAGGTGTGTGGATGACTGAAGGGTCAAAATTCTCACGCAGGAAGTAGAAGACTTCACCGAGCACATTAATGACCAAGAACATCAAGTTCACCAGGGAGGACGCCCACAACACCCAACTGCCCTTCGTGGACTTTGCTGTGCAAATTGAACAAGATGGAAGTCTCAGCATGGAAGTCCACAGGAAACCAACTCACACAGAGCAGTATTTGCATTTCACCCACTGGAGCACAACGCGTCAAGTCATCAGGACTTCTCACCATCGGGTCGAGAACATTCCTACAAAAACTGAAGGAAAGGAAAAGGGCGAGAAACACATGCAGAAAGCTCTCCAAAACTGCAGATACCCTAACTGGCCTTTGTGATTTCTACTAAGTCTGGAAAAGCATCCCCAGCAGCAGCCAGCAAAGAACAGGTGCAAAGGTACCATCGTCCCATAGGTGGCAGGAGTCTCAGAGAAACTTAGCAGAATCTCCTCCAGACACAATGTCCCAGTACGTCCCAGTGGCGACCTTTTTGCAGTCCAACGCAGCGAGGACTGTCCAGATCTTTGCACCAGGGAAACTAAACAACAATTACACAAACGCATGGCGCAACACAGGAGAGCCACCTCTTCAGGTCACGACTCTGCAGTCCACCTACACCTGAAGGACAAGGGACACATTCTGGACAGAGAAGACAGATGAGACAGAGAGAGAGGGGTAAAAGAAGCTATCTATAGCAAACGTGAAAAGCCCACTTTAAATAGGGGTGGGGCTTATGGGCCATTCCCATCTGTACCGGGTCGGCCCGGGCCGGGTAGCCCCAGTCGGCCCCAGCCTGGCCCGGTTGATTCCACACATCCTTGCCTTAAGCCCATGTGGGCTGATTCTACCCACCAATCAGAGGCTTGCTCTAATGGAAGATGTGAATTTGCTGTCAGCAGTGGGTGTGTTGGCCCTGGTCGACCTGAAGCAGACCCCCTCGGGAAGAGGGCCGAGAATGAGCCTTGGTTGGCCCGGAAAAATACCAGGCCACCCAGATATGTAAGCCCCATTCCCACCTGTACCGGGTCGGCCCGGGCCGGGTAGCGTAGGTTGTTTACATATCTGGGTGGCCTGGAATTTTCCCGGGCCAACCAAGGCTCATTCTCGGCCCTCTTCCCGAGGGGGTCTGCTTCAGGCCGACCAGGGCCAACACGCCCACTGCTGACAGCAAATTCACACCTTCCATTAGAGCAAGCCTCTGATTGGTGGGTAGAATCAGCCCATTCACACCTTCCATTAGAGCAAGCCTCTGATTGGTGGGTAGAATCAGCCCACATGGGCTTAAGACAAGGATGTGCGGAATCAACCGGGCCAGGCTGGGGCCGACTGGGGCTACCCGGCCCGGGCTGACCCGGTACAGGTGGGAATGGCCCATTTGAATCTCATTCCTAAGCAGTTTCAGTCTAGGTCACACCTTCCTGCATCTAAACATGACTATCAACATAGAGGCTAACGACTAATCGGGGGTAGAGAGGAGGGGTACTCAGAGTAGTTTCTGCTCATTACATTTTAATAATGGGTTGGATTTATATAGCGCTTTTCAAGACACCCAAAGCACTTCCCATTATTCATGCATTCTCACATTCACACACTGCCAAATAACAGTTGATAAGCTAGACACTCCCATATTCCAGTCAAAACTAGCAAAGCTCCTCGGATGAGAAGCAAAACGTCTTCAAAGAAGTCCAGTTGCCTTTATTTGAACTCTTTTGGATTAGAAATAAGAAACTTTAATTTCATTGATCATCTGGAGACCCGTAAAACCTTAAGATTGGATTTTTGCTGGACCTCACTGGCCAATTTTGTAAAATAAAGACGAACGGCCAGTTTAACCATCCCACTGTCCTTCCGAGTAACCCCTCCAGGTTGATGGTTGATCCCTGGGAGTGCATGTGGCAGGGGCGAGGTGGTGCTCACTCCTCAAAAGTAGAAAAACACCTGGGGTCCACTGGGTCACATTAGGAACATGGGTGAGTTGAAAATAAGTCGGAGTGTGCTTACAAGAGAGCTTCCTGCAGCGGGATCAGTCAAGAAACAGAACAGCAATTAAATCTAAAAAATATTGGCACACGGGGGTGTCCATTGGACCCCACTGGAACTGCGAGGGACAGAATTCGGACAAAGACCCTGGAAAGGCTCACTGGAGGAAAGATAAAAATAAAAAAAAAACACTTGGGGTCCACGGGACCCCTTTAGGAACATGGAAAGGTTATAAAGGTGTTTCAGGTTTTTTTGTTTTTAGATGAAACGGTATTAAGTACAGATTACACTTATAAAACGATTTAGGATGTCTTAACAAAGAAGAACCATGTTCCAGTGTTTGTCTTGAAATTGCTGAAAACCAATATTTGGTATTTATATTTGAAGATATAAACTTGCAGTTCAGGTTTAGTTGAAACAAAACATAATCTAAACCAATGGTTCCCAACCTGGGGTCTGTGACCCCCTTAAGGTTCTGAGGTCACCAACATTTACATTTATTAAATCCAGATAACACATCCTATAGTTATAATCAAAGCTATGCAAGTGGCATGTCTCTATATGCAAGGCCGGATTATAATATGGGCAAACTGGGCACAGGCCCAGGGGCCCACGCGAGCAGCAGTCTTTATTTTATTTATTTTTTTGTGCAGCAGTCTTAACGTTGGAGAAAAAAGTTGACAAGTAACAAAAATTGCGCCCACATTTTCAAAGTTAACACACATTTCTTCTAACAACGGTAGTTTTTGCATCTTTACTGTCCCCTGCTTCAGCCCTCTCCCCCCTCCCACTGCGCAGCGGCCGCAAACTCACTGATGCGCCTGCAGCCTCTCAGAGTTCCTGCTGCTCTAAACATTAAAATAATTATTTCATTTTCTGTTCCTCACTTCTGATTACCTTCAATGGTGTCTGTTTGTTGCAACCACCAGGTACAAAAACTAACTTGTTTTCATTTGACTATTTTTCTGTCCTGCCTGTTTATTATCTTCCTGCATCGCCTCTCAATCCTAAAGAGAAACTGCTACCTGGGTTCATATATATTCACCTCATGAGTTACCTTTGAACTGCAGTTCTAAAAGATCTACCGACCGCAAAAACAGCGGAGTGCTCGCTGATCTCATCAGTGAGGTGAAGTCACCGGAGGACAAAACAGGTGATGCGTCCCGCTCTGCAGCAGCGAAACGCATCAGGAACAAATAAAAGACGTAAATAATAAAAGAATATGAGCCAACACAAACGATCGCGTGTTAACTTTGTTTTTGAGGTGGCGACACCTAGATAATGTTACTGTGGACGTGCTCAGGACGCATCTGTCTGGAGCACAACGATCAGAGCTCTGCACCTCTCCGCTCAAAATTATCCCCAGAGAGGCCACATAGATAATTTAATATAAGCAGTACCAGGATCGTTTTTGGGCTAAAAAATAGTCTACAGTCCATCTTCCCTAATGTGTTTGTGGCCCTGCGGATTTTTCTAACTCTACCAGTTACAAATTGTGAAGGGGAACAATCATTTTCACAAATGGCAAGAATAAAAAATGAACTGAGAACACAAACTCAACAGCGCCTCAATGTACTGTCACTGATGGCTATTGAATCTCAGCTTGTCGGGAATCTGGACTTTGATGACATTGTAAATGAATTTACTAATAGAAAGGCCAGAAAGCAGTTTTTCTGAAGGCAGGAGAGGAGACAAAAAGAGGAGAAAGGAGCCAGGAGGAGGAAGGAGAAAAGAGGAGAAAGGAGACAGGAGTCAAGAGGAGGAAGGAGACAGGAGACAAGAGGAGGAAGGAAACAGGAGAAAAGATGAAAAAGACAGGAGACAAGAGGAGGAAGGAGACAGGTGTCAAGATGAAGAAGGAGACAGGAGACAAACAAAAAACATGCAGATATTTCATCTTTGCAAACTTTTCAATAACTGTATAATCTTTTATATAATCTGCATTACTTTCTGTTGTGGTGTGACACTAGGATCTCTTTTACAGCAGACTCTTGCCGCCACTGTCCCACAGATTGACAACATTTTTGTTATTACAGACAGAAGACAGGAGCGCTGTGAGGAAGAGAGAGACAGAAAAAGAGGAGAAAAGAGAGAGGACAGAGAAAGAAAGACATATGAGTGAGGCACAACAGGAAAATCATCAGGTATGAGTGTTTGTGATTAGGTTATGAAACTATTTTGACCTGGAGGTAAATGTTTTGTATCAACTTAAGTAAGCAATTTTTAATATTGACAATGTCATGAAATGTCTAAAAAGTGCTACTGGGTGACAGTAATGTTGGGGGAGGCCAGGTGGGGTGGGGGGGCCCTAAGCACATTGTGCCCAGGGGCCCCTGCAATGATAATCCGGCCCTGTCTATATGTCTTAATAAAGTTTAAAATTGTTACTTATAATTGTGTGCATGTGCATATGGGTTGGGGGCCCTGGCTTGTCTTGGATACAGGAAAGGGGGTCCTGGTGAAAAAAGGTTGGGAACCACTGATCTACACAATCCAATGACCTCATCATCCTCAGAGCAGTCTTTTTCCCAGTGGTTGATCTTTATTTTGATTTGTGAATCGTTTAATGCGTACAGCCAACCCAGCCTTCAGACCCTTCTCACAGCATCTACGCAGACGTGACAACAGAAACACCAAAAAAGGTCAAACACCGTCTAGACACCACGCCTGTAGAACAGCGACTGCAGGTTTCAGTTCTCCGCTACCGATCGGTTTAAAGTTTTCTGGATCAACAGTGTTCAAGCTGTGTTCTGTTCTTGAGTCAGTAACCTGTCAATCGTTATAAACATCTCACTATGACGTTCAGTTGCATTTCAGAGTACAAGTTAGTGTATGGGAGTCCTGTAATCAAGTACTGCAAAAAACACAAATCAACATGGAGTCCCTTCTCCAACAAGAGTCTGGTTTTGAGGAGTATTTGAAATGATGTGGGAACGTGGCACCATAACCCGTGTCACCTCCATCAGGCCAGATTAAAGCCTTGATTATGATCTATCGCTTGTAAAAGCTTCTCGCGGAGCATTTCTACACTCGTGTACTTGGGTAGGTCCAGCAGGTTGAAGCAGGTGTGGGCGACTGGCAGGTAATGCTCGCCTCCGCCGGTAGGCTGGATCACCAGTTTGAGACTTTTCATGCCCAAGATGGGAATGCGGTCACTTCCTGTGAGGAACACTGCAGAGACGGAACAAAATGGAGCTGAATTAACAGAAACGTTGGGGGGGTTTGAACGTACCTCACCTACATTCAGCCAAACTCACAGAGAAACTGTTTCTTTTTCTCTAGAGGAAGGTCGTGGAACACCTCCCAGAAGAGCCTAATGGTCGGGTGCTCAGCCCAGTACTCCCCTTTGTACTCGGTACTCTGCACAGTAAGAACCAAAGTATTTATCGTGCCCTAACAGACAGACTTAGGCGTATTTCACTGAAACCAGTATGACCTTTTGGAGCTCCGCCCAGTCATAGTTGGTGTTGCCGATGATCATGGCTTGCAGCTCGCTGGGCTGGAACAGATCCAGAACTTTCCCACCACAGACTTTATGGAAGCCTGTGTAGAAACCCTCAAACAGCAGCGCTACTGATGAATTAAAGACGTAGTCTACGTAGGCACTGACAAAGTCCTGCCTGGAAGGAAAGGCATCGAAAAAAGTCAGAAACTTTGTTGGTTGCAGGTAACAGCTGCCTCAGAAATCTTTACCTGTTGGATTTGTTGACACTGACGTTCTCTCCGTTTGGCACCAGTTCTAAGACCTCCGTGGCCCCGTAGTTGTCTTCTGTCACCTGAAAACAGTTGTTAGGACTTGCGAATAATATTCAATTAACTTAGCCTAGAAATCTAGATCAGCAGGTTGGTCTAGCCACGGTCCATTCTCGGCAGGTCTACCACTGGATGGAATCATTTTGTGTCTAGCCAATCATAGCACTCTATGTTTGTAGAGAGATGTTGTGAGGGCCTAGCACTCGAGCTGTGAAGGAGAAAAAGGGCAAAGATGCCACTGATGCTGAGACAGCTTTGGCGTCAACTTTGGACAATTTACACTCGGTCTTTTCTTTGTTCTTTGCTCCGATTGGTCCTAGCACTGCAGAGACCGTTTTAAAAGACAACCACAGATTTCACCCAACGACCACCCTATCGGCCCATGGCCAGACCATATGTTCACATATACAAGATGGCTGGCCAGGCTACAATTAACTCACACCTAGAGAATTTAAGGTCGTCAGCTAGCTTGACATTCGTGTTTTAGGTCTGTGGGAAGAAACCGGAGTGCCCAGAGAAAATCTACACATGCATGAGCAGAAAATGCCAACTTCACACAGAAAGGCCGCATTCGAACCGTAAGATTTAACGAAAGACTAAAAATTCTTACAGTGAAATTCAAGCAGAAGACTTCCTCAATGTCGTCCTCGGTGTAGTCCAGCAGCTCCTGCAGACTCCTGATTTAAAGGCACAGCAGGACGCTTCATGAGCCATCGGGTGAATAATGTTTCTGTGGAATCGTTCAGAACTCGGACTCGTACCTTCCCACATCTGGTGTCAGCTCTTTCAGGTCATCCAGTGTCGGTTTCCTCTTCAGAAGCTTTTTGTAAAGAGCCAAAGGGAAGTTGAGCTCCACTATGGTGAAGTTGTAGATGGCCAGACCACAGATGACCCCGATCAGGTTGAACAAGTCAAAGTCCTCAAAGGTCTGCGGGGAAGAAACATCGAGGATGACGATGTTGCAGGCAGCATTCAGACATCATCGTGTGCCGGTACCTTGTGTGAGAACCAGATGAGCCTGGACTCCTCGTAGTACCGAAACATCCCGTATTTGGGATCAAGCAGCTCTTTCATAATCAGGAGGAAAAACTCTTTTCTAACACCTCCGGCATCGACTGCGTCTTCTCCCACAAAAATCACCTGAAGAGCAAAAATGTCAAAAGTGAGGTGAGTAACCGTTCCCATCAACTCTTGCTGCTGGCTCAGAACTGTGTGGCTGTGCACCTTCAGTACTTAACAAAGATGGATGTTTGTTTTCAGAATCTGGAGCGTAACGTGGAAGACGCATTTAACGGACTCTGGGCAGATGTCATCCACCCCAGGTACCTTGCCACCGAGGAGTTTTTGACCACCTCAGTGACCTCAGGCATCAAGATGGGGGACAACAAGTGTGCCCACCCCTGCTCGGCTCCTCTCAGTAGGAGCAACTCCAGAGCGAGGAAACTGGATCCGGAATCAGAGACATGCGTTGAGGGGAGTCCGGAACCTCTCAACCTCTTTCCCCACCAGGGAGGTGACATTTCACATACCGAGAGTTAGCTTTCGTAGCTGAGGGTCGGACCGCCAAGGTCCCTGCCTTCAGCTACCACCCGACACACAAAGCACCCGACCCCTTTGGCCCCTCCCACAAGCGGTGAGCTCATGGAAAGGGGGACCCATGTCTTCGGGCTGTGCCCGGCCGGGCTCCATGGGAAAAGCCTCGTCACCAGGTGTTCGCCAACGTGCCCCAACTCGAGGCCCTGGATCCAGAGGGGGGCCCCGGCTGAGCCGCGTCCGGACGAGGTTTCCATTTATGTTTTTCCTCATAAGCGGCCTGTGGGTCTCTAGTAGGAATGATAAAAGCCAGAGAAAAACGTTCTGGCGCGCCTGTCTGAGGAGATAGAACTCAGCTGGAGGAGAAAGTAGCTTCAGACGACAGGATCTGGAGTCTTGTTTACTGATATTCAAACATCTCTGCTCTGATTGGCTAACAGCAACGAGACTCTACCACTGACTCTGTTTGCTCTGCAACGTTGATGTTTCATCTCCACAAATAACACAAGCCTGGAGGAGTTCTGCTGTGTGGTGGAGTTGCTAATGCTAACAGTTAGCTTCTACTAGCCAAGACGTTCTCTGCCGTTTCCTGGACGCTGAACCAACAACAGCCTTCCCCGTCGTGAGTCCAGATTGGTGAGTCTATGAGTGACAGTGTGACGTAGATCTGTCAGGCTTTTCTGATCCTAGAGTTTCACCGTCTGTTTTCTATCAGAAGCTACTGCAGGAGGTAGGTGTAGGAGACTATTTTCATGTTCAGCCTGCATGAAACACTCAGCGTGACCCGTTAGAATCAGAAATAATAGCATAACAGTTTTTTTCTGTGAAGTTTACCCTTACTCAGGGCGACGGTGGCACAGGAGTTACGCGCTCGCTCCGTAATAAGGTTGCAGGTTCGAGCCCTGCTCAGTCTGTCGCTGTCGTTGTGTCCTTGGGCAAGACACTTAACCCCTCTCGCCTGCTAGTGGTGGTCGGAGGGACTGGTGCCGTCTGTGTACGGCAGCCTTGCCTCTGTCAGTGCGCCCCAGGGCAGCTGTGGCTACATCGTAGCTCATCCCCACCAGAGTGTGAATGTGTGTGTGAATGGGTGAAGGACTGACGGTGTTGTAAAGCATCTTGGGGGGTTCCAGGACTCTAGAAGATGCTCAAATACAGGCCATTTACCATTTAAGCAACTGACAATCTGCTCTATTTTATTTTGAAAGTGTCTGGGTGTTTTGCACTGCTTTGTGTTTGACTTCCTGTCTGACCTGATCCGAATCGTTGAGCTTGACGCATTCTGGAGGCATAGACTCAAAGCATAAATTAAGCGAAACGACGTATCACTACTGCTTCACTGGCTGCCAGTCAACTTCAGGGTTCATTTCAAGATCCTGGTTCTGGTCTATAGGGCCTTACATGGACAAGCACCATCTTACATTGGTGATCTTATAAGTCCCTACACCCCCAGCAGGTCCCTGAGGTCCAGTGATCAAAGCCTACTGGTTGTGCAGCACCAGGCTAAAGGTCAAAGGTGACAGATCATCTGCTGCTGTGGCCCCCAGACTCTGGACCTCTCTCCCCCTGAGCCTGAGATCAGTGGACTCAGTGGTCTCCTTTAAAAAGCAGCTGAAGACTCACTTGTTCAAGCTGGCTTTTGTATGACCTTCTTCACCTCTCTCTCTTTATTGTGCTCTCCCCACCTATTCCACCTTCCTCAGGATCCACTGATTTCCCTCTTTCCTGTTCACTCTCTCTTTCTTAACATTTTTTCTTTTAAATCCCAATCGTCTATTTTTGCTCATTTTAAATATATTTTTAAACATTTTCTAAATGCTTTTTTATATTTTTACAATTTTTTTGTTTTTCTGAAGCGCCTCGTGATTTTTATCTTGAGAGGCGCTTTAGAAATGATATTTTCTTCTTCTTCTTCTTCTGGGACGTGTCCAAAACGCAACACTCATGCTTCCGGTGGAAAGTAAGGGTCAGTGTGGGAAGAACATGGTGAGAAAACGCTCCACACGAACATCTCCTATCCCACCATCACAGAAAGCTTTCACCTTGAGTGGTTTCTTGTAGTCAACATTCTTGGATTTCCTGAGGACCTCCATTGTGTCTCCCACAATATTGTCCCTTCGAACGACGAGGATGAGACACGGGTTGACAGATTCAACAGCCGGCAGGAACATGGAGCTGTAGTTCTGCAACTGCGCCTGATCCACTGCCATCTGTTTAGGAAACACAAGAGTGACTAATGACCGGCTGAAGAAGAAATCTTCACCGGTTTGACTTCGGGTGTTACCTGCATCTGCATGACAGCATCCGTCTGAAGCAGAGCAGTTTTTGCCTGGGCATCGAACACAAACGGGTACTTGCACAGAGTCACGATGCCGTCCCGGCCCTGATCAGGAGCAGGAAGCAGAAACGATTCAGATGCACGCTGGTGGGATCACGGAGGAGCAGACAACCGTGCTCACCATCGGGTACATCTGCCTCTGACTCCAGGTGATGTAGTCGTTTCTGATGTCCACCAGCTCATCCAGCTCATGAATGTAGAACTTATCGTACTGAATGTTTCCTGCTTTCTCGTTCACCTGATGAGACGGAGGGGAATACAGACCAGTGACGGGAGGACGTACAGCTGATGCAACAGATGCACAAAGGATATTTTCTGACCTGGTGCAGGATCTCCAGGAATCGAAGGGACGTGTCCACGAAGCAGGAGAAAATTCTCTGCTCCATTTCAGGAATGCCCATCTTGCTCAGCTGCAGCAGATACACCACCACGTTTTTGTACACATCCACCAGGCGCTGGAAGACCGGCGGTTCAAACGTGGACCACCAGTTTCCTGAAGCAAAGGCAAAACTTCTTTTATTACAAACGTCGTATAAAATAAGAAACCAGTTTAAAAACACACACCATCCTACCTAAAACCCTCCGAGCTGCCTCTTTCAGGCTGATGATGCATTTGGCAAACGGGATGGTGATTGTGATGTAATTGCTTCTGTCGCTGAACAGAGGGCATTCTGGGAGAGTCAGGTAGAGTCTCAGGACTTCAATGTCTGGAGGAGAGTTACTTAGCCAGGGTATCAGGGTCTTCTCCAGACTAGCAGCAACCTGAGAGTAAACATCTCTTTAGGTTGCAGTCATTCCTGCTGAATCATCTCTAAATCGCTCCCAGCACCGGGCCAGAGCAGCTCGAGTCCAGCGACGAGCTGCTTCTGCTGCAGCACCAGTTCTGCAGGTACGGAGTCATTGCCTTGGGAGGCGAAACTGAAAGAATTGGTTATTGGCGAAGCTCTGAGACCAGTCTGGTGGGTCAACCCATTTCGCATTTTTCACCACGGCATACTGAGTCTACCAAGCCAACTCTGGGTTGAACCATCACTTTGCAGAATCTTTTTATTTTTATCATTGACAAAACAGAATAGAAAGAAAAATAAGTCTAAAAAATAAACTTTTTTTTTCTCTTTTACAGACACGAGAAAATATTCAATGTTACACTTTTCAAGCCTGCAGGTAAACGCATGTGAGCTATTTTAAATCCACTTTACTGGTGCTCAGAGGACAAAGGTGCAGCTTGAAAACAGACAGACGTCATGTGTGAGCGCTGACCTGCTGGGAAACCTCAGGGTGCTGTTGCTGAATGACTCTGTGAAGGAGGAGTCGAGCCGTGTTCATGTCTACTCCTGGGTACTTGCTGCTGGTACTGTAGTGATCTGGAGGACTGCAACGGAAGCTCATGTTAGGGCGATCAACCGCAGCGATGCCAACGCATCGCCCCAGTTAAAACACGGCTACCTTGTCGACAGGAAGGATCCGTTGAGGCAGCTTGCTGAGGAGAACACAAGTTCAATCTCACTAAAAAAAACAAAGACCAAGTGATTAGTGCAAAGACTTAAAACAACGAACACCAAAGGTTGTCTGAGGTGAACTGAAATGAGAAGAAAGGGACTTGGAGAGACGTTTACTTGGATATTTCCAGCGGGAGTCTTCCTGGGGAGTAAGTCAGCCATTTTTGTACAAGATCCTCGGTCAGGGTGCAAATCTTCCTTTGGGGATCTTGGATGCTCGCGTCGTTTATGTTCTGGAGATTCTGCAGATGATAAATATTTAAACATGAAAAAAAAATAATAAAAAAAGTCTCCACCTGGATTTAATTAAGCAGACGTGTAGGAGCCTCCTATTGGATAATTACTGCATGGGCGATAACCAAGTTATTTAACCCGACTGGTACAACGAGCTGCTTCTCATTTCTTAAACAACCATGAGCAAAGACACATCTGGCGGTGGAAAAGATGTTAGTCTGTGTGAGAAGGGTCAGACCATTGGCATCAAGCAGAGAAAACATCTAAGGAGATGCAGAAACGACTAAAACGGGGTTAAGAACTGTCCAGCGCTTGATTAAAAACTGGAAGGACAGTGGGGACCCGTCGTCTTCGAGGAAGAAATGTGGCTGGAGAAAGGCGATCACTTCAACGTTTGGTGAAACCAAAACAACAGTAGAACTCAGGGTTATGTTTAATGGTGAATAAGAGCATTTCCACATGCACACACAACTGGTAAGCATGCACGGCCGCCAAAAAGCATCCAATTCGTAGGAATAAAACTGAAAACAAGCATTTATGAAAAATATAGAACTTTACGGCTAAAGATCACGTGGCATAAGGCGCCCCATGCTGTACAACCCTGATGCTCTACAAGATCTCAGTTTACATTTGAAGTTATTTGTTCAAATGCTCTAAAAATGCACACGTGCAATTGTTGTCAGAACTACCAACAGATGGGAAAGACTGGATCAAGTGAGCTGTAAACTGAGGACAATGAGCCACCTCAACCACACAGTTACGTATCCGACTTTAACACACGTGCACACACTGACCGTGCAAAAGTGAGCAAAGCTCTGATCTCCTCCAGCATAAATCCTCTTGACAAAACAGGTCCGCGCTGCGTCTGAATGGTAGAAAAGAAAAAAACCAGAGGATACTTAACGGCGGTCGCGTTATCTTGTCTGTCTGATGTAACTTTGTTTAAAGAGTCTCACTCGGCTCTGCGTCTCCATTAGCAGCGCCCCAGGGACCTCTGACGGCTGACGGGCTTTTCCTGTTGCAGGTGGAGTTGGTCCCGAGCTGCCCGTTACCTCCCAGCCCAAATGAATTCATCTTTCCAGAGGAGGGTGTGAAAGCCAGCGTGTGCTGCCTGATAAATATTTAAAACAGACTTGTTTTTAGGGATGCAAGAAATGATCGATATGGCAATGTGTCGTGATATTTTTTCCTGCGATATTACATCGATATTCAAAAGCCGTGTATCAAATTTTTGGAAGAATTTACATGCAAACATCTGTCGTTTCGTTTCTTTTGGTGCAATTCAAACGCCGACCACTAGTTGGCAGCAGTGTGCAGTGGGTTTTGTTTCCACCACTGAAATGTAAATCCCTCTATTGTGGTTCAGGTACCTCATCTTAAACATGTTACGCATCAGTTTGGACTGTTTACTGAATTTCCCTACAATAAATTCAGTCTAAATAAATCACTAATACCGTCTGGATGAGTGTATCGCAATATATCGTATCGTCTCCCCGTATCATGATATATTGTATTGTCTCCCCGTATCATGATATATCGTATCGTCTCCCTGTATCATGATATATCGTATCGTCTCCCCGTATCGTGATATATCGTATCGTCTCCCCGTATCGTGATATATCGTATCGTCTCCCTGTATCATGATATATCGTATCATCTCCCTGTATCATGATATATCGTATCATCTCCCTGTATCATGATATATCGTATCGTCTCCCTGTATCATGATATATCGTATCGTCTCCCCGTATCGTGATATATCGTATCGTCTCCCCGTATCGTGATATATCGTATCATCTCCCTGTATCGTGATATAACGTATCGCCTCCCTGTATCGTGATATATCGTATCGTCTCCCCGTATCGTGATATATCGTATCGTCTCCCCGTATCGTGATATATCGTATCGTCTCCCTGTATCGTGTAGGAGTTTGTAAATAGAGGAGGAATCTGCCTGTTTTTCCTCTAGTTCGCCCTCTTCTCCGCCTTCACCAACATCTCCGCCAAATACCGAAGACCCGGAATAACGTCCGTCCACTACTAGATTATTTTCCTGTTTTGCCCGCCTTCGTCTCCCGGCAACGGACAACAACTTCCGGGGTCAGATGCGCTGCTTCGTGTCTACCGCAGATGTAGAAAATCACCGGGAGCGTTTCTCCCTTCATTAAGGAGCTTCTTTCAGACATGAGGAGAGCTGTTTTGGTGGTAGCAGTCTCTCCTCCGTGCTGGTCTGTTTGCTGCTGGGTGTTTTTGGTTTATTTAAACTTGGTAACTTGAACTTAATGTTGGTAAAGCTACTGTTAGCATCTTCGCTAACAGCTGTTACGTTTTGGTTTAGAGTTAATCTTTTTTGTGGTGTAGATCTCCCTTTTTATTACATTTAGAGTGTTGTGGGTTTTCGGTTTAGTTTAAAATATCACCTTGAGTTTGGTTTAACCCGTAAGACAACTTGCCTCACGCACATAAGTGACCAAAACAAAGCAGCATGGAGACACTCCATCTTCTACCACCTCTCAGGCAGCAGCCTGCACTCCCAAGTTCTACACGTCACCAGAACATAACCAACCGCAACACAATAAAAGCAGTGTTATACAAAATGGAAGGCCTGTAGTGTTTATTCTCTTACAGTAAGAATTTATCAATTTTTTTGAGGAATTTATTTGAGATTTTCTGGTTTTTGTTAATTGTGCAATAGAAAAATAATCATTAGATTAATTTTCTAAATAGTCATTAGAATAGTCGACTATTCGATAAAATAATCATCAGAATAATCGTTTTAAAAATAATCGTTTACCCCCAGCCCTAGTCTCCCCGTATCGTGATATATCGTATCGTCTCCCTGTATCATGATATATCGTATCGTCTCCCCGTATCGTGATATATCGTATCGCCAGAATTTCACCAATACACACCCCGACTTGTTTTGGTGTCGTTTGTATTAAATTCCATCAACAAAACCCGTTTATGCAACCTGTAAATATACGTAAAAGTGGCTGTAAATGCACCTTCCACACGCAATCTGCGTGACCACACTTCCCATGAGCTCAAACACCTTCCTTGGATTGATTTCATGATTTGTGGAGTTGTGTCCCAGTTGTCCGTATCCTCCTGCTCCGAATGTAAACACGCCTCCCTCCTGTGGAATATGCGGTTGGGACAGGCAGTTAAAAGGCAACACGAGAGTAAAAAGTGCATGCAGGCACTAACAGGAAGCTAGAAAACGTCTTCACCCAATCAACATTAAAAACATGAAAAACTGATGGGATGAAATAAAAACGCACATTTAAGCGCATTTGAATTAAACATTTCATAATATCGAGCTTAGATTTTTACACAAGATTCCATTATTTCTACATTTTATTGTCAGATTACACAATTGTCTCGTATTTATTTATGTATAGCTATTTCATAATGTATAATTTACTTTATTTTGAATGCTTTAGAGTTCCATATATGAGCTGTTTTTATCCAATCATAATAAGAAACTGAGCAGCCGACCTTTGTCAGTGCAGCAGTGTGATCTTCTCCACAGGAGATATAAATCACTTTCTGGGATCTGAGGGACTTCAGGAGCGCCGGGCAACACCGATCTGTAACAACCAACAAAAAAAAACAACAACTGAGGATCCACCGGCGTCTGAATGCTTCAGGGTTTTGGACCACCCACCGCTTGTGTCATTCAGACCCAGCTGGCCAAACTTGTTGCACCCCCAACCGAAAATGGCTCCTGAGAAAGTGAGGGCGAAGCTGTGAGCACCACCAGCTGATATCTGAGCAAAAGGGATTCCCTGCAGAGACGGGAGGATCTGTGGCGTGGAAATGCCCGGCCCGTTTATCCCCAGCCCAAGTTGACCGTACCGATTCTGGCCCCAGCAGAAGATGTGACCCCCTGAACATGTAGAAGCAAATCATTATGAAACAAACCAGAACTAAAGTTACAAAGGTACCAATTAGGGATGCACCGATGGATCGGCATTTGATCGTAATTGGCCGATAGCGCCCCTATCGGTTTTGATCGGAATTTTCAAAATAGATCAAAGCAAAAAGATCAGGCAGGGTTGTCACGGTAACCAGTGTAGCGGTAAACCCCGGTAAAAAAAAAAAAAAAAGTTGACAATAATAACCGTCTTGTTTGAAAAAAAAAAACTATATTATCTTGGTGGGTTTACCGTGGCTGCGGTGTAGGCGCGGTGACCCTTACCAGCCACCGTAGCATCGGCTGAAGTTGCTGGCGGCACATGCGCACTTTGTTGTTTACAACCAAAACTTTCTTGAAGCTAAAGCTGAAATAATGGTCAAAGGAGGAGATGGCAGCGCTCAGGAGGACATTTTTTATCCCTCAAAGAAGACAAAGTCGGAAGTACGGGCATATTTTAGATATTTGAAGAATGCCGAGGGCCATTTTATAGAAGACGGCTATCCTGTTTGCAGCACCTGCAGAAAAAGTGTCTGAAAGGCAGCAACGCTTCAAATCTCATGACACATCTGCGTGACCATCACCCACAACTCTACAGTCAACGCAAGGCAAGCTAACGTTAGCGTTTTAGCTAAAATGCGTGATCCGAGAATTTGGGTTGAGGGAGAACGCAACGAGTCGCTATATAAAGCAGCCGCAGCGCCGCTACCTGCATATAAACCGTGTCGCGGACACCTCCATGTTGAAATGACGCTATGCATTACGGGGCTCCCAGCGGCAGATAAGAGTTGGTCTCTCTCCGAGAATAATTATGAATTTAACAATGATTACTGCCTGATGACATTTTCCCACATCTGCAAAGCTCACTGGAAGGACACAAACCGAGGACAATATTTTCCTGATATACGGATTACTCAAGTAAGGGTAAAAAAAAAAAAAAAAGTATCTGATTAGAAGGCTACTTGAGTACTGAGTATCATCTGATCTAATATTTTTAAATGATGACATCAAACAGACATAAAATAAGAAGTTATGGGCAAATATTGGTATTTTAAAGACTAAAGGGGAAAAATCTAAACAAATAAACAACATAATTACAAAATAACACATTTTAGGCAAAATTTAGACACAAACTGAAGACAATATTTCCTGACATACAGGGTTTATTTAATTGTGTGAAAATGTAGCACGTTTAAAAAAAATACCGCGATAATACCGAAAACCGTGGTAATTTTGGTCACAATAACTGTGAGGTTAAATTTTCACACCGTGACAACCCTAATACAGACCATTTTAGATTAGGTTACATTTCCTTTATTCCCAGATTATGAAGTTTGTAGCACTCATTATAATGTTGTAGAAAATTTCTGGCCAATCCACGTGATCGGTATCGGCGATCGGCATTCTTTGATATCGGTATCGGTGATCGGCAGCAAAAAACCTGATCGGTGCATCCCTAGTACCAATCACTCTCACCTCTGGAAAGTGCGATGGAGTGCCAGTTCCCACAGGTCACCTGGGCGATTTGGATATAAGACAAACTTTTGATGTTTCTGGGAATTTTTAAAGGATGGGAAAAGAAAAGCTGAATATAACTGATCTAAGGAAACGTTGTGTTACGTGAAAGATGCTGTTGAGTTTACCGAGGGACTCGAACACATTCCTCAAAGTTATTTAAGCCCAGTTGTCCGTCTGAACCCAGACCCCAGGAGAACACCTGTCCTTTGTCGTTCAGGGCGAGTGTGTGCGACTCGCCACACGACACGGCCACAATGATCTGTGCATCCAAGGCCACGACCTGTTCTAATGAACAAAAATAAAAAGCTTTACGAGTGATGGGTGATGCCAGCAGATGTTAATGCATCAAAGGATCAAAGGCACCAACCTGGTCTCTTCCTGGACTTCTCATGTCCCAGTTGGCCCAGATCATTGCAGCCGCAGGTGTACACCGTCCCATCCTCCAGTAGGAAAGCCGTGTGTTTGCGACCACACCCTACATCTCTCACCAGCTTCCCGTGAAAGAAGTCACATTTACACGGCTCAACCACGATCTCTTCGTCAATCCCGCCCAAGCCGAGCTGTCCGTAGGAGGCGTTTCCCCAGCACAGCATGGTCACGGTCACTGCTGGTCACACACACACACAGCAGCAGGACCTTCCGACCCTGCAAAAAGACACATTTTAGGCCTCTAATAGCCTCGTGAAAAGCAGCAAAAACAATACATCACTAATGGTTTTTATAGAACCTAATTTACACAAAGAATTGTCACTGCTTGCATGGAGGTTATGGAAATAGTCAATTATTTACATGTAAATTAAATGTTTAAAGAAATAATTAGAACAATAGTTTTTAGGCAGATTATTTTTCTATGTAAATCTGAAATAATGTGTGAAAATTTTTATTTATTTTGCTCACAGGAAGCCAGATTTTCCATTCAAACTTTTTTCTGTTTGCTTTTGCATCTATTTGCCGTCCTTGAGCATTTTCAGGATGATTTTCTTTTGTTTGAGACAATAAACTAAATCATCTCTTCCCTGGAAAATCATCGTGTTCCTTTCATGATTGTGTGATCGATGAATCCTAAAAGGGTGTTGTGACTGATACTGAAGTAGCTCAGTGGTCTAGTGGTAGAGTGTCCGCCCTGAGACTGGGAGATCGGGGTTCGATTCCTGGTCGGGTCATACCAAAGACTTTGGAAAAATGGGACCCAACGCCTCCCTGCTTGACACTCAGCATTAAGGGGTTGGATTGGGGGGTTGAACCACCAAATGGTTCCCGAGCGCGGCTGTGTCTGCAGCTCACCGCTCCCCCAGGGGATGGGTCAAATGTGGAGAACAAATTTCGCACACACACCTGTGTGTGTGACAACTAATGGGACTTTAACTTTTTTAACTTTTTAAAACTCAAATCGCAGTCCTTCATCGATATTGCATCGTATCATAATCAGTTGATACCCAGAACATTTGGAACAACCTAGACCAAAGCAAAACTCACCTGAACTCTTGGTCTCAGAGGGACATTTCAATCATAGGATGAACGTTCTTACAAAAACGGAATGCATCTTTCGATTTACCTACCCAGCGTACTCATTATCATTTCCTAAAGAAGCTATCAAAGCCATAAATCAAGCAGATTTCAACTCTATCTGCAAAGGGAAAACACACTATACTAAAAAAAAGACGTTGGTTCAAGATTATAATGAAGGAGGTATCAAGGCAATAGGCTTTGAATGTATTAATAGCACAATCCAAATAAATTGGTTAAGACACCATCTAAAACACCAAAAAGAGTTCTGGTTTTATATTCCTAATGAAATTATTATGAAATTAGGGAGCACTGAATTTTTCCTAAAATGTGATAATGACCTAAAAACAGGTTTTACCATATTGGAAGATGACTTTCAAACACAATCAGCCCTCACACTACCCCGATACGGGATTGTAGATATGTTATGTGTAACAACAAATCAATGTTTTTACAAAATTGGCTAGATAAAGGCATTTGGTCTGTAATGCACTTGCTAGATGATGCAGGAAATACTATTTCATTTGAAATTTTTCATTCAAATTTAATCTAACGGATAAAAAACAATATAAAAAATTTATGAAGAATGCAATACCTCTAGAAATCTTATCAATGACATCTAACTTAAATCCAAATTACGCACACCCAATTCTCCCCTCACTTTTAATGAGTAGTGGAAATTTAACATTTTAAGTCTGTTTAGATTGCTTGTACATATTATATATGAGAACAGTCCTTTATCTTTATGTCTAATTGTTTTATCTTATTTCTATCTTGTATGTTTTTATCTTATCTGTTTTCTTTGATGTAAAGCTAACTATGTGTCTGTTGCTGCTGCCTCTGGGCCAGATCATTGTCATGAATGAGAATGAGTTCCCAATTGACTCATCTGGTTAAATAAAGGTTAAATTAAATAAATGAATTTACTAGAACCTAAACTAACCAATTTTGCTATTTGACATACATTTAACAAAGAACTTTACCCATTTTTGTATTCTTGAAACTCAATTGTAAGTTTCTTCTCTAGAAAAGATGGTGAGTCACCCCCAAATCAACTTTTTTTCCTGATAAAACTATAAATGCATGTCTAATCGTGCTGCAGACACTTGTAGTCAATAGTTTTGCACTTTAGTGCATTTTAGTTAAAATTGTAATTTTCTGCCAAAAACTGTGAGCGTTGTGTCGTCAGGTAAAAACTCGGCACTGCATTTGAATTTAAATCTGCCATCGTTATTGGCTAAGAGGTACCCTAGAACATTAGCTGGTACCATATGATGTCACAATGTGTGTGTGTGTGTGTGTGTTTGTTTGTTTGTTTGTTAGTGGCTCTGCCCTCTCAGTGTGTTAGGCAACAGCATTTGTTGCATTTTTCAAACAGGAAGTGGGAGTGGAATAATACTCTGGTAGGGGTGACTTGCTCTTTAAGGTCAAAATACTTCAAATGTCCAATTCCACCAAAAGCAAAAGGGATTTAGTTTAAGGTCATCAATAGAATATACCCTTCTGCTGAATTCCTACACAATCGATTTGGTTTTTACTGCAGTGATTGTATATTCTGTAATGAACATATCGATTCTACAAACCACATATTCGATGAATGTATGTACACTAATGCCTTTAAGGATGGTCTACATCACTGGCTAGCTAAATATGTACCAATTTCAGACTTGAAAACGTTATGTACGGTTGTATTGTACACTACTTTTCAACATGATTTGACAATCAACTCCATTGTTATGTTAGGGATTTTTTTATACACATTCCTACAATCTAGACCAAACTTTGTTGCTTTTCACAAAAACCAGTTATTTTTCTTCTCACCAACGTGAGGAAAAAAACTGCTGTGAAACTCTTCAACATGACAGAGGATCTCAAACTAATGGAAAACCTCTAGTTACTCACAAAACTTGAAATTGTGAAAATTACAAAGGCATTAATTTTTGTTAGTCTATCCATTATTTATTGTTTTCCTTCTTTTATTCGTTTATTTTTCATGTTGTTCGTGCTTATTTGTACGTCATTTGATCTGACTGTAAAGAAGTTGACTTTAATAATAAATAAAATTAGCAGACGCTAATCTTGGTGGTAGCACGTAAACCAACAAATCAAGCTAATTAACGGTTATGGGAAGCTAGCTACATTAGGTTAGCTACAAACATTACTTTAATTTTAAAAGTCTGGGCTAACATTAATTTCTAATGGAGTTTACATGAAACATTTCATTATGCCCTGTATGAATTCACAGGACCAGCTTTGATAAAACAACAAAACGGTTGAGTCTATCTGAGATTTTGTGTTTAATGTCCTATTAGCATGGAGATTAGCTAAGCAGATCAGCGTCGACTGACGCAACCTGTCAACTTTAAGTGTGCTAAACTTAATATCTCAGCGCTGACACGAAACCCTTCAAAGATCAGTTTTAGTAAAAATGTTCGACACGTGTCTGGGGATGTCTTTATCCCCTCTTGTAGTGCAGTTAGCAAGCTATAGCATTATAATGCAACTACTAGAATGGTTGGATTTGTTTTTAATGGGCACCACAACATAACCGAGTATCTTCTGAGTAGGAACACTTCCCGTTTAGCTAAAGCTGCTAGTTTAATAAGTTTGGGGACATTTCAGTAGGTGGCCGTTAAACCAAGCAGCAAGCCTGAGCTCTTACCAATACTTCCAGATGTAACAACGTTACTGCCTTCCAGTTTCCTCTCAGAATGCTGCTTCAATCGTCAAACACGTAAAGGCCAACGCCTTTCCATCGGTTAATGTCAAAAGGTTAAATTCTAGCTAAAATAAAACTAAAAAAAAGTCCCTCAATTCCTCCACTACAGAGATGTGTCAACAACTGCTGTGCTCATCTTAAAGAAATGTGTTAATTTTGTTGCGTCGCAATTCACATTTCCGTTTGCTTTTAAAAATAAAAGTCGTTTTAGAGAGTCACGGTAACTAGTCGGACAAAAAGCACTAACAAGCATTACACGTTCACTGAACGATATATGAAACATTATTAAATGTAGGTGGGAAAAAAAAACTTCACTCTACAAGTAATATTTAGCCATGCACTTGAAGACATTTATTTTGAAAGGAAAATAATTCTCCGGAAGACTAACTGCGTGTCGGTGTTGGACGTTCTCAGTGAAGATTCGTCGCGAACGGTCGCGAAGCATCAGAAATGTTCTAGATGACGCGTGTACGCATGCGCATTCTTGATGTGGTGTTCAGCGTCATTTCGTGAACTCGGTAAATCTGAAAACGAAAACCAATAAAGCATGTTGCGCTCTCTAACCGATGTCTAACCCTATCTAACCCACCCGTTTTAAGTGAAACGAAATATATTATTTTCACAAATTAAACAAGACAGAACTTATTTGAATATGTGTGTGAAATTTTTATAATTTTATGATAAAATATTAGGTAAATAAATACTTGTATGTAGTGAGGTATGTGTAAATAGGCTTAGTAATGTACTGAGGTCGTGTAAAATGATGTATTGATGTCACACATTTTATTTATCTGAACATATAAAGCCTTTTTTGCAGAGCACACTTTACCTCATTTTCTACTGGAAATGATCTGGTACCGGAGCGTGAGCCTGTTTCACGATAAAGCCAACTAAACAGTGTAATTATTTAGTTTTTGAGACATTTGGCCCCCCTGGTGGAATGAAAACAAGTCAATTATGTCCCACCACATAAAAAGACAATTAAATCCTGAACAAGAGTCAAGTGATCATACAAAACCTACAACTCACAGCAATAACCTGTTCATAACTTCAAAATACCTAAAAGTTAATTGAATTTGTAACTCCTGTGGGTTTCTTTGCCATCTTTGTTCTTTGTTTAAAGATAATTCAAGTTCATTTTTACACTGACGTTTATTTCTAATCATGCATGATTTTGTACCGTGCACATGCATGATGGGGAGTTTTCATGTAACACCTCCAGACTGACCTGTCACACATTTCCCTCCACTGCAGGTCACAGTATGACATCATCCAGCTTGTAGCAGAGTGAGCAAACTATGTGCATCCCAGTTGTTTCTTGTACTTTTCCATCATGGTTTCTTGTGCTTTTGAACAGTTTTCCTTCCAGGATTTGTAAAGGCTGCTTCATAAAAAGCGGCGAGTTTGGAAAAAATTCAAGTTTTCAACATTATGTGACCAAAACTGAGTCCTGTTTTCCCAATGTTAATTATTTGTTTTAAATGATTGCCTCAGTTGGGTGGGAGCTGGCGTTTATCTCCAGTGGTAGTCACCTGCTCAGAGGTGGAGCACATCGGTTAGGTCTCAAGTCCATCTCGGGGACACATAGACGAACCAACATTTACACAAAACTAGGAATCAGAGTCACCAGTTAAACTTAAATGCATATTTTTAGTCTGCAGAAAGAAACCGGAGCACCTGGAGAGAGTCCATGCATGCTAGCTCCATGTAGAAAGGTCACATCTAGGATTCAAATCTGTGACCTTCTGCCCCGATCGTCAGTCACACCCATTTGAAGAGTTTAGACGGGTTAGGGTTGAATCTGGGTGTGAAGATTCAAACTCCTTTTATCTTGCCATTTTTCTTGTGGGCGTGCACGTCTTTGCAGATTCGACCCACTAAGCCCACGCACACGGAGACATAATTACAGCAGAAACAGCAAGAAGACAGAACTTGTCACATCACTGTTGATAAATTTGGTTTGTCTGGGCGAGAGTCATGCTAATCCACTGAAACGAGGCTGGTTGCAGGGATTTATGATGAAAGCAGCATTGTAGTTTAATCTGTACATCATCCACTCGCAGAAATGCTTCATCACTGTTTCACACCTTCTCCATCATCACACCTCTAAAGCGCGTTCATCTTCCTGGAATTCAGTGACGGCAAAGCCGCTGATTAATGGCATCTCCATCCTGAAGTAAACACCTCTGATCATTTCTGTGACGTCATCCTGTCAACCAGTCAAAAACAGCTCTCTTCTTACATCAAGGGCCTTTTCAATTGCTAATCATTTAGGTCACAGCCCACTCGTCTCATCAGCTGTGTTTTTTTCGGTTTTGCTTTGTTTTTGTTAAAATCACGTGCTTTCCTAGTTATGCTGTTTCTCTCGTTGCGCGGGTTTGATCTGGGAGTTTCCTCCCTGCCACCGAGTGTCAGACCAGCAGGATTTTTAAACGCACAGATAAACTCCGCGCACAGGAAGGACTGAAAGACAATCATGCTATACCTGTTGGGAGTAAGTAAAGATAATTTTGAATATTTTCATTTATTTCTGTTGAGATTTATTTATTTACTTACTCTTCTCTGAGAGGACCAACATTAATCCTGTATCTTTTCTGTGCTCAGATTGTGATTGGACTGCTACTTGTGGTCATTTTCTTTTCAAAAGGACTCAGAGAGGTAAGCAAACGTTTGCAGCGTTTTCTATCTAAAGTGGAGGATTCTCCATTTTTGACCAGAACACTTAAAAATCAAGTATTCCTTGAAGGAATGTGTGTCAACTGTAAGCTTTTAAAACAAGATCATCATTGTTTGAACTTAGTTTAGTTTTGGTCTAATCTTGAAAGCGGTGCCTTAAGTGATGTCACACAAAAATTGTGAGCACTCTGTTAACACCAGTTTGTGTCGTGAATGACTCTGAGCCACTCGCAGCAAATCCAAATCCTTATCTGTAAACCGGAGTTGTAGCCATTCTTGTGATGGCTACGTCTGAGTACGATTGGACACCTTGGATTTGGAGATGGCCACCTTGGTTATGGTTTATTCCACAAATCAATTGACTGGGTGATCTTTGGCCCAGTCCCCACCGATGATCATGAGCTTGAGAAAAACATTGCAAACAGAAGTGGCTGAAAGGACAGCCACCGCTTCTCCACATCTGGAGGAGCCAGCTGAAGTGGTTCAGGCATTTGGTCAGAACGCCTCCAGGATGCCTTCCAGGGGAGATGTTTCAGGCATGTTCTGGTGCCAGGAGTCCCCCGGGTTCACCCAGGACTCACAGAACAAATTACATCTCCACGAGTGGTCTTGGAGTGCCTTGGGACTGTTGCTCACTTATAAACCTTTTCCAGTCACTAAGTACTTGAGCATGTGATCAGGACCTACCAAAACACCAAAAGTTGCTAAACATTTGTAAAATTGAACCATTTTAGTGCGTTCTAATTAATACAGTGATCTACATCGATCATATGGTCATTAATCCAACATGCAAAAATAGAATACCTATCACACGCTTTTTTTCTGAAAATTGCTTTATTTTGAAGTTCTACCTTATGTCATTTTCCACCTGTACTTCACCAAATGTGACATGAAGCCAGTGGTGTCACGGTGAACTGAGAAATTGAAGAAATCATCTCTCACCTAGAATGGTTTAAATTATTGTAAATTACTTTGATCAAAAAAATCCCTAAAATCAAATCAAATAAGTGTATTGTGACTAAATTTACTGTATTGTTATAATACGATCCATCCATCAAACTAGTATCTGACAGTGTTGATGCTTTTGCTCTGTGATGGCAGGTGATTAAAATCTTCACCATCAAAATAAAGAACATGACCTGCACGATAACTTGTGTGATTATTATTTTCAGCAGAAGAAGAAGCCTTTTAAGTCCCAGTTCCCTGAATCCAACACAAACAGCAAGATGGTGAATACCCAGCACAACACATAGACTATTACAGTGGTGTGAAAAACTATTTGCCCCCTTCCTGATTTCTTATTCTTTTGCATGTTTGTCACACAAAATGTTTCTGATCATAAACACATTTAACCGTTAGTCAAAGAACACAAGTAAACACAAAATGCAGTTTTGTAATGATGGTTTTTATTATTTAGGGAGAGAAAAAAAATCCAAACCTACATTGCCCTGTGTGAAAAAGTTATTGCCCCCTGAACCTAATAACTGGTTGGGCCTCCCTTAGCAGCAATAACTGCAATCAAGCGTTTGCGATAACTTGCTACGAGTCTTTTACAGCGCTCTGGAGGAATTTTGGCCCCCTCATCTTTGCAGAATTGTTGTAATTCAGCTTTATTTGAGGGTTTTCCAGCATGAACCGCCTTTTTAAGGTCATGCCATAGCATCTCAATAGGATTCAGGTCAGGACTTTGACTAGGCCACTCCAAAGTCTTCATTTTGTTGTTCTTCAGCCATTCAGAGGTGGATTTGCTGGTGTGTTTTGGGTCATTGTCCTGCTGCAGCACCCAAGATGGCTTCAGCTTTAGTTGACCAACAGATGGCCGGACATTCTCCTTCAGGATGTTTTGGTAGACAGTAGAATTCATGGTTCCATTATCACAGCAAGCCTTCCAGTTCCTGAAGCAGCAAAACAACCCCAGACCATCACACTACCACCACCATATTTTACTGTTGTATGATGCTCTCTGTCTGAAATGCTGTGTTACTTCTACACCAGATGTAACGGGACATTTGTCTTCCAAAAAGTTCAACTTTTGTCTCATCAGTCCACGAGGTGTTTTCCCAAAAGTCTTGGCAATCATTGAGATGTTTCTTAGCTAAACTGAGACGAGCCCTAATGTTCCTTTTGCTTAACAGTGGTTTGTGTCTTGGAAATCTGCCATGCAGGCCATTTTTGCCCAGTCTCTTTCTTATGGTGGAGTCGTGAACACTGACCTTAATTGAGGCAAGTGAGGCCTGCAGTTCTTTAGAAGTTGTCCTGGGACCTTTTGTGACCTCTCGGATGAGTTGTCTCTGCGCTCTTGGGGTAATTTTGGTCGGCCGCCCACTCCTGGGAAGGTTCACCACTGTTCCATGTTGTTGCCATTTGTGGATAATGGCTCTCACTGTGGTTCGCTGGAGTCCCAAAGCTTTAGAAACGGCTTTATAACCTTTACCAGACTGACAGATCTCAATGACTTTTGTTCTCATTTGTTCTTGAATTTCTTTGGATCTTGGCATGATGCCTAGCTTTTGGTCCACTTCTCTGTGTCAGGCAGCTCATATTTAAGTGATTTCTTGATTGAAACATGTGTGGCAGTAATCAGGCTTGGGGGTGGCTACAGAAATTGAACTCAGGTGTGAAACACCACAGTTGGGTCAGTGGCGGCTCCAGAAATGTTTTTCTGCAGGTGCTATGAAGGAGCTAGTCTTTTTATTGAGTGTGCGATGAAGGAAGTGGTCATGCGTACCTGTTGTTCTCTAAAACACCTTCAGCACTAGCAGATACACATGCGTGCACAACACCTCAACAACACCTGAAACAATCAACCCTCGACCGCCGCAGTGAAGACTGATGACTCTCTTCATCCAGATCCGTAGGGTTTTGTTGGTCTGAGATCACTTCCAAAGATTCATTCATTCCTGACTGAACCCGTGGAAATGTGGGCAACAAAACCCGATCCATTTTACCACTAGCTCTACCTTTCACTCGTTCGCAGGTGGAAAATGAGGTCAAAGGTTAACATCAATTTCCTGTTTTGGTTTAAGTTTTTACTATCTATATGATCATTTACTGATTATTTTTGTTTTGTATGTTAAATATTATCACATCCACACATTAAATTAAAATTAAATTATAAAAATAAAAATCTAATATTTACTTGGGGGTGCAATGACTAATCCAGGGGGAGCTATAGCGCCCCCTAGCGCCGCAACTGAGTTGGGTTATTTTTTAACAAGGGGGGCAATAACTTTTTCACACAGGGCAATGTAGGTTTGGATTTAGTTCTCTCCCTAAATAATAAAAACCATCATTTCAAAACTGCATTTTGTGTTTACTTGTGTTATCTTTGACTAACGGTTAAATGTGTTTGATGATCAGAAACATTTTGTGTGACAATTCCATGCAAAAGAATAAGAATTCAGGAAGGGGGCAAAGAGTTTTTCACACCACTGTATATGTAAACAAATGAGTGTAAACTAACATTATTGTCTTCAACAGAAGGATCTGAGTGAAGAAGATGTTCATCTGCTGGCAAAGATCCTTTCAGTTGGGCTGGTGGATGCCGACCCAAACTACCTCCAGCATCTGAAAGGCTACAGAGATTTAAAAGGTACTTGATCTCCTCCAAGGGAGCCAGAAGTCCGCTCAAAAGCAGGAGACAAGACAAAAATACTCTTGGGCAGTTGTGTGGACTTGTAGTGAGATCAAGGAGATGCTGAAGATGACAAAGTTCTAAACCTCTCCACGACGAGTTCTGCCACCACTGGAATGATCTGTACAAAAGTGTTCAACTGGAGCAAGCGGCTGTTTATTAGTTGGTATTTTGTGAACAAAAATCAGCGTCTGGATCCAGAAGCTGCTGAAGCCAAACGAAGAACACAATATGATGCTGTGTCGAAGAACCTTTATTATGTTTGTGGCACCGAAGACAGAGTTTCTGTGAAATGGATCACATCGGGGTATACGTGTCTCCGCGTGTTGCAGCTGCTTTAAGGACAGAAGTGAATTTATTTGATGAAATCCTTAAATTGCTTTAGACAGGCAAATGACTGCGTTTGACTCCACACGTAACTGTTGAGCTGGTCTCCGAGCTGGTAGAGGAGGCTCACCACTGACATGTTAAAACAGAAGAAGCCCAGCAGACCAGCAGGGCTGAAGTACCGTAGGAGGGGGTACACCCAGATGCCCACTGACAAGTACACCCACACAATCCTAAAGGACAAACAAAAAGGTTTTAGACTCATTTGTGTTATCCTGTCTTCAGTTTGGTACCATGTTAAAAGGATGAATCATGGAAACCGTATCACTGTTTTTGGTCTTATTTTGCCACAACAACAAAATAATAAAAAAAATTTATCGAAATTTCCAGGTTTATTTATTTAAGAAAGAACTATTATTGGTTCAAAGGAACCGTTAACCCCAGAGCTGTCTGCATTCAGCGATTAAACACACCAGTCTGGACTAGTTACAGCAGAAATGCACAAGTTGAAGCCTTCGGCCTTCCTGTTATGAAAAGTCTAGATTAATTCGAAACACTTACTTTTAAAGCTACAGTACCACGCAAAAAAGAGCTTAAACCATTTCGTCACAATTTGCTTCCAAAGAGCCAGACTTGTAGCTTTTGTTTTTATTTAAACGATGAAAATCAGCAGTAAATGACTATATGAACAAAAATAAAGCAACTTATAACACAATGTTAATTTCAAATATAAATTTATAAACCAACTAAAACAAAAGAGGAATAAAGTGTTTGAAACTAAAAAATTTAAATAACTTTTAGTCCTTGTGGCTTCCGGGTTATTTAAAGAGCAAGCCACCCCCTACCAGAGTCTTACTCCACTCCCACTTCCAGTTTGAAAAATGCAACAAATGCTGTTGCCTAGCAGACCGAGAGGGCGGAGCCGCTAACAAATACACACACACACAGGCTCACAACGACATTGACCTCATAATGTACCATCTAACATCATAGAGTACCTCAGCCAATAGCTATGGTGGATTACCTGAAGAGGGCGCAACACTGACAGTTTCAGGCAGAATATTTAAATTTTAACTAAGATGCACTAACGTGCCAAAGTATTGACTACTAGTCTACAACACAATTAGAGACTCATTTATATAGTTTGTCAGCAAAAAATGTTGATTTGGGGTACTTTGCTCTTTAAAGCTTCTTTAGCAAATCTGCAAACAAGCTAAGTTTTGAACACAAACATGTAGGGGGTCCAACCCTCATGTAACCATCTGATCTCTATTAAGGTAGCGTGACTCGGGGTTGCGGATGACCACAGTTACCAGTTCTTGTCATGTGTCTTTGCCCATGTATGTCTGATCTCGGAATTGTGTGCACTGAAACTCTAATTTCCCTCTGGGATTAATAAAGTATTGATTGATTGTAGTCAATAGTTTTGCACTTTAGGGCATTTTAGTAAAAATTGTATTTTCTGCCTAAAACTGTCAATGTTGTGCCGTTGTCAGGTAAAAACTCTGCACTGCATTTTTCAATCTGCCATTGCTATTGGATAAGAGGTACCCTAGAACATTAGCTGGTACCATATGATGTCACAATGTCGTTGTGAGCCTGTGTGTGTGTGTATTTGTTAGTGGCTCGCCCTCTCGGTCTGCTAGGCAACAGCATTTTTTGCATTTTTCAAACTGGAAGTGGGAGTTGAGTAATACTCTGGTAGGGGGTGACTTGATCTTTAAGAGGCATGAAAATAATTTAAGCTGATTTGTTTTCCAAATTTGCTATAGCAGCTTTAAACAAATTCAGCTGTTGGGTATTGTTAGATCATTTATATTTATGAATATAATTTTTTATAAATGGTAACAAAAACTTTTTTTTATATAAAAAAAAGAGTTTTTAGCAAATCTTTTTCCTCATAAAAGTAAATTATGTCTTTACATTGTGACTTGATCATTATGCTATCATGCTAAATGTTCAGTTCTGGTTCAGAAACATAAATACATTCATAAAAAAGGTGTGAAATTGCATCTATTGCTGTTTTACAAATCGTACATAATTCCTTGAAGTCTTTCTAATAAATGGGTCTGTTGGATAAACCTGGACTTGTAGCTTAAAGTGGCTTTGAAAAGGAATTATAAAAGAATAAAAGAAACTCAAGGAAAGATTAAAATGTCTCTGGAAGCAAAAAGCGGATATTTATTTTTCAAGAATTTTAAAACAGACTTTATATAAAATGAAGCTCACAGCTTTACACAATAACGTCTGACTCAGCACTTACCACGACAGATAAGCCAAGCCCACAACTCCCAGTGCTGCCAGTGCATGTTGGGTTTGTGGGAAGGTGTGAGGCTGCACCAGCACTTCTCCCAGTAAAACAGGAAGGACGAAGGTGTGCTGTGAATGCGATGTACAAGAAGTGCAGTAAGTATAAGAGGACCAGTGAAGCAGGATAATTTAGATTTTTATGAAACAAATTAGCCTGAACAGTAAAAAGTGAGACCATAGCGTGGTTTGTCCAAGGAGGGAAGAATGCGTCGATGGTAGCTGGGTAGACTAATTCTCTGTCGTAGGCGAAGATCATCCAAAAAAGGAGGACAACAAACTAAAAACAAAGAAAGCCACCAGAGAACTGAGCTCAATGCGTAATTATTGTTCTACGTAAAACTGAGCAAAACCATTTTCTCACCGTGCCAACAGGGAAAGCAAAGACAGCGAAAAGGCGGTCCTTCCATCTGCTCAGACTGCTCTCTGTCTCTTTTCCTAGTTGGAGATCAGCTACTGTTGCCAGTCCAAAGAAGGTCATCTGCAGTAACTGAAAATATTCCCAACAAATTACAATTCCATTTGTCCTTCTTCACAAACACATAGACCATGATAGAAGGGCGTTCCACAGATGCGCTCACCAAATTTAGAAAAGTAAGATACTTCCATGGTCCTCCATAAACAAAGATTCCCTTTGGCAACTCCTCTCCATCCTTTGCTGCGAGATACTGAACTACAAAAGCGTACCAGCAGAACGCTGACATGTGGAAAGCTGTCCTCGGGGTGGTGGTCATTCTCAACGCTAGATCTCGAAGGAGAAAGGGGAAATGTTCTACATGTACCCCTAGTATTCCTTCAGGCTTCGGATTGTGCGGCTCTTTAAAGATTATGCGATTCAGTATAAGCTCCTTACGATGTTTTACGTAGCGAAGGCAAAGTGACATTTTCAGACAAGAGGCCCTCTGTTGATTATGGAACACTGAAAATCTTCTTTAATAATCTACTTGGACTGTGGCATGAGACTGAACCAAGAGGCACTTCACATTCAATGTGTTTTACAAGAGAACCCCTCAGAGAACAGCTGCACTAAATGGCTTCATTTTCACACCTCCTTTGAAGCAATAGAACTGATAAACTCATTTTCCAGAGTTTCAGATTACTCTATAAACTGGTTAAAATCCACAGTTCTACCAATTAATTTCTCATTTGTCAATTTGCTTAATACACAATTGAAGAGGTCTAAATCCAAGGTTGTCTGAAACGTTCTTGCATGTGAGACCTAACTATAGAAAATATATTATTTAACTACAACCTTTGGACCAGGGGATACCAGCTCCAGTCCTTGTGAGCAACCATGCTTCACGAAACCATTGACTCAGGCGAGTTGAAGTAGGGAGACAACCATAACATGCTGGATGGAAACCCTTAAAATAAATAAGGCTTTCATACTTTACCTTATTCAGGTGTCTATATTTCAGTGGGTACATTCAAGAGAAAACGAACATGTTTGAACTCCTGCTGCAGCTTTTGAACACCACTCAGCCACCCTTTTTCTCAATTTTTTGTTTATCAGCAATAAAGAAGTTCAGTGTAGTGAAATAATTTGGCCTGAGGATGGCGCTAAAGGGCAGATTGTGATTTAAAACAAAGTTTTTCTAAAAACAACTGAAAACAATTTTATATGCTGGTGCAGTTACAACTATTAAACCTTAATCCATGGAGACGCTTTCACATACAACAAAGGAAGGTAGTCCAATTTAAAATGGAGTAGGTAAATAAATCATTGGATGAGTTTTTCTATAGACAAAGTTTTAAATATGGGAGATAAAATGAATGAATTAGAACCATATAATTTAGTTTCCTGTTTGGGTTAAACAATCTCAGCAACTCTCTTCAGCAGCAGAAAGCCAAAGCCAATAAACCACCCAAAAATATTTAGAAACATTTATTTTTCAAACAGTAAAGTCTAAAGACAGACGCCGAAACAACTGTGATTTCTTTTTTGTTTAGCCGTGAAAGCAGGTTGTTATTAAAATACTCTAGACTCAAGGGAACCATTTTTAGCTAATTATGCAAATCACCTAAAAATTTTAAGTAAGCTTTTAATTTGCAAGGTCAGTGGGTGGGTGGCGGGGTGTCCACGTGTGTGTGTATATTCTTGCATCCAATTTGACTTAAGCTAATTTTTAAAATCAAATTTCCACCATTTTTTTTAATAAGTTTTATTTTTACACAAGCAGGGATATAAATCTACACATCCACCAGCTTAAAAATGACTATTTTTTCTATGTAAAACAGTATAATACAGTTAACAGTTTTAAAAAACTCGTAACTTCAGATTTGTTTTCATGACGTCACGTGTGAATACAACAGCTGACCTTGTTGTCACGGTTGTAATAAAAAAGGCGAGGCCAGGCCTCATGACATAAACGACCCATTGCACACATTGCACTTTACCCCATGCAGTCAGTAAAATCCTGTTGAGCGCACACATTCATGCCGTGCGTTTCATACCGCCAGTACGTTTGTGATGCAACCACACCTACGTCCTGGGTTGAACGTCGCACATGCGTCTGAGACAGCCTTGCATCGTTTTTGTTCAGCTGGCAGTTTTACCCGGTAAAGTTCAACAAGTCTGATGCAAGTCCTCCTGACCCCTCTGAGTAACGAGCCTCATTTGAAGAGAGGAAAAGTGAAATTTAAAAAAGGAATGTCTCTGCATTCTCTCAGATTTCTCTCAATCCCATCTAAGATGTCATCTGTTGAAGCAACAAGGAGAAAAACAAATATTGTCCACAAAGGCAAAGAAATGTTTTCCGTACACTGGCAAAGTCAGCCAAGCAGGTAACACTTTCATACCTCAAAACGACTGTAAACCCTCCTCTCCTTCCTCATGCTCTGAATCCTCTCTATCAGCTTCTCTTGCTCCTGAGTGGGAGGCTGCGCTCGGTTAAAGCCCCTGAACCTTCTACCTATGTTTTTAGCATTTTTCTCAGCCTTGTCCTCTTTCTCATCGTCCGTGACAGCAGGCGACTCCTTGGTGGCCTCATTTCTGCTTTGGCAGTTGGCTGAAATCTGCTCCAGGAGCAGCTTAGTGTCATCTCGAAGGTTGCTGCTCGAGAGCACGTTGGCAGTTGATGAGTGGTAGCGAGACTGATTGACTTTGGGCTGCTTGGGAGCCGTCTCTGAGGATTCGGAGTAGTTGTTTTGGTGTTTTTCACTATTTACAGAGTCTTGAGTCCCACTGATTGTGCTCTTTTTAGTGTCCTCTGGATTATCAGGCATTTTCTCATCTACGCTCGGCTGTTTTTCACTCCTCTCTTCAGCTGGTTCACATGATTGGCTTTCAGACGTTTTGCAAGGCAAATCGGCGTCTGCTGAGTGTTTTGAGGCAAACTCAGATGAGCAGCTCTCTGACTGTGTTGACTGGTGAACCGGAGACTTCTCTGTTCTGGACTCGGTTTCACTGGTAGCAGAGTTCGTGTCCAAAGTAGGGAGGACGGTTTCTGCCTCTTTAACCTCAGGGGATGAGACCGATTTGTCTGGCTCAGACAGAGGAGAACCCATTTCTGCTCCAGCAGGACTGCGTGCATCCGAGTCTGTCAGGTTAAGGTTGAGGGTTAGAGCAATTTGTGCTGGTGTTCCCTGAGGAGACAAAGTCATCTCTGATGGTGAGGCAGCAGGGTCGATGTCTGTGTTTTCAACTGATTCTGATGGTGAATGTTTCAGTGGAAGGTCTTGAGTAACAATCTCTTCTAAATTATGTTTGGAAGAGGAGCTTTCTAGATCAGACACATCTTGGCTTGAGTCTGGTAAAGAGAGGCCAACAGCTAGAGATGTGCAATCAGCCGTGACACCCTGAGAAGATCCAGGGACCACACATTCTTCTGCAAAAACAGCCATCTCTGATCCTTCCATAGAAGGTGTAGCAGCAGGAAGCTCCTCAAGAATCCTGATGCGATTTAAAATGTTTGTCTCTGGAAGTGATGGAGAAACATCCGACTCAACACTTACAGAGTCAGCAGCTGAAACGTTCTCGAGGGACGCCAGTTGGTTAACGGGATCCAGATAAGTTTGATAGCTCGGATCATCTGGCTTTTCTAGACATTCATTAGTAGATTGCAAGGACTCTAGTGATGAAAGAATGAGGGATTTCTGTGCCCTTTGGGATGTGTCAGGAGCATGGGTGGAGCTTGAAACATCTGGGCTATGACCAGAAGATATAATATCGTCTGCAATGGAAGGGCTATTCGGAGAGTCAGAATTTAGCATAGGGGGATCAGAGGAAGAACTTTGCACTAATGACTGAGAGGAGCTCAGTTCTGATCTGGTTTCTGGTTCAGAGGGCAGAGAAGGACCGGGCTCTAACTGGATTGATTCCAAATTTCCAGGGTCAGTAGGCAACGCTGGAGAAAAGGTAGACTCCTCTGAGTTGGAAAGGGCTGAAATGAAGTCCTTCGAGGTAGACTTAGGAGTTGGACTTTGTCTTTCATCTGTACCTTGTAAGAAACAAGAAACATCAGCAGGAGTGACCTTTTGTGTGAAATTCTCATTCTCTTTTGCAAAAGGACTTGACACAACTTGCTCTTCTGGTGATTTGCTAAAACATGACTCTGGCATTGCAGAAATGGAGCGTTGGGTTTCTTGTTCGCTGTTGACAGCTGAGTCCTTGGAGTTTGTGTCTTCCCTGGTCATCGTCTCCTCTGCAGCCGTCTCTGCAACTAAAGGTTCAGTTGTTGAACTTTCCGTGCTATTTGGGGTTTCTTTAGCCGGAGCCTTCAGAACAGTGGGAGAGTTTTTAGATTCAATTTGTGGTTTGATCGGAACTTTGTCCTTCTCTTTTACAGCCTCTGCAGCTCTAGCATCTTTGCGTTTTGCTGCTAACTCTTTAAAAAACACGAGCCTGCTGTCAGGATCACTCATGTCCATGTATAATGGACTTTTGATTTTAGGTTTTGCTGGCTGATTGACTGCACTGGTTGTTGGTGGTACTGGTTGGTCAATTTCGGGGGACTCGGGTTTCAAAGACTTGGATTGAGGCAGTGAATCTTTTATAAACGCTGGTGTGTCTTGCAGCGATTTTCTTCGCCCCGATTTTGTTTCTGCAAGATTAGAAAGGTCCAACACTGACTTCATGTCCAACTTTAGTTTCCCTGGGATTTTGGTTTCTTCTTCAACACCAGTATAGGAGAGATTAGAATCTCTGTTGGTAACCGAGTCCTTTGTGTTTGCATGTTTACTATCATCTACAGAAAGAGAAGCCGACTCTGATGTGTTGGTGGTTACTGCCTTTCCTGCACTGTTTGAGGCCGTATTTGGGACAATTAAACCCTCAGATGTCACACCTGTAATGTTTTCGGAGGTATTTTTGGGAAGAGATTCTTCTTTCTGGGTAATGGGAGTGGTGTTGGAATCTGCTCCTGGTTTAATTTCAGCTTTCTCCTTTTCAGCTTTGCGTTTTGCTGCTAGCTCTTTAAAAAACACGAGCCTGCTGTCGGGATCACTCATGTCCATGTATAATGGACTTTTGATTTTAGGTTTTGCTGGCTGATTGGTTGCACTGGTTATTTGTTGTATTGACTGATCGGTTTGGGGGGGCTTTAGTTCTGAGGGCTTTGATCGGGGCACAGATGGTGAACTTTTAATTAACACTGGTGATTCTTGCAGCGATTTTCTCTGCTCTGGTTCCGTTTCTGCAAGATTAGGAAGGTCCTCCACCGACTTCATGTCCAACTTTACTTTCTCTAAGAGTTTGGTTTCTTTTTTATCACCGGTATTGGAGATATTAGGATCCCTGTTGGGAATAGAGTCTTTTATGTTTGCATTTTTATTACCATCTACAGAAAGAGATGGTGATTCAGATGCTTCTGTAGGTACTGCTTTCTCTGCACTCTTTGAAGCAGGCTTTGGGACAACTGAACCCTCAGATGTCAAATCTTTATTGCTTTCTGAGGTCTTTTTAGGAAGAGATTCTTCTTTCTGGGTAACGGGGCCGGTGTGACAATTTCCTTCTGGTTTTGGTTGAGCTTTCTCCTTTTCCTTTTCAGCTTTACGTTTCGCCGCTAGCTCTTTGAAAAACATGAACCTCATATCAGGATCGTTCATGTCTACATAAGGTAGACCGATTTGCAAAGATTTGATTGGTGGTGCAGGTTGATCCGTTTTGGAAAACTCAACCTCTGAGGGCTTGAACTGAGGCAGCGACGGGGAAGGGGTATCTCTGCCTAACTCTGGAAGTTTTATCGACTCTTTAAGTTTTTCTGAGGCATCTTTTGAATCATCCTTTGATGAATCTTTATCATCTGCTTTGCTGCTGCCATCAACTGTTTTGGGTGCTTCAGTAGCGGACTTTAAGTAACGACTCCATTCAAAAGGTTCCCTCATAGCAGATTTCCTCTGTCCCAACATGTGAGCTACAAAGGGGAGTTTTGTCTGTTCTGTTTGGTTTTTGTCACTTTCTTCTTCATGCTGACTTGCAGTAGTTGTTTCTTGGGGAGCTGGCTGTTGCTCTAATGAGCTGTATATTAGAGAGGACCTTAGCCTGGAGCTTCTCTGCATGGCAGAACTGTATTTCCTCCTGAAGGAATCGTCCCTTCGAAGCAGAGGGTTAGCGGTCTCTTTTTGTTCTGCCTCCTCCATCTTTTCCCCTTCATGGGTAGACGAACATTCAGATGGTGTTGGTGTTACTCTGATCTCTACTACCCCTGGAACAGGTTCCTCCAGATATTTCTTTGGCTTTTCTTGAGCAGTTGCTTTGGCGTAACTTGGCATCTGGCTGATCCTGTGTGCTGCAGGAACTTTAAAATTAGCTTTTTTGGGAACTGACACACCCATGCCCTGCATGCTTTGATGTATGGGATTTGGGGGCTCTTCAAAAGCGTCTGGTGCCTGAGATGGCTCAGAAGATGGACCTTCTTCTTCTGGATTATCACATGTGCTCAAGTATGAGCTAATCCTCCAGTCCCTCAGTCCCTGCTTCACATTAGGATCCTTGCGATTAGCCGTAGCATCTTGAAGAAACGGCTTCTGTTCGGCTGAGTTTGAAGGGGTGGGAGAGGTTTGATGGACATATGGCTGAACTAAATTCAGTCTTTTTGGGTGAGATGGTTGTAGGAAGTGCTCTGAGTTCTGGTCAAAGTCCCGATTTCTTGTCGACGATAGATAGTTCAGAACAGGGTCAAAATTATCATGTGGTGGCTCACCTTGTGGTAAACCAGGTTCTACATATTGATCTGTAGACAAAAAGTCTTGGTTCCAGAACTTGTCATAGCCACTGTAATCAGATTCTTGGCCCGGCCCCGAATATGGCTGCTGACCCCTGTGAAAAGGCTTCCCCTTAAGCTCGGGCTCCGGCATTCCCTGTTGCTGCATGAATGGGAAATTGTATCTACCTTGAGCACCTTCAGCATAAGAATGGCGTTTTAAGGCAGGATTTTCTGTCATTAAAATCCGGGGCGGACCCTGATCAAAACTGGGCTCCATGCGTGACTGTGGGGTGGCAAACCTACTATGCATATCACCAGGACCACGAAGAGAATCCTGGTTTTTTAGTTCAATCATCCTCCAATCCCCTTCCATTCGCTCTTCGTTTGAATGTCTTCGCCATTCATCAGGATGGCCGCTGTCCGGTGACAGAAACTTTCTTGGCTCTCTATACATTGAAGAGCTTTCATTTGGGTACTGGGGCTTATGCATAATGTTTAAATCATCCATTGGAGCAAGCACATCTTCAACGATCAACGGCTGTGACTGAGCGTACAGAATCCGAAACTCTTCATCAAAGGTTGTCACAAACTGTCCAAGGAACAGGTGAGCCATGCAGCGATGCAGCTTCTCAAAAGACCACATGAAGCTGCAAAAACACAAGAAGTCGAAACTCAGTTTGAATGCATAAAGAAATATATTTCATTTAAAATTGTAATGATTTAGGAAATGCCACCTGTAATTTCCACTCAGAACAGCCCTGCAGTCTGTCAACAAGAAGCGATCCAACATCTGACCTTTGAAGGATTTCCCTGAGCGGCACTGGTATGTGATCCCAGACACGGTTCTCACACGTAAAAACTGTAAAATACAAAAAATCACTCTAAATAGTATCATAAATAATTAGGATCATACATCTAGTGGTTTTAAAGTTAGGTGGTAAAGGTGTATTAGTATCAGTGTTGTCAAAAAAATCGATACCTAGATATAAATCGATACTAAAAGTGGTATCTAAATGAGATATTCCATCCCTGTGGTATCGATATTATGGACTATTATGCACAGCCTTCTTCAAGTACACCGACACGCACGACAGCCAGATGCCGTAAAGCAGCCTCCGCCTCCCAGACAAACAGAAGAAGAAGACGCCGCATGGCTACATTGCAATTTCCCACGCGAGTTGTCTCGGATCCAAGTTTTGTCTGCCAAATAAATAAACAAAAACATAAACAGCGAATTTGGGAGGTGCTTCACAGCCCAACTTAATTAGCATACCAAGTCCGACACGTAGTTGTATATTCACGCTTATGTGCTTAAAGGAAAACTCCCGTTTATTGCAACCCGGACTTAATTTCTAGCATGCAGTACGTTTGTTTACTCACGCTGACAACTTTGGTGCTACTTGGATTCCCCGGGGTATTTAGATCCATCGGCGAATCGCCGTCAGTGTATATCCATATAACGGGTGCGGACGGGCACCCATGGTGCAGCCTCGAAATAAGACATTATCTGCACCAAAACATCTTCATGTCGAAAGGTTTTGTTAGGAATCATTAACATGATTTCCCGTTCGTTTGGAGCGGGTCTGGGATTTCTAGGCGTGAACAGACTAGCCGCGGCTAATCTAACCGGCGCTTTTAATGACGTCACTGCCGTGCGCCAGTCTGTTTTTATTAAGATTACCGGTAGATGTACCTTTGTCCTACTGTGGAGAAATTCATTTTCTCCCTTTATTGACCAACAGAGTTGTTCAAAAGTACAGAACAAAACATATGGCATTACATCTTATGACAAAAATGCACCTTAAACAGAGTTTAAGCAGCAAAACATCACTCTGCAAATAGTGTGTATATAGTGAGACAATTCATGATTTAAAGTGTTAACTTTCGCCAGTTTTTATGTGCACGTTTTAAAAAATGCTGATACTTGAAAGGTTTAAGCACTTAATACACTTAATTCTTAACATTTAATTTTTGCAATATAAATTGAGGAATGTTATTTTTTGAATAAACTTGTTCAATAAATTGGTGTTTTTAAATAGTATCGAAATCGAGTTTTTTTTCCAAGCATCGAATCGAGTTTGAAATTTTAGTATCGTGACAACTAGGGCTGCTCAATTAATCGAATTTTAATCACGATTACGATCCGAGTTTTGAACGATTATAAAAACAAAACAAGCCGATTATTTGCTCCTCCCGCTTGCGCTGCCCTGAGTTGCAAATGAAGCGCTCCTCCCACAGTGTTACCAACTTAGTGACTTTGACGCTATTTCTAACAGCTTTTCAGACCCCCTTCTTGACTTTTTAATCCTAAAAGTACCTAGCGAACACCTCAGAAACATCTCTGGTAACCCTTAGCTACTTTCTGGATAACTGTCGTCGACATTTCCTGCAGGTTAGCTAAACACTCCGCCTGTGCTCCGGACCGAATTAGGACATTAGGAAAGGGAATGATGTAGTGACGTATCAGTCGCTAAAGAAACAGCTCTCCGAGCCGGCTCCCTGTTGGAGTAACCAGAGTGAGTGACACACACACCGCACCTGCGGACTCCTGAGCCACTAAAAATGGCTAAATGTGCGCGTGCGGCGCGCTAAACACACGTGCAGCTTGCCCCGGATTTTTGAGACCGGGTTGGGGGGTGGGGGGTGCAGCTGTGGTTGGGACAATTATTACATTAACTTGTGGACTTGTAAATAAATAGTTTATAAATAAGGTAGAAATAAGTTCCTCACGCTGATAAATAATAACTAACCTCTCTGAGGACACGGTGCTAGTGCACGCTCCTACAGCACCTTGACATGACTCAATAAATGTTATGCAACATTTTGTGAACATCAATTTATTTGTATTTATTTGTTATAAATGCCACTGCATACTTCTTGCTGTCAGTATTTGCAAGATATCGGTATTTGGGTCTGTACTGGTTAGACTTACATGAGTTAAACCAAGGTCTATAGCCCTTGGGTCATAGACTATGAGCTATAAGTATATTGGTCTTTTTATACTGGGAACCAGGAGTTATTTTAGTGATCATCTTGTTTCTTATTTTTGTCCTGATTGTGCCCTGAGCAATTTTATGACTGAATAAAAATAAATAAAATCAACATAAATTGAAAAATCGTCCTAAATAATCGAGATCTCAATTTCGGTCACCATAATCGTGATTATTATTTTTGCCATAATCGAGCAGCCCTAGTGACAACCCTAATTAGTATTGACACTTGTAAAAATGCCAAGATGAGCTGTAAATGGTATTTCCATCTTTCATCAAATTTTAACGTTACCAAAGAAAAACTGCACAAAATTCCCACATAAATCAATTTACCTGAGTGGTTATTTGGAATAATCCAAGTTAAAACAAAAAGCCAACATCCTGTTGTATAAACTGTACAAGAAGTTTTGTGAGAACCAAGACCACCCAAAAAGTTAAAAGCTGCCAACAATGACTCATCAGTCACCATGGAAACAGCACACATGTGAGATACAGGCACACAGGAGCAACAGGTTTATTAACAAAACAAATCAGGCCTCATACAAAAACGGTCTAAATTAGGAATATTCCAATCATGTGATTTGCATTGTTGATGCCCAAAGGGAAATGCGACAAAGCGCAGATAGCTTGTTTGTTGAAGGCAGCGAATCGTGGAGCTGTGCCCTTTCCAGCATGTTGAATACCCAGTTTGGATACATTACAAGTGTCTGTAGCTCTGCCTTTGCCGTACTGTTTAAAATACCACCAAGCTGCAGGGATTTTAGCGCTCCCGATTAGACACGTTAGCTGTGTTAGCAGGCTTGCTGACAGCGATACTTGGTGTCTGAGTCCTTGCCTCCCGTAAATTGTTTGACGTTACAAGTTGGTTTTTTGTACAAGAAACAAATATCACTGATGTAGAGGAACTTATTGAAATTAAAACTAAGCTATTTTTATTCTATTTGAAATTTTCCATGTCAGGATGAATTTAAAGAGCAAGTCACCCCCAAATCAACTATTTTTTCCTGATAAACTACATAAATGCGTGTCTAATAGTGCTGCAGACACGTGTAATCAATAGTTTTGCACTTTAGTGCATTTTAGTTAAAATTATGATTTTCTGTCTAAAACTGTCAGGGCTGTGCCGTTGTCAGGTAAAAACTCTGCACTGCAGTTGAATTTAAATCTGCCATCGCTATTGGCTAAGAGGTACCCTAGAACGTTAGCTGGTACCATATGATGTCACAATGTTGTTGTGAGCCTGTGTGTGTGTGTGTGTGTATTTGTTAGCGGCTCCGCCCTCTCGGTCTGCTAGGCAACAGCATTTGTTGCATTTTTCAAACAGGAAGTGGGAGTGGAGTAATACTCTGGTAGGGGGTGACTTGCTCTTTAAAAAGTCATGTTTGTTGTTTTAAAAGGTTAAATCCGATTCATTTCTCCTGATTCCGATCCTTTGTAAAACACATGATCGGGCCCAATTTCCAATCACGTGATCAGATCAGAGCACAAAGATCTGATGACTCCACGTTCAAATGTTTCTGTCTACATTGTTTTATATAGGAGAAATGATGTTACGTTAGAAACACCCTTCACTTTCTGTTTGCAAGAGAAAACAATGAGCTTTGATATCATGAATTCCTACATGAGCTGAACTGAGAACTTTTTCCGCTCCAGAGAGATTAAAGAGAAAGAGACAGCAGTAGCTCAGGAGGTAGAGCAGGTTGTCTAGTAATCGGAGGGTTGTAGGATTGATCCCGGCTCTAGGGCAGAGAGAGCTGCTTGCGTCCTTGGGCAAGACACCTAACCCACCTTGCCTGCTGGTGGTGGTCGAAGGGACCGGTGGCATCTGTGCTTGTCTCACCTCTGTCAGTGAGCCCCAGGGCAGCTGTGGCTACACAGTAGGTCATCACCACCAGGGTGTGAGTGTGTGTGAATGGATGAATGACTGATTGTGTTGTAAAGCACCTTGTGAGGGGTTCTAGGAGTCTAGAAGATGCTATATCAAATATATTTTTACCATTTACCAAAACTTTAAGTCATGCACAGAGGAGTTGTTTTTCAGTTCCATTTTTTTGGCAAGTTTTGGGTCCTTTGCACAATAAACTGCAATAAAATGCCAAAGCACACTGTTCCCAACCAAAGCAAATGCTGCGATGTGATGTAAGGGTTTTTCCAACGCAGTGGGAGGAGAGATGAGTGACAAGGACAGAAATGAGAGAACAACAAACAAATACCAATAAGGGTGATTCGGTGCTCAGTTCTTATCTGAATCTGGTGCCCTTGAGCCTGTGAGGCTGAAACGAATACCCCCTCCCCCCCAAAGAAATGTGGAATGCTGCCGTCGGCATCTCAACTCTGTCTCCCTATCCCGGCCCGGACTGCGAGCTGTGAAGGCCGCTGAATCGTTCCAGGAGTCACTGTGCTCTGTAAACCCAACTACCTCCCACCCCTTTCCAGACTGAGGTGAAGAGCGCTGCTTATCGCGGCTGCATGCACTGACGTTAGGAGAGTCCCATAACCCTACCACCCCACCTAGTGGACACTTATGTTGTGTGGTGTCTGAAGTCTGTTGCATTTCTGTCTGAGGTGTTTTTTGCATAGCAAAGCTGCCCTCCCTGTAGAGGGTAGCTCTGAAGTGCCTTTTTTCCCTCCACCTGATCCAATCCTCATTTATAAACCCTCTGATCCCTATTAAGGTAGCGCAACTCGGGTTACGAATGACCACAGTCACCAATTCTTGTCATGTGTCTATGCCTATGTATGCATGTCTGATCTCAGAATTGTGTGTACTGAAACTCTAATTTCTCTCTGGGATTAATAAAGTAATTTTGAATTGAACTGAATTGAATGCACTGGCACCTTTCATAATAGACATCAATGTGATTTAGATCAAACTGGGCTTTTACGAAATAAATATATCCAAACAATGAAATATTTGCAAAAAATGAGGCAGATTTTTGCAGTATAGAACTACTTATATCTGCAGCTACAGTACATAAAGTAGTTCTGCTTTTTTGGTTCAATATTTTGGAAAACAAAAGTAAACAATAAAGCTGGTGATGCACAGAATTTATGATTCTGTCAAGAAACTCCATAAAAATACACAAATCAACTGTGTGCTTGTCTCTCAGTATGCTCCTGCCTCCACACCCTGTCTGCAGCCGGCTGAGTCAAGCCTCTACATTCCAACTTAACGTCAAACACAAACTACTTTTAAATACTTAAATCTTAACTTTAAAACAAGCATTTTGGGCTGTTTTGAGGCATAATATTACTAATGTTTGTTTTTTTACTGAGCAAACAGAATATACCTCTGTTATAGTGCAATAAGACATGTACTCACATGGAAATCCTGCAGATTTACTCTACAGTTAACAACCATATTAACAAAGTGATGTGCGTTGACTTCATCCAGCAGGACGTAGACGGCCACTCTCCTTGATGACGCAGTGAGAACTTCCAAAAACATGTCAACATCTGTAAACATATCCATCACTACGGCAACGACCTACGGGGCCAGAAACAAGATAAATGTAAAAGAAAACTAAACTACCAGGAATACGGGGCTTGTGAGAAACTAAATGAAGGAGAAAATAAACCTGCTGAGCATTCCTGATAAGTCGTCGAGCGTGCTCCTTGATACTCGGCATGTCCGGCTCAGGGGGGTTAAGAAGAGTTGTGATTTCTGTGGGTTCAATGAAAGCATGCACCTGAGGCCAGCCAAGGTCCAAACCGGGGACATCCAGGTCTGAGTGAACAGGCCAGTAAGTGTCTGAGGAGCCATCTCCTCCGGTCCCCAGGAAATACTGCTCAGGCTGGCTGATGTGCTTGGGAATCTGGACATAGTTCTCAATATACTTGATTTCCGTTGTGGAAAGAAAGTCCACCACATCTGCTTTGTGGAGGAATTCATAGTAGCCATCCAAACTGTTCTCGACCAGTGCGTCGATGGCCAGGCGGTACTCTTCCCGATAGTGTGGCGGGAGGTAGTTGGGGTTGAGGGGGTTATCCCCAGCTGAGGAACACTGCGAGCGACGGGCCATACTGTGATTTAGGAAAAGAAAGACAAAAGTCAATGTTACAGCATAAAAACAAGACCATTACAGGCAAAAATGTTGTTTTGATGCAGGTTGTTTCATGTCCTAGAGCAGGGGGGCCCAAATTTATCAAGGCAGGGCCAAAACTGTCAAGTTCATTGTCCTCTCTGGCCACAAAAATACTATAATTTTAATGCAAAAATATTTAACGATGATCTTTATCTTCCAAAATCAGTAGCACAAAAATGTTAGAAACAACAGGGGGCCACACAAAATCACCCAGAGGCGCGCAGATGGCCCCTGTGCCGCATTTTGGACATGCATGTCCCAAAGGAATATCATTATTATATATAAAACAGTGTAATTGTTCTTCCAAATAAACTAATTAATGTACAAAAAAGCGACCAAAGTAAAAACAGTGGTGGGAAAAATGAAAAACACTTGTAATTGGATGAATGTGTAAAAAAAACACTATATAACTAAACATCCGTGTGTTGGTGTAACGATAAAACTAGGATTTGTGCTTCTAAAGAGTGGCTGTCGCCGGTTCGAGTAGTTGGATTAAAGTACGCAGCGGAATAAAGAGGAATGAAATCAAACCACAGCATGAAAGGGTGGGGCTCCTCCCTCTGGCCACAAGTCTCAATTTCTAAGTTCACGGTGAAAACGGTGCAGAATGCGGTAACAGACGGCTAGTTACGGCGAAATAAGACGTTCAAAGTTAACACCGAGGGACTACTTTAAAGTATGAACATCACAGTAAAGAACTGGCGCTGCTTGCCTGTGTTTTCCACCTCAAAACGGTTCACGCGACCGACCGCAGAAAACTCGAGAACACTTAAAAAGACACACTTTAGGTACATGTAACCGTAAATCTGTATTTTTGATAAGAGCCTTCAAAATCGTTCGTGCTTATTTGGGGGGGGGGGACTTACTTCTTTTATTTCTTCAGGCGTCGTGTTGGTAAAAATTTCCAGTCACATTTTCTTCTGCTCAGCAGCGTCGCGCTCCACGTCCCAGGTGGGACTCGATTAAAAAGTTCTCTGCTGCTTTGCTAACCCCCTCCTCCTCTACCCAGAGAAACCAGTTTACTTTCATGCTTGAGGCACGTAGGCTTGAACCTCTGAAACAAAAAATACACGACGGGGAAAAAGAAAAAAAAAACTGCTGTCGACTAATCTGAAGCTCCGCCTCGAGTGGAGATTCACAGTTTGCTAATTTTGTGCTTCTCGCTGCGGTGTTCGCTGAACTCTGTCCGTCTGTTATCCGACTTCTGCTATTTACAGCTGCTGTCATCGATTAGTCGGTGGCTAATTGACGGATTATCAGTACATAAAACCCCACACACCCCATCTTACTTATTTCCTTCCCATCCCCTTTTCAAACTGCCTGGTGCTTGTCTTCAAAATCAATAAATCTGATTTGGAGTTTTGCTGCCCGAAAGACCGATTTAATAACTATTTCCTGAAGTTATTAGCTGTTAATAAGACTTTCCTGAAATTGAATTAAATTGCTGATTATTATGAAAAAGAAAGAAATTGAGGTGTCTGGACATAGTTTTAGAACACTTAAAAGTACTTTAGTGTTGCGCAGTTTTATACTGTCTGAAGTAAAAATGTAAAGGTGATATATATTTGGAGGTTCAGTGGAAAAGTTATAAGCAGTAAGTTACTACTGAATGGCCTCAGTTTGGAGAAGTAGCCCCCTTTTTCCAGTGTTTCCTCTGTGGGTGCCCTCTGCCCCGGGCGGTGGTCAGCTGTGGCGGCCTGGGTGCTTTCCAGGTGTGACTGGGTGGAGGTGGGGGGGTCTCCACCCTCCCTGCCCTGGGCGCCCTGTGTCGGTGCCTCGGCTGCTGCTGTTGATCTGCTGCTGTTGGGGCAGATGACTCCCCTGATGGTGTTTCCTTATCCTTATCTCAGTCCATCGTGTTTTTTCCGGGGGAAGCGTGTGTGTGTGTGTGTGTGTGTGTGTGTGTGTGTGTTGTGACGGGGTTTTTATTGTCAGACTGTTGTTAAAATTCTGGGGATGGGAGGGAATGTGGGTATGCCGGGCCTTTTTAATTTAATAAGCACTTTGAGTTGCATGCATTGCATGATTCAGTGCTTTATAAATAAAGTTTGATTGATTGAAGTTTGAAGTAAAGTTTGGTGTGGCGGGCGTACAGGAAGCAATGAAAAGTAAGCAAACACATTGCAAAAACAACTAAAACTTCTGGTTCACACATACTCACATCCGATACACATGACTTCAATTAGACACACACAAAAACAGAAAAAAATGCACCAAGTCTGCTAATTCACAATCAAAAGGATTTGTGTTTACATTTTCTTTGTTTTGTTTGTGTGTTTCTTTCTTTTTAGACAGCCTCCTATAGCAGGACTGCAGTGTTTCCAACTTAGCATCTTTGTGGCTTTACATGCAGATCTGGCTACCTGAGCACTTTAAATGTAACTTCTGCCATGTATCCAGACCAGCCAAAATCCAGCCAATCATGGAGTGAGATGTCATCAGAGGCAGGGCCACGAGCTCATCTGGTACCCAGTCCAGACCCACATAATTGGATGAAAACGAACAGAACATATTTAGGGCATTTTGTTTTCCTCTTTTGTTGTTCTGTTGTGTCCAGTGGAATTGAACACACATTGCCAAATAAATTATTTATTATTATTTATTATTTAATAAATAATTATTTATATTTATTACGACTCATTTGGCAACTTCTCACTTCCCTTACTGAGGAGTTGGCAGCACTTGCTGAACCAAAGTGGGCTGTTGCCATCTTAGAACAACTCAAATTTAAAACTATTTCACAGAAACACATATATTAACTTTACACTACAGTTATTTTCACAGTGCATGTTTTTTCCTGCAGAAATGTTACAATTCTGCAGAAAGCACGTGACAATCGTGATACAAGCTGATGCTGGTGTTTGTGCTAGCAGAATCATAGAATTCTGTAGAAACAGACATCAGTGCAAATGCGTCCCAAATAGTATTTATTTAAAACTTGGTCTATTTCAGGGGTGTCAAATATGCGGCTCGCGGGCCGGATCCGGCCCGCAAGCGGGTTAAATCCGGCCCCCGAGATGGTTGTGTAAACTTTATTTTCATACTTTACAATGTAGAGTTAAAATAAACTTATCATTGTGAGCAAGTTTTCTCTGTAATGAGTATAAATAAAACAAAGCTGCACTCAAGGCTCACACAAGAATTTGAATCACATCCTGAAGTTGGCCGCCACTCAGGATGTGACTTCTGATGTTGATGTGCTGGTGAAAGCTAAAAGATGTAAAGTAAAATGAGTCAAATATACTTTAAGTGCTGCATGAAACTGATCTAGCCATGTGATCTGTAAGCTCTGAATCACTAAGGAATGTTTTTTTATTTATAGATTTTTTTTATTCAAATTTTCAAGTACACTTCAGGTGTTGTACTTGTACTACACTGTCCTCAGGCTCCAGCCTTGTTTTATATTGATTGTATTAAAACAAAGAAAACAATCTGAAGTTTTTTTTTTTATTTACCGGTCCGGCCCACTTGGGACTAGATTTCCCTCAATGTGGCCCCTGAGCTAAAATGAGTTTGACACCCCTGGTCTATTTGGACCAGCCAGTGGCTTGTCAGTCTGTTCAGAACTAATTTCTATTTCTCCAAATGAAGGTAGTTTGACTACATGGCTACAAAATGTGCCTTTTTGGTGCATATAATTTTAAAATAATGTTAAATCGTACAATAACTTGTTATATAATAATGCTACAGTAGCTAACCTTTCAGTTGTCTTGTTCCTGACACTAAAACTATATATATATATATATATATATATATATATATATATATATATTATGATCTTTTCATGTGTTTTATTTATGGTGTGTGCTTTGGTAAATGCTACCTAAGATCAACTAAATATTGTGACATTAGCACATGATTCAATGGTGTGTGATCTGTAGAGGTCTATTCCCATTTTTTTATTTTAGTTTTTGCTCGAGGCCTTTATACTGGGCCAGCCCTACTCATTAACTCATTCTAGTGATTTATGTACTTGTGGCAGGGTGGGGGCAGGATCATAATAATCATATGCATGAAAATATCAGCTCTAATCATAAATATCTTCATAGTGAGTCACTCATTGTAATTCTTAAGAGTTATTCTTGCTTTTTGGTTGTGATTTAGTAGTGGCATGGGCTTTTCAGAGCAAAGATGTAAAAGATGCACAGAAATATGAGACCTTGAGCTTTTCTAAACAATAAATAAAAATAGGTTTTCATTAAAGCCGAGAGGATTAACATAAACAAGAAAATCTTTGTGGGTTAACCTCAAATTACATCTTTCATGAGGACATCAACAAACAACTGAAGCACTAAGAGAGGATTGCAATGCTTTGTTATCTCACTGAAACTTCAACCGAGTCTTTCCACATGTTGCCGTTTCTTTATATTAGGGTTTGCAACATATGACCTCACCAGAAAGGCGGTCTGAGGAGGAAACTGGTGTTGAGGATGTGGGTTTTGGGACTCTTAAGAACACAAACCTGTAGCTCAGGATTAGTTAAACACTGAAGGGAAGGAATGAAGGACAAAAAGCACAGCACGCTCCACTCTCGGACCTAAAATAGCTGTGTCAAGAAGAAATGTGCTGCAGCCAAGCCAGAGGAAGTGTGGCAATGCAGCTGCTCAAGTGAAGACTTGAAGACAATCTCTCATTGTTCGCTTTAGGCAACACCCAAGGCACATAGAAGAGGGGTGGGAAAATAAACATCAATATTCATGCTCACTGTGTTCATAGATAGTTGCTACACAACATACCACATTCACTCTGCTCTCCTGTAACCCGCGAAGATCAGAAAAACACAAACTGGTGGGCCTGCCGTTGCTTCTGACTGACAGCTTGGATTGTGAAACATGAACTTGGCCAAATACGTCATCAAACTTTGCCTTCCCCTTCACAAAACACGAACCAAACACACAATGCAGAACAAAACAGCTTGTGTTGAATTAGGTTAGATCAAAAGGGAAGTGAGGACAGAAAATGCCAAGCAGAATAAGTCTGCTCTCTATTCAACACACGCCGAAACCCCCCGGTGTCGGATTTAAAATATTTCAGCAGACTACCAAGCTCGTTTCGTTACCTGGCTCGATGCGTTAACAAACAACACACAGATAACTTTTGATGTCTAACCAGCTGGTGCTGATTTGAGCAACAAGCCTGAGAGGCTTTGGTTTGAACAGCTCTACGTGCGTCAGGTGTCATAACCTGACAAGCAGACAAAGACGTTTTCCGTAGAGTGCTGGATAAGTCAGGTAACATCTGAAAACAGAAGCAGTCGATGATTGCTGCTCTTTTAGCACTTAAACAAGCTGAATCCAAAAGAGTTTGGATGTACTGAAATTGTTTTTCATTACCTGGAGCAATAGCTGACCACAAAACACTTCAAAGGTTTGAAAAAGCACACAACTTTAAGTGTTGGGTGGAGTAAGATTTAATAGGTGCATTCTTTTCAAGTCTAAACCAAAAGTAGTTTTAGAGAAAATTTGTGACATCACACTTGCTATGTCAGTGCTAGTCCAAACCAGATATATTATAGACCAGGGGTTGACGTTGAAGTAGAATTTTATTTGGAAAGGAACAGAGAATACTTTTTACATATGTAGCGGAATATATTTGCTATATTCTTACACTTTTATTAAAGAGCAAGTCACCCCCAAATCAACAATTTTTTTCTGATAAACTATATAAATGAGTGTCTAATCGTGCTGCAGACACGTGTAGTCAATAGTTTTGCACTTTAGTGCGTTTTAGTTAAAATTTAAATATTCTGCATGAAACTGTCAGTGTTGTGCCGTTGTCAGGTAAAAACTCTGCACTACATTTGAATTTAAATCTGCCATCGCTATTGGCTAAGAGGTATGCTATGATGTAAACTGGTACATTATGATGTCACAATGTCGTGAGTGTGTGTGTGTGTGTATTTGTTAGCGGCTCCGCCCTCTCGGTTTGCTAGGCAACAGCATTTGTTGCATTTTTCAAACATGAAGTGGGAGAGAAGTACGCTTCTTGTAGGGGGTAACTTGCTCTTTAAGGTCCAGAGATATCACTGATCCAAACCTGAGCTGGATCATTCATCTTTGGACCGGGCCCTTAGAATCAAAAGAGGTTGTTTTTACCACAGGGAATTTTATTCAAATACCTTGTATTGAATTAGAGACAAGAAAAGAGAGAGAGAGATGGGATGTTTAAG